TGCCCATCTCGTCCGGCGCGCAGCCGACGGTGACGCCCGCCACGTAGCGGCCGAGGATGGCGCCGCCGAGGCCCAGCTCGGTCGCGGTGCTGCGCCGCATGAGCACCGTCGCGGCCGCGCCGTCCGACACCTGGCTCGAGTTGCCGGCCGTCGAGGCGCCGTCGGCGGCAAACGCCGGCTTGAGCTTGGCGAGCGCCTCGAGCGAGATGGCGTCCCGGATGCCGTCGTCTTGCGTGACGGTGATGGACCGCTCCTCGCCGATTTTGTGCCCTTGCTTGTCGACGTCCTGGAAGCGCGTGTGCACCGGCGCAATCTCGGCGTTGAAGGCGCCCGAGGCCCGGGCCGCGGCCGCGCGGCGGTGGCTCTCGACGGCAAAGGCATCCTGGTCGGCGCGGGAGACGGCGTACCGGCGGGCGACGTTTTCCGACGTCAGGCCCATGGGCATGACGCAGTCGCGGACGTTTTTGTCGGGCGAGTCGCGCAGCGCGGGCCACACGTCCTGCGGCACGGCGCGGCTGCCGTAGTTGCGCGTCATGCTCTCCATGCCGGCGGCGATGCCGGCGGATATGGTGCCGCTGCGGATCTGGTCGGCAATGGCGGCGACGGCCTGCAAAGAGGACGCGCAGGCGCGGTTCACCGTGTGCAGCGTCGTGCTCGTCGGGTAGCCGGCGTGGTTGAGCGCCATGCGCGCGGCCTTGCTGCCGCCCAGCTCGGAGAGCACCACGCCGACGGCCACGTCCTCGACGGCCGCCGGCGGGAGCGCCGGCAGCGCCGCGCGCGTCGCCGCCAGCACCGAGGCGAGCAGCTCCTCCGGGTAGGCGTCCCGCAGACGGCCCTTGTAGGCGCGGCACACGGGCGTGCGCAGGGCGGAAACGACGACGACGTCGGACGCGGAGCGCGCGAGCGTCTCCGCGGCGGTCCGGAGGCTCATGCTTGGATGAGAGGCTAGCGGGCTGTATATGTGTGTATTTCGGGGCAGATTTGTTTTTCAAGGGTTGTATGGCGGATACAGCGTTCTAAGCTGATGACGGGATGGAACAGTGGCTTGTGTGAGATGGATTTTTGATGACGGCCTTCTTTGGAGACCAATTGACCGAGGATGGAGTAAAGAAAATGAGAGTCGCAGTGCAACAAGGGGATGAGAAATCAAGACAGAAGAATGAACGAGGTAAAAAAGAGAAAAAGGAGCACCGGGATAAACGATGAAGCGGAAGGGAAACAGTCGGAGGTCTAAATCTGGGGTAGCTCCCATCCGAAGTGGGCTCCTCACCAACGTTCGGGTAGTGGCGGCGGCAGTTGAGTCTCCTACCCGACTGCACGGCAATGGAGGCGGCAATAATTGATTATCAAGCCATCACAGAGAAGAGGGTCATCTGTTCGAGCGTGTCGAATTTGAAATCTGAAATTGTATCCAGTACTGGCACTATTTTCTTTTCAGGGCCAGTTATAGTTCGTTATATATATCGTAAAAGCAGAGTAAAACTCCCCCAACCATGTTTTCGTCATTCCCTCAAGATGAACAAGACGAAAGTCTTGAACAACAAAATGCTATACATTTCCTAAACATCGCATCCACGTCATTAATTCGTAATACATGTCGTAATTATTTGTCCATGTTACTGGTACTGAATCCCGAGTCCTACGCGGCGACCGTTGGCATCCACGCCGGTCCGGGCCTTTTTTGCCGGGCTCCCGTGCTCGCGCCGTGACTTTGCCGCAGCCACCTCGGCATCGGAACCAGATAATCGCCTCTTTTCTGACCGGCTGGAATCTGGTAGTCTGGAGCGGGCCTTGGCAAGGACGGGTTTCACGGGAAGCTGAATCGGACTGCCGTCACGCGAGTCGCCGGAGCTCGCTACGTCGAGGCTCTGACCTGGATGACGGCGGAGGAGGTCGGCGGCAGCTTGACTGGCTTGACTGCTAAAAACATCCGTCTCGTTTGCCACGTCAACCTGGCTGCGCATCGACACGTTGGTGCGCGGATCCGTTGCTCTCAGTGCAGCGGCGGTATTCTCGCTCTCGTCGGCGGAGATGGTGCTCTCGCGGCTCTTGCGACCATACCGTCGGTCTGGCGTGACGGGCTCAAAGTATTTCTGCGTGTACATATATCGGGGTTCAGTCTGTGGCACCAGGTGAGCGGAGGGCAACAGGCCAGAGTGTGCGCCACGGGGGTTGTTGATTGGTGTGGTCGGGAGGGACGACATGGACTGGGCGTTGCGGCTGTGCATGCGGTTTTGGCGAGGGGTAGTGCGCGGCAGCGGAGCAGGCGTCGAGGGAGCACTGTTGTTCTGATTGTCTTGGTTCATAGCCTGGAGAATCATGCTCAGACCGTGCTGGTTCTCGGTGCCGTGCGCACGAGCAGAATTGCGCGCCTGGGGAATATGTGAGCTTTGGCGTGGGGTGAGGGCTCCGTGGAATATGCCGCCGGGGCTGCAGAGCGAATGAAAGTGTTCTCGGTTTTCGCGGATGCGGTTGATGAGTACGTCACGTTCGTCGGCCAAGCTCGTAGTCTCGTCTTCCTTTTGCTGAATGACCTTTTTCGCGGCGCGGACCCGGCGATGCAGGCTGTCAATTTCCTCCTGGGCCGCTTCGTATGATGCCTTCAGGTCCAAGTACTTGGATGTAATGGCGTCTGAGGGAGAGCCAAATTCGCGCTTGGCATGTCTAGAGTGCTCGGCCAAGCAAAGAATATCGACTTGACGGCGAACCATGTCATGCTCGACGGCGGCACGCTTAGACTCCTCGTCGGCCTGCAGGGTCTGCAGCTTCAACTGCAGCTTGTGATGGGCCGTCTCCATCTTGAACTTGTGGTTTTCAGCGATGCACGTTTGCAGCATTTCGCGCAGTTGGTCGGCAGAGGCGTCGCTAATCTGCTCAGCGGTTGGCGGGGAGTAGATGGACGAGATGGGGCGGTCGCGCAGGGCGTTTAGTATCGTGGCGGGCGGGGAGACGGGTGCTGTCAGCTGGGATTGTGAAAAGGTCATGTTCCGTCGGTTGGCGGCGGCAGGGAGCTGCGACGAGGGAGGCGGGGTGAGGGAGGAGGGAATGACCATGGCGGATGGTCTGTCGTCGTTGATCTCGGTCTTGAAGGAGGAGTTGGGATCCATGGGAGAGCCAGGGCCTTCCGTGGAGGGCAGAGTGACCTGTGATAATACATCCTGCACATGATCCATTGGTGTGGTCGGAGCAGGCGGGCTCGTGCGACGTTGTTGCTGACGGTCCGTGGCCGGGCGGGCGGCCATGTTTGTGCGAGGTGAAGCTATTGCGACCAAGTGAAGCAGTAGCGGAGAGGTTTGGTAATTGGTGGCGTAATTCTTTTAGAATGTTGCGATGAAGGAAGGAGAAGAGGCGCCAATATGAAAGATGAGTCGATGTCCCTGACGAAGGGTTGGATGTCTCAGAACGCGATGGCCGGGAGCGAACCGAGAATTATTGTTATTAGCACGGTGCAGCCGAAACCAAACAAACGAGGAGTTGGGAGCAAGTCGTGTGCGCCAAATGTAACGGAGGGGTAGAGAATGGTCACAAAACAGAAGAGCGACCAAAGAGGAGTTGAAAGTTTAATGGCTCGTTCCAATTTTTTTGGGTTAAGAAGGTTGTTGAGGAGAAAAGTTAAACGGGTGGGTGGTGGGATAGAAGTGAAGCGTGAAGCAGTTTGTCGCGGGCGCAGGCGCTGAAGGAGTCGACTTGGGCGCGCGTGCGTGCCCGTTGCTGGGCAGAAATAGAAATGGCCAGAGAACAGGACAACGCTTGAAAAAATTACATGGCGAGGGGGAAAAGCAGGGGAAGCAGGGGGGCAACAGGGGCCAAGGGAAGAGGTTGGTGACAGGTGGTGGCGCTAACTCCAGAGTAGGAGCGCTAGAATCTGCTTGCCGGTGCAGGGACAGGGGTTGATAGGGGTGATTGGGTAATTACCTCTCTGCGCTTGAGCACTCCTTTGGGGTGGTTGGTCGGCTGGATTTTCATCTCAGCATGCGTTTCAACCTGATGAAAAGGAAGAAAAAAACGTCGGATTGTCTAACTTGTACAATTACAGCCAGATGAGTGGCTGTAAGATGCCTACCCAGGTAACTACCTACCTACCTAGGTCGAAGGTAGAAACGGAAGTCCGACACCCACCAAGCTCTCCTGCAACCGACCGACAGTCGATGCAGTTTCGCTTACACCACCACATTTTTTAGGCTTTTATCCAGACGCGTACGACGCATCCGTCCACCATCCATCCCAACGTCAAATGTCCTCTGGTTCATCTTGTTTCATTCTTTTACGCTATGCTAACTACCCCAAATATTACTCGCCATCATTGTCGTATACCACATCCCTGCCTACCATGGGCAACAAACGCTCAATTCTCCTCATAGAACTGCGCTAACTCTTCATCGCCATGTTCTGCCAGCCAGTTCAGCCCTTTGACCCATTCATCATTCACCCGACCCTGCTTGCTCCGAATCTCGACTAGTGCCCGAAATGCCACAGCCTCGCGCGCGTAGAACCCGGCCGCCGTAAACGGAAATACGACGCTCTCGCCTTGGTCCTGCACCGCCTGCCTCTCCACCGCCTCAGCGAACCGATGCCCGCGCTCCCATCTATTCCTAACCGCCTCTAGAGCCTCTCCTTGTCCTGGTATCGCCGCGTCGATGCCCATGGACCGGGGCAGCCGATGCAGCGCGGCCTCTGGCAGAGCCACGACCGAGCCCCAGTCCAGGACGGTCAGAATGTTAAACTCGGCGTCCACCAGCACCTTGTTCAGATCCAGGCCGTAATTCGCCAGCCCAAAGCCCCCTCGACTTTCTTCTTCTTCTTCCTCGTCCGTCTCGGAAGCAAACGATGCTGCTGCCACCCTTGCAAACCCATGCAGCACCGCCACCTGTCCGTCCACGGCTGCCGAGCCGTTGGCAGGCCGCCTTGCCAGCCGCTGGGGAAAGTCGCGGTAAAACGCCGCAGCCGAACCGTACGGCCCCGATAGAGTCTCGGCGATGGGGCCCGTCGCGAAGGCCCCCAGGTTGCTGCTCTCTCTGTAGATGGATCCAATCTTTGGGAGCCGTACAGCCGCCAAACGCGCCATGATGCCCGCCAGCTGCCCCCAAAACTTGTCTCGGAATTGCGGCGGGATGCTGCCCTCGTCGGCACCAGGGCTATACAATCTAGACACGGCTTCCGCAGTGCTTCCAGGGATGTACTCCAAAAGCACAAACACGGACCCAACCCGGTTGTCAATATCAAGATTGAAGCCGTGCACCTCGGGTACCCGAATATCTGTGTTTTGTCTGCCATCCGCGTTAATGCCTCGCATGCACCCACCTCACTTCACCAACCGAGTCAAGATGCGTACCGGACAAATGCCATCGTTGCGAGCTCGGAACTCAACGCTATGCTGAGGGCGTGGGAGCTCGGCTCCTTGTCGCCCCAAATCGGTGGCATCCGCAGTCGGGCCACCCACTCCACGCCGTCCTCGAAGCGCAGCTTGCGCACCATGTGGTGGCGGCCGACCGTAAATTCGGCAGACATGTCGCAATAGATGCCCTGGCGCAGGTTCGAGGCGTACTCGCACAGCGCGTCCTCGCGCGTGTACTTGAGGAACTGCACGATACGCTCCGCGTACTCGTCGGTGTATTCCTTTGCGCCCGTCCACGCGGCGCTCCCCACGATGATTGCGCTTCTCATCTTGAACTCGAACGTGGGATTTCTCTACCTACCGTTTAGCTGGGATTGGCCGGAGAGCATGGAAAGTGGCAGTTTGGATCTCGTGTTGGGAGCCCTTTTGCAGCTCGTGCCCGCCCGCCTTTTCGGCGCCACCAATGCATTCACACCCTTGACTCCTGGGCCATGCGAACCAATCAAGGCGACCGCACCTTTTTTTGGCTACCCATCGCCAATAAATAGACACCCGCCCGTAACTCAATGTCTCGTAAATGTTTGCCTTTCCGATCCGAGCCCATCGCTGCCCGTAAGCTTGGCACTGAGGTGCCACCTAAACCGTAGATTGTGATGGCGAATGTGGCAGGAATGCGGCAACTTGGGGGATCTGTAGTCTATATCGAGGTGTGCTAGACTATTCAAGCGTTGTTTTTTGTTCCTCTTCATAAGCCTAGCAGACAAGAAATGCCCAACTGCACGGCCGGGCAGATGTGGCTCTTTCCGCCAACCTCACTCAGCCTGACGCTCCCACTGCAACTACAGCGTCCTTCAGGACCACGCCGCGCCACAAGTTTACAGCGTAGTTCTTTCTTGTTGCGCCTTGGAAACAAAACAACTTAGACTATATGGGCCTACTATTTTCGTCCTACGGTTCATCGTGCGCCTCGTCCCAAGCATCACCAGGCCTTCCCTGCCGCGGGGGTTTCGGACTGCCGTCACACATCTCACCGTGACACCACCTCCCTGACACGTCAGCGAGCCGCTGACAGCTGTGCTGTGCAATGTAGCACCGGCCGGGCGTTGTCACGGACCGCAGTAGAATGAATGTGGCTACCCGTCTTGCCGAATACGTGTAACACGATCTGCGGATTTCACCGAGGACTTCCTGGGTCCGTATACGGTTGTTCGCAGCTTGGCGTGGACGACAAAGAGGAATGGGAGAATGACCATTTTATGGTACATGAGCAAAGAATTTAGCGGGGAGCTGTATTGTTCTTCGTTCGAAGGGGTGACACAACCGACGGCAACTACGGCAAAGCGAATCGTTGCGGCCAAGATTATATATTTGTATCTATACACCGTCTATAGCATATTGCAACACAAATGGCACGTCAGTCTATCAGAGAACGCCGATTACACCTCTAGGAAAGCCCAAAATAAAGCACCCCAGCTCAGAACCCGGACAAACAGAATTATGTTCTTTGTGGAGGGAGCAGACCTGATTCGTTCGCTGCGGTAGCTAAAATCATGGTCAGATAGAAAAACACACAACTCTTTCTTCTGTCCGTACACATACCAGGACAAAAAATAGGCTGATGTTTTATTAGCCAGAACAGGATTTTCAAACAGTCACGCGACCTTCGCCTGCGCTCTTGATGCTGTCCTCGTCCGTGTCCTCGGTCCTCTTGCGGTCTCTCCTTTTGGCCACCACCTTGGCCACCCTGCGGACCACCTTGCTCACCAGCAATCCGAGCAAGATGACCGGCCAAAAGAGCAGCACCGCCAGCCACCAGGACGCCACCAGCGCCTTGTCGCGGCGCGTGCCCGCCGAGTCCAGGTACCACTCGGGCACCCACCGTCCCGCGCGGCCGCGGCCGTTGATGCACAGGATGCAGCCCGCGCCAAACATCACCCAGCCGGCCACCGTGATGGGGATCAGCAAGCGGAGAGGGCCGAGGCCGCTGTCGCCGGCCAGAGCGGCGCTGGTGCCATTGAGGTCGTCGGGAGACGCGTTAAAGACTTGCCCGGTGAGCTCGTCGCGCCAGGCAGCGGGCGGTGTAAAAGTAGGGGTTGCGGCGGCCGTGGCCGGTGTTGCAGCGGGGAGAGCCCTGTTGGAAAGGTACATGGCGGAATCGGGGAGGATGGTAGTCCGCAAGGTTCGTCTGTGTCTGTGTCTGGGGTTTGTCTGATGTGGTTGAGCTGCGAACAGACAGAGAGCGTCAAAGTTCCGATAGTGTAGTTGATAATAGAACAAATACTTTGACTGCAATACCCATGGCCCTTTATATATGCGTGAAAAAACATTAGGAAGAAAAAAGGTTTGCAACATGGCCTCGAGTCTGGCCCAGAGGCGGCGCGGTAACGGCGTGAGTGGCGGCTCCTGCCAAACTTTGCAGTTTCTCGTGGCCACTTGCCTGCATTCTGTAGAAGAAGGTTTGCGAAAAAGAAAACCATAATTATTAATTCTACATATATTCTCAGGCGCTTTTTTGGGGGGTGTGCGCCATGCCAACCTACATCACCTGCTTGACTCCATCACCATGAGGTGGTGCACGTGTTCTTGCAATATTTTCCTGGCGCCGGCTTATCATCTAGTCGTCATCACCATTTTGCTCTTGCCAGCGTTCCATTTCTTCTTCAGGAACACGGCCACGTAGCCAGTGCAGCGTTGCATGTGTTCCTTGCTCCAGAATATTCCACCTAGGTACTTTGAATCTGTTGGCAGAGACATCAAGACGCTCAAGACCGCCAACGCCTCCAAGAAGACCTATCCTGGGGTCTAGTTGGCCAATTTCATTGTTGGCAACTTCCACAATTTTCAAGCCTTTGATCGAGTCTGGTAAAAGGTCTGCGATTTGATTGTTGCTGGCAAGCAATATGCGTAGACGTGGGAACTTGTCTAAAAGGCCCCGAGGCAGACTCGTCAGGCGGTTGGTCGAAATATCGAGGGTCTCAAGAGAGGGCGCATCAAGGTACTCCAGCAAAGGTTCTAGAGACGTAATCCTGTTTGCAGCCAAGTTGAGCTCCTTCAAAGCAAGTAGCTCAAGAGGTTGCTGCAAATAAGTGGCTCCAGCAAGCTGGTTATTTGCTAGTGAGAGCGATGTGAGGCTTCTCGCAACAATGACCAGGTTGTCGGGAAAGGAAGAAAAGAGATTGTGGTGAAGAAGTAGCTGTCTCACCGGTTGCCTGTCATTAGCACCGGCGCACTTGACGGCATCTAGCACGGAGCTGCCCGTGCGAGACCGGTCGAGAACTCCGCCAGCTTTGACTTGCCAATCCTCAAGCACAGGCATATGGATTTGCGTCTGAACGCTGTCCATGGTTTGAGAGCGAGATCGTGATGGCGAGTGGGGACGCGATGTTGGCGGCGTCGTAAAATGGTCTTCGGCGTCAGACTTCACCTCATCGTCAGCAAAATGCTCGGCGGTCTGAAATTTGCCAGCTCCTACCCGCTTTCCCATGATTCCGACTATATTCTCGCCCTGTTCCTGATAAGGAGGTGGTGGCTCCAATCTTCCAGCAAGAATTTCTTTCAGCTCATCAGTCGTGGCAGTGACAAACTTCTTGTCACGAAGTGGATTACCGCTAAGTCGAATCATGGACAGGCTATCCATTCGCGAAAGCTCCGGCGGCACCACGCGGATATCGTTGCCGGAAAAGTCGACCTGTTTCAGCTTCGTGAGGCTCATGAAGCTTTCCGGAATGGCTTCAATACCATTCTCATCGAGAGTCAAAGTGAGCAAGCTTGACCAGGACGACATGTCTGGCAGCTCTTGCAGCCTGTTCATTGACGCCGACAGCGTATGTAAAGCAGGAAAGCTGATGTGTGTAGTAGATGGCATCAGGTATTTGATTTGATTGCATGATACATCTAGCGTCTGTAGTGTTCGCATTGACTCGATGGGGTCCTCAATTAGAGTGCCAGTCAGCTTGTTCTTACGGAGAACGAGTTGGCTTAGAGGCAGGTCGGCGAGATCGGCAAACGAAATGGACTCGAAGCTGTTTTCGCCCAGTTCCAAGATCCGAAGACGGCTCATTTTGTGCATGTCTTCCGGAAGACTCGATAGCTTGTTGTCGTGCAAATCCAGCAGTTCTAGTCCATCAAGTAGAGAAATGGCGGCATTCAACGGACCGGAAAGGTTATTGCTCGCGAGCTTCAAGTCTCTGAGAGCCGTCATCTGTGACAGAATTTGAAGACAGTTGTTGTCAAGATTGTTTTTGGACTATTCTTGTAAGCAATATGTCTCCACGCGCGGGCGATTGGACATACCAGATTGAGAGATGTCAGTTGACTAAGGCGTCGAAATCCAATAGGCACCGCTGCAAGTTTATTACCGTGGAAGTCCATGGTTTCCAAACCTCCAAATATATTTGGCGGGGCATCATCATCATTGTCCACGTCGAACTCATCGGGTATCGTGTCAGGAAACAGAATATCGTCCAGGCTCTCGAATTGATTATCAGCAGCAACGAGACGAGTCAAATCAACACTCTCTGCCCAACTGCCACCGCCGGACATGGAATCCAGGTTGTACATGTTGAGGACCTCGACGGGCATCTCTTTGAGACCCAAAGCGGCAATGTTCAGACGGCCGCTGGTTCGGCCGGTAGAGATGCGCTGTTGGAGCACCTTGACGCCGGCAGGTTCGGCCTTGGTCTGCCCAAAGGGATCAGGGTTGTCTTCCATGGCCGAGTTCCTGCCGCCACCCAAAGAGATGGGTGCAAAATGTGACTTGGAGGGCGATTCTATCTTTGAAGCTTTTTCCGGCTTCGAAGACGATTCTAGCTTTGCAGAGGCTTTCCTAGCGGCCTTTGCTTTTGATATTTGATCCCGGAGCGCAGCAGACGATTTCCTATGTGCAAGACCTGGACGATCTTCAGAGGCAGCAGCAACGCGGGTTTTGGCGAGCGACGGGGGCGCGATGGAACCATCCCAATTCTGGTCTTCTGCTTCGGAAGGAGGTGCATTTCGACTGGCTGCCGGTAAAGCTGGCTTTTTGAATAGGCCATTAGAAGATGGCTTGGACTTGAGGGATTTTGCAGGCGCAGGTCGCGACTTGAGTGGCGTGTGCGTGGGTTGCTTGTCGGGGCTTGGGCTCCTCGCAGGCCAGGCTTTGGAGGCCGATGTCAGCGAAGGTTTTTTACCAATACGCGAGTTTGGTGTCTTAGTTAGCAGCCTGTCTCTTGCTCTCTCAGGAGTGCCGTCAATGGTGGACAGAGCAGATCTATATGCTGCACCGTATCCGTCATTGTCAGCTCTGGAACCTGGGCGGCTCGACGACCTCGAGTGTGGGCGCCCGGAACCATCAGAGTTATAGCTAGAGCCAGGTCTAGAGCCGATACTGCCTGATCGTGAGCGAGGTCGGGCATGGTCGAAGAATGACGAAGTCTTTCGGTTGACCGCTGGTGAAGAAGCAAGGGTCTCCATTGTGCGTTCAGACAACGACGGCCGAGGCTTCCTGGATTGGGTATTAGGTGTTTGGAGGTGTTTGGGGATTTCTGTAGGGATATCGGGTATATAATCTTCAATCGGGGAGGCGTCATCATCCGGAAGTAGGCCGGCAAGGCTGGCCCGTCGACTGCCTGCAAGCTCGTAACAATCGCGGTCGGCCACCGTAGAAGCCCTGCTGGGAATTCGGTCGACGAAGAGGCTCGTACGTCTCTGAGAAGTTGAAGCGACTCTGTTGCCAGGAGGTCGCTGCGCTATCGGGCGACTGACGCTGGCCGGACGGAGCTGCTCCCGAGAGCTCGCTGGTCTCAAAGTGGTGCCCCCAAGCGACTTGCGCACCTTGGGATTGTGAAGCTCATGGGTGCCGGCCGGACCCGGCGGCGGCGCCATGGGAAGCCGGGCTGGAGAGGCAGTCGGAGCATTCGGAAGGGCAGTCGATAAGGTCGGACGGGGAATGCCAGATGAACGAGGGACTGGCAAGCGAGAAGCCCGTGTGCTGCCTGGTCGTTGCGTTGGACCGTCCATGTTGGGGACGCGTCCGAGTGTGGAGATCCGCAGCAAGTCAGAATCCCTTTTCTTGTCAATTCCAAGAGACGAAAAGGCGGCAATAGCAAAAAAAGACTGGCCAAATTCACGGCACGGGGAAGGAGAGGAGGAGATGTTCGAAATGTTACGTGTTGGCAGGGAAGCTTATGCAAAGTACCCCGCACAATGTAAACAAAGGAGCGTGTAAGTTGTTGCCGCTTGAAAAGAGGTGACGACGCGATTTTTTTTTAGTCTCGGTGCAACAAACGAAGAAGATGCAATTCAGACAGAACTTTGCAAAGTTTGTAGCCTTTTTAGAAGTTGAGTCTCCTGATGGACATATTACAGCTGCAATTTAGCTTGCCGACAGGGGTGCATCCGGACGGAACAGGATGACTTCAGGGGTAGATGTGATGGTGGAGTATCAATTTGGCACTTATTTACACTGGTAATAGTGAATGAAATAAGTAGGTAGTTATGCCAAGCTCGCTGCGGCCTATTCCTGTCGCTGCCCCCAAGACCGTGCAAAAACAGACAAGTCGTGTAACTTGTTAGCAAGGGCACACGCCTTCTTCAATGTGACGCTCGCATAGCATCTCACATCGACGTCAAAGGGGATTCGTTAACTAGCTAGCCCTGCGACTTATCCGCATGGTTCGCCGACTCGTCGTTGAAAGATATTGCCAATTTAAAATTGCCCCTTCTTTTCGGCAAGCAACCAATAACAGACTTGTACTTATTACCGAGTGAATACAAAGACGAATGGTGGAATAACTAATAAGCGATAACTAATCTTCGATGTTTTTGATAACCATCCTGACTTTTTTGTCGCCATCCCCCAATCTCTACATTATTAATAGATCGCGGCCCGCAAAGGCGACCAACGAGGACAATAACAACCACGTTTGCCACTGAGAGAAGGCCAATTTGATGGTAACCTTGGATGGATTATATGGGAAACATCGGCCAGCATGTCCCACAAAACTACAGAGGATGTGATGGATCGTGCGGCGGAAACATGATGGAAGAAGACATATATGCAGCATATTTAAATATAACAACGAGTCGTCGTCATGCGCCGTAATAAGTATGAGAATGTATTGTCCAAACACCCTCGCAAGGGTAGCACGCCTTGCCACGTCGACGTGATTCTGTCGCCTCTCGAGGCTGTGCCCTCCAGATGCTTCTTCCGCGCGGGGCCGAGCAAGTTGACGAGCCTATTTCTATTATGCAGCCTATTTCTATTCTGCAAAAAAAAAAAAAATACCGTTGAAGTAGGCACCACTTACTAATACTCTGACTTGGTCTCACAAAATGCACTGCCTCTGCTTCAGCTGCTGCCTGGGGCAGGCAGAGAGCGATGTCATGTATCATCTCCCGCCTTGTGTTACTAGCAGCCCATCACAAGGCAGCCTCACTGTAAGCCAACTTGCAATACCGTCCTCAGCGAAAGAGTAGCCGCTTCCAGATCTACGAGATCTGAGAAAATGTGCTCAAAACCCCCCCTAACATGCCCGATAACAGCACCTAGGCCTCTACGACGAGGCAAAGACTGCCGCCTTTCTGTAGTACTTGTCACATCTGCTTTGCCTCCTGCACCATGACCGGTGTGTTCGGGCTTACCCATTCTGAAATTTACATCTACACTCGGACATACCCGTTCCAAAACCATCTGTGTGTAGTCCAGTAAGTAAGGAACCTGCTGCATGACTCTGTGAACCGTGAACCGTTTACAGCCCGATTCATCACCTGCAGCGTGTCAACAGAGATCTGCATCCAGGCCGGGTGGCATGTTTGGACTCTCATGTAGAGTCTTAACCGTGCAACTGAGTGGATCAATAGTGTAGGGGGGACCGTGGTTGAGTTCGGCGAAGCTGCCTATGGTGTACGACAAGTCTTTGCCACGTTCTCGCTGCTCTCGCGGCTCTTAGTCTCCGTATACACTCATGAGTTAAAATTGACATACGACGAAAGCCAAAGCTTTGAGAAGCACACACCTATCATTAGCAGGTTGTCCCCTGCCCGATTATACACGTCGGAAACTTCGTAGTGATGCGTGCAGCATGCAGCATGCTCAAACAATTCCTACGTAGGCTACCAAATGGGACGCTTGGTACAAGGCAGAACATATTGGTCAATTTCACAACGATAGGTGAGGTAGATGTGGCAGAGACTGGTTGTGTTGATGCCTCTTGTACTCCTCGACAAGGCTTCAGCCAAGTGCTACAGCTCCCTCAGACTGGCTTAAACGCCGTGGTCATCCAGATACATATAAGGCCACAGTCTATAATGAAGACTTTCTGTATACACACACAATATAATCCATCTACAGAGCAAACCATTATAGAATAATGGCCCCCCCAGCCGCATGCATGCACTGTCAGTGTATTATGCCCAGCACCGCCGCGGTGAATTGTCTCCAGTGCGAATTCCATCCATGGACTATGTGCGACAGCGAGGATTGTGCGAAGCTTCCACCTGTTAAGCACAGCCCAAAGTAAGTACCTACAGGCCTGCGAGTACAGTTGGTACTGTCCAGTGGCTAAGTGTTGACAGGAAAGACGATGAACGGAGAACGAAGCCCGATGATGATGATGCAGATGAGACATAATGAGATACGCAGGGATTACACTCTACTTATTTCCTACCTTTTTATTTAGCAAATGAGAAGAATCCCTTGTCTCTCTTTTGGGCGCAGCTTATCAAACTCGACTTTTCCTCGCGACTATCTTGCTTCCATAGCGGTAGTTCCCACTCCGGGGGGAAGAAGCCAGCCGTCTCCCAATCAATAATGGCCATAATTTTATACGTCTGCGGATGAACCAAGATATTTTGACGGTCGAGATCAGTGTGGCAAAACGAGTAGTCGCCCTCCACCGACGGCCACACGCGGGTGTCCTTTGCCTTCCAGAATCGGTGGGGTGGGATGATGGGCATGTCCGTGTCTGGACCTCCCATGCGCCGTGAGCGTAGATTGCGCAGCTGCGGCAAGACTTCAGCCTCTAGCTGCGCGGTGACCGCAGCGACAGCAGCGTCGATCCTGGACGCTGGGATATCGCAGAGCTCGACTGCTCCGTCAACCCAAGCCGTTTTAAGAGAGACGAGGCCATCTAACGTTTGCAGATCCAGGACTTCTGGGACCGGAATCGTTGTGTTAGCACGTAGAAATCGCAGCACGGCTGCTTCGTTTCTCAGTCGATCTGCAATGTAGGGGTTCACGGCTGGGTTGCCGTAGATGTCGTTTCCGAGCTCGGTCGAGTGTGGCTGCCGCTTGATCATGGCGCTCTCAGTCACGTAGTATGATATTGACCTCCCTATATACTGCGACCTGATGCTTCCGTCGGAGGCGGAAAGGGTTGGGGGAAAGTTGTCCACGCGTGGTTCGGCGGCCTGACACACCGCATGCACAGCACGGAGTGCATCGATGTGGCTAGGCATCTCCTGGGAGGGCGGTTAACGGACGTTTTCTGGACTGAGCACGATTCTGGCTTGCCTCTTCTGGTTGCTCTTGTGTTGCCGCCCGTGCGGGGCCGTCGTCAATCGCTGAAGATGGCTCCATGATGGAAGTCGTGATGTGAAGGGGGAAGGATCGCAAGTGCGAGCAAGTGTCGAGAGGAAAGCAGAAGGCTACAACATGTGCTTTAGCTGCATATAGCGGAATCTCTGTTTTTCCGATGCTCTACCTCTCGTCAAGATCAAAGTCTAAACACTGTTGGAAATAGAGACACAAGTCTACAATACAAGGGCAAGTAGCTGGCAGCCCCGTCCTTTTCAGCCCTTCTCCCATCTCACAAGAATCTCCTGCACAGAGTCGTACACTGCTTTCCTCGCATCTTCACGGCTCGTTTTGTCGGCGAAGAGCCCATCATAAGCCGTGTGCATATGTCGTACATGCGCCACCACCGCCAGCCGCACCTTGTCCTCCATGTCCAACTTGGACGTCCTACCTACCCTGCCGCTGTGTTTCTTCAGTGCGCGCTGCAGCACCCTGTCCACGTCCGCAGAGGGCATTCCGGGGTACTTGTTCCGCAGCGCTGTTTCAAAGGCGCTCCGTGTAGTCTCGTCGCGGGCCGTAACCACGGCTCGTCGCGTGGCACGCGTTTGGCGCTCCTCCTCGTAGACCTCGTTGATGATGTGCCTAGGCGCGCGCAGACCCAGGATCCTAGACCCGGCCCGCACGACATAAAGCGTCTTGCCCGCCTCGGTGGTCTTCCGACGGCATAGGGCCGTCATGAAAGCGTAGCCTTTGCGCAGAAGCTTGTAGCCCTTGGGCATCGGCGCGCTTGGGGAGACGGTGATTTCGGTAAAGACCATTTTTGCTGGTGGGCGTCAAGAGCGGCTTGACAACCACCGCCGACGATGATGGTAATATTGAGATTCGCATAGCCGCATCGGTGCTTTTGTGTGATTTTGGCACAATACGGGATTATGAGCTGTACCGTACTCTAAACAAGGCAGAGTAGAGTCTTGAGCGGACAGCTGGCTACCCGGTCACTGAAGCTGCAGTGGGGCCGCCTTCTGTGTAATTACAGTGGTTGCTACGAATTTCTCACACACCATTTCTTCTCCTGCAAACATACTCTTTGAGAATCGAACAAATGTTAAATACAGTCAGTCACTATTGGTTGACAAACAAAATCGCCGACAATTTACGGCACAAAAACCTCACCGCGTCTGTCCATTAAGTGCGTCCACCATCGCCAATCAAAACGCCCAAACAAAGCGCCCTGATGGCAATGTCCTACACCCTCATCAGACCGCAAGCAACTGCACGATCAGCCGACTTGTGTCATTCGCGCGCCTAGTCTTGTTCAATCACATTCCCAGCGCTTTGAAACTAACTGAATGCCTTCCATCCCTGTAGAAACAAGCTGGACGGCTCATAACCCACCAGCTGCTCGACTCCCACTTCTGCCAGTGACATGCCGTACCATCCGCAGTCTGCAAACAGATCAGCCTGGCCTGCGAAGGAGACATTCGGCAGCACTTCCTCCAGATTCCCATCGAGCGCTTGCTCATTACTGGCCGGACGTGTAGCGGAGTCGCCGCTACTCTCTGTATATGCTCCGGGGCCCCTGCCTTCGTCGTTGCCGTTCGCCGACCGACCGGTCCCATCCGTTGTTTGTGGCACGCCCCGGTCTTTACTTCTCAGCGAGGCTGGACCTGACGAGGCGTTAGCAGTTTACACTATCAGCGGGGTAGCCCCTATGTACATACGGTCTCGCAAGTTTGTAGGATCGGATGACCTCGAGAGGTAGGGCTGCAACGCAGAGCTGAGGACTTCCCACTGTATTGTACAAGTTAATAAGGGGCGCACGAGCTCGCGAGACGCACTGTCAGAAAGCTACTTACCGGTTGCTGCAATGCTCTCCAAGAGTTTCTCAAAATGTCCAAAACTCTGACTATGTCCTGGACCGCAAGTAGCCTGTCGTTGGCTTCATCGGCGTCGGCAGTTGCCTCAGTCGCAACTTGATTGCGCCGAGCAGCGTCCGTGGAAAGAAACACCATTCCCACTACAAATGCGCCGTAGCCCAGAAGCGGAGGCAAACGCGATACGTCCTCGTCGCCATGAAGATACGGCGTCAATAGTTGCTTATATAGATCGGCGTGCTTCAGAACCGTTTCTGCGGCCAGAATCTGTGCCTGACGGTGGTTGTCAAGGTTGCGATCCGCGGGGATCCCGGAGAAGAGCGGAACAACCAGTGAGTGCAAAACGATCTGGCATTGGTGGTAAATGGCGTCATGAAACATGTATATATTCTGGACCTCCATCGTGGAATCATCTTGATAGGCTGAGCTCCTGGCGGAAGTAGCGTCGTGAAACAGGACTGTTGCCAAGTGTGAAAAGTGATGGACAGATGTCAGCTCGCCAGTGGTAATCGACGACGGGCGGTCTTTGCAGAGAAGCTGAACTTTTGCCCTAGAGCAGATTTGTTAGCGATTCGTAATAGTTTGCTCTGTCCAACAGACCCTTCGTACCAAACGCCAATCATTTTGATCAGGGAACCGCTTGCGGTAGCAGGGCGAGTTTCGGCCTCGGAAGGTCGAAGCTGTACCGAAATAGCGTGCCAGTACTTATCCATAGTCTGGTTATAAGTTACTCTCCAGCCTTGGGAGCTCGAGGCAATGGAGCCTGGGAGCGGTAGCATGGCAGCCTCCTTCCACGCCGATTCGACGTATGGCTCAGGCTCCATCACAATACAGGTAGAGATCCAGCAAGCCCAGAAACACCGGCGACCAAGTTCAACTTCGAGGGTTTCGCCGGAGATGTCTATCTCACGAGGAAGCCTTTTGTCGAAGCCAAGGACCTGTGATGCTCGATAGGCGAGAGCTGCCGCCTTGTCAGCTCCAGGTCTGGGACCCAGATTCCAACGAGACTTGAGGAGTTGGGATTCGAACGCTCCACGACTTACCAATACACAAGTCTCCCGAGTGAGGTTGCCCGACGCCAAACCAATACAGCTGTACGCACTGCAATGCTTGGACGACCATGAGAGATGGGGACTGCATGACCAGCTGCATGGCTTCGGTCAGGGCAGCTTTGGCCCACGGAAGTCCCGAGGATTGATACACACTTAGTATCGCAAGTTCTTCATTGGAAGTGGTTCTCGATCTGTTCTCGTCGCTCCTCGGATGAAGGAAACTAGAGAGTTATGTTAGTGCAACATGAACATGGCGTCATGGACGGAGGGACGCAGCATACAGAGTAGCCATGGCAAACAATGCTCGCAGTAGAGCTCGGTGGATTGTGCCCTCAATATACTGTTGGAAGAGGAGAGGCTTGTGGAATAGAATTGACGCATTGTATATACGTGCAAAGTATATTTCCAGCAAGGCAAGACCAAGCGAGGTCGGCGGCAACGGAGGCGGTTGGCCAGCTTCGAGGGCAGACTCGTTTGGGAGCGAAGTTGACTTGCGCAGCTGATTTTGATAGGACTGAGGCACAGCCAGTCAGAAAAATGTGGCAATGAGATACCTTGCCTCTTTCTGCTAGTGGCACTTACACCGGAGAGCACAGGATATTCCGTCACCATGCTCGTGGATGCGTAGCCCACGACATTACCAGTGGCAGCAGCATGCTCTACAGGGTACTGCCTCTGAACAGGTGACCTGGAAATGTCAGATGACAGAAGAGCAGGACGTTCGCCTGCCGCCGGTTCCCCCGAGCCTCCCGTCTCTGGGGGCTCGGACACCAGGGCCGGGTGCTGGCCGGCACCGGTACCCTCACCGGTGTCTTCGGTCCGCGCACGCAGCGGCCGCCGCTTGCGCTTACCCCGCGGGCCGCGGCGATCCGGCGGCGCGGGATAGCTGCAGTCGGCGCCGAGTCGACGGCACCGGCTGCACGTAGGACGGCCACGATCGCACTTGAGCTTTGCGGGGAAAAAACCATGTCCTCTTAGTAAAAGCTTGCTCCGACGGAAAAGGGCTGCACGGGTGGGAATGGCCCATACCTTTTGCAGGCGACAGCGCAAACAGGCTGTCAGTCCTTCTTTGTCGCTGTTAGGCTGCATGATTGTCATGGGGGGTCGCTGTTGAAAGTACGTTCGGGCCGAATCGGAGCGGCTCACGTGCAGGTCCCGAAATTAAAAGTCCGAATCGGGCCGCTGACGACTTGCCACTCCATCGCCGCGACAGTATAAAATTAAGCTAAAAAATAATAATTTAATACTAATGACGCAGTGTTGGCTGTTCAAGCTCGCAATCAATAAGCGAAATGGACTTGGAATATGGGTTTGGGGGCTAGTGGCCTGCTGCCTGGCGACAAGGAGGGAATGAAATGCCACAATGTTCTGGTGATACACTTCTGGATTTTTTGATGTATCGAGAGATGTGATCGCTTCTGAATAAAATTGAAAACAAAAGCAGCCTTGCAGTACCGCCGTTGGTTCGCAGCTGACCTCATAAATACTTACAAGAGCTCTGCAACCGCCCCTTGGAGTTGCGGATCTGTAACTACAACATGAATCATGGCCACATGACCAATTCACTCTACCCATACTCTTTGACTTCTTTGGCATTTGAATTGACGTGTCCGATGCTGTACAATATTATCTCGCGTACAAACAAACACTCAAAGCAGCCTTCACCATTCCCTTACTTCAGCTCCAGCGCCGTCGCATCCACCCTGATCTCGATCCGATCCGACTCGTACGAGCCCTGATACGTATTCGGCCTCGCGGGGATGTGTTCCAAAAACTCCCCCGTAATCTCGCTCTTGGGCATCGCCATGACCGCGCGCCACGGGCCCCTGATCCGCACAAAGAACCTGTCCCCCAGCTTGCCGTACGGCACATTGTCCGGTCGGAGCGAAAGGGGCTCCGAGACGAGCGTGCCGCCGCCACCGGGCACCTCGTGCACAAAGTCGACCAGGGGCGGCCACAGGCGGCGCAGCTTGACGATGCCCTCCGTGGCCACGGGCGCGGCGCCGGGGGGCGCGCCGGGCGTCAGCTCGACCAGGCCGAGCGGCACGGCGAGCGCGTCCACCGGCGCGTCGTAGTCGAGAAAGGAGACGGCAAACGGGTTGTTGTTGGTGATGGTGGCGCGCAGCGCCGGCGGGTCGGCGCCGGGCACCTGCGCCAGCGTGACGCGGAGATTGGCAATGGGGTCTCCGGAGGGCGGCGCGGTCATTTCGGCGATGCGGCTCGTGAGCGCGGGCGACGAGGGGACAAAGTAGACGAGGAGCGTGATGATGGCGACAAGACCGAGAACGAGGCGGGCAAGACTGTGTGGCCGCGGAGAGGGCATTGGGTGCAGGATGCAAGCTGTCGCTGGTTACGAGGAGCAAAGGTCGTAACTTCTATGAGATGACATGAGATGATGACGACAATCAGGTTTGAGGAAACAAAAAAGAGACGACGCCGGCCGACAAGGAGCTTCTGGAGACATCATCCGAACCAGCTGCCTGAAATAGCAAGAGCCGTTTCAGGCAAAGTCGTTTCATCAGCGGGGAAGGCTAGAATACGACTAGAATATACGTGGTTGCTTGCCACTCCGCGCTGGCGGCGGGCCTCTCACGACATGTATCGAGGTGATAAGCCTGGAACATACCGCTGCTTCCTTTCTAAAGCCCAAGGACCAGAGCCTTGCTGGAAAGCAAGTCTCCCCTAGTTGGGATGTCGAAAGTTCGCGAGTTTCGTCACCATCCAAAGAACTTGCGGATCATCGTGGGTCCATCGTCTCAAAGCTAGCGACCTTCCTTGTTAGGAAGTACAGGCGACACCGCCAAGGAAGCGGCGAGTTTATGCAAAGCAAGACTACCGAGTCATTTATTTCTAGCGTAATGCTCAATATACCTCTTTCTGTAGTGTTCCAATCTCTATACGCTGAGACATTGCCCGCACATGACTGGTCCCTTGAGTCTGGTAGTTTTGTTGTAATTCATAAGTCATTCCAGTGTCTGCAGTAAAAACAATAAAACATCAGGTATCCAAAACAATCCCAAACATCAAATAGTAGCTCTTCGTTAACAAATTTCAGTCCTATATAGCCTGTGTTCGCCCAATGATTCGCATCGCTGCCCCGTTCTATCTCTCTCAAGTGAGGCTGGTCAACATGGCGCGTAGGAGGCCAGGATGTGCTGGAAGATAACCAAAGTCAGCGGCCGCTCCGATGACAATGAAGTTCTGATAAAACAAAAGAATGATAAAATGTAGTCTCGGCGAGTATCGTGGAGCCGAATCTACCGGTAGGCTGGCAGGCTAAGGGTGATCCTACCTTTCTTGTCCTTTTCGAGTCTCGCTGGCTTGGGGTGGCTGCTGATGCGATCGACGCGCTCTTCATATACGACCAGTTGGCCGTCTTCCACGCGCTCGGTGCGGATGATATCCCACTCATCCTCATCGCGGTGGTGGTGGTGATGGTGTCTTTGCGAACCTTCGTACTCTCGTTCAAGGGCGCGAATTTCGGCACGAATGTCGCCTCGTGCTCGGGAGCGAGAGCGGGAGCGGGCTCGGACAAGAGGGCCGACTACCAGGGTCTCCTCTTCATAGTCGCCCTTGAGGTAGCGAGGATAGTCGTCGCGGATGACTGTCTTGTCGACAACCTCGACAGTGGCACGGCGTGGAGAGCGTGGGTGGGCATCGATAATGATTGGTGCGCTCGAGGCGGGCGCGGGGGCTGGAGGAGCGGGGGCATAAGTATAAACCGGTGCGGGCGGAGTGGGAGCCTGGATATAGATTGGCTGCGGCGGCGGTGGGGGAGTAATGATGACTTCTTGCTTGATCTCGTCATGGTGTGGCCGATGGCGCTCCTCACGACGCTCCTCGATGATGCCGCCAGCAGCCGATTTTGGTGGTGCTGGCACAGTGATTGGCACAGAGGCTACAGGACTTAGCCCAGTTCAGGGTGAGATAAGGCGTTAACGACTCACCTTTTGAGTATTCCTCGCTCAGTCTGAGGAGTTCATCGATGTGCTCCTGTCCAAGGGCTTTTTGAATAATGATTAAATTTCCCTGTCTTGGTCAGTATTTGTAGCCGTGACAATTTGGGTAATGCACATACCTCTTCAACATAAGGATATCCTAGGTCGATAATAATCTTTTTCTCGACGAGGGTGCTGGGAATGCGAGTCTTGCCCTTTTTGGGGTACTCTTGGCGTACGCTCGCTCCACCGCTGCGGCTGTGACTGGAGATACTTCTGCTGCGCGACCTCGAATGGCTGCGATGGCTGCGGCTCGCACGCGACCCTGCAGGGCTGCGGTCGCGCTCGATGGTGCGCTCACGGACCACCTCACGAAGGTGATCCGGGCGCTCTGAGCGTGGCGCGGGAGGGTACAGTTCGTCGCGATATGGGTCACGGGCGGGTTCACGGTAGGAATCGCGATAGGTATCACGCTCGTCATACTCGTATCTGGACCTGGCGGGAGGGGGAGGGGAGTGGCGGATGAGAGGGCCAGGCTCAGGGCGACGGTCAAAGATGTCACTCCTGGGACGGCGGGTTTCGAGGTCTCTCTCATCCAGAGCGACCTGACGCTCAAAGTCGCGAGCCAGATGGTCAGCGTAGCGGGGTTCCTCGTAGACCGGGCGGCGGCGGTCGAAGTCGACGTCGCGCTCATAGAGGCGATCGCGTTCCTCTACCTCGGGGCCTCGGCCCCCCCGCATGTAGTACCGGTCATCCTCGACGACTCGGTCGCGAGAGTAGGCGCCGCCGCCGCCAGCGCGATCGCGTTCATAATCGCGATCGCGCTCATAGTAACGGTCTTGCTCGTAGCGATCGCCGCGGCTCATGATGGGCGTAGATAAGGCGGTCGTGGATGGCGTTGTGAAACGTTGCGTGACGGGTGGGCTAAAGTCCCTAGGAGGGGTCGAGGTCAGACGGGCAACACCTGGAGGGCAAACGGGCAGTATATAAGCGAGGCGCTGTTGGCACTAAGCAAGCACGGGTACAGCCGTTGGGAAGAAAGCAGAGAGAAGATAAAAGAGGGAAGAACCAGGAACGGAAAAAGAGGGGGACAGAGTGTGTAATGTGGGCTTGTCAAAGTAGTTGCGGCGGCGGCTGAGGAGGAGGAGGGCCAGCTGGTCTCAAGTGTTCAAGTTGAGGGCAGCGAGAGAGCAGATGTATGACGCGAAAGTGGCAGTGCGCTGCCCCGCCCAGACTTTGGGCTGTGGCGCTGCGCTGCGGCCCTGTCTGGCGGCGCCCGCCTCGAGCCGGGCACGGCATCGGGCCAGGAGGGTTGAGGGGGTGCTCGAGTCCACTGAAAAGCCATGAAAGCCACTGAAGCCCACTGAAGCCCACTGAAGCCCACCGAGTGCCCGTCCAACACCCTGGAAAGTGCCGCGCCGCAAATTGTGGGTTCCAGGCGTTTTCAGGGAGCCCTCCTGGCGAAAATCAGCGGTCTGCCCGGTCTGCCCTCTTTCAACGCGCCTGGACCAGGGGGCCCGCTAGCCACTGACCTCACCAGACGTCATGATGCACTAGCCACACTTTGATACGGGGCATTTCTCCTCAAGATATCACAGATACTTTCCACACATCTGCCTGCGGCCCATCTCAGGAGTTGGGTTGCATTAGTCCAGCCCGCCCATCATCACCAGCTAGTTATCACTCATCTCCATCCTTCCACCCTTCCACGCCTTTTGCTGCAACTCGCACCTGCAGCCCGCAGCTGGCCGCCTGCGCGCCCCTCGTGCCCGTCCACCACACCACCACACCTCACCCATCCTCGTGACCTGGTTGGTCCCTTGTCTACGTCGCCTGGCCTTGTTTTGGTCAGATCCCAAGGTTGACTTCGACGTCCTTTTCCATGACTATGCGGCTTTAATTTTTCTACAGGTCAAGTATGACTCTCATCTCCCTCACCAGCCCCGGCCCTGCCATTGGGCTGTGATGCCGCTACGAACCGTCGGGCACAAATAAAACTCTATATTCTGGAGGGCAACAATCATGCTAAACCTTGCCAAGCTCCTCCCAGACAAGCTAATAAGCAACCGTCCACCTTTGTTAACTAGTTAACTAGTGGAGAAGGGCCCCCCGAACTCGAACTCGTTGGCCCCCAACCATACAGACCTGCCGCCGTGCGACAAGGCATCAATCAACCTGCCGTACCAGCTGCAGATCACATCTTACCTTGCAGCCGTTGCCTGTGACTAGTTCACCCAGGCATAGACGGCGCATTTGGATCATTCGGCCCAATCTCCGTCCCGAAACAGTACCCAACCCCGTGCCGTTTAGGTGCCAATCGACAGGCACAGCCTCGGATGAGCTGCCGATGGCGTATGGCGTCCCGTAACATACCAGTATATGCCGCGATTATGCTTCATCGGAAGCCGGCCAACTATGACTAGTGTATCTACAGTGCGTAGTACATACGTGTGACTAGCTTGGCCAGGGGACTTTGCATGCCTCATGCACACACATTTTGACTGTCGATACATCATAAGTCGCACCAACGAATGTCACGTAAAGTCAGAAACAACTCCTCTAAACAGCACACAGATCATGCGAAGTTTCTTCGAGGTTTTTACTACAATTTAACGCTGAGGTGCACGCGCAATCAAATTGCCAACTCGGCTTGCCAATATCTGGATATATATACATGTATATCGCTAATTGTTGCCGGTGGCCACGCCCCAAAAGTATGCCACCCAGGCGCCGAGAATAAGGCAAATGGTTGCCCCAAAGCAGCACAAGCTGACGCGGCGATTCCGCTCTGCATTCTCGTCCTGCTCAAATTGATCCTTCCTCTCGTTGATCAAATGGCCCCTTGCCAGTCTCTGTTTCCTCGTCCATTGCAATCGGCCGAGAATGACATCAAACTGGCTCCAAACCAACAAGACTATAGCGACAGCGACAGATCCCACGGACAGAAAGACGTATACAACAACGACTCTATCGTAGCTGTTGTTATCACGATCCTGAATGACGCCCGTGATGATGCGGATGATGATGTTCATGGCGTTGTTGATGGCATTTTTGATGGCATAGCCCGATCCGAAGATTTCTTGGTACCACATGGTCGTGCGGATGCTGTCGATAATGACCGTCGGTCCTAGCGAGGACGCAAATGCGTAGACGCCAAAACTCGCCGCCGTGCCGCGTACGGTTGGTCCCCAAGCGGCGAGGATCATGGAGAGGAGCATGCACGCGCCGCACACGGCCATGATGCTGACTCGATGACCCAAGACGTCGATAAAAACGCCGAGCAGCGGAACGAGGAAGAAGCCGAGGTACTGCGACATGGCCGAGTACCAACCTGCCGTCTCGGCCGTGACGTTGAAGCGCTGCTGCGCGAGCTCGGTGGCATTCTGGGTAAAGACGGAGGCGGTCGACGTCTGAAAGAGCGTAAACGCGGCAACGAGCCAAAAGGACCACGGCAGACGCAGCATCTTGCCCCATTCAAACTTCTTGTTGCTCTCGGTCAGGGCCTCGCCCGTGGCGGGATCGGCAGAGGGGGCGTAGGTGCGGTGGCTCCAGCGCGTGAACCACCAAAAGACCAGTGTCGCGACGTTTGTGAAGAGGTTCATGAAGACAGCGCACCAGTACACCCACGAAAAGTCGCCCGTGCGCTTGGCGATGATGTTGGCGGTCGCCTTGCCGACGAAGCCGCCAATCTTGCCGAGGCCGAGCTCGAGGCCGAGGGTCGAGGCGAAGCCGTTGGAGGGCGCGAACCACGAGGAGAAGACCTTGTACTGGGCGACCTGGGTGGCGATGTCGCCGAGGGCCTGGATGATGACGCCGCCAATCATGAACCGGTAGCTGCGCACCGTGGCGGCGGCGGCGATGAGGATGGCGCCGAGGGAGTAGACGGCGTTGCCGTAGAGGAGCGCGTTGGCACCGCCGATGCGATCGGTGACGAGGCCGCTGACGAGGATCAGGGCCGTCTTCATGAAGTCCTCGCTGGCTTCGAGGACGGCGTACTGGGCATTGTTGATGTGGAGTTTCTGGAGAGGAGTGTAAGTAGATGTATGATGACGGAGGTTGTGTCGTTGAACCGTTCTGGGCAAGGATTGTACCTTTTTGATGGTGCTCTTCATGGCCCCCGTGACACCGCTGCTCCAGTGCGAGCCGAATCCGATGAGGCTGACAAGAATGACGGCGATGAGCTTGATGCGGAGCGGGATTTCCGTCTCCTTGGGCGGCGCCGACGGCGTACCGTGGTCCACCTGCTGTTCATGGTCGCTGTCGACAGGGACGACCTCTGCCTGCACTTTGGTCTCGGTCTTGTCAGGCTTCATCCTGGGCAGAAAGTACGAACTGTTGAAGAAAAGTGCGGCATAACGAGGGAGGAGGGGAAGGGGACGATGTTATAGATTGATATGCATAGTAGTATTTTTCTACCGTCCGTTATCTGATCTGATTGGTGACGTTGCGGCAGTTCGCTGCCAAGACAAGAGCCGAGTGGGATAGGCTCCGAGCTGGGTACGGTGCTCCCGCCGTCTCGCGTGGTTTTGTGGGAATTAGCAGGGGTTTTATTAAGTTTATTGAGTTCGAACGGACGAGAACTTGAGCGGATGCGAAATTGGAGGAAACCCACGTGGATTCGGGGGTTTTTGACAGTGGTTCTGGAGCACCGTTGTCGGAAATACGAACTGGTGGGGGTCATTTGCAGTACTCTAATAAACACTCTAAACTCTTCGCGACGGGTTATTCTCACAAAGTCGTATTTACGAGATGGTGCTACTCAAAAGCCTGGACTGTGCAGTTGGGTGCAGAAGAATACAGGCCGCGGATCCGAGGCAAGGCTGCCTTTTTTCCCGAAAACAGTGCCAAGCCTGCCCGGCTCTGCGAATGGTTCGACGCTGCCAAGAGATGTGGTGAACTAATGTCTCGTCTTTTCAGCTTTCTAAAGCCGTACATTGTCACCGATAATGATCTCCGGCCAGGGTTGTCGCCCGCCGCCAGCCTTGCTTGGTATGTGCATGTATAAACGAAAACAACTTGTCCTTGCATCATTTCCCATTGCAGTTGCGCGAGCCCAACTAGCTTCCCAGACTCAAGCTTTACGACGAAGAATTATTTAGCCGAGATCCGCCTCGAATTCGGTGTCCAATTCAGCGCTGGGAAGAGAAGAGCTGACTGGCGCAAGTCGTCTAGCAAAGTTCCGACGGGGAAGAAAAGAGGGCGGACATACAGGTTGACTCCACGCACCACGCGGCCATCCCCGAAGCGATGGATTTTTAAAGGAAAAAAAGAAAAAGACAGAAAAGGCGCATTTTAACCGTGATTTCAAACTTGCACTATTTCTTTCTAGTGGATAAAATATCTATTTAGTGTCTCGCTAGATGCGGAGCCGAGGTTGCGTGTTGGGTGGTGTCGTCCTGTAAACCGTCCCATGTATTTGTGCTGGTCTAATTTATAATAATTTGTCTGGTCAACAATGACAGTCAGCTTCGTATTGAAGCATCACTCAGAAACCACCATCTTCTCTACCTGTACAAATAAACGCCGCCACTTCTGGGAAAGCGGGCCAATGTCCATCTCATACTGGACAGATCTTCTAGTACTCCATACACGGCTCGCAACAAGCCGACAAACTAATAGTACACGGCAAAGACAGCCATGGCCGTTCCAAGCGTCCATGCCGGCGCCATCATGGAAGAAGCCCCGCTCGAGCCGCTGGGGGATGCGGCGGCCGTCTGGGAGCCCGTCGCGGATCCTGTAGCGCCGCTCGTCGTCGCCGTCGAGCTCGCCGTCGAAGTGCCGTTACCAGCGCCGTCCTGGCAGTTGGCCGTGGAAAAGTAATCCTGCGTCTGCTGGAACGAGTTGGTAAAGTCGGACACGTAGCCCTGGGCGAGCGACTGGAACGTCTTGGGGATCTTGCCGACGGCGGTGGTGACGAGGGCCTTTGCGCTCGTGTTGATCTCGCCCATGGCGTTGCGCACCGCCGCGCACTCGCCGGCCTGCTCGACCTCGCCGCGCTTGCTCTTGAGGTCGCTCGTGAGCGTCTGGCTCTTGGTGCTGAGCGTGCCGAGGTCGCCGAGCAGCGCGCCGGCGTCGCCGGCCGTGAGGTTGGCGAGGCCGTCAATCGTCGTCTTGCCGTCGTCGAGCGCCTTGACGAGCGCGGTGGAAGACTCAAGCACCGGCTGCTTGTCGCCGCCCGAGTACTGCTGCACCACTGAGTCGAGGTTGTCGACGGCCGTGGTGATGGACTGCACCACCGTCTTGTAGGGCGCCGCGTCGCGCGCGCCGATCGAGGCCGAGGCCGCGGTCGCGAGGCCGACGGCGAGGATCGCTGTGTACTTCATGATGTCGATTTGTCGTGTTGATGACAGGAGGAAAAGGGAGTGCGTGTCAAGATGAGGGCGGCCGAGGCACTAACTAGCTTCAAACTTAAACTCGAAGAAGCAAAATCTCAGAGCCTGATGATCTAGGCAGTCATGACGTCAGATAGTTGGCCGCGTAGGGAAGAGTCTCAATGGAGGAATAGAATATCAATTGGCCAGTATTGAATACATATCATGTATCAACACCTATATTTTTCAAGGTGCAAGTTGATAAGTTCACTGTCATTTGACTGTATCGAAGTTGTCAAGGCACAGCCGGTTTCCGGCTATATGAATTACTTCCCCACACATCGGCGGCTATGCCGGTCCCGTCATCGGCGTCCAATGTCTGCTTCTCATCTGATATCGCTTGAAGAATATTTTATAATTGAAGCCACGAGGGAGTAGGAGTAGAGCCAATCGCAGACACAACGCTAGGAAGCCTTCTATTAGTCCACCATAAGGCAGTCCTGAAGCTTTATCATTGATGCGGGGGATCGACCTATCGCGTTTTTCTAGTTTTTCTGGAAGCTAGTACGGTAGGTTGCAATTATTGAAACGCCTTTTACCCAACTAGTCCAACTTCATTTTTCTAGTTGACCTAGTCCCTGTCATAGGCTCGGGACGTCATACAACATGTTGCCACCCACTGTTTCTTGCTGCGGCGACAATGGTTTCGACGGCATCAAAAGACTCGCTTCACGTCTGCGATTTTGATCTAAATTGTTCTTGATTCTTCATTTGCTCATCTATTGATCTATCATGTACATGAGGCTGACCAAGCCGTCTAATCTATTGGTTCATTATTTTAGTTGACGTACTTGAACGTCTCGGTAGCAGGGCGCTTGGGGGGCACGGCGGTGTTGTGGGCGGTAGGCTCGTCGCCGTAGTTGAGGTGGGCGCGGAGCTTGTAGCTGGCAGGGACGTCGAGGAACTTCTTGAGAGCCTCCTCGACGGGGGGAATGCCGTTCATGTGCTGCAGGTTGGCGCCAAGACCCTCGAGCTCGAGGGCGGTCCAGACCAGGATTTGGTTCATGCCGGTGGCATGCTCGCCAAAGGACTCGAACAAGTGGGCGTACGAGGCATGCGTCTTCTTGGCCTCGTCAGTGACGGCGCTGTCCTCCCAGAAAACGACCTGCAGTGTCTTGTTAGTGGTGCGCCGATACCTTGGCAAGATTGGTTGGACATACCGAGCCGTAGGAAGCCTTGTGGGACTGCAAGATGCCGCTCATCTTGTCCCAGACGGCGGCACCGGCGGCCTTGAGGATAGGCTCGGCGGTGTTGATGACAATGTCCCAGAACTGCGTGTGCTTCTCGCCGGTGACGAGGGTGACGCGGACGGGCTGGGTGTTGTAGGAGGAGGGGGCGAAAGAAAGGACCTCCTGGACAATCTCCTGGACACGGCTATCGGGGACCTTGGAAGTGTTCTTGAGACCGTAGACGGAGCGGCGGTACTTGGCGGCGGCGAGCCAGTCGTTGGCGGAGACCTTGGGAGCCGACATTTTGATGTTGAGTGCGAGGAGAGTGGTGAGTATGAAGAGGATGATGTTGATGAGCGTGGAATAGCGAGGCATATTCTACTTGGACCGAGCGGTCGGCCACCCACTACTTATACCTCTGGGCTTCTCGGCGGAACAGCTCGGAAACGAGGGGCTCCTTGCGATGGTAGCCCGCAGCAATCGCAGGCGCCGCTTTTCCGGCATGATTAATCATGGCGGGCGCAAGAATTTGTCGCGCACTTGTCAGTGTCCAGTCAGTGTCCAGCTGAGTGATGATAGCCTGGGAGGCTACTGAGCGCACCAAATGGCGTGCCTGCCGCGCGCTAGGGGTTCCTGTAGCGGAGTGCTCTAGAAGCTTTTTGTCATGCTTCGGTAATCACCCAAGATCCATTTTTTGCCGAATTATTAATGATTTTTTCCCCTGACACGGGGCTTGTTTAGCGTCTCGGGCCCGAGTTGGCGCCGGAGAAGCCCACCGCCAAATTGTTGATCAAGCAAGATCATTCGGGGCTCATTCGCGAGAGAAAAATTGCTGAGCTAAATATTTGACGAATTCGCCCAACTCCAAACTGGGCTGGAGGCGGGTGTTTGCCCAACCCGAGCACATTGCTTACTCCCCCTGGCGCGCAATGGTTGGAGAGCGGGTGCACTGAGGTGCTTCAAAACCAGACCGCTATTCGTATGCGAGCATTTCATCCCAAGACAAAGCCTGCAACAAGTCAATGTTTCAATATTTGGGGGGATTTCGGACATTTTACCAAGGAGGGGAAGCTAGAAAGCAGATACCGGTTCAGTTGTGGGTGGACCTTGAGTTATGCTCGAAATTATGAAATAATAGTGGTGGGGGTCCCAGTCTCGATCACGCCCAAACGGTAACTAGTTGGTTCTTCATCACCTCACATCAGCCATGTCTATCATTTTGACAGCAACTCGGCACTCGACCTTCATCACACCGCATCAGCCATGTCTATCATTCTGACAGCAACTTGGCACTCGAACACCACCAGCTCAGCCCGATTGACACTTACGGGTACAAGAAGCGATTGCGCGTCCAGGCCGTTGTCATCTTTGGCCACAAGATGAGGTAAAACCAGCGTTTTTCTTCTCATCATCACTTCAAGGCATACCAGCTTTCAGGTACAATCGAACCTCAATGCACATTTCAACAATTGCTCTGACGGCGCTGGCCAGTGCTGGTGCTGCCCAGCTTGTTCTGCCCTTGGGCCCTTACAGCGGTCGAATCAAGGCTGCCAGCACGGCAGACTCCAAGTACTACCATGTTGCCCCCGAGATTCAATTCCAACGCCCATTGAGCGGCCATGGCCACAAGCCGGCACACTCCACGGCTGACCTGCCAGCCTACAAGCACGGCCAGCACATGCTCGTCGAGCAGGATGGTTCGGTATGCCCCTCGTACGGCGAGAAGCAGTGGACGGGCACCATCGACGTGACCGACACGCGGCGTCTTTTCTTCTGGGCATTTGAAAGTCGCAACGATCCGGCCAACGACCCGGTTCTCTTCTGGATGAATGGCGGGCCTGGTAGTTCTTCCATGATGGGCGCATTTACGGACATTCTCGATGCATACAAGACACCCACGTTTGCGGATGACGGTAAGCACATTGGGGACATTCGAATCATGGCACTCAATGGCAACTTGGACGCCAGTATTAATACACACGGCAACATGGCTCTTTTTGAGCGCATTGTCTGGAGCCGCATGGGCGAGTACCGGGTTGCCGAATGGCAGGACTTGGACGAGGAGGAGGTAAAGGGGACCGGGTCGTGGAAGGGAACAAAAGACGGAAGACTGGTCTTTATGGCTGTTGATGATGCTGGACACATGTTGCCTGGCGACGTGCCAGAGGCGAGCTACCATATTCTACAGCGATGGCTGCGCAACGAGTGGCGGTAGCGAGGTTCTAGCGCCTCTGGTGTAGTCGTGACGGTCCAAAAATGACATAGTTTGCCATGTGGCAAGTGGAATTACCTCGGAGTCCAGTATAAACTGGCATGTTCTATTTTCTCGGACGTGGAATTACCCCGGATTCTGGTGACTAGGCCGTTTCAGCGGACTGGCGGCCCAACTTTTGACTTTAGACACCCCGCCATCTCCACTGTAGAAACGGTGGCGAGCGCCACCATGAACTCCTCCTCCGTCCTTGTATAAATAGGTAAGTTTGTAGTCATGAACTGGATCCCATTCATCTGATGTCTCGCCTTTGCTTGATCGCCCCAGCACCCCAGACCGCACCCGCTCACCATGGACGTCTGGAAACGGATCGTGGCGACCTACAACCCGCACGTCATTGACGTTGTCGGCAGCCAGGTCGTCCAGCTGCTCTTCTGGTGGCTGCCCTCGCTCCTCTACATCCTGCTCGACACCGCCGCCCCGGCCTTTTCCGCCGCGCACAAGATGCAGCCGGCGCCGAAGCAGCCGACCCGGGCCGACATCCTCCACGCGGCCGGCGTCTCGCTCCGGAACCAGGCGACGATCCTCGCGCTGCAGGTCGCGGGCGCCGCGCTGGCCGCGTCCGCCGGCCAGCCCCCGGCCTTCCGCGTGTCGGCCACGCTGCCAGCAGCCGCCGAGGTGGCGCGCGACCTCGTCGTCAGCGCGCTCGCGCGGGAGGCGCTCTTCTACTACGCGCACCGGCTGCTGCACTGGCGGCCGCTGTACCGGCGCGTGCACAAGACGCACCACCGCTTCACGGCGCCCGTCGCGCTCGCGTCGCAGTACGCCCACCCGCTCGAGCACCTCGTCGCCAACACCCTGCCGATTGTCCTGCCCCCGCTGCTGCTGCGCTCCCATGTCCTCACGCTCTGGCTGTTCCTCGCCTGCCAGCTCGTCGAGACGGCGACGGTGCACAGCGGCTACGACTTCTTCTACGGCCTGGCTAGGAAGCATGACAGGCACCATGAGCGCTTTGATGTGTATTTTGGGGGACTGGGATTGCTGGACTGGTTTCATGGGACCGACGAGTCGGATCGGGCGAGTATGAAGAAGAAGGAGTAAAATGTCGGCAATTTGTCTTGGGTGTTTTTGCTACTCCGGCCTTGAAAGTTGGTAATCTGTACATCTTCTTTAATTTGGGTTCTTCTATTTATTGACAGGTACAGAGTGGCTTTTGCTACTTCAGTTGGTACAAGGGCCAACTGGACGGGTGTGACAACCTGCGCCACTATTTGACAGATCATCCAACACAGAATTACATAAATTGTCTGCATTCTTTCCACACACCTGTCCAATCCTTTCCCTAAACCCCCTGTAGCTTTCGGGACTTCGGCAAGTCGGGCGCTTAATCCTCGACGCAGATTCGCCCCGAATAAGTGGGCAACAGAGACAACTTGCATCGTCTCTGGGGCTGTGCCGAACATCGAGGCCCTGCTCTCTTCACCAAGCCCCCCTGCATCATTGGCAATGACCCATGTATCGGCTGTGAGTCGGGCGCCTGCTCAATGCTCAATGCACTTGGTATTGCAGCTGAGTGCATTGTACGTTGCTCGGTACGTATAGCTTAGATGATTAAAAAGGCTGGCCGCGCCGTGTGGGTGAGCGAGTTCTCTTGTTCGTCTTTCCTCCTGGATGCTCGCTGTGCGAGGTACGGGAACCTATCCTCAAAGAAAGCTTGTTGCAAGTCTCATCAACCCCAAAGATCGAAGCAGTGGATGACGGGAAGCGAGCACACCCCGTCACAATGACCCCCTTCTCCTACATCACCAGTCTGTACACGGCAGCGGCAGCGCTCGACCTCGTCACCTTCTTCGTCCTCGCCTTTGTCTGCGTCCTGCAATTCTGCTTTGTCCGCCGCCACGGCGATGCGGCCCGAAACTGGGTACAATGGGCCCGACACTCCCTCGCCCTCTTCACCTTGCAAGTTGCACACGCACACAACCCGCATTGCGTACCAGTTATGCTGACCCCCCCGTGCGCGCCCACAACAGCACCATGTTTGTCCTCTGCGGCGGCCTCATCATCGCCACCGTGTACAGCCGCTTCACCGACCGCCACATTGAATTCTTCGAGTCGGAACAGAAGGGCCTCACTCAGGCGCGCGGCTTCCTCGACAGTATCTGGATGCTGTTCGAGGCCGGCGTCCGCGTGCTCCTTCTCGTTACGCTGACCCAGCTCGGGGCTGGCCTCGCCGCGGCGCGCTCGGCCGGCGGCAACGCGCAGCCGGGCGGGACCACGCAGCTGTCCATGGCCTGGGGCGCCGGCGGGCTGACGTTCATCGTCGCGCTCGGCGTCTTTGGCCTGCGCTGCTACTACTGGGCGCACATCTTCGACAAGGACCAGGTGAATTTGGTTTCGGCCCGGGGGCTGGGATGGTCATGGACACCGTGGACCGGCGGCGGGGTGGACCTGGAGAGGATGAACCAGGTGACGATTGACATTGACTTTGCGCTGCACTGCATTTGGCTCGTCTTGGCTTTGCTGGCCTTGGGGCTGGCTGTCCGGACGCGCGCTCTCAGTCGGTCGGCCGCTCATACCAGGACGGTAGGAAAAAGAAATACCCAGCATAACACAACGACGGTACACTGACCAAGTTTGTTGCACAGGCTTCGACCTATTTCGTGGTTTGCGCAGGTCTGTTCGTTGCACAGCCTCTCTACAACGTCATCATCTTGATCGTCTTCTGCCTCAACTCGTACGATGTGTCAGGTGCAGAGGCCACCATTGTCACAGATGTCATCTTCCGTACGTGGCCGTATGCATTGATCCTCGTCACCTTGTTCGTCCTCGGACGCAAGAAGGTTGGCGGCGTGTGGTCGACGCAGCAGCCTTTTCTGACCAAGGAGGCCAACGCGGGTGAGACGGTGTACCAGACACCATGGGGATACCAGGTCACTCACCAGACGGCGCCACCGCAAGCTACAACCATTGATTCGCAGGCGCAGCTCAACAGTTACTATGCGCAGCCTCAGCAAGGGACACATGATGGACAATACCAGCAGTACCACCATCACCAGCAGCAGCAGCAACAGCAGCCTCACTACGGCTAAAAAAAAAAAAAAAAGCGGTGGCGTGAGCAACAGATGAGAGGATAATATGTGGAAATGTTTGACAGTGTGGAAGAGAAAGAAATCCGGCGTCCCTTGTGTACATGCAAAGTAACGATACCAATTTGAACCAACGTAAAGTCTCATGAAGATCTGCCGGTGACGCCACAGGCGTGCAAACATGAGGTTCCGGGTCAGGATGCAGGAGCGACTGTTTAGTAGCCAGGCTCATTATCGGTTCCAATAGGACCATTCGTGTCGTGTCCAAACCAAGGACCGAAGAAGTAAGATTCGTGCACCCATTTCGCAGTACCAGGTTGAAATGGGTACAAATATGACATGTACTGATTCCCTGAAGTTAGGTACCTAATCTGTAGACTGCAGCCAAATCAAGCCATTTGTTCTCGGCAGCTGTAGGATTGCTCAGGTTTAGCAGCGGCGGGCACCATGTAGCGCTCGACAAGAGTGAAGGCATCGTCGGTGTCTGCCGTGGCTGAACGAATCCAGGCGGTATAAAAAATAGCGCCCAACTGTTCCGTATTGCACGGTTGTGTCGCAAGGTTGAAAGTGCAGCCTGATTTCCATGTAGATACGTCGGCGTCGGGAAATGCTGTTCAATATGTGTCATTCTAAGAATCCTGCGGTGCGAAACGAACCAACCAGCGTCTGCTTGCCGACGCCACATCATGCATGTAGCTAGCTAGTGGCCGAGCTTGCCATCGGAGTACACGGCTTGTTTGTTTCTGTGAGGCTTCCCTTGCAGACATTCTCGGCTCAGACGGTGATTCCCTGCATGATATGGATTGAGGATCAGGGTTCGGTGCAGGCCACGGTCTACGGCGGTCAGTGATAAACAGGCTGAGCGAGTTAGCACGCAAGTTGTGTCGAGTCTAAATGTGCCCGGGCGGGTGCATCTCGTATCGCAGGTGTATTCTGGGAATAGCGTTTCGCTTCGTAGGATTGTTAAAGGCCGGAGAGGCGGCTGGCATGCCGAGTTGATAACTAGTTGATGTTAGTTAGACTCAACTCGTACAGTTAGACACCGAGCGCAAGGATTGCGCGTCGCCGCCCACACGACAGTGGGGTGTTTGGCGTGCATCAGTAGCATCAAGTAACAGCGAGGGATGAGCGCCCGCAATAAAGTCTATGTGGGGTGAAGAAAGGTGTGTATGATTCAGGTTCATTCCTCTTCGGAAAGGCGAGCGGAATCGATACTCTATTATTCAAAAGGTTTAACTAGGAATGAGAATGAGGGGAATTAGAATAAGTATAAGCAAGATAAGCAAGATAAGCAAGATAAGCAAGATAAGTAAAGACGGATAGTAAAAATAAGGAAAAAGAAAAATTAGAAAGAGAAAGAAGTTGATAAATCGTAAGATAAATAGTAAGAATAAGGAACAAGTTAGTATTCCTAACTAGCGGTTTATTTTGTCCCCCTGGTGAGTACCTTATTAGTAGTTGCAATGGTTAATGGTTACAATGGACGGGACTGCCGAGAAAAGAGTCGTTGTCTTGGCCTGGGAGCACGAGGTTGACGTAGGTACGGATAGGCCACAGTGGCTGTCCTGAGACAACAAGGTTTGGGAGTCCTCTGCTTGTCACTGGCGTGCCTAATTTGTACAGCAGTACAAATTACAGTGCATTCGATTTCAATCTTTTCTATGGCTTGACACCAAAAAAAGCCAGCGAGGTTGATCAGAAAAGGCGCCTTTTCTTTTCAAAGCCAAATAGTTGGTCGATAATAATAGGAGTTAATAATGCGCTGCCGCATTTCGCTAGTCTTCTCGCCAAGAGAATATCTGGAGCCCGCCCCTCCTCACAGAGGCTCGCTACAGGGATTAGCCTGATTGCACCAGTCAACGTGCTCACAGGCCCTGGCCGCAGGGGTTGAGGGGCCACGGGGGGGGGGGGAGGGGGGTTGTAGCTCCTGGAGCGCCTGTAAAGGTGGCAGCCCTCGGGGCGCAGCAAAACACCTCCCAAAGCGCTGCTATGCCAAGATTTCCAAGGTAACTACCATCTCTTTCACCGTTCAGCTTGAGGGCATATTTCCTCACACAATCATCTCCATCATTTTTCTTACTCTCTTCTTCATCTCATCAGCTTCTATCGCCCCATCGACCTACCTGGCAACCCTCATCCCGGCTCGTCGCATATCTACCGGCTTCCGCTTACCCACTCCCACCGTACCCGGGTCCGACAGAAAGTCTCGTCCTCCGTTGCACTGCAGGCCGTCTTGCGTTTCCGCCTTCGTCGCCGAAAAGACACTCTCCGTGTGCGACTTCTCGTCCATTTGTCGCCAATCGCCGCGACCACGAACCCCGTAACCTTGTCGCCGCTGGCTCTCCGCACCGATCGCCTCGACATCCGCTCACTCGAGAATGTGAGTCGGGGCAGGCCGTTTGTGTACGGTTCTGCATCGACACAATGTCCGACATTCGTGGTTATGAAATCTTTCACTTTGTGACCGACGCCGCGCTCTTCGTCACCCTGGTAGCCTCGATATGCTTCACCATATGCGCCGCGGTCCGCCTGCGTCGCCGCCGCGACCAAGCACGCAGCGTGTTTTCTTGGGTCAAGATTGCATGGCTCATGTTCACCATGTACGTCTCTTTGCCCTGCCGGGCGCAACAGCTGTCCCCAGACCTTTACCTGTGCTAATACCGCCCCTTGATAGCGCCGTCTTTTTCGGCTTGCTCGAGATCGCAACCATAACCGTCACAGCCCGCTTCTACGAGACGGCCTATTATTCCGACAGCGAGATACAGGGCGGCGAGGTAGACTTGGTTGCCCGCATATCGTCTGGCGCTTCAGCTCTTGCGCATTTCTTCAACGTCCTTGCCGAGGTCCTCTTATATCTCACCCTCGCTAGTTTCATCCGATGCCTTCGCTATGTCGCTCCCCGCGACGAAAAACACGCCCGGCGTCATAAATGGTCTCGATACTCTGTTTATGTCGTCTCCTTTGGAATAACCATTCTCTCTTTGGCTGTTTTCAGTGTTGGCATCTACTGGATTGTTCTTTCCGAGATATCATCCTCGAGCAACGGAATTGCTTGGGATAGATTGTACAACAATTACATCACCGCTGCCGCCGTCATGTCACTCATATGCCAAGCAGTCCTCGTCTTTCTCGCCGTCTCCATGCTTATTCGGTCCTGCGTCCTACGACGTAAACTTCGAGCGTCAAAGTCGGTGCAGAAGCCCATGCGATACCTCATTGCGTGCTGTAGCCTCTGGGTCCTTCGTGCTGCCTTTAACATCTACAATACCGTCATTCAAATATTCGATCCCGACTACTTCACCCCTTATGTTGAAGCCAGAATCAGCTTCAACGAAATTCTATCCGTCGTCTTCATGACATGGCCCGTCTTTATCAGTCTCGTCATTCTCTATTATTTAGGTCTAGACAGGAAGACTGGACTCTCCTCTGCTAGCAGCCCGTTGCTGATGGCAGACGGTGAAAGCCAAGTAGCCTCATCGGAATTTCTATCCTCAGACCAGCCGTTAGTCACGCCGATGACTGAGCGCGGCATTGCCCCAACTTTGACGCCCGCAAGTCAACGTCCCGCGAGCTTGTTCGACTGGGATGGCGTCGCCGATGCACCCCCCGAGTACTCCCCGCCAGCTACTCAACAAGTCGTCTCTTCTGGCACCGCAGCCCCCCTTTGTACTCAAGCGCCTATTATCAGACGACCTCTTCCCCCATCCGCTTCACGATCTACCAATGAAGTGGTGCGACGATCTGGGGAGGTGCAAGAGATTTCGGCCCCTCTACCTGACACCGAGGCACAGCAAGCCGCAACCCCCGCGTCGTCAAGTATGCCGGCGCGAGCATCTCAACCGTCGCCGAACCGGACAAGCCTGGGGCGGCCGATATCGCCAATGGCCAGTCCGTCGTCGACGGATAACGAGTTGATGGGCCTCTACCACCAAGCAGATGGGCGCACTCCACAATCAGAGTCGTCCAGTGCATTGCCATCGCACGACGAAGCAATGGGCTTATACCACCAAGCCGATGGCCGACCTCCAGCGTCGGAGACCGACTCCTCCAACCTACTACCTTCACACGAAGAAACAATGGGTCTATTCCATCAGGCGGATGGCAGGCCGCCGGGATCGAGCAACCGTGCTGTGCCGCCGGGAAATCCAGATTTCGCCCTCTTTCAGCCGTCCGCCACCAGACCAGAAACAATATCTGCGCCTCCGTCACACGATGAGGCCATGGGCCTGTACCATCAGGCAGACGGCAGGATGCCTCAGTCAGAAGTGCTGCCTCCAGAAAACGAGAAGAAGAAGAAATAATTTCACAATGAGCAGATTTCAGGCGTTTTTGTACTGGGATTCACATTTAACAGATCAGTATATATTGGTTAGCCTTTCTTTGACACCATTTTGGACATTGGTTTCTGCATGACTGTATATTACTTGAGAATTTGGCGCTTCAAGGAACTAGCCGGCGAGGGAGACTTGCACGGAATGGGATCATCTGCACTTACAATTTTTTTAGTTCACGTTATAACAGCCTTGTTGGCAATTTTTCTATTCTATATCAGCTGCAAAATACATGATGCAAATACATGCGGATGCTTCTATTACTGTGGTCCCTCTAGTCGACTTCTGAGAACTCTTGCGGGACAACGTACTCTCCCAACTCGTTCTCCGTGCCAGCGACGAACCTTGCTTGTTATGAGCATGTGAAAGGTGTGCAAGGATCAGCAGACTCACTTTGTGTGGCTGCCTCGAGCTGCCAGCTGGCCCTTGCTGTTGAAGAACTGAACTGTCGTGTATGCTAACGTCTTGCCGACTGCCAATAGTGCGTGAGCTTGCTGCCGAGGTTTCGAGGTTTTGGGGTTGACGTACTCTTGTCACAGACGGCCACGCCCTTGAGGATATCACCAGGTTTACCGCCTGGATTCAAGTAGCTGACTGCGAGGACATGTCAGTACTTTGAAGTTCGCTTCGTGTCTCGGTGCGCCAGTACGTACTGTTGATGTCGGTTGACACGCCAGTCTTCCATCTTCCGTGAGACGAGACGGCCAAACTGCCGCCTAGGTCGACAATGGCAGCCAATGTGCCCCCGTGTATGGTGTTTAAGCGGTTCTAGAAAGATGTTATGCAAGATGCCCAGGGAAAGACATGTCATTCACAGAAGCATACGGTGTGGTCCCGGTGTATGTCCAACTCAAAATCAACCTTGCCTTTGGCAGCACTTGTCACACGAAACTGCCGGCAGAAGGATTAGGATTTTGGAAAAGAAATCAAGTCACCACGGTAAGAAAGAATGGGCTTCTTACACGACTGGCACCAAGCAATCTATTTCGAGCATCAGAAGCGAGTACGCTGCGCAGTCACATCAATTGTTACTTACTGCGGCTCCAGGCCGGACTGGGCCATGAATGACTTGACTACCTGCAGTCACGTTAGCGATTGGGCGCGGTTCGCACGGCAAGAGAAGCACACAGTCTGTGTAAAGGCCAGCGGCGATAATTTCTTGGCCATTTTGGCGCAGTATCTTCGGCACGGACTCGGCTACAGGGTGAGGTTGTCAACGCTGAGTTCGGCGAGCTTCGGCGTCACCAGCAGCTTCCCCAGCGCATCAAGCCGGGCCTCCACAACGGGCTGTGACCACTAAAACAACCGCTAATGAAGCGGCCCGGCCGCAATTATCCGATCATCATCCGACTTGCTTGAAGCTTTGCCGTTGCCAACACAACCCGTGAACTATTTCCAAACACCCCCCAAACTGTTCCTCAACCTCTGTCTTTCCGGCGCAAAGATACTAGAAGGAGATCCCTGGGATTCGGCGAATTTGTCCATATCATGATATAGTAGCTCGTTTACCCCACGGAACGACCTTGGCATCGCCGTTCCGGCGCGCGACCAGCCCATCGAACCAAAAAGGACCACTACGCACGCCCAAACGCCAAAACGAAGCGAGCGAACACGCCGTACAGAAAACAATGGCCGCCAACACGCAGCCGGCGATGCAGCTGGCCGACTACCTCGAGAAGCTGCCGGGAACGACCTTTAGAAAGCTCTACCAGCAGCCCTCGACAGCCTTTGCCATTTTCCGGCGCATGCTGCCGCACCTGGGTAGGTTGCCCGCACCCATCCATCGCAGCGTCGTCGTGAGGACCGGGGGGGCGCGCGCTGACCACGATCCGATCAAACAGCCAAAACCATTGTGATGCGCATGTTGTACATGTCCGGCCCCATGAGCCTGGCTGACCTGGACGCCTGGGTCAAGCCCGAAGCGAAAAGGTAAGGAAACTGGGTTGAACCCAAACATCTACGGCGCGCAAGACAGAGGAAGCAAGAAAAACCAAAGAAAAAAACACTAACAGGGGAAAACTCAACACTCGGCAGACAAAAAGACCAAATGCTCTCGACGCTCCGCAGCCTGCACATTGTGCAAATCTCCGCGCCCGCCAAGGACAAGACGCAAGAAGTCCAGCTCACGACCAACTTCCGCACCTCGATGCGCCTCGCCCTCACGGGCGGCGGCAACCACAACTCGTTTGGCGTGCCCTCGTCGCTCACCGTCCCCCCCGAAATCGACGCTCCCTTTCTAGACCGGTACGCGCGCCGCCGCTGGGACGAGATCCTCCACTTTGTCGTGTCCTCGGTCGGCTTTAAAAGCACCGCTACGACGGCAGCCGGCGGCGAGGGTGGTGGCGGCGGCGGCCCCAACAAGAGCGTCCGCGACATCCTCATCGCCGGGCGCCTCGTCGACCGCCGCCCCAGCGGCTCCGTCGGCATCACGCAGGCCGGCTTCACCTTTCTCCTGCAAGAGGCCAACGCGCAGGTCTGGACGCTGCTGCTGCTCTGGCTCGACGCGCAAGACGCCGATAAGAACGCGGCCGTCGACACGCTCTCGTTTCTCTTCATGCTCGCCAGTCTCGAGCCCGGCCGCGCCTACGACACCCACGCCCTCTCGGAGCAGCGCCGCGACATGCTCCCCGCCCTCGCCGACTTCGGCCTCGTCTACATCCCGCCCCAGAAGCGCTCCATGTTCTTCCCCACGCGCCTCGCCACCACGCTCACCAGCGGCGCCAGCAGCGGCCTGCGGAGCATCAGCGACGGCGTCGCCGCCGCCACCTCGGCCGCGCGCTCCTCCCCCTCCTCCTCCGCCCACCAGCCGGCATCATCCAGCGCTGGCAGTGGCCCCCTCGGGGGCGGCTCCGGCGACCAGCCCGGCGCCGTCGTCATCGAGACCAACTATCGGTTGTACGCGTACACGCAGTCGACGCTGCAGATTGCCGTGCTCGCCCTCTTTGCGCGCCTCACCATGCGCTTCCCCGACATGGTCGCCGGCCGCCTCACGCGCACCTCGATCCGGCAGGCCATCCAGTTTGGCATCACCGCCGACCAAATCATTGCCTACCTCGCCGCCCACGCCCACGAGCAGATGCACCGCACCGCCGCCCTCACCAACAAGCCCGTCCTGCCCCCGACCGTCGTCGACCAGATTCGCCTCTGGCAGCTCGAGAATGAGCGCATGAAGACCACCCCCGGCTTCCTCTTTCGCGACTTTGACGACCCCAAGGAGTACCATGATACACGGCGCTTCGCCGATGAAATTGGTGTCCTCGTCTGGAGCGACGACAAGAAGGGTCTGTTCTTTGCCAGCAAGTTTGAGCAGATTAGGGATTACCTCAAGAGTAGGAAAAAGGCCGAATAAGGGGCGATGAGGCAAGCCGAGGTGATTGTTGAGTAATATTTGAGTATACCGGATTGGCCAAAGTGGTCAACGTAACAAACCTATGCGAGGGTTTTGAGGTTACTGGCGTTTATGACGATAAAATTGCATTTTTCACACGAAATCGGGAGCAAACTGGGGGCTGAAAAAAAGGCCACGCGTTTTCAAATTAAAAGCATTATTATAAAACACAACAATCAAGCATAGCTTGTATATTATTCCGTCGCACTCCCAGAGAGCCATGCACCTTGTTTCGGGTATCCTTTTTATCCATGCAAATCAATTCGCAGTGTGCGCCAAACCTGCCAAAGTCAAGTCCTGTTCCGTAATATCATCCAGCAACGGCGGAAACGTTCAAAAAAGAGGGTGGAAAAACCAAAACGAAAAAGCATAGTGTCGGTGTTCCAATGCCAAAATCAAATACTCCAATCACCAAAAACTTCTTCCGTAGGGTCCGTTGCCAAAGTTGAAGCCAGAAAAGAACAAAGTCCAAAAGAGCGCAGCGGGTCGAACCAAAGAAGGAGCGCAGCGATACCGACATGTAAAACGTGCGTCAAATGAATTATCGAAAATTTAAATATCGTCCCTCGAGACTGTGGGGGTTGGTCATGCCAAAAGCGTTGGATGCGTTGCTGTAATAGGCATCTTCTAAAAAAGCCAAGCTCTGCATATCTGGATGGCGGGCGTGTGATGCAAAGCGTCTTGAGATCTGCGAGTCTCCAAAAAAGCCAGAGCGTTTCGGCAATAGATTTGGTCGACGGTGAATCAGAGCATAGTTTTCGCGCCAGCGCCGCAGAGACTCCTGGGCGGCTGCAGTGACGCACTGGCATTCGAGGATGCTGAAAGCCTGCCGACAAATGTCATCTTCATCTCGAAGCGGGTATGGCGGGTCACCACAGAGTTCGTCATCATAAGGTAGATGGTTTGTCTGGACCTTTTCGGAAATGCCTGTTTGGATTGTATCGGTGGTTTGTGACAGGATATGGGCCATGTGCTCGCTAGAAAGACGGTCTCGCAGGGAGGTGAAACGACCAGACCAGTAAGCAGAGCATTGGGCCTGGATAATTTGCCCTGGACTTGGTAGAACATTCCCTGTAGAGGTCACCGGTCCTGATGAATCTGGGGTGGTAATATTGGTTGTGGAAGAGTGTCTGCTCGAGGAAGCGGACTCTTCTAGTGAGCGGCGTGCGAGCGAGGGGATGATGACGAGTCTGGACATGTTGGGTTGCTTGAGAGGGGTGACGAGCTTGCTGGTCTGAGGATTTGGAATGGATGCAGGTATGTTGGTTCGACGAGGAACCGAGTTCTTTATATCTTGCAAGACATTCATAGTTTTCGACTTGGGTAGTCTTGTTGCAAACTTTATCTTGCTCCTCTGCGAGAGAACAAGCTCTGGCGGCTTCGTAGCGTGAGTGTATTCGTGGTCTTCATTGTCTGAAAACACAGTAGGGGTAGATGCTGAGACGCTTTTAACTTTCGAAAAGGCAGACGAAAGTTCATCATCGAATTTACTTCGTGGGGTCCTGGCAGAGGTCTGCACTTCTTTTGCTGGGGTGGCAAGACTGGCGAGGCTTTGCGTCTTCAGGAGCGTCTTTCTGGCGAACATACTGATTGCCATCTTTTTGTCAGGCAAGGTCGTTTCCGGGCTTCCGATTTCATCGTCATCCCGCGGTGGGCCGCAGTCGTTGATGGCGTCAACAATAATCAGTCCATCACTGCGTGTCAAGTCTGGTCCTCGTGAGTTTTTGACAGGTCCAATGGGCGAAGATATCACCAATGGCTGTTTAGTCCGTCCAGAGTGGAGATCATGCTTCTGACTTGAGAAGAAATGGGCGATTCCCATCCTGCTTTTGCCCATTGCGCGGAGGAGATGCGGCTCATCGATTTCCAAATGCTTCAGCATCAACACCGATGCCGGCACCGTCCGAATGTAGGTCGAGAGCGGCGGGCTGATGTGAGTGCTGTGTAATCCAAAAAGAGATTGATAGTCCAAGTGTTGGGTAACAGCAGAATTGTGTGAAGCAAAAGAAGCGCTGTAATGGTATTGGGCTGGGGGAAGATGTACGAGCCAGCCGGATCCAAGACCAACCGAGGATGACTGCAAGCAGAACGCGATGGGAAGCGCGCCTCCGCCGCGAAGAGATGCAGGTTCGCCTATTCAGTGGGTCTGCAGTTTGCATAAAGAGGGATAAAAGGAATAGATGCGATTGGCAGGATGGTTCGTTTATTCTTGGTTGCAGAGCAGTCACTTGACAGCTGCCTGCCACCGTTAGTGGTACTTTCTGCCAGCTGGCAAGCAGAAGCAGAGCAAACGCCTGCCTTTCACAGTTCTCCCTCTTAGGCAGTACTTATTTACGCGATTCGTAAACAATGGAATGAAAGTGTAGGAACATGAGCAAAGTCTTCCGTATTGCGATACTGATATTGATTAGGAGTAGACCATGTCGAAATGGCAATAACCCCGAGACATAGACCCGTAGAGACGAATCTACGCAACACATCAAAAACAAATCTATACAAAAGAGAAGAAGTATAAATTAAAGGATGCAGGTACTGGTATTAAAATCACTAGGTCATCAGCTCTCCCACCCGTCCACGGTGAACTCAACAGTCACGTCCGCCGCGCCGCGCTCAACCACGTTTCCATTGGGATCAAACAAGGCCCTCTCGATATACGTGACTTTTCCATCCATGTCAGCTAGAATGACAGTCTGACGCTGCGTCCCATACAATCCACTCGAATAGCCCCCAACTGGGTTTGCTGGTGCATGGCCATTTGATGGGGGGGCATCATGCTCCCAGCCAATTCGACCCTTCGCGGCCGACTCTGCAAACTCCGCTTTCTGGTGTGCAGTACCGACAGGAGGCAAGAAAATACTGTGTCTGAATCGCTTCATGCTGTCCTGCACGGTGCCTTCTCCGTCCTGGGCTGGCGGCAGCGTGTCGCGATCGAGCACAGTGAAGAGTGACTCGACAAAATCTGTTTGGCTCTGCTTCTTGGACACGGCCTCTTGAATGGCTTTACTGACAAGCTCCTCGCCGTCTGACACCTTGGGCCATTTTTCGGGGTTTGTGTAGGTGGTGTTGCTCAATCCCCAGGTCCTTCCCCTTTCTCCGCCTACTCTCGGCACGTCGTCCACACGGTCTGCTCTGTTGCTAATAATCGAAATATCTTCGGTGTTTTTGCGCAGTCTTCCGCAAATCATGGAAAACCCGCCGACACCCTTGACCCCGCCGTCCTTGACCAACCGATGGACACGCTCCGTCAGCGACTCATTTGCGTCGCCGCCAACCCAGAGGTTAGGCATACCACCTCTGCTCCGCGTGGTAGAAATCGCGGTCGACTCATCGACAATTTCTTGATAGTTGGTGAGCACGGCAAAGTCGCCGGCTTTGTTAATAGCCAGCCACGTGCCTTGTTCGCTTCGCTGAAGGTCCCGTGAGGAGAGAATTTGTCCGCCCGAGGTCGGGTGAACCCACCAATGAGGCCGAGACGTCGGCCTCAATATGAATTCATCTCGATTGTCGATGATTATAAGAGAATAATCCGGATGGGCGGTGGAAAATATTGCGATACACATCGCGAGGAACTCAGCTATGTGGATGACACTGAGGTGAGATGAGCAGGTCGTGGACCGTCGCACTTAGGAAACCGTTATGTATTAGCTGCGATGCTGCGAATCAATTTCTGTGGGCAAAAAAATTGCCGGTGAAGGAGGAAGATCGGTGAGTGTTTCCTTGAGCGCGCCGAGAGTCCGAGATGTTAGGTATGTGATGGCAGCTGATGTTCTCCGCTGTATGCTGCGTCATTGGCCACAGCAATTCGCTGCTGCCCGAAATCCGCCCAACCCACTAAAATACAGAAGCTTGTGATACAGCCGCCAGATGTGTCTTGTCTCTGCTAAGCAGTTTAGAGCAATTCACCGCTAATTGAGAAGAGAATACGATCCGTGTGGTAATACCAACGGCTGAAAATTGACGACTAGTTAGCCTGCAGCCGATCAGAGGCGGTCATTTGATGATGCCGCCGTGTGGACTGGCCGACATCGCTGGGCACCTGGCGACCCTGAAAACGCAAATAGTCTTCTAAATAATGTATCTCCTCAACACCGACCATGCATTATCCAAAACCATTTGACGTCCTTCTCCAACTGCGCTTTCCTCTTATGTATGCATCGCTAAGTACAGTACAAAATGCAGCAATTAAAAGGATCAGTACAACTTAAAGTAACCGGGCTGCAGCCGCTGCAGAACCTGGTCGGGGTCGTATTTCTTGGAAATGCTTCGAAGTCTAGCAAGATTCGCCTCACCGTAGCTCGCGAACACACCCTGCTTCTGAGAAGCGTAGTTTTGGTAGAGGTAGGGGTGGTCGAGCCCTCGAGCCTTGGCGGCCGCAACAGAGCGATCAACAATAGCTTGGGCTGCGGCCATTAGGCGGCTATCGTCGCTGATTCTAGTCCAGGAGATATCAATGTTGACCACTGTTGCAAGAATCAGCATGGTAAAGGGGGGCTTGGGGGGATGGTGTACCGACAGGTAAGCGGGCCTTGGCCCTCGAGGCCCAGAGGGTTGCCTCCGTTCTTGGAAAAATGTTTCGCCATGGAGGTTGTGATGGGTTGAAAGATCGCAGCGGGCACAATGCCAGGAGCGTCCTTGACCTTGTCTACTTCCTCCGTGTAGATGGCGACGATATCATCCATAAGCGCCGCACTGTTCTTGAAGGTAAAGGTCCAATACGTTTTGCTACGATAGGTAGTATCAGCAGATAGACGAATATTTCACTTATTTACAGAGACATACCGGAAACCATAGGGATTCGTAGCATTGAACTCCTGGGTCAATGACGGTAGGTCAACCACACGCATAGTGTCGGCGACAGCGCCAGGAATAGCAGTGAAGTTTTGTAGAATGGGAGGATTGGCAACAGGCTTCCCATATTGCAGATCGGAAGCAATGACATATATGCCTTGAGTTTGGGCGTATGCGTAGGCAGTAATGATTTGGGCATAGTCATCCTCAGGAGATTTCACGGCAAAGCTCTCGAAGGCCTTGGTGATGGCCTTGCTCGTCTCTGGCGTGTTGATGAAGATTTGTGATCCAGCCCACATATCGCCTTGTGGGTAAGTCTCAAGGTCGAGGCGCGTGACAATGGCAAAGTTGTTACCGCCGCCACGCAGCGCCCAGTAGAGATCCTTGTTGCATGACTTGGGGTTGACATCGCGGATGGAGCCGTCTGCAAGCACGACCTGGTAGTTGTAAACATTGTCGCAAGCCCAGCCATACCGGGCCGAGAAGAACGAGATGCCGCCACCCAGAGTCAGTCCGCCAACACCAATGGGAGACACTCTACCGCCAATGACGGTGAGATTTTGCGGGGTGAGCTGCTCGTAGACATTGTACCACGTATTGCCAGCCCCGATAGAAGTAATCTTCTTGTCTTTGGATAATTTCACATCTGTGAAATGAATGAAATCAATCGTCACACCATCTTGGATATTTGAGGCTCCCACAAAGGCGCCGTGGCCTCCACTCTTGACGGCAAACTTGCATTGGGTTACGCGAAACGTCAGGATAGCCAAGGAAACATCCTCGACGCGTGTGGGCGAAAAACGGCAAGAGGGGCGTGTAAGCTCTTGCTGCTGGGACCAGTATCGGTTCTCTTGAAAGTCATAGGTTGACGAGTTCGGAAAGGCCACGGACTGGGGGCGCGAGTAGGCTAGGAAGCCACACTGTTTCACGGGTCCGTCAGCCGCGGCCGGGGAAGAGGGGACGGAACTTGCCGTCGTGGTAATCAGGGGATGAACTCACTGCTACGTCGCAGCCAAAATTGGAAATTGCTCTTGTTTGTTGGGCTGCATGGTGGTCAAGGTAAGTCGATATGTCGGCCTGGACGCCCTTCAGCGTGTATGGCGAGAAGGAGGCGGCTGAAGCGATAGGCGACAGAAGGGACAGAGCTGTGAGTAGAAAGAGACGCATCGTGAAGTTGTTGAGCCTCTGGAATGTAGTGGCCAGGGAGAAAGAGCGCAAACGGTGGTGGTCAGCAACGGAGCTGCAGGAGGGGCGCTAGTTAGGAGGCTGCCAGGAAGCGGAATGGTGAAGCTATGTACAATGCCTGCCGGACATAAAGCTGATGTGTGCTTAATTGCTGCAGCTGAGAGAGATCGAGGCGATGCGGGCTTTTTCATGTCCAGCCAGGCAAGAATAGCAGCCGACGACACCTAGGCACGTACCGGCCACCGCCATTCTTTTCCATTGAGCAGCGACGGCGTCGATTGTGGCCGGTGTAACTAATTCGTAGCGCCAAAAGGGCGGAAATTGTCAACGTACTTGACTGGAAGAGCGGACCGGACGTTTGGGGGCCCATGAACCCGGACCACGTTTCTGGGGGCGGATATTGGTGGCACTCAAGTGGCTTGGGACAACTCGGCCGGGATGCAAACCATTCGCAAATACATGGTTCATTCGGCAAGCTCGCCATGCGGGAGGCGATTCTTTTTTTTTGCGGCCGCGATGAGTGATGTGCATGAGACGGTGTTGCTGCATCTGCAGACGATGCAGGAGCTCCGTTGTCCGATCTTGTCGTGTCTCGTGGTTTTCTTTTGTGTTGCCCTGCCCTGCCACGTTGCCTCGCCTTTTGACTCAAATGTGGTTTGGCCTGGTGTCAGCCACGGAAAGTCTACCCTGCGCCACCCGCCTTTAGTACTTCGTATGGGTACTATATTTGACGCCGTATTGACCCTGGGCAAACGGCCGCGGTATTCTGACTATTTTGACGGTGGAAGCGACGGGCGACGGGCGACTCGAAACTCTTCGTCCCAACTGCCTGGGTGAACAGGACAATGGCTCTTCCAGCGCCAGCACAGGCCCAACCCGCCATGAAAACGCCTCGAGATAGCCACTTGACGACATGGCACGATCGTTGGCCGTCGGACTGAGCCACAAACAAGCCAACTACCTAGTACGGGATACTAGCTAATTAGGGAAGGCTGCTCGCTTACCGACATGGCGGCGAACAGTCAAACGGCGCACCACATGGGTGGCTACCTCGTTCTACCTCCCTCGTTACCATCGCCAGTATCCCAACGCTCACGGCCTAACTAGACCATATTCTAGGTCTCGAAATATTTCGGTGTCGAATACGGATATCTTGTACTCTGGCGACAGCCACGTAGCCCGGGCGCTCATCGATAAGCGACAGCAAACGTCTGCAACCCGCAGGCGATGGAGCCCAAGACCCTTGCGCCGTCATCTTACTCAATGGCATCACGGCAACTTCCGCTCGCCCTCGAGGGCGGCCTGCCCACACGCCGCGCCATCATTCGTCGGGCGATGCTGACGGGGTTTGGGGGCAGAAGGGCGGGAGGGGCGCTTTTCTTTTTTTCGATGGCTGATCTTATTAATATTAGCTACTAATAACTTATTACCCCAACTCCAAGTTCCTACGCAGCGCCGCCGCCTTGGTCTCACCCAGTCTGATGCTCGTTAGCGCAAATGCCTATCTTTTTATGTAGACTTGTGCCCCCTCGCCAGCCATCCAGTAATTTTTTGTTGCCTCAATTTTTTCCTCGAGACGAGTCAATCGGTCGCCATTGTTACGATTTCATCTTTGGCTCTCCCAATCGGTTGGTGTGGCGGCTCACCTGCGCCAGCCGCGTCTTCTTCACAATGGGCACGCAAAACGTGTCACAGAAGGCCGACAAAGTACGCCTGATATAGCTTGCCAATAGCCATTCTACTTCCGCAACGCCGAGTCAGCTTTTACTAACTCGGGGCTTTTCTTTCCATGCAGGAGGGTCTGATTTCATGTCTATGCGTCGGCATCGTCTTCGTCATTCTGCGCACCGGCGCACGCTGGTATAAGCTGCGCAAAATTCCCCACCAGATGGACGACATCTTCATGTACCTTTCGCTGGTCTCTTTCATCATCACGGTTGCTCTATACTATGCAACCATTGATACATTTTTCAAAGTCACCGCCATCTACGAAGGTCGCGCGCAACCATATGCTGGACTGGCCGAGGACCTTCTCGTGATGCTAAAAGAGTTTTTTGTCGTCCAATTCTTCTTTTGGCTGACACTATGGACGGTCAAATGGAGTCTTTTATTCATGTTCAAGCGACTCACCCAAGGGCTGCCTCTATATACACAGATCTGGTGGGGAGTTTTGGTATACTCCATCCTTGTCTTCATCGGGTGTTGTATCAGCAACTTTACCAGCTGCTCATCAATGAAGGCCTGGTTCACGGCCGGCGAATGCAGCAGCGCTCGAGATGCGCGCGCCAAGGAGATTAGCCTATGGTTCAGCTTGGCTGCTGATTTATCTACGGATCTGTTGAGTAAGTTGGGATCCTTCTGCCTACCAAGAATGTTGCTCACATGTCTAGTCATGGCTATACCACTTCGCGTGTTATGGAACCTCAAGATTTCACGAATCGAAAAGATCAGTATCGGGTTCATATTTGCCGTTGGCCTCATCACTATGGCCACTGCCATTATCCGGAGCGTATCGCTGAACTCGAGCTCGAGCACCGGACAAGTGAGCACGACATGGCTTATGCTGTGGGCTGGTATCGAAGGAGCAGTCGGTAGGCACAACCCATATCGCTTCCAAGTGCGCTAACATGTCTAATACATTTCTCAGCTATAATCGTGGGATGTCTTCCCTCTTTTGCCATCTTCATCCGCGGTCGGGTCGTCGCCTCCAAGGCACAATACGAGGGCAGGTTAGATCAAAGCCCAGCGGACTACCACTCGGAGCCAAAGTCCCGCGAGCGGCCCAACAGTCTGGGGTCCCAGGATCTGAATCCACTATGGGGTACTCGGGACAACTCCAGTGATAAGAGCCTGGTGGAAGACATCGTCGTCACTCGCGCCGGGAAACCGAAATGGCACGGTCTGACAAGGCAGCAGATTGTACAAAGAGATCCGGAGGCTGGCCACGAATTGCACCCACTACCGCCATCATAGAGAGCTGGTCTTTCCTACCCTTGATTTGTGTAAATTTTTAGCGGAGCGAGCGAATATTGGTTTTGACAAGGTTTCTCTGATGAATAATGTGATAAATGACGCAAACGTCGCCAATGATACCAAGTGGCACGCAAGACTCGTCAGCCATCCTCAAATGCTGCACTCGTGTCTGTACGATTTGGTGGACAACTTACAGGCCAACTTGATGCTTAAGAATGTTGATCATCTTCACCATGTCGCAGCCCATGGTGTCTTTAAATTCTAACTTATGCCAAACATGTGGCGCTTCCAGTTGTCTTGCATGTGGCTGGGTTATCATTGGCAGCTACAGGTCAACTGATAACTGATACAAAGGCGCAGGGTACAGCCGTCTCAAGTAGTTATGGCGAGTACAACTACTCTGGACGGGGATTGCGACTACAGTTCGCGCGACTAGGTTACTTAGCTCGCTTGCTCATTCCATTTACTGCTTTGACAGTACTGCCCCAATTCCGAAGAAAAGGCACTCATATGCGATCATATACCGACGGAAACATGTAGCCACCAGTTGCACTGTTTTGACAGACCCAGCGTTGTAACTAGTGCCAAGTCAATGACGGCCCTGAGCTAAAAATAGAGACCAAGGTGCCGCACATGCTTCGAAAAAGACCAGTTCCCGCAGCGCTAATTAAAATTAAATTCGAATTGATTTCCTATAGACATTGGTATCATAGCTGAACTGAAGGGACCTCTCTCGTGTTTCCAAAAAAAAAAATTTGCGCCACCCGTGGGTAATTTACAAAATCAACGCTCCCACAACAGCCAAAGCCAGCGCGCCGTAGACGCCCGACCTGACGAGGCCCGCCGCCGCATTCTGTTTCGACGTTTGGCTGGGGCTAGCCGCCGTCGTGGCCGCCGTGGTGCGCGCACCGCTGCCACCGGCCTTGCCTGAGGTGCTGCTTGTCGCGACGGCGGTGCAGACGGTGGCGCCGCGGGCGACGCCGGGGATGGGCGCGCCGTTGGCATCAACGTCGCAGCGGGGGGTGCCCGTCTTGTTCTGGATCTGAAAGTCGATGCTGGCGCGCGCAAAGTCGTACGAGACCTGGTCGGTGGTGTTTGTCAGGACCTGGAGCAGGGCGTACACGAGCGGCGACGGGACGCGGGCGGCGGCGACGGCGGCGACGTAGCGCTCCAGGTCGGCGTCCTGCCGCCACACCTGCAGCGTCGCGTTGCGCACCTCGCCGCTCTCGACGGCGGGCGAGAGCGCCATGTGCGTATCCGTGTCGGGCGTCGCCGCCAGCGCGCCCGAGCCGCTGCCCTGCACCGTCAGGTTCGTCCGGATCCACGGGAACGCGTAGAGCACGTCGTCGAGCGAGTTGGTCGGCGGCACGTAGGAGATTTCGAAAAAGGCAACGTAGCGCGCCGCCGCCGCTGTGTCCCCGCCAGGCGGGAGCAGCGTGACGGCGGCCGGCAGGTAGAGGAGCGCGCTCGCCGGGACAATGTCGCCCGCCGCCGGGCGCTTCTGCGTCGACAAGGTGATGGCGTTGGCCGCCGCCGCCGCCCCGACCTGGGCGCCGCTGAAGACGGCGGAAAAGTTAAAGTCGCGGCCGGACAGCAGCGGGTCGGGCCAGGACGCGGCGGTCAGCGAGGCCAGGCTCAAGGCCGCGGCAACGGCGACGCAGCTTCGAGGCGCCATCGTGGGTTGGTTGCAAGGGGGGGCGACGGGAACGCGGTTGTCGGTGGCAGAAGACGGCGAAGGGGGAGGAGAGGAAAAGAGCAATGGAAGTGTAGGCCGAATCAGTGAGCAAGAAATTTACATTCAGACTCTCTCTCGAATGATGATCGGTGGGGACAAGGGCCTTTGTTCCCCCTCTGCTCTGGCTGGATGGCCGTTTGGCCCGTGGCGTAGTGGCCGCGTAATGCGCCGTTGTGCCAGATCCATACGGCTTGTCGATGCCGCGTATCAGGAGAGGGTCTACATACGATGCTGACGTCCGGCATCGCTCACCCAACAAACAGGGGCTAACTCTCTTGATTAGCTTTGAGCAAATTAATAATTTATTAAAGGGCATATCGCAAAGGAGGTCTTGAATTTTTTTAATTTTTTTTGTTATTTCCGTAAGCTAGTTGCTTTCAAACCACCTAACAATACGAATACGGGCAAGCCTGCCAACATCGCTGGCGGCCCACGCCGTTTTTTCTCCATTTAGCTCACTCGGGGTTCGTGACAAACGACCAAGGAACTTGACCATCACCCTGTATGTTTGACAAAATAACAATGTTGAGTACTCGTCAAGATGACAAGTCTCCTTGCGAATTGTCTCTCGCCTGCTGCACGCACCAGCCCATGCCGGCGGCTGCTAAAATCCAGTGCCACGTCTCTGGACGGATTGTGCACAGCTTGGGCAAAGATGCGAAGAACGCCTGTAGACGGTAGGTACTCGATTCGGGCATCTACTAGAGCCGTCGGCGTTTGGGCCCTTTCGCGCCCGGCGCTTGTCGCAAACGTGGTCCGCCCTGCGTTCTTCATGTCTGCAGCAGAACTGTATGTAGACCATTCCACACATGTCGATGGTGTGTAGTGTGAATTATGAGAGAGAAGGGATGAATGAGGTGGAACGTGTTGCTCTTCAGCGACGCGAAAGAGGCTCGCCTTCCCTTTAAATACACCACTCTAGCTATGGAGGGAGATTCGGTCAGTCTAAAGTACCATTTTTTAAGCGCTTGTCATCTTCGCACATGGTAACCAAAGGCCCTTATTCACTCTGTACGCCAACACCAAACAACCACGTCACACACAAACTCTGTACTTGATATCATCTCAAAGTTCTGCCCTCAAGAGCCGTATATTCTGTTATTTCGCAAACCTATCCTACAATAGTCTCTCTGTTTCTGCCAACAACTCCAAAAAAACGTCGTCGAGCAGTAACCTCGAGGATCAAGGTCTTGGGGTTCCCGCCACACAGTGAATAACTCCATGTGTCAGAATCCTCCTGTACCACACGGCCAACGGGTCCACACAGATTTGGCTGGTCTTTATCTGAACCTGTTGCTCAAAAGCTAACCGCGGGCGAACGACGGTCGAGAGTCCCTGTGCTCAAAAGTTAGTCAGTGTTGCCTTTTGGAATGGGTCTCGCCTCTGATTCAGCTGTTCACCAGAGAATCTATCGGACTGGAAGCCGCAAATACCTTGTCGGTACGCAAAGTTCGCATACTTTGTGCTTGCAAATTTTGCCGCCGTCGTTGGTGCGGCAAATTGGCTGCTCGTTCGGACCTGTCCCGCAGTTGCAACAGCGCCATTTCCATCTGCATCTGCAAAAGGAGCAGTCTCTCACGTTACAGGGCTTCTGGGTGATGCCCTCTGGCTCTTTCCAAGTGGTTGTTCCACACGTGGAACGCTCGCCCGTGTCCTCGTCTGTCACGGATTCCTCGCAGTACGTTGTGTTGCTGATCGAGTCAACACCACAAGGGTGCCTTTGTCGGACTACTCTACACATGGTACTGAAGAAAGACGGTCCCCTTTCGCAGCTGCGCGATGATTGACGTGGCGATGTGTCGGTATGTTTGTTTTCCCGCCGTCGAGCATGTGGTGTTCTTGGTGCTGCGCATCATAGTTCGAAGAATGGGAAGACGACCTGCGGTTTTAACCTTTTGGGATTTCAGGCGCAGCGATATATTAGGCCTGTGATTAGCAAGATACCTGTAACACAAGTCGAAGGCTGCCGTTTTTCTCTTGCGGTATGACCAAGTCCAAAGTTGTTGCCTGTTCGCGAGTAGAGGAAGCAGTTGCCTGTGTCACCGTGGCTATTCCTACACCTAATCACCTGCTTTCTCCTGAGTGACGTCCGGCTCATTTGCAGCTGAGGTGGCACAGCAGATGAAGGAAAAAAATCGAGAGCTGGCAATTGCCTGATGTAGGCAGGTGTGCTGACAGATGCGCCTTGGGCAGCACCCAATGTGCCCGATCATGGTACACCGCTGAGAGACTGCATTGTGCTTGCGCTCCACAGTGCCAGCTCGTGATGTATGAAGAGTCTTGACGGTTTCTTTATTTTGTGTAAAACGTATGATGTTGATCTATTTTAGCCCGCTCTTTTCTTGGCACTTAGAGCGGGAGTAGCCGAAACCATATCCCGTAACTAGTTCAACTTTCTCTTAGGCTCCAAACTCAACAGCTAAGCTATTTGGCAACACAAAATGGGCTTCGGAGATTGTCAGGAATTCTCAGGCTGCAGCGGGTTCTAGAGCGTTGACAAAAGGGAAGCGAGGCAGAATTTAATAATCGAATGGTGTAATTGGAAGCCTGCATGCAGATCCATCGTCTAGTTATAGAGAGAAGGAGGAGCCTTGCCCATCTGAGATGAAGCTAGCACGAGCCACGGCAATGCCGAATTGGAAAAAAATCAGAGCCGTAAAGCATTGAGCTTGGGACCAATTTCACTTTGACCTGATGTTTTTCCGGACACTTTGCTTAGTATCCAAGCCCGGAAGGCTGGTAGCGTGTAGTGTCGGATCCGAAAGTAGTTGCGATATTTGCAGTCGTGCAGTCGTGCTTACAGGTGCCCTATTTGGTGGTTTTAGTGGCGTCATGTCTCTCGGCAGTGGGGGCCAAGGGGCTACAGGTACCTGGAACAGGGAGCCAAGCATCGTGTTACGAGGTCATATTTCAATGCTGCCTCGACTTGGGAAAATATTTTCAAGTAGATGGAGGATAGATAGGAGGGGCACCGACTCTAAACGTCTGATCTAATTATATAACTAGTCTGCCTAGGGTCAACCGGGGACAGTCAGACATGTAATGTAACATATACATACAGAGACACAGCTAGGCAGGCAGATCATTGTGGGGTTGGGGCATATAGCCGTGCTGCCATTGCAACAAGACGAAGTCCAATTCTGCCACCACTTCCAGCCGAGGCGAGTTTTGGCCATCTCTCAACCATTGAGAATATATCCATTTTCGTCTCTGCTAATTTTCATCACAATGCCGCGTGCATTAACTCTAAACGCAGGCGAAGGCGGTCGTCCAGGCAAGGTCTACTACCCGTGGGTAACCCTTGTCCTCTGGCCAAGGCAGCCTAGAAGACTGACACTGTGACACGCCAGGCTACAGGTGAAGCAGGTCCCGAAACCAAAGCCAGGCCCTCACCAAGTCCTCGTCCGGATAAAGGCAGCAGCGCTCAATCACCGCGATTTATGGGCTCGCCGGCATTTGTATCCCGGGCTGTCGCTGGAGAACCCGCTGCTGGCCGACGGCGCCGGTATTGTCATCGAGGCGGGATCCGAGGTCAAACGCACCGAGCTCCTCCACCAAGCAGTCATCCTGACCCCGATGCGAGGCTGGGAGAGCGATCCCGTCGCGCCCGAGGATCCGCATCGATTCGCCGTCATTGGCGCTACTCTTCTCTGCGAAGACGGCACCGGGCAGGACTACCTCGCCGTGCACGAAGACGAGGTAGAGCTCGCGCCCCGCCATCTGAGCCCGGCAGAGTGCGCAGCGCTCCCCTTGTGCGGCCTGACCGGCTGGCGGGCGCTCGTCTCCAAGGCGGGCGTCGCCGGCCCCGGCAAGAACGTGCTGGTCACGGGCATCGGCGGCGGCGTGGCGCTGCAGGTCTTGCAGTTCGCCGTGGCCTTTGGGAGCAACGTGTACGTGACCTCAGGCGACCGGGCGAAGATTGCCAAGGCCGTCGCCATGGGCGCCCGCGGCGGCGTCAGCTACAGGGAGCCTGGCTGGGCCGCCGCGCTGCTGGAGATGCTTCCCGACGAGCACCCGTACGTGGATGCAGTCGTCGACGGCGCCGGCGGACGCTTGATTGCCGAGGTGGCGCCCATTATGCGCCCCGGCGGTGTCATTGCGCAGTACGGCATGACCGTCGGCAACAAGATGGACTGGCAGATGCGCGCCGTCTTGGCCAACCTCGAGCTCAAGGGCTCGACCATGGGCTCGAGGCGAGAGTTTCGCGACATGGTTGCATTCGTAGACAAACACAAGATCAAGCCGGTTGTAAGCCGGGCCGTGAGAGGACTGAGCGATCTTGAGGCTATTGAGACTCTCTTTGTCGAGATGCAGGCCGGGAGACAATTCGGCAAATTGGTCATTGAAATTGACGATGAGCCCCAGTCCCAATTGTAAAAGCGATAGGCCGTCTTCCAGGGTTTTTTTCTTCGCAAATTGACCAGTTCTGTCGCATGCAAGCCATGAGCGCCACATTCAGCCTTTTTTGACTGTCGCGGTTCCGTCTCTAATAACCAAAGAAGCCTCCATCAGAGGTTTCAGGAATATTGAAAAATGAGAACCCAAAGATGACAGAGTATGAAGCGTATTCTAAAGTACAGGGCTGATACAAGGCAAGCTGTGCGCCGGAGCCCTTCTGGCCGCACTTGTTACTCAGCGGACCTATGAACTGGTCATTTTTATACACATGGACAGCAGCGTCTCCATGACTAGTCGTTGGTGTTGATTCGCAGATAGCCGTTGGCCATTGTTAAACCTTTAAGGGTACAATGTTTTGGCCTACTGAACACAAAAAAAAGGTGCGAGCTACCTCCCCGTGCTCTATACTGAGTAGAAGGAGTTGTCATGTATTAATTACAGGCAGGATTTGGTACGATTGTCTACAAAACGCTCTCAAGACTCTCTAAAGCAGAGGAGTTGTTATACTAGTTGCGGCTGTGGCTCCAGGGTCAGCCCACCACCATATGTGTTGGTGGTGGCCGAGGACGGAGATACTAGCACCTCCACGTTCCTTTTGTCGTCGATGGAGAGTGCAACTGAACCTAAAAATGGCCCACGCGAAACCACCACGTAGCTATGCCCAACCTGAGAGGCGTAGCGCCGCCGCGCTTGCGGGGTGGTTGCGTGCTTTGATGCCCTGATTCCGTCAGCGTTTGCCCGACTCTCAACCCTACTCTGTACTCCTTTGAAATGGCCTGGAAGCTATCTCGGAAATAAATTGCGAATTCTGATCCTAGGGAAAAGAGGGTCGATTGTTCTCATTTACTTCAAAATGGGGGTTCTAATTGACGCGCGACCCGCGATGATTGACACGCACATTGAGGAGGATGCCCGGACTCATGACGGTATTCCCAACATGCCGCTTCTCTCATCGACCGGGATGAATGGGTGGAGTGAAGCGAGGCCAGTTTTGGGAGAAAACACGACAAGCGCACATCGAGCTCAGAAGCAGACAAGGCCTCTGGAGATTGTGGACAGATATATCGACGAGCCGCGCCCGCTCAAAGTCGCAGTCATTGGTGGCGGTCTCGCAGGAATCCTGGCAGGTGTTCTCCTACCGGTCAAGGTGCCCGGAATTCAGTTGACCATCTATGAGAAAAATGAAGATTTTGTGAGCTAGGTCGAGTATTCCGTTCAACGCACACATGCTCACCAGCTGTCCAGGGAGGGACGTGGCTCGAGAATATTTATCCTGGTGTCAGGTGCGATATACCATCGCATGTCTATCAATCAACATTTGAACCGAAAAAAGATTGGTCCGACGAGTTTGCACCCGGATGTGAAATTCGCGACTACTGGCAGTCGGTTGCTAGAAAGCACAACGTATACCAGTATGCTAAATGTAAGCACCTGGTAGAAGGTGCAGAATGGGACTCTGATGCTGGAAAATGGCACGTTACTGCCCGAAATCTTGAACAGAATGAGGTCAAGACTGTGGAATATGACTTTGTGTTGACATGCATTGGTCGATTCAACAATTGGCAGCTACCAACCTATCCCGGCATCAACGACTTCAAGGGCACTTTAAGACACACCTCGGATTGGGATCCCTCGTTTGACCCCGACGGCAAGAAAGTCGCCGTCATTGGAAACGGGGCCAGTGGTATTCAGGTAGTTGCTGCGCTTCAAAAGACTGTCGCTCACTTGGATCACTACGCCAGGAACAAGACATGGATTGCAACCTCGTGGGCTGGAGATGAAAGAACGGCTGGAGCGCAACCCATCAAAAAGGACCTTCAGGATATCTTTGAGGATTCTGCAGTATACACCAACTACAGGAAAGAACTAGAAGACAAATACTGGCGTGGGTTCCCGGCTGTTCTTCGTGGAAACGCCAAAAACGCGAACCTCAAGACGAGCTTCATCGAAGTGATGAGGAAGAGGCTGTCTAAGAAGCCGAAAATGATGGAGCACATGGTTCCGGATTTCTCTCCCAACTGCCGACGCCTGACCCCAGGCCCTGGCTATTTAGAGGCAATTACCGAGGACAACGTGGATTATATTCGGACCCCGATCCGCAGAGTGACTGCCACAGGCATTGAGACAGAGGACGGCATTCACAGAGAAGTTGATGCTATTTTCTGCGCCACCGGATCCAAGACGGATCTGGTGCCGCGGTTCCCCGTTCGAGCAAAGGGCAAGACACTGGCTGATGTTTGGGCGCCTGGCGGGGAGAAAGGCTACCCATATACCTACATGGGAATCGCGACGCCAGGATTTCCCAACATCCTGTTCGTCCATGGACCGTACGGTACAGGCCCGTCCGGCACCGTGCCTCAAAGCGTGGAGAGCCAGCTGACGTACGTCGCAAAACTGCTCCGAAAGGTGTCCAGGGAAGGTATCAAGTCGGTCGACGCCGACTCCAAGGCCGCTGACGACTTCAACGAGTTCTCCGACGCCTTCTTCAAGACGACCGTCTTTTCGGACAACTGTAGCTCGTGGTACAACGGCGGCAAGCCCGGTGCCCGGGTGCACGGCATCTGGCCCGGCAGCGCCGCGCACCTGACGATTGTGCGGCGCGATCCCCGATGGGAGGACTGGAACTACGAGTACATGTCCGGCTCCGGCAACCGATTCCACTGGTACCTGGGCAACGGCTCGACAAGGCAAGAGGCAGATCCTGCGTCCGACATGACGTCCTACCTTCGGAACCCCGAGGATGTTGATTTAAAAGACATTCACGAGAGCTGGTGGAGCATCCCATAGAGATAGATATGAGAGCCTTGGGCTGATGACAACATTAGATGAAACATACAAGGTTCATGGTGCAGATTCCTTCCTCATGCCGGACTTGTTTGCCGGGCGGGGCTGGTACGCCGAGCCCGGAACGAGTCAATATTCCGTCAATATTTCGCAAGTGCAGCCAAGCATTGTCTCTTATCTGCTGTAGACGTCCGGGGTCCGACTCCGTTGAGCCTGATGCGTGGGTGCATGTTGTTTCACTTGCTTGAAATGACGTGCTCGGACAGTGTGCCGCAGAGCGGAGGGAACTAATAAGCTAGTTGGCCGGCAAATAGAGAAAGCGACGAAAACGGCAATCATTTGTTTACTATATATGTAGATGAAGTACATTTGGATCGATTGTGATATATCTCAATTTTTAAATCCGTTGTGGTTCATTGCCAGTTTACACAGTTCGGCCCCTTCAGACTCCCGCGAAAATGGCCTCCGAGTCGATCCAAGGTACGCAACCCGGTGACGAGACAACGACCCGTTTTTGACGTTGCTAACGTGTCTGGCAGTGAAATGGTATCGATCAACCTTCTTCAACATTACAATCCTCGGGCTATGCAACTTTGCAGCGCCCGGCATATGGGGTGCCATGAACTCCCTGGGCGCCGGAGGAGCCCAGAAGCCGTACCTGGTTAACACGGCCAACGCGCTGACCTTTTGTCTCATGGTGGTCTCTTGTCTCTTTTCCAGTGCCTTGGTCCGCCTGATTGGTATCAAGGGCGCCTTGATCTTTGGAACGTACGTTGCGCCTTGGACAAACTGGGCAAAAAAAAGGGGGACGAACCCGGGCACTGACACGAAACCAAAACTTGCAGCATCGGATATGCACCGTACGCCGCGGGCCTGTACACCAACAACCGCTTCGGCATTGAATGGTTCACGATTCTCGGGGCCGCGCTGTGCGGCATCTCGGCCGGCGTCTTCTGGATGGCCGAGGCCGCCATCGCCATCGCCTACCCGGAGCCGTGGAACAAGGGCAAGGCGCTCGGCTACTGGCTCACGTTTCGCGTCAGCGGGCAGATCCTGGGCGGCGCCATCAACCTGGGCCTCAACGCGTCGCGCAGCGAGGCCGGAAAGGTGTCGCACACGGTGTACCTCGTCTTCATCGCCCTGCAGTGCCTCGCGCCCGTGGCCGCGCTCTTCCTGACGAGGCCGGAAAAGCTGCAGCGTCAGGACGGGAAAAAGGTCGAGCTCGGCATCTTCAACAATCCTTGGTTCGAGATCAAAGCGACCGTCAAACTCTTCTTTTCTCCAAAGTTCTTGCTTCTGTTGCTGCTGATTGGACAGGCTGTATTTGCGGAAGCTGTGTTTTTTACCTACCTCTCGTGTAAGTGCAAGGCTCCTCGATTCTGGTTGGTCGTCTGAGCGACGACAAATTCTAACCATCTCTTGCTTAGTATGGTTTTCTGTTCGTTCGCGTGCCTTGGGATCATTCCTGTCAGGTATTGTCGCTGCGATTGGCGGCAACCTCCTCGGGGTAAGCGACTCTCCAAAGTGAAAGGGTTCCTAGAGTGGCTACTGACGATGCTTCCTTGATAGTATTGGCTTGACAGGACCGACATCCCACTCAAATTGAGAGCCAGATCTAGTTTCTGGACTATCCTTACTCTGCAAGGAGCATGGTGGACTTGGGCGACGGTGCTTTCGACACAGTATCGCCGCACGCAGCCGACCTACGACTGGACAAGCTCTGGCTTCGGAGCCGGCTTCGCCGTCTATATTTTCCTACTACTCGGCTTTCAGTTGAACTACATGTTTCTGTGCGTATCTGAAGCTCGCCTCCCGTCATTTTTCTCTAACGCCTTGAATACTAGGTACTTTATTATCCAAAATTTGGCGGAGAATCAAGAGCAGGTTATTCGCTACTCGGCCTTGCTCCGTGGCACTGAATCTGCCTGGCAGGCAGTAAGCTACGGCTTGGGCGCCATCGAGGTCATGGCACAGGTGGGAAGCATCTACTTGAATTTCGGTCTCTGGGCAGCTTCGATTATCCCGGCTTGGTTCGTTTTGCGCCACATTGGTGTGACAAAGGCGGGCGACAGTGACGATTCCGAGCAGGTGAGCATCAGCGAGCCTGGTGACGTCAAGGTTGCTGGAGATGTGGCTGTTGATCGTGTATAATCTTTCTGTGTGACTTTGGACTATTTGGTTCTTCGTATGGATGGGAAACTTGGTATTTGGTTTTGCAGCTTGGCGCTGTTGAGGTTCTAGAGTAGGCAATCCACGGCAACCATCAACTGCCGGGTCGGTGGACGAAATACTAAGCACGGTAATACTAAGAGCTTGAATGATTCCATAATTATGGAGTCTAAATATCCCTCCAATCTGTTATCAGATCCGAAATCGGAACCCGTTGTGTGCACTTGCTCCTCGTAAGACGGTGTCAAAATCACGCCATTACATACACCGTTTCTGCTGGCCGACGGGCAAGCTCACGTACAGATATACACATAGCTAATTTTATTTATCTACGCCACAGCGGATAATACTGGGAATAAATACCTTCACGGCCACGTTCCTGGCCGTTCCACGTGCGTCGCAATTGCGTCGCCACAATCACGTCATTGCATGGACAATACGCCGAAGCGGGGATAACCGTACCAAACAACGGACGATGGCGCCGAACCTTTATACTACAAGACGTTGAGGCTGATTTATTGATAACATCAGCTTTTCGAACACATTCGTAATTTGGAAAGCCATTCGACACCAACTAGATCGAATACAGCGGAAACATGGCCGACGAAGCTTCCACCACGGGCAAGAAGCCCCTCATCCTCAATGCCTTCGTCATGATGTGTAGGACCGCCTGATAGCCATATGCATTCTCAATGGCTCATTTTATTCTAGGCAGCGGTCATCAATCCCCAGGTTTGTGGCGTCATCCGGATGACAAGTCGCACAAGTTTGACGAGACGGAGCATTGGGTTGAATTGGCCAAGCTACTCGAGTCGGCCAAGTTCCACGGCATCTTCATTGCTGATGTGCTCGGTAGGATCCTCACGACGAGTTTTTTTTTAACTCTTTCCATGTTAACCAATCTAGGTGGTTATGATGTCTACAAGAAATCACTAGAGCCAGCGATTGTGTCAGGCGCTCAGTGGCCAGTGACGGAGCCTTTGGCTGTTGTTCCCGCCATGGCCGCGGCCACGAAAAGCATCGGCTTCGGTGTCACGATTTCGACCACGTACGAACAGCCGTATCATTTGGCCAGACGGATCTCTACTATTGATCACTTGACCAAGGGACGGTGAGTGCAGCTATTTGAACCCGCCATCCATTGGCCTTTGAACTAATTGGCTTTCTGAAGACTGGGATGGAACGTACGTGCCATGTGGCGTGCCTGCAAGTATCCATGCTCACACGACGACAGATTGTAACGAGCTACTTGGACTCGGCTGCTAAAAACCTCGGGCGCGATACACAACTTGATGTAAGGCCCTTGCTCGGCTGGAATTCTGAAGAGCACTGACGGCGACAGCATGACGAGCGCTACGCCCAGGCGGAAGAATACATGAAGGTCATGTACAAGTTGTTCCAGGCTTCTTGGCGCGACGATGCCGTGACGCTGGACCGCGCGCGCGGCGTCTATACCGACCCGGATCTTGTCCGCCCGGTCCATCACAAAGGAAAGTACTTCACCGTTCCCGGCCCGCACATTGTCCATCCCAGCCCGCAGCGAACACCGCTTCTCCTGCAGGCCGGCGCCTCGAAGTCGGGCAAGCTCTTTGCCGCCCAGCATGCCGAGGCCATCTTCACCTCTGCCCACGCGCCCGAGGCGTGCAAGAAGAACATTGCCGAAATCCGGCAGACGGCAATGGAAGCTTTCGGGCGAGACCCCCGAAGCATCAAGGTCCTCGCGCTCGTCACGCCCATCCTAGGCAGAACGGAGAGCGAAGCACTCGCCAAGTACAACGACTACAAAAAGTACGCCTCCCTAGAAGGCGCGCTTTCGCTGTTCGGCGGCTGGACCGGCATCGATCTCAGTGCCTACGGCGACGACGAGGAGCTGCGCGAGGTCGAGAGTAATGCAGTCAAGTAGGTCGCCATTTTCGCAACAGGCAGAAAGAGTTAAAAAGGGCCGGCTAATCGGTTTTACAGATCAACTGTACAAGCGTATGCGAGGTTCTCACCCGCCAACTCGAAATGGACCAAGCACACCGTGGCCGAACATGTCAGCCTGGGTGGCAACGGACCGCTGTTCGTGGGCACCCCGGCACAAGTCGCCGACAGTCTCGAAACCTGGGTGCAGGAGGCTGATGTTGACGGGTTCAACTTGGTGAGCGAGCCCCTTGGTACTTGTCTACAAGCAAATCATGTCATTTTCCTAACTTGCTACCACAGGCATACGCAGTATTCCCGCAGACGTTCCAGGACATTATTGAGCTACTTCTCCCAGAGCTGAGAAAGCGCGGCTTGTTCTGGGACGACTACGCAGTCCCAGGCGGTACCTACCGCGAAAACTTTTACACGGAAGCTGGTCAGAAATACCCCAAGGCAGAGCATGTGGCATCCAAGTATCATTGGAAGGCAGGGCAGACTGCAGCGGAAAGCGTGTTCCCCGAATAGTGTCTCCATTGCCAGGAAGCCACCGGAGCTCGACGAAGGTTCTCACAGAGCGGATTCAAACTTGTATGCAACTTTTTCGGACGAAATACATGGTCGCAGGGAAGTTGATGGTTCCGCAATAGACGGACCGGGATCGAGATTGGCGGTGAAACTAGACGCCACCTAGGACAGTCTGAGTTTCACTTGGTCATAATCACATACGGATAGTTAACCATGTATTGAGATTTTCAGCTACAACGCAAATCTACGTGGAATGGATATCGTATCTCTCGTCGGCACCAACCGGCCATTCTCCAAGACCCCCGTTAACCAACGCAAAAGTGTCACCATTGACTAAACAAATCGAATATTCTTACCTAAATTGAACTGTAAATAAACCACGCCCGCCTTATAGTATTATCGCATTTCAAACGTCGTCCAGCAGTAACCGATCTCGGCAGGTGCCTACCGATCCCACTTGCAAATGGCCGAACTTGGGTAGTGCAGGGGTGTGTGAGATGAAGAGGCATTTGCCGGAGCCCGTTTGGCCCGTGTAATTCTGGCAACACGTTCCAGATGGTGAATGTAGATTGAGGCGTTGAAGCCCTCGCCGAGCTACCTCGGCCTCTGATTGGCTGATAGCCGGGTCCGGACACTCCTTCAGGCACACACACAACCTCCAACTTGGTGATGGAGGCGCAACCTTTTCATCATCAGACATTAGAGCATCAATAATGTCCATTTGTTATCCCTTGTCGACCCGCGATTTATCGACCTGTCACCGACAGTGAATAAACAAGCGAGAGACATGTGGAGAAGCGGGTTGCCGTCTGTAGCAGCGACCGAAGCAAGGACCTGTCTCAGCCTTAATTTCCGGATCGACATATGAACTTTATCCAAGGCGGTACTTCTTGGTATCAAGCAAAGGTTCTGTTGGCTGACGGTTGGTCGCGCGCAGCCGTCCTCTCTCGACCGGGAATAAATACACTGATATTGACCAGTTTGGACGTGTGATGGCAACACTTTACGTGACTCGCTCTGTGTGGTTCTTCTCCAGGCCGCTCGCCAATAGGATTGGATCGATTCCACGAACGGGTGCCGCCAGGGCTGGGTAAACTCCCTCACGCAACGTCCGAAGAAGGCAGAGCGTCGCCGACGTCCAAGCCCCGAGCGTCCGGGGGGGGCTTCAGCCACGCGGTTGGCACCGGGGGAAATCGCTGTTGGTTGCCTGGCCGCAATCGCCTACTTCAAGCATAACAGTGTCCCGGTATATCAGGCCGTATCTGGCGGGTGGGAGCAGGACCGAGGAGCTGCCTTCTCCGGAAGTGATCGGCCGCTGCGGGATTACTGTCTGGACGATGGTTTGCATCTCAACTCGACTTCATGCGGAAACCACTGCGCAAAAGGGGAAACTGTGTAGACCATGGACAAGGTCCTTTGGTATTTCCGTTATAGACCATGAGGCTATAATTCACTTCGAGGTTGGCCGAAGTGAAGCGACCCAATGACCTTCTCAATACGGTGAAGTGCTGAGTGGGAGTCCCGGAGCCGAGCAATTAGATCCAAAGCTCAACGGCCTTTTGTCCACGGTGATAGTATCATATGTCTCGGGGGAGCTTTTGCTCACCAAGCACCGAAATACAAATAGAGCCTCTGCCTGCTTGAATTAACCACTCATCTCATCATCAACACGAGCACCTCATCCCCCTACGACTTAGACAAACTGCACGGTCTCTCCTCGCCTTTGTTTACACATTGCCAACATGCGTCTGTCCGTCCTGCTCTCTATTCTGCCCCTGGCCGCGGCCGTCCCGACGGCCAAGCGATCCGAGCCCGCTCCTCTCCTGATTCCTCGCGGCGTCGGCGCTAATAGCCTGATCGCCGGCGAGTATCTCGTCAAGTTCAAGGAGGGCAGTGCGCTCGCCGCCGTCGAGGAGGCCATGAAGCAGCTGCCCAACGGGTCCGGTGAGATCTTCAGCGAGGTCTTCAAGGGTTTCTCCGGCCAGTTTGACGATGCTACCCTCAGCCTCCTCCGCGATCACCCGGATGTACGTTACTCAGTGACGACATATCTTAATAGAACGTTGAGGACTGACAAACTTGGTAGGTAGAGTAAGTTGAGCAGAACCACCTTATGACGGCCTTTTCTGGCATTAGCCAGAACCCGTCTGCTTGGGGTCTCTCTCGCATCTCCCACAAGGACCCTGGCACGAGCGACTACCTTTACGATTCCTCTGCTGGTACGTGCTACTTTGGCCGTTCCTCCATCTCTGCATTTTCTGGCTCTCTGAGAGTCGTAAACTGACATGGTACTAGGAGCTGGAACTTGCTCCTACGTTGTTGACAGTGGCATTGACGCCTCACACTCTGTAAGTCCCTTTTAAGACATCGAGCCTGCCGCCTCATATACACGACAGACTCGTCTGTTTTTTTCCTCTCTTTCATTTTTTTGCAACTAGTCATCTAATTATTGGAGCAGGACTTTGACGGCCGTGCCGAGCTAATCAAGACCTTCTTCGGCCCGAACAAGGACAACTGCGGCCACGGCACCCACGTGGCCGGCATCATCGGCAGCACCACCTACGGCGTGGCCAAGAAGACCAGCCTGTACGGCATCAAAGTTCTCAGCTACGATCCCGTCTTGAAACAATGCTCGGGCTCCAACGACGGCATCATCCACGGTCTCGAGTACGTGGCGCGGGACGCCGCGAACCGCAGTTGCCCCAACGGCGTCGTCGTCAACATGAGCCTGGGCGGCGGCTTTACGCAGATGCTCAACGATGCCGTCGCCGCCCTCGTCAGCAGGGGCTACTTTGTCGGCGTCGCGGCCGGCAATGGCGACGAGCACAACAACCCGATTGACGCCGGCGACGTGTCGCCCGCCTCGGAGCCGTCGGCCTGCACCGTCGGCGCGAGCGACGCCAACGACGAAGTGGCCACATTCTCCAACTACGGCGACGTGGTCGACCTCCACGCCCCCGGCGTCTCCATCGTCAGCCTGCGCGCCGGCGGGGGCACCATCTCCATGGACGGCACCTCCATGGCCACGCCGCACATTGTCGGCCTTGCCGCCTACTTCATGGGTCAGGGCAAGTCGGCCGATGGCTTGTGCGAGTACCTTCAGAGCATCGCCATCAAGGACGCCATCTGGGGCGTGCACTATGGCACCAAGAACCTGCTTGCTCAGAACGATATGGCACAGTGAGTGCGCAGCAAACACGCGTACTTCAGGACGGTGGACAATTGCGAAATCTTGACGACCCCATCACTGATTCTTGGATAAGATAGCGAGACTGCCTGTTGGTTCACTTGAACATGATTGTACATAGCCCTGATAGACCGATGAAAATAACTAAATGCACTATAGTTCCTCTCTTGATCTGCAAGGTACTAACTTCTCCCTGGTGGTATTTTGCTTTTATTATCTCTGATTATATACAATGCTTCTGTTTCCGCGGTATGTGGCAGCTGGTATGAGCTTTTATATTTGGGTAGAGGTGTAGACTGCAGGTCACGTCGGTGAAACAAACTCCTGCAGAGGCAGTATTTTGGATGTTGAAATGACAGTCTTTGTAAGGGTTTCTACAGTGCTCGGCACAAGAAAACAGCAACGTCTGGTGTTTGGTGCGTTTGCTCATTTCAAGGGTGCTCCTCCGACTTGACCAGCACACGAGTAGATTTGGTTAGATTTGACTGGCAGTCGCTGCCTTTTGCGTTTTCAATGTCGGTCAATTCATTCTCATGGCTTTCCAGGGATGTGAGGGAACGGAGAACTGTCTGGCCACGCGACGCATGCGCGTACGAGACACGGTCTCCAGACGCCGTCGTGCTCCCCAGCAGCCTAGGGAATAGGCGCAGGAGAAGCAGCCGCAGCGAGGGGAGACATGTGCAAATCATGCCAATGTTGACCTCGATTGTCGACCAATAGGCGACCTCCCACTGGTCCCACGTTGGATTGTTGGAGTTTGCAAAGCTCACCAGGGATCGCAGTCGTAGAATCGAGACAACCGTAACACTAGACGCGAGCAAATCAGAATTCGTAGTCAAGTAGTACTCTCCAGGGTCCAAACGTACAAGGTTCCAGTCAAGAACATGATGACGACGCCAACCTTTCTTCTCCAGTGTAGATTTAGCTTGCTGATCTGGCTGAGCGGAACCGCAATCATCACAACGTCAATCAGCACGCTCATGGTGGCATTCGACCAGCCCATGGCGTTGATGTTGATGCAGCGTCCCCGGCCAGGATGCTCGCCGTACTGCGTCCACCAGTAGTGAATCGGCGAGCACTGGAAAATGGCCGCCGTGACAAACGCGACGCCAAAGAGGGCATTGTCGGCGCAGACGCCCCAGAGCAGGCGCCGGACGCCGGTGCCCGGGAACACGCTCAGGTAAAACGCCGACAGGCTCAGCTTGAGCAGCGACAGCTCCGCCAGGTACAGGACCTCCATGATGTACAGCCACATGACAAAGGTGCTGAGCTCGCGCGCGGACATGGTCCACACGTCGCGGCCGAGGCCGTGGTCGGCGAGGCCCTTGACGTTGAGCACGGTGCCGGACACGCGCAGCGCGAGCGTCAGCAGGATGATCTTGTCGTCGGGCCCGAGCGACCGGCTCGGGCTCCAGAACCGCTTAAAGCCCACGCGCACGAGCACGAGAGAGACGGCGAGTACGCCGAGTGTGACGGACATATTGTAGTACTGCCGCGTCTTGCTCCGGACGGGCGCGCCGCACGCCGTCTGCGTCGCGTTCTTGGCGCTCAGCGAGTCGGCAAGCGAGCAGGCTTGGGAGATGCAAGCGGCTGCGCTCTTCTGCACCTGGGGGTCGTGGCAGACGCACTGCGTGTCGGTCGCGGGACAGGTCGATTCGGACATGGCAGACACGATGCATGGAAGCTGAGCGATGCGAGCAAGTCCTCTTTTGTCAGTACATGCTCAATGCCATTCCAAGTCTGACCAAGGACTGTTTCCGGTCCGTTTGTACTTACAGCACAGGAAGGAATCGGCGGCATAGGTTGCGGCGCGGCTCCTACCGCCCGTGGCTGCGGCCGCGATGCAGCGACGCATACTTGAAAGCTGCACGCCAGCAAGAGGCTCCAATATTGGGCCAGCATGGTAAGGCGCGCCGTAGATTATTGTTGGTATTCGACTGGTGAAGATAGGTGTGGTCACATTCCGGCGCTGTGGTTTCTGCGAGTACTATAGCAAAGGTTCGGGGCGCGGGGGTGAGGCACACGACGACCTTCTTATCTAGCTGTAATATAGCTCATTGGGCGGCGTTGAAACGCAAGAGGCAGATTTCCCCTTTCCCACTGATCTATCATAATGAACCCACAGCGAGACAACGCCGGAGCTTTGGAAGCGGAGAAGACAGGGCTGGTCTAGTTCGTCCGGAGCCGATGATCCTTTGCCCACGAGGAGCTACCGCCGTCTTCACATGCCATAATGGCCGCAATGGCATCTACACTTTGTAGCCCCCGGCTTCTCGCCCATGCCCAACTCGGTCTTGCAGTCTCCCTACCCTCACATATTCCAGGAAGAGAAAAAAGAGGCCAGCTGGCTACACAGTCTCCTGCCCTCTTCCATCTCCAGTTCGATTGAGCCAGAGTCCCACCACTGCGGACCGCGCGATGATCTATTATATCAGACGATGGCATACCAAACTAGTGGAAACGCCATTTTGAGTCACACAGGCCCTGTGGCTGAACAATCCTAGTCTCGCTTAACTCGGGCTGTTGAGAGTGTGGAGGGAGGTGCCGTCCGGGGAGAGTAGCGTTGTTGGTTCAGCCTTTGTGTCATTTATTCCAATTACTGGTTCAGAAACTATACTCATAATCTGGGCCAAAGCATATTCGCAGCCCTATGTCTTGGTTCGAAATAGTGGTGGGACTTCATGGGCAAGGATACCAGTGGATAGTACGGATAGTAGTACGGAGTACGGAGTATGGTGGGCCACAAGAGACGCCACTTGAAAATTTTCAGGGGAAGAGTTCAGATGAATTGTACGAATACATACAATGCCCCGGCCGGCCGGTTCCGACATTACTTTTTGGATGTTCCGCAGAATCGAGGCACGGTTGTGAAGTGTGACAGTTCTAGTTCAGGTGTCTCGCCTAGTAACACTCGACATCATCGCGAAATACTGAGTACGAATTTCCAAGTGATTGCAATTCGTATTTTATTCGGCCCTCCTATTTTCTCAATTTGTTATCCGTCATCGTCTCATTGTCCCTAGAGTGGCTGTCGCTAGAGGTGCGTAGCTTCCACATCCAAAACCATAGTCTGGGGGGTTTACAAACCCCATCGCTTCATTTGCCGGAACAACATCATCACGTCTTCGTAGTGGCTTTTCGCCTTTTTTGTACCGCGACGCCGGCATGGTATCTGCGTTTCGCGGGAACAGATGATGTTGCTTTTCCCCGACTGAGACAGCTGGAGGGTCAAAGCGGCTGCGAGTATAGGTTGTCTCGGACATTTCTGATTCGAGATGAGAGGTCTAATTACCCCAGATCAGAATATTGATATGTGACTGCTCACGATTGACTTTCACGGGAGACAAACGTCCCACGTTGCTGGCCAGCTTCTGACCATGATGAGCACTTCCTAATTCAGCATCAACTTGACTGCCGGCCAGGGATCAAATATTCGACATTTTCTTTTTATACAAAGGCGCGGCACTTTTCAGTGGATAGCTACGAAGAAGCAATGAGTGGTCTAAAGTGATAGATCCAATACAGTTAGCTACTGTAAGAGGCAGGTATTAAATACGACAGCTCCCTTAATTAAGAATGTCATGGTAACGAAGCGTTTTATTGACAAGTAATTTAGTTGGGTACATAGTTTGCCCTCAACTTGACATCTTGGTAGCAGCTCCACAGCTTAGGGTAGCACATCACCAACAACCTAAATACTGGTCGTTCCTTATTCTTTCGAATTGGTGGGTACTATCCTCTCTGAATTAAAGTTTTTTGAATTTTGCTACAGCTAGTTTGAGATGACATAGCTCAGTAACGCGCGATTGTGTGCTCGTCATTATGCCACGGCGATTTGCTTGGCTTATTGGAGGACTAAGTGCTTAGTGGGTAGATAGCACAAATCGTGGTGATGACATCAGCTCGTGGCCGCGGGGTAATTCGACCATTGCCGACTATTTCTCGTGGATACAAGCAACCGATGGAAAGAAGCAGGTAATGCAGGATTCCACAGAGGCTGCCATTGGCGGCATTCGCTACTACCATAAGCACCGGTACGTGGAGAGGTCTGGCTGGTTTGCGCCAAAAATATGACGCAGCTTCTTCGTTCTTTGTGGCCCGTCCTCCTTTAGGCTTTTTGCTTGACCTTGGTCCGAAGAATAATCCACGAATGAGGTTCCACTAGCCTGCACCATGCCGTCAGTCCTTCCGCCGATGAGGCTTGCCGGTCCGTCCCCGCCATGTCAGCGCAGCATCCGAAAGTGGGTACGGAGGTACGGAGCGGTGCTTTCCCGATCAAGTTGCCGATGTCTTGCGCGCGATTGCGTATATAGACAGGACACGAATTGGAGTTCAAAGAGTTAGTTAGCGTGACAACATGGCCAACGATGCCTCTGTCCCCAAAGGATAAATAGATGCAAAAGCCTCCCACCTTGTCCGTCCGAGGCGTATTCCTTTTCATCAAACCTAGTTCTGTATCCGGGATTTCCAACTTCAAGCCTTCATCATGAGATCTACCTCCGCCGTTGTCGCCGCCACTCTGGCCGGATTCGCCTCTGCCTGCTCGACGCCTGGAAACTTCGTCGTCACCTTTTACGGCTACCCCGACAATGACCCTCCCGGTCCCGCCACGGCCTACAACTGCGGCGGTCGCAACAACCGTGCCGGCGGTACGTTCTTTACCACGCCGGCGTTAGAATCTTCGTCGTCGACGCCCGCCCTGCTTCATGATGCTAATCGGTCCTGGCAGGCACGGGAACCTACAACGACCCCGTCACCATTGCCACCGCCCCCGGCGAGCTGAACCAGTGTGAGATTGTTTACCTGCCTTTCCTCACCAAGTACGGCCGTGTGGAGGACTACTGCGCCCAGTGCGGTAAGTAACCTGTACTCTGTCTCTGAGAATCAACCATACAATTCTGACCGGCCGTGCTGTAGATGCCGACAACAAGCGGGGCCAGCCTCACATCGACATCTGGACCGGTTCCTCTACCCAGAACGGCGGCCAGGCCCAGATTGACTGCGAGAACCGTCTCACCCCCGGCGGTCGCTACTCCATCGTCCGCAACCCCCCAAAGAACTATGGTGTCAACCGTGAGTCTGTCCTCGCCCGCGGGCTATGGACCAAATCCATGTGCTAACTTGGGAACCTCAGCCGCTCCTCTGTTCTCGCCCCCCAATACTTGCAACACTGGCAACGTCTATCCCAACAACCCAGCTCACTGCTAAAGCGGCGTCATACATATATGAGACTAGTCTCAGCATACGCACATGTAGTAATCCGAATTAAATGTCCAATGTCCATTGTCAATGACACGCTCATCATGTGTGACGGCTATTGCCTCTGGAACAAGTAGAGCTCTATCGACTCGTCTTCGTTGCCCAACACAGGCAGATGTAGTGTTTGGCTGTCTTGAATGGACCACTGCTCGTTCGCCATCAGGTCAAAGAAAGCCCGCTCAGATGCATGTCGCGGCTTAGTCGCCAGAAAGACCTTGGTTCCTGCTGCGTCGCCCACCTTCTTCTCCGCACTCGCGCTTTCTATCGCACCCAGAGTCTCCACGAGTGCCGGCAGCATGTCAACGTTGTAGGTGCAGTCGCTGATGGTGACGAGGTCCCAATGGCGCGATGCGACTTCGGGGCCGAACCGCCCTTTCCCTCCGTCTTCCCAATCAAGGTTTTCGTAGAGTAATGAGAGGCCGCGATTCGATGTGCTCGTGGCTATTCGTCGCATGTTGGACCTGGCTCTTTCCTCGGCCTCAGCCAGATCCGTCATCATGACTGTGCACTTTTCCAGTCCTTCTTTCCGCAGTTCTGGAAAGATGGTGGCAAGGCCGATGCCCAGAATCCCGACCCCACACCCAAGTTCAAGAACATTCAGTGAGCTTTTGGAGGATAGGGTGGCCTTGATGGCTCGAGGGAGTGTCTGTTGGCTACATTTGAGGCCGGGGCACAGATAAGCGCCAGCGATCGAGCACATTGCGAGCACACCAGCATCCCAGATGTGCCGGGCGATGCTCTCGCCAATTTCTTCTTCAACTTGAACAAGATACTTGCCAGAGACCTCGTCGTCTAGCAGGATCCTTCGCGTCGACACGTCTGCACCTTCATTTGAGTTGCTCAGCGTCGCCCAGATTGGCATGACTTGGCCTTTTCTGTCACCTTCCAACGCGTTTGAAAGGATGTTCTGCACACCATGCGCAGAAATCCCCTTATTCGTGGTTATGCAAATAGCCACCTTGGCTCCAGATGCCAAGGCAGTTTGCAGTGATCCGGGGATGGCAACGTTTTGTTTCACCACTCGCATGCCGGATTGCCACACGACCTGGCCTTTTTTGGTCAGTTGCAGCCTTGACTGCTTTGGAGATTCGTATATTTCCGCCATTATATGTAGATCAACAGGTGCCTCTGGGTGAAGAAATGAGTCTCCCAGATCGGTTGTGATTGTAAAAAGCAGCTCCAGATGGAGCCCAGCCTGTCGGGCGACCTTGGGTGGCCGAAGAAACCGGATATAGTGCATGACGGCGAGTTCTAAAGGGCCAGGGATTTCTTGAGGAGTTGGCCATTAACAGGCACGCATTGCGTTGTGTCAAGGCCATTGCCAGTGTATGGCAGGTGTTGCAAATAGCTGACTGTGGTGAACAAAAGTTTGTCGTCCCATTCAAGAGCTTAGTCATCTCGCCAGACGAGCAGAGACAAAGATCGCACGCAATGTGTTGATTCTCTCGGTGTAGTTGGAAAAAGTAGTCGTCCAAATCAATTTGTCAAGAGTATTCGAACGAATCTCGCTATATGTTGATTCTTCGCGCCATTGACCGGTCTTGTGTGGTAGTCGGAAGCCGCCGCTGGCACAGCCGCTTGGCGGTGTTCGCCGGATTACATATTACCTTACACACAGTTGTAGATGAAAGCATAGATAGCCCCAACTCTATAGGAGTTCTCAACTTGTTGTCAAAATCAACCCCCGAAAATGTCTCTCAATCCCAAAGATCTCTTAGCCACTCTTCTTCGCACCATTGAAGATGAAATCATTCCCATGACACGGGCCGGCGTCGCGTCCGGCTCCAAGGTCTTTGGGGCCGCCATTCTGTCTCGACAGAACCTCAGGCCGCTCACCGTCGCGACCAACAATGAGCGCGTGTCGCCGCTTCTCCACGGCGAGATCAACTGCATCCAAGAGTTCTTCACCAAGGACTTTCCGGACCCGGCCAGCCGGCCGGACCCGCGGACGGACTGCGTCTTCCTCGCCACGCATGAGCCCTGCAGCCTGTGCCTGAGCGGCATCGCATGGTCGGGCTTTCGCGAATTTTACTACCTGTTTACGTATCAAGACAGCAGGGATGTGTTTGACATTCCATACGACCTCGACATTTTGCAGCAAGTCTTTCGCGTCCCCGGCACGGAATCGGAGGAGCAGGTGGAGCGGCGCGCTCTCTATAATCGAGAAAACAAGTTCTTCTCAGGGCAATCGTTTCTGAATCTGGTCGAGAAATTGGAAACCGACGAAGAAAGGGAGCATTTCAATACTGAAATACAACGTGTCAAGGCGCTGTACAATGCCCTGAGCGATACATATCAGGAGGGCAAGAAGGGCGGTGCCCAGACGTCCAGCACTTGGAAATAGAGCTCATGATTTCTCTCAAACTTCTGATGAAATGCGGCGCCTCTGTTACGTATCACTTTTTGCCCGTTTCGTAGTCTGGTGCTCATCGGCAATTGCGCGATGTTTGTCCGCCTTTTGGCACGTCATGTCCGCAGTCTGGCATGCCATGTCCGCCTGCCTCCGCTTACCTCCGCCATCCGTCCGCCATCACCGCTCATTCATCAAAAGCGTACCCAAAGATGGCCCATCTGCTCGTTCCACTCAGCGATGCAGGTACGGAGGAGGTGTTGTAATCGCTCCGTGGCCGCGGGCCGAGAGCTCTAGTGAGGACTCACAGGTAGAGCGGCGGGGGATAAATAGCCATGAACTGGTCCCAACCCAGATCATCTCCAATTTCGCTTCAAGTACTACCCAAACTCGCCAGCCCAGAGGAAAAAAATAACTACAAAGAGAAGAGAGCCAGCCGACGCGCGCCCCAACAAACCATGGCCTCGCGCATATCCGACTTTGCGCCGCTCAAGCGCGCCGCGACGCGCGACTCGCTCGAGCCGTGGCTCAAGAGCGTCATCCTCGCCTTTGGCGCCGCCAAGATTCTCTTCTTCGTGCCCCTTCTCGTGCTCCTCCCGCTGCGGGTACCGGTGCCGGCGCCGGTCGCCGCGCTGGTCCGCTGGGGCCCCGGCGGCGGCGGCGCCGAGCAGTACGAGGAGATGATTGCGTCCATCTACGTCGTCTGGGGCGTCTTCATGGTCCGCGCCGCGGCCGACCCGCTCCGCGCCGCCCTCTTTCTCGACTTTACCGCGTGCGCCGACGCGGCGCACATTGGCCTCATGACGCTCATGGCCGTCGTCAACGCGGGCGACCGTGTGCATCTCGTCGGCGACGTCCTCGCCGCCTGGCTCTTCCTCGGCCCGTTCATCTATGTCTGGACCGCGGTGAGGAAGGAGCGCGGACCGGCGCGGCCGAGGTCGGATGGGGCCTGAAGACGGAAGGGAATGTCTCGTCGTCAACTTGCAGCGTGCAGAGTATTCACGTTGGGCTTGGACCTGAAAGCTACGGAGCGAAGTCTCGTGTTTCTGTAACGAGTTAGTCACATCGTTTCGAGTGTACTTCCTAGTATACACCCCCCCTCGAACTAATATATATGTTGCTGCATGGGTCTTGCGACTTGGACAACTCCACTGGTGCCGTCATGGGCGGCGTGGCTTGCATGCGTTCATGACTTTTTGAATCCTGGGGCACTCGCTCACGAGCATTGATTGCTGGTTACGTCCTTCCCTGTCATGCTCCGACTGCTAACTACAACAAAGTGACCAAGGTCGTCTTCTCCTCTAGCGTAATGAAGCAGCAGACACTCTTTCCGAACCAAACCGAAACGCCCGCCCCTGTCTCTTACCAAAGCACCTGCGCGTTCAACCCCTCCCGCACGGCAGCGAACGAGCGTGCAGCAATAAGCGATGGCTTGCTGCATGGCTGACTATGAGGGAAAAAAAGCCACCACCTTGCCTGCGACCCGGCTCGTGCCACTGGTAGGTTCGGCAGCAAACTGCTAGCTTTTTAGTGGGCAACCCCCAACTGAATGGGACTAAAAAATAATTGTTAACCACTCAAGAGATGGTTCTTCCTTCTAGACTAGTCTTCATTCTGGTGGAAGGTGTGGAAATAGACCATTCAGAAAGTACCCGCAGGTACTTTTCTCTAGCAAGAGAGAAACTAAACTATTCTTGTTTCTGCTTCTAGACAAGACACCCATCTTACTGTCTCTAGATTGCGGCTGGAAAAGCCAAGAGGATCTGGTGAGCTGAATGATTCGTCGACGGCAGCCGTAGCCGCCGAATGTAACAGTGACGCGCATCACAAGGCCGGCATTACAGTGTGTTAGCTCTACGAGATTTTGTAGAGGCTGCCAGTGGCTTCAATAGAATAATAATAAAAGGACACAGACACAACCAACTATTAGCTCGGGCTTGTCCGGTGAGTGACAGAGGAGGTGGCACGCACGCCTGCAGAAAGAGATCTCGCTTTTACACGCAACCATTGGCTGCTTCCCAACGCTGACCTGTCGTGCATGCGCTGTAATCCCACAACGTTTTATTTGCTTTTGCGACAAACAAGTAGAAGGACGGAGAACCCCTTGCAAAAGGCAACAATACAGATTAACAACTCGTCATAGAGTCATGCCCCCAACCAACTTCTGCAAAGCAAAGGCAAAACTGCAAGCAGCGGGCGCCGAGCCTCCGTCGCGGGCGCGGGCGTTCAAACCATGTTCCTGCCCCTCATCAACTGATCATCAACCCGGACCTGGACAGTCATGCAGGTGATGGGCAGCCACGCAAGCCACTGGCAAATGCACCCGAATGGGGTCTAACCGTTCCCCCCTCCTCACATTGAAAAGAGGGGGGGGAAACTTGAGAGGCTGAGAGGCTCTCGCTTGGGTGAATTGCTTTCTTTTTCCTTGGAACAAGGAAAATATGGACAAGGCATCAAGATAGGGCGAGAATGAAGAAGATGGCGTGCGCATGAGCCGCCGCCCGCGACGAAACACAAAAGCCCGCCCAAAAGGACAAAGAAGGGGATTCAAATTTGTGTAACACGCCCGCCGCGCTCAGTCGAAAAATTCCTCTCTGCTTCACACCCATTCACGCAGAGCCCGTTTCCCATCACCGCCGGCTCGGGCCAGGCACGGTCTTGTTCTCTTAGTTAGTTGTTTATTAGTGCGAGAACCAAGGGGGGGTTGGGGGCAGGCGGCCGGGGGGAAAGGCCAGCTGACTGCCCGTGCCGTGAAGAATAAAAAAAGGAGACAAGCAAACCAAAATCTGCAACCCCATCAAACATATGCAAAGCCCCATCTCGAGTTGGCAGGAAAAGTCTGGGGGCCATGTACAGCATGCGAGAGCGCGCCTTGAACCACACCTAATAAAAGTACCAAACTGATAAGTAATTTGTACAGATTACACACACGCAGCCACCCGGATGAAAAGGGGGCGGGCAAAGACATTTTTCTTCCAGAGGCCTCTGAAACATCGACGGGAAGAGGACCTACAGAGGAAATGCGCAGAGAGCCTAATTACTAGGTCTTGGATCGCAGGGAATTCAAGTTGGGTGCTAAACTCACGCCCTTTTCTTTTCCCCTCTTGTTCTCTCTTGTAGTAATAGTTGGGCAAAGGAGGAAACTGGATTTGATATGCTTTGCGCCGGCGAGACAGCCGGTCCGGCGGCATAGCCGACACTTGACTGTCTCACTTGGATGGACGCGACTCAAAGGCCCTCCGGTGAGGAGAGGGGGGGGTGTTCGCTGGACGCGACTTTGCAATGCCAAGGGAGGGTAGCAATTCGCATCGTATGATATTCCTCAGGTCCGGCATTTCCGATACTTGTTTCTTTCTCTGCAAATGTCTTTGGCAAACAAGTGCAAAAATGACCAGGAGGGAAAAAAAGGAAAGAAAAAAGAAGGCTAGGTCTCAACAGGATCTGTGCGCACCGGGGACCTTGGCCGTTCACGCAGGCCGCCGGGGGCCAAACTAGTTAGCAAGAGTCATGCAGGTGAGTAAGATCTATATTCGGCGTCCGTCATGCCCGGCTGTGTTAGCAATGCTACGCTATGCAGTCGTTGCTCCATTCTTAGCCGGAGTACGGATAGCGAAACGGCGCATTGAGTGACTCGAGTCTCGCTCAACAACATCCAAGAGCAAGAGCCAGTGTCGTCAACATGATAGACTACGCAAGGCAAACACCATGGCCATTGTTATATAATGTTTTCTATTTTCAACTCAAACTAAAGGATCTCGGGCATAATACTTCCCTAGCGAAGCAATATTATCAATATGGCAAGTTGTTGTAATCTCCAAACCCCCATACTTTTTCCAGTCTATAACAAAAAATCAAAAGTCGACATCTCTCTCCCAGCGTACCTCGTCGTTATCTCAAACGACGGCCGCGGGTATCTCTAAAAGGTTCAGCAAAAAACAAGAATACAAAACAAAAAACATAGTCGACACCAATCTTGGTGTGCTGCGCAGCGCGCGCGTTCCGGTTGATAGTACAGGTTGCCCTTGCGTTCCATCTTGCGCATCGTGCCCGCGTATCTAAGAGACCCTGATATCCATAAGAGGAAGATAAGAAATAGGAAATAAAGCAAATACTCCGGGGTATAAGATTGGGTATCCAGGCTGCTCCGTCCACAGATAAACGAAAAATCAGATTATTGTACAGTCTGACAGTGCCATTCCCTGGACGTTGAAATGGTTCCACGTGATTCGTTGCTCCAACAAGGTCAAGAGGCTCCGAGATCCAAATGGTTCCAATGGCCAGGTAAGAAAGAAAGGGAAAAATCCCACGGAGCCACCGTTCTAGCACAAGCAGGCTTTGGGCGAATTCTCCTTGGGGTGAGAGAGGGGGCGCTCTGATGGTCCAGTCCAGGCATTTATCGGCTTGGGTTCCGGACAATGTCATCACAGTTGGCATCAAAGCGGAGGATGAAGAGACGTATGCTTTGCATAAACTTGTCCGTCTTCTCACCTTCACGATCAGGGCCAAAGAGCGTATGGACAAATTCGGTGCCAGAGCTCTTGCCCAAGCCAGTCTGGCGCTTCTTGGCAGCCTTGAGCATGGGAGCCTCGCAGGCCTTGAGGAGAAGTCGCAGTTTATCCATGAGGCGCTCACCTGACTCGAGGAAATCATCGAGCAACTCGCGGCTTTCGGGGTTGCGAACACTGCCAACAACATTCTCTGAGACCTTGATTTTGGAGTTGAGCTGGATCAGAAGAAGCCAAAGTTCACCCGCAATGTCGGCGATGGGAGCGCCACGGCCTTCACGGTAGACAGTCCAATCAAAAATCCACTTGCCTAGGCTGTTGAAGTCGAAGACACTGCCGAGCAGAAGAATAGGCCTCTCCTCAGGGTCCCAATTTTTAAGGGCATAGCCGGCAGGGATTTTGTGCTTCTTTGCGTCAGCCTCGGTAGCCTTGCGAGGAGCAGGAGGCTCGTCAGGCTTGGGCTTGTGGGAGCTTGGGGGACGGGCAGTGGACGGGCGCTTGGGAGTGGCCATGGAGGCATGGCGGGAGTGATTGAAGCTGGTGGGGGGGCGTGTCTGGAAACGCGGCGTCTGAGGAGACTCGCGAGGGGTGAAGCGCTCAGGGCCGGGTGTAGCAGCGCCATAGGCAGGGTAATCGTAGCCATTGGGGTAGTAGTAGGGGGGAGTCTGGGTCTGCTGATAACCATGCGCGTTAGTGTACCGCCCTCCGTCATGATATCCGTGGTGTTTGTCGCGAGGCTGGCCGGTGCAGCAGCGTGCCTGAGCTGGCAGAACGTAGGTACCGGCCATCGTTTCAAGAATCTCGTCCTCGTCGGATTCTCCATATGGAGTGGAAGCCCGGACATGGGAATACGAGTGTCTGCGATCACCCCGCGGGGGGGTGTGGAACGAAGCCGGAGGTCGGCGCGACGACGAGAAATATTTGGGACTCACATCAACATCAACCCTGGCGGCGTAGACTCCATCGCTGGTGTAGCGCGGCGAGTCCCATTGTTGGGGACTGTAGACGGGCGGCTGCGGGCGTGGCTGCGGGTGAGGCGGGAAGGGAGACCGCTGCGAGTAGCTGGCGGCCCTTCCATGAGCGGCACGCGTGGCAGGGCGAATTGGAGTCGTCGGGGTGTCGAAGGTCCAGTCTCGTCGCGGCGAAGGGGTAGCAGAATAGTCGCGATAGTCGCGATCGTACTGGGGGGTGGAACCCGGCGTCATGGGTGACGGAAAGTTCATCTTGTGTGGGTTGGGTGATGCGAGGCTCGGATTTTTTTTGGGAGATTTTTGAATTTTGAAAAATCTTGACTGATGCCCGCAGGACATCTACTCCTTGGCTCTCATCCAACAACTACCCGTCGAGGGTGGGTGAGGGTGGTTTTGTTCAAGCCGACTGCTTGCTGTCGTGGGCAAATGGAGTCGTTGTCATGCAGGTTGCGGTACGAAATAGGCCAGTCACCGTCCTATGTCGTGGGATGAATATTGTTGAGAAGATGTAATTCCTGTTGCAAACATGACAGGCCTGGTATGTATATGTAGGGAATTTCCTCGTACGAGGAAATACGGAGTCAAGTTCCAAAGGGCACCTGACGAGCAGTGACGAGAAGTCGAAGCGCTGGGGCTCGTGCGAGTCAACGTCGTGAAGTCGACGGGAGTGTAAATCAGCAGACGTAGCTAAACGGCTGCGCGGTGATTAAAAGAGCGGCTGGGGCGGTTTTTGTGTGAAGTGATTTGGTTGTTGGCAGAAGCCAAGAGTGGTATAGGAAGAGGAGAAAAAAAAGAGAGGGGGTTGGAAGGGAGTGCAGTGAGGCGATGTAGTTATATTGTGTGTGTGAGGGCGTGGACAGGCAGGGGGGGGAGGGGCGCGTCTGCTGGAGGGGGGGGGGGGGGAGAACCTAAACAGCCACGGACGGCAACAAGGGGACAAGGGGGGTGGCAAGCAAAAACAAATCACAAAAAATCAGGCCGAGCCAGCGGACGTGGACCGCGTGCAGGGGCCAGACGGGCAGGGGCAGCAACAGTGGTGTGGCCGCTATCTCTCGTCAGTGGCCCAGAGGTAGGTACAGAGGAGTAGGGGTGTCTTTTAAAAGGCGAAAGAATGCACACAAAAAATGGTACCGGCCTGTACTTTGGGCCTGTACTTTGGTGCTGGTGCCGGTTGGTGCTGGTGCTGGTGCTGCTGTTGCCAGTGCCGTGCGGCCAACGTCACAGACTCGTTTGCGCACAAACCTGGACTGGAACTGGAGGGCAGTAAAAAAAAGGGCCGCGCTACTAAGTTACCTAGTTACTGTTCCTTGGGCATGCAAGATTCTTTGCTCTTCTCTTGGGTTACTACAGATTATACTTTGTTATTTATTATTTATTATTCAACAATTTACAGATTAACTAACTCTTCTCGTAATTTCCAGCACCTCCTACACGCCGCTCCAAGCTCCGAACCTTTGCTTCACACTAGCCACCACCAACTTTTTTTTGCTGCGCACAAGCCACACTACCGCTGTGGAATCCGCCATCTTGGCCATTGGTGCCACTTTTCACTCCAAGGTACCCAGGCATTTGGTATGACAACAATAAACAACACAACCACCATGGTCAAAAAAGAAAATTATAAAACACATACAAAAAAAGAAGCATACCAAGCTTTAAATTAGTAGAAATGACCATTGTGCCATTATCCGTCCCATTATTCAACCACCCTTGCTGACTCGCCCACCGTCCACGCTGCTGACAATGCCCTCTCCCACCTCTCCCAGCCCTGCCTGCCATTTGCCAGCCGAGCCCTTTTGCCACTCGTCTTCAAACCTTCCTCCGCCAAACAACGGCTGCCCGTTTGCCTCGTCTTTCTCTCACGACAGCTACAAATCCACACCGGTCAACGAATCAGCATCGAAAATTGTCCCTTTCATCCCGGCCTGGCGTCCAACTACTTTCTTACTCTTCTTATTCTCCTCATCTTTCTGGAAGACTCATCGACCCTCAGTGACGTCTAGCTGATACACGCCCACGCTATACCAGGGCAGCCTGCGAGAAAACTCTGCCCCCAGCCCCCGTCGATGGAGTCCAAATTACCACCCTTCAGGGGTCAACCGAAATGACGGCCCCAGCAGCTTTGAGAACCGACCTTGTCTAGTGGCCGGATGCACCCAGACCATGGTTCGGCTACCACTTCAAACCACGGCACAGCTGAAAAAATCTCTTCCATCATAGCCGCCACAGCGTATTGCCATGGATGGCCTTCCCGTTGCGGCCATATCGTATTAACTCTGTCATAAGCTCGAAACTTAACCTTGAGCCTTGCTGTGACCTCGTACGTCGCCAACATACCGGTCGTGGTAAATCGCTTGCCCTCGACTTGAACATTGCGGTCCTTGACATTGCAATGCTTAGCATTGCAGTCCCGGCTCCTGCAAACTGCTCGTTTCTGCAGTCACCATGATGTCGCCAGTGCAGCATACATATTACCAGCCGGTCCCGTATCAACGCCGCCGCCAGCCGTATAAGCCAGGATTTGCACAAGGCTACGAGCCTGTTCATCCTCACAAGACTCGATATTTCATGCAGCGCTTCGACCACATCTATTTCCACACATCTGCTATCTGCCATCTGCCATTGTAGATCGCAACAGGTGCGACAAACATGACTGGCCAAATATAAGCGCTCCTGTGAGTCGCCCTGTTCGTACGCCTAGGCATGCCTAGCATGCCCAACTTTTCCTGCGCTTTGTTGTCACATGCATCCTCCAGGTGCTGCGTGAGGGAGACAAGGAGTAGCACCATGTCAGCCCTCATTGGCCGCACTACACACCCAAATCTACGCCTACGACTCAGCCACTGGGCGCGCTCAAGTCATGACCAGAACACCACGTCTATTCTGACTTATCCAGCTTCCATCGCCTGCCAATTCCATCATGCTCGACATGCAAATTCTCCATGACTCGACCGTCGTCAGGGCCACGACACAAGCGTCTCGAAGCCATCCTTCCTCGCAGGCTTCGGAGGTTCCTCAGACTCTGGGCTTCCCGCCTTGAGCGAATAGGGTGCATTTCTGCAAACAGTTCATATATTCAGAACCACATTATGCGCAGTTAGCAGCATGTAATAACATTTCGACATTGCAGCACAGATGACTAGTCGCATAGTACAAGACGTACATGCTCACGGCTCGTTGTGCGAGTAAAGAACTGCCCAATACAGTTTTACATGAGCCGCAATTTTATGAATACTGATAACGTGGACAGAGACATATAATCCGTCAACCCCTCTGCTACACAAGCGTGCCGATACAGACTGTTTGCCTTGGCTCGCATAGTACTCACGACACGACTCACAACTTTATAATCTAAGCAGACATTTCACTTGCACAGAAACGAATGACACGTCGAGAATTGTCGCCGGCGCTACAATTCTGTCTTGATGCTCCTGCAACTTCGGGGCCGGTGGAGTTCAAAGTTCCACAGCACGCGGGAACCCGCAGCCTTCCCGCTCTCCGCAGGATGCTAACGCAGTAGTGGCAGCGGCCCGCCATTCTGGACGACGAACAAAGACCAAAAGATATGGGTGCCGCTTGTGTGAGAGTGTCAGTGTGACCAAGTATGTTTCGACTCGACTCCAAGTTCGTATATCGGCTGCTGGCGCACCACGAGGGAGCAAAGGGAGTCAGTCACTGATACGATGCTAATAATTCCATCTACCATTGCACCGGAATTTCGCTTCGCATCTTTGTGGAGCGTTGGCGCTGGGACCAAGGCCAGGGCTCTGACCTAGCGTCTCAAACTGTACCAGGTTCCTGGAGCAGCACTACCAGACAATTTACGGAGTACACTGACAACAATAACAAACAATGGCCTCTCGTGTTGCTGGGAGGATGGTCGCTCTTCCTCAAGACATGGTTACCGGTTTCATGCCATCGCTTGCTTCTGATAGTCGAAGCATTCCATGGCACAACGGACATACCCATGCCACCATTCTTGCCCTTCTAGAAGACCGCACGGCACAATTTCGTAAGAGGAAATTAAAACAAAAAAAGAAGAAAATTATTGTGCGTCCTCATTAATATCTGGCAGGGATGGGGTTGCGCACAGTCGAGATTCTTACTTTCTTACCTGTCCTGCTTGGCTCGACCACCCTGGTCCAAACTGGCACTTGTTGACGCCCAGGCGTTTTGGTATGGCTGCCTGAATCCTATCTTAACATTAGTTAAATTTTGCGTCGGCCAAGAGCACGGCCGCCCGAGCACCAAGAGCAGGGTAGCCGCCTCATTTTGAGGATGCAATGATGAATGATGGATAACCAGGCGGAGCATCCTCATCCATACCCACGACTGCCGGGCGGTTTCTTACTCTCCATGGCGAGATTCATAGCAGAGGGCAGCGCTAAATTGTGACTCATGACATCAGAGGTCCGCCTCAAACCGATCGAACGAGGGCTCATGTATTCGCTCCCAATGGCGGCGTAGCGGCAACAAGTATCTGTATTGATGCCAAAAGCTAGCCCTTTTGTTGTTAGCCCCTCTCATGCTGTGGAATGGCCATGGCACAAACAATGTTGGCCGAATTATGATTGGGCGCCCAGAGCTGAAAGGATGGGTGCAGCACACGTCCAACAAAAGTCAGAATGGCGCCCTTTTTCATCACAACGACACGCCCCTTTGTGTACCCTTTGCGCCGCCTTGTCTTGCTCTCTCTACCCCTGTCGAATCTAGTGGCCCGTTCTACTTTTTTGACGACAATGATGGCCGTGTTGTCGTGTGTGAGTAATGGACGGACCATCGTGGCCTCTTCTTCGTGCTGACCGACTCTTTGCATCAGACACGCGCAACGGGTCCACGAGGGGTGCGCGAAGACAACTCTGAACCTTATCAGCGGTTTGTTAAAACACAATTTACATCTGACACTGCGAGCTAGAGGGGAGCGTTTTATTCGCAACGGCCAGTTTACAGTCCACATCACATGTGCGCACCAGCCGGCAAGTATACAAACCGGGTGCAGCAACTATTCTGCCTTTTTTGATAGCAGGCTGTATTAATAAGCTTCTTCTTGTTGAAAAAAAAAAGAGTAGTCAGCGGCGAGCTTTGTTCACGGTACTGGCCGGTGGCAGATACCGCGCAAGGATATAGGAGGACAAGAGCTCTTCCCGTATCAGGCGTCTGTTTCACCTTGTTCTGATTCCGCCATCGATTGCGCTTTTCATGCCATATTCTTCGATCCTTCGCTTCTTCTATCCGATACCATCATCCACAGCATGGCCCCCAATGCACCTAGCAATGCGACGAAGGAGAGAGGAGACAAAATGGTTGGGCGTGTGCATTCAAGCTGCTATTAGAAGGACAGGCGCTTGTCAAAATGTAGTCAGTTTTTCTCTGGGTGCATGCAGCCCAGCTTTGCCTTGTTGACATGCCCTCCTCCGTCTCTGTGTCTCTCTCTCCCTCTTTCCCCATTATGCCCCTCCTGCTCGGGAGAGTTGCCAGAGCTCTGGAGGCGGTCTCCCTTTGGCTGGTCCCGGGCCAGAAAAGCCCAACATCTGCGCGGATACCCAACCTCTTATGCGCTGGCCCACACCAAAAGGGAGGGCAGAGGGGGTGCGCCAACGCAGCAGCCCGGCAGCATGCAGCTCATGCCGGCGCGCGCCTTGCCGCTGAGAAGGAAGGGAAAAAATGCAGGTAGGTAGATTCTTGTTCCCTTTTGTGGTCGAAAAGCCCTACTTTCTGCCTCCCAGGCTCGCCTGCCGATTTCTTTTGTGCCAGATGATGGGAGTGGTGGTGTAGTGGTCGTTGAAACGTGTGGTTGGGGCGGCATAAAGGCCTCCGGACGCCTTCTTCAGCCGCAGTACTTTTGGTTATTTTGGCCCATCCTTTGCTTGTTTAGCAGTCCTTTGCAGATTGGGCGTGCAAAAGGCGTGTTATGGCAGAATTCAGCAAAAAGGAATGAAGCTAGAGACTTTGGAGCCATCCAAGATACGCACCAGAAAAAGCACAACAAATCGGAGCTTTTTCTCGAGCCCATATCGAGCCGAGCCGTGGTTGCTTCCCAGTGGTTCGTTAGCTGCCCAACGCCACAACGCTAAATGAAAAAGGGGACTAATGCGCCACAAGCCGAAGCCACACGCCACGTGGGGAGGGCCCTGCCATTGTGGCGGTGTACTTTTGATGGAACCAATCAGCACCAATTCTTCCCGACCGATTGGTTTTGGCTTGTGGCTGGGGGGGAGTCTCCTCCTCTTTGCATGAGAAAATACGTCACCGCAGAGCATGGGTTTTTACTAATGCACGATTTCAAGGGTGACTCGATCGCAAGGCATGCCTGACGAGAATCTTCCATTACTTGCAGAAAAAAAAAACTGGGAAGACCGAGATTAATTGAATGCATATTGGCAAGTGAAACAACATGGAGAAGATGCTACTTGGCACATGACCGGCCCGTGACACATTGTACAGCGTTTTGACGTGTATGCACGCACGACTTACATCTCACGATGGCTGGCCAGCAAGCGTACTCATGTCTGGCAAAACCGACAGTGTGGATTATTATTTTTTTGGCTCAATCTATTTTAAAAATTAGTCACATTCACTCTCCCGGGTTCTATCTTGTCCGAAACATCCCTTGCGGTGACTCATGCACTCAAAATACATCCTTGCTCGCCTCCCGTTGCACCGATGCTCGGCATTCACACATCTTCACGACACACCAAAACCGCCCAGCTCGGTGGACGCGTCGTTTTCTTGCCACCTCCGCATGATTTAGATCAGCCGCCAGCATGGCAGAGAATCCACGTGCCTCTTCCCCAGGGGGCGAGAACAAAGGTTCCTCGCCACTCGAGGCTGCACTGTTGTTTCGCAACCAGCGCATGGGCTAGGCAGCCAAGACAGGTGACCGAAGAAGAATAAGATCATATCTGTGATTGAACTTGGCCAAGTCGTACCGATGAAAAGAGAAATAAGTACACGAATCGGGTAACCTGGGAAAAAAAAAAAGCCTATCACGAGACAGTCCGAACAGGGCCGTAGCATTCAAGTTGGGCACGTCACTGGCCAGCGATGTACTCCGTTGCCCTAGAAGCAGGAATCCGTGTATTTGTATTGTCCAATTATATCGTGAACTGAGTATTGCACTCCTCTTCACGTGCTTTTTCCTCTGTGCTGGGGTTGCCCGAGCCCTTCACACGCATCTATCCTGGTTTTGCCACTCGGGCTTTTTGCACGTCACAGTCATGGCCAAGCCCAGAATCGCAATGTACTCTTTTGTACCATCAAGGCACGACAGCTTACGCCAGTTTCATTTACTATCGGCACCCCGTTGGCTGCCTAATCCTCGCAAATGAGTCAACATGTGGTCACTCGGCCCATATTCACGCCTGGGGCATCTCAAATATGAACTCAGTACTTTTGCACTGGCCGCTTTTACAGTACCCGTAGCAACAAAAGTTCATCACCTCGCGTCCCCGAACTTCGAAATAGCAGACAAAAGCTCGACACATGCCTCGCCCCTCTCGCCACATCCCCCGCCCCCGAACGCGTCACGTATTCAACGGTTTCCGCGCATACAAGTTGTGAAACGGGAAATACGAGTGGAATTTCGGCAGGCCATTGTCCTCAGTGGCCGTGAGGGCCTTGCGGACATCGACGAGAAAGAGCTCAGTCTGCGCGGGCGTCCACTGGAGGCCGTCGCGGAACGGGCGGCGCGCCAGGCCGACGAGCCCCTCCATGCAGACATCGCGCAGGATATGCCCGCACTCCTGCAGCCGGCGCTTGCGCGCCCACGGCCCGTTGGGGCACTTCATGTGGCGATACCCAAGGTCCTGGAAGCCGGCCCGCGACAGCTCCTCGTCCACGCGCCGGATGCCGAGCAGGTCCGAGCCGCCGAGCGCCTGCAGGCCCTTGCGCAGGTTCTCGAGAAAGTCGCGCCACGCAAAGGGGCCGTCGCAGGAGTGATCGTCGCACGCCGCGACGTATTCGAACTCTTGAACCTCGACGTAGCCACCGGGCTTCAGGTGCCTGTGTAGTTTGTCAACATCGGTGGTTCGCCGTACCAAGCAGGGTTGGGTTTTCTGTCGTACTTGTATATTCTCTCCCAGAGCTCTTGACGATCTCTCATGGAGTGGACAATGTGTCGAACGTGAATGTAGTCAAACATGTTGTCGTCGTACGTCCAACCAGCTACATGCTCAATGTCATCCACAACAAATGACACATTTTGCGGCACCCAGTCAGGTTGGATAGGCGAAAGATCCATTCCTTGAAAAGTAGTATCCGGATACATATCTGCCACTGGGGGAAAGTAAGTTCGATTTGTTTGCAGTAAGAGGTCGTATACCATGGGTCAAGTTCCAGAAGACGTACATTCGATGCACCACTTCCCATTGCCCGTTCCTAGTGACTAGTCAGTATTTTGTTGCAAAACAGAAAGCAGATTGATTGTCTGCTTACCAAGATCGAGCACTTGAGCTCCATTTTTGAGCATTTCTTCAATCGGCGCCAGAAAATATTTTCCATCACATAGGTGTAACGTCAGGTTGTGTTTCAGATCATCGCGATGTTGCTCATTCTCGTCGTTGGGGAAAGCGTACTGCCCAGCATGATATGCATGATATCTCAGACCTCCATCTATGATATGCTGGCGTATACTTGACGTGAGGCTTTGGGTATCGTCGGTGTAGTCCGAGTCCATGTACTGGGCGCCTTGCTCAATGCCGTATATCGCAGCAACCTCGTCAGCATTACCGACGGCAACAAACTCGCTCGACGGCGATGACCCTTTATCGCTCATTTTTGCGCAACGTTCAAGTTTGTCTCTTGTTCCTCGTTGCTCTCTAGCGTGATGAGACGCACGTCCAGAGAGCGATCCTGAGCTGGATGTCGTCGTCGCGTATCGTAGTGAAGATGGGTAATGGCAAAGGGCCCTGCTTGTGAGAGGCGGAAGTTGTGTGGTTTATACCTTGGCGGTAAATGCCCAAATCAAGACACAAACAATGTCCTTTTGGCGAGCATGCCGCACTGAGAGCTGCAGGTTGCCGTCGATGTAACTGGGGCACTATTGCGCGTGGTCCCCCAAGGACAGCCATACAAGGTCAGGGTTTCTTCCTGCCGACTCGTATTGCTAGTTATAGGCTAAGCTCGAGTATCGGAAACTGTTCCCCTGTCTGCGTCCAATTGCGGTATCCAATGTCTTATCCTAGCGGGCGGGTGCAATGGCTGACTTACTATTTTTGCATCTTGCTTTTCTTTAGAAGGCCAAAGAAGCTTGGGAGAAGCGGAAGCGAGAGAGAGGGAGTGGGAAGCAGCAAATAGTCTTGTTGACTATTTTGCGAGACTCCGCTCTGGCCATGACCAAAAGGCCTTGGCTCTGAAACAGAGTTCACGATGGGCTTATATTGGCCCTCCAGAAGGATAAAAAAAAAATGTGGATTCGATAAAAGCGACGGGCCGCTCGATATTGCTGGCTGGTTCGGGGCTAACTACCTAATTACCCTAATTACTAGGTACGGAGTAGTAAGCATTTCGGGCAGTGTGGCTACATAGGTGGCTAGGTAGGTGGCAAGGTGGCTAGGCTGATGGTTGGCGCGCGCTGCAAAATGGGGAGGAGCATGTGACCTCGGAGGGGCCCTCCAGGTGTGGGCGCTTATCAGTTGGCGTCCCCTAAAAGGTACTCTCTAGTGGGCGGTGGGTTGGTGGCACGTGTAGGTACCTTGGTAGGTACCTAGGTACATCTCAGTATTCCCGACTTCAACCTGCGCGCACCTGCTCTGCTGACTTATCATGCCAATGTGACTCGTTTCGCCCGTTTCTAAATCCCCTTCTTCACTCGGCTTTTCTTTCTATTCAGCACACGCTCTCTCGTGCCTCTCACAGGCCTTACCCTCATTTTTGGTCCTCTCTGCTTTCTGCCGAGCACGCCAGCTTGTCCCTGCCTGGCACCCGTGCTTCTCTTTGCACGCGCTTGCCACTATACCCATTCTTCGTGCTGTACGCCACCCAGTGGCAGCAACCCGGCCATCGTCCTACGCGTCCGCCGTTCAAACCAAACTCATTTTCCTTGCTCATACTTGATTGGCAATGACATCTGAGCCATTCGCCTACAAGGCGCTCTAATTTATCAACTCGAGCGCTGCTGCGGCTGCGTTGCCCCTTCTGCTGCATCTCAGCTCTCATTACCGCTAGAAACGGTATGACCACGCCTCAACTTGCTCTTCACCATGCTCACTCCCCAAAGCTGCCTCTTTGCCAACTTATTCACACCGGACACTCAACCTCACACTCAACCCTGACACGCGATAGACTGCTCTCCCGGCCCAGGCATCATGCAGTCCTGGAACCCGGCCGCTTTACTGCAGCCTGGCCGTCGCCAACCTATTAACAGTCGTCTCGGCACACCGTCTTCGTCTTCCAATCCCGCGTCACCTGTCCCTGCGGCCTTGCGGGATCGAGCTGATTCTGAATCCAGCGCCAGTAACACAGTGTTTCACTTTGCCACGCCCGCCGACAGTGCCTCGGACATTCCTAGCGGCCCCTCAACGCCTGGTAGCATCACACCTATCTCTGGTGCTGGATCCTGGATTGAACGTGCCAACAATGTCCAAGCTCGGTCCGCTATTCCGCAAGCCAAGCGAAGAAAAGTGGAAGATTTTGGAAACGATGGAAACCAAGCGAATATGCCGACAAGAAATGGTGGCGGCGGCCTGGGAGACTATGTTCGAGACCAGCAGCAACAGTCCAATGGCGCTCTTGCCACCAAGGCCATGATGGTTGACTTGACATCTGGTAAGCTTCTACATACATCCATACTACGTTTGCGCCTTCCTAACGGCATCCTTAAGGTACCGATGATGAAATTCAGGAGATCAGCGATCCCAAGGACGAGGAGGTTTGTTACGGCATGATTAAGACGAGCCTAAACTGTACTCGCGTTCCGTCGCCCAAGCCCGGAACTCAAAGTCTATTTGGCCCCGGCTACACTCCGCCCATCAAGATCAACCTCAAAAGGGCCGTGGGCGACCAGACTCTCAAAATACCCGCCTCTGACTTCACTCGTGAAGTTATCGGCCACCTCGCGCCTGGAACTGCTGGTGCTTTAAGTCCGCTACTGGATAGCAACTTACGCCTCCGAACTGAATGCCGCATTCCTTCACAGCCTCGCAAGCCGGGTGAGAATTCGGGCGCTCCCACTTCGCGGGGCTATCACTTTGAAATCGTTCTCTATGGTCCGCTGAAATATGCTAAAAACATTGGAGAGCATCTTAGAAAAAACGGCCAGCAGCTTGTGGCACCGCACATGGTCCAAAAAGGCATTCGTGTCCAGAATCCTCACGTTAGCGAGTATAGACCACCCATTCCCCGAACCTATTCCTCCAACAACACCAGTGCACACGCACTACCCAGTTCTCTATCCACCCGGACGGTAGAGGAAGTCCGTTCCGAAGTCCTCGGTGTCTTCGACTCTATGACGAAAAGCGAAGACTTGCCCCCGATGGACCCGCCCGATATCATCACCACCCCGCTGCTGCTGCATCAGAGGCAGGGCCTCTACTTCATGACGACTCGTGAGACCTCGCATACCCAAGATCAGAGCGCACAGGGCCTTGTGTCTTTCTGGCAGACTAAGCTTGGTCCTAATGGCCAGAAATTTTATTTTAATGTTGTCACGGGCCATCACCAAAAATCCCCGCCGCCAGAGACCAAAGGCGGCATCTTGGCCGACATGATGGGACTTGGCAAGACTCTCAGTATTTTGTCCTTGTTGGCAACCACTACAGCCGACGCCAAACAGTGGGAAGCCAAACCTCCTGTGCAGCCCACTCCTGTGGACCCCAAGACTGTTACCCGAAGTGACATATTGGGTGTTAATCAGCCGGCTCTTGGCTTGACCACCGTGATTCGAAATTCAAGAGCGACTTTGATCGTGTGTCCCCTCAGCACAGTAACCAACTGGGAGGAGCAAGTCAAGCAGCACGTTAAGCCCGGCGCTTTAAATGTTCATATTTACCACGGCCCAAACCGCATCAGAGACGCAGTAAGTCTTGCGTCTTTTGATGTGGTCGTCACAACCTATGGCTCAGTCTCTAATGAGCTGAGCTCTCGGAAGAGGGGAAAGCACGGCCAATATCCATTGGAGGAGATTGGCTGGTTCCGCATTGTCCTTGACGAAGCCCACATGATTCGGGAGCAAAGTACAGTCCAGTTCAAGGCCATTTGTCGCCTCCAATCGGCAAGAAAGTGGGCTGTCACGGGTACGCCTGTCCAAAATCGACTCGACGATCTTGCCGCCCTTCTTGCCTTTTTGCGTCTACATCCATTCCATGAAAGGAGCAAGTTCCATCGCTTCATTGTGGAGCCCTTCAAAGTCTGTGATCCCGAAATTGTCCCAAAGCTCCGTATCCTCGTCGATACAATAACTCTTAGAAGACTCAAGGACAAAATCGATCTGCCACCGCGGCAAGATCTTGTTGTTAAGCTTGATTTTGCACCTGAGGAGCGTGCCATCTATGACATGTTTGCACGAAACGCCCAGGATCGTGTCAAGGCGCTCGCTGGCACGCGTGACAAAGGCCTTGGTGGCAACACTTATATCCATATACTCAAAGCCATACTGCGACTCCGACTTCTATGCGCCCATGGCAAAGATCTCCTAAATGAAGCAGATCTAGCTGCACTTGCCGGCATGTCTGCCGAAATGGCCATCACTATTGATGACGAGGATGAGGATGGCCCAGCGATTTCTCGTCAAAAGGCACACGAAATGTTCACGCTCATGCAGGATACCAATAATGATGCTTGCATTGAATGTAGCAAGAAGATCGCCGCTAATGATGACTCCATGGACAATGAAACCCAGGGAGATATTCTTGGTTACATGACGCCATGTTTTCACGTCATTTGCCGCTCTTGTATCCGAGGTTTCAAGGAGCGTGTAAGATCCAGCGTTCCGCCTGGTTCTACTTCAGGATCTTGCCCCGTGTGCAATGCTCAGATCCGTTTTGACTTTGCCGAGCTACGACGAGCAGACGTGGAGGCTGAACACGATGGTGCTAGCCATAAATCGAAGACTGGTCTGAAGCGAACTGACGGTTATGACGGGCCACATACAAAGACCAAGGCCCTTCTCGAAGATCTTCTGAAATCGGAAGCAGCCACCAGAGCTAACCCTAATGAGCCACCTTACAAGTCAGTGGTGTTCTCTGGCTGGACGTCGCACCTAACCCTGATCGAGCTTGCCTTGAAGGCTGCCGACATTGCTTTCACTCGCCTCGACGGGACCATGTCACGCGCAGCTCGCACTGCGGCCATGGATAAGTTTCGTGAAGACGACAACATCCACGTCATTCTCGTCTCCATCATGGCAGGTGGTCTTGGTCTTAACCTGACTTCGGGCAACAGCGTGTACGTCATGGAACCGCAGTTCAATCCGGCGGCTGAAGCGCAGGCTGTTGACCGCGTTCATCGCCTGGGCCAGAAGCGTCCTGTCAAGACCGTTCGTTACATCATGCGCAACAGCTTCGAAGAGAAAATGGTGGAGCTGCAGGAGAAAAAGACCAAGCTCGCCAATCTCAGCATGGACAACCAGAGTCGGTCGCTGGACAAGGCCGAGTCGGCGCGACAGAAGCTCCAGGATATTCGCAGCCTTTTCAAGTAAACGCAATTGCAATCGTCCACCTGCGTCTTCTCTGCAATTTTACCGTCATTTTTCATATATCTTCGCTTTTCCATATTTACGACATTTTATCGACTTATTATCTACTTACTGGCAGACTGGAGAAACGGGCGGAACTCATTTCATGGCAGGCCTTGACCTGCGATTTTCTTTTCTCTTCTATCCGTTACGCAAGGTTCATTTCAACTCACAAGACAAGACAAGACAATCCTTATACCCAACTCTCACGAGGAAAGACGTTATGATTTTTTTCTTTCCTTTTTACGCCTTGACGCTTTTACGCCTTTCTTCTTTTCCTTGCTTTCTAACTATTACACATTCATACACATGCCCACGCATCTCTGGAGGGAGGATATTCTTATTGGTTATCTATTTGGTTCTTGTTCTTTTTTTCCGATGCAGGGGCCTTGGTTATGGCATTGGACAGGGGGCGGCGATAGCTTAGGTAGTTTCACGACAACGGTTCTTGATATGCAATACAACCTCTTTTGACCCCTTGAATACATACATCACCCGGCAATGTTTATTTGCATGTACTCATTTCATCATTCATTCAAGTCACACTAGCGAATGCCACCAAGCGGATCCAACACAGAAACCCTGTAGCCATTATACAGACAAAGATCAAAACGCCGTCTAAATGCTGACCAGATTGCTGCTCCCCGTCCCTGTCCCCGGGGCTTCCGAAATTCAAATCACATCGCCATAGAGTCCTCGTCCGCCTTGAGCCCCGTGAACTCGGTACCCTGGTTTACGGTGCTCAGGCGCGCGCACAGGCTCAGCAGCACCACCGTCTCCGTCGCCGCGTAGTGGTTGAGCGCGTCGAGTAAAATCTGGAGATGGCGGCCAAAATTAAACTCCCACTTGCGGATCAGGTCGTTGAGGTTGCGGAAGCGCGCCTCGGCGTCGTCGGCCGATAGCACGGCCGAAGCATCCGCGCTCGCGCCGTCTTTGCGGTTGGCGGCGGCGGCGGCGCGGTCCGCCTGGAAGCGGCGCCAGTGCGCGCTGGTCATTCCGGGAGGCTTGGTGCCGCCGGTGAGGTCCGGATCAATCTTGTCGAGCTCCTGGGTTAGGAACTTGGTGTAGTTGGCAAACATGGTGCATGTCAGCATCAGCTTGGCGTGGATCTACGAGCGCATTAGCTTTCTTGGTCTTTCTTGAGGGGGGGGTTTCGAAATTCGGTATTCCGCAGGAATAATGCTCATACCTTGAGGAGTTTGCTGTTAGTCAGCATGCATTCCTTGAGAGACGTGTCGAGGAAATCGACGTGGTCCTTCATGAGCTCGTCGACTGTCCGGCTCGGTCCCGACGCCCCCGCGCCACTTCCACCTTCATCGAGGCGCGACATAAACTTGGACCAGTTGGGCTCAATGACTTCAGCGGTGCAAAAATATAGCAACTGTTGCACCCAGGTGAGCATGCGGGCGCGGAGCGTCCAGACGCGGCGTTTCCAGCGCTCGAGCTCGCGGCTGGAGCTGCGGTGCGCCCAGCCGACGCCGCGGGTGTGGACGTGCCAGGCCGACGACAGCTGCGACTCGAGGTAGCGCAGGGAGAAGAGGTAGCGGAAGAGGGCTTGGTAGCGCCAGACGGTCTTGCGGCTGACGACGAGCGACACGGGAAAAGGCACGGCATAGTCAAACTGCAGCGACGTGTAGCCGGTCGCATTCTTGTCCGTCTCCACCGTGCTGCTCGCCAGTAGCGCCGGTAGGGCCTCGCCCTGCTCGATGCCGGTAATGTTGACGACGCGCTGCAGCGACTTGATGAGCGTCACCTCATTCATCTCGACGCTGACGTCCTCCTTGAAGGGGTCGAGGGAGACAACGCTTCCGGGCTGCCGCAGGATTAGGTCGAGCAGGTACTGTAGCTTGCCAGCGTTGACGGCGCGCACGGGTTTGCGCAGCTCCGGGTGGCCGAGCTCCATAAAGTGCGAGAAGTAGTCGGACGGGTTGAGGAAGAAGTAGTGCTTGAGCGAGCGCAGGCGCGCGGGCAGGGCGTGTGTCGTGAGGAGCAGCCGCATGAGGGCCGCGTTGGCGTGCGCGTACGCGCCGTTTACGTTTTCCAGGAACCGGCTATCGTCAAACGTTGTCGGCACGTCGGACACCACCTTGCTCACGTCGACGCCGCCGCATTCGCGCACGACGTTAAGGTATTTGCCGGCCAGCAGCACCTTGGCCTTGACGCCCTCAAGCTGCGGCGGCACGTCCTTGTCGCGAATCGTGTACCGGCGCTCCCAGTACTCGTCGGTGTAGTCTTGCTCCAGCCGCTCGCGCTTGATGCTCTTTTGCTCCTTGATCAGGAACTCGGAGTGCGGGTCGCGGATAGCGCCATGGTGCAGCCACTCGTTGAGCATGCTCATGTAGGGCTTGCTGGCGTCGCGGAGCAGCGATGTGAGAAGCGTTCGCGCCGCGGGGTCGCCAGCCATAGACTCAAGGCGTTGTGTCACCAAGCCCAGCACAACACCGCCTTTGCAGAGCTTCTTGGCCGACATGTTGCCGGGCATCAGGTCGCCGCCTTCCGTCAAACGCTCAATGACTCTATCATAGTCTTCCACGCTGTCGTCGTCCTCGTCGTCGCTCTCATCGTCGAGTAGGCCGTTCTTCTGTAGTAGCTTTTGGGCTAGTGTATATAGTTGAAGCATTAAATGGCTAGTTGGAAGGGTATGGATATTGAGCACATGCACCGTGAATGTGTCGCTGGTGAGAAATTGTGTCTCCAGTTCAGCAATCATGATGATGTAGTCTTGGAGGTATTTCCGGACAGCAGCGCAGAGCGCGTGGTTGACGGCGCCGAATTCTTCACGACTCTGGACGTCAACAAAGGTTTCGAGAGCAGAGTAATACGTCGCCATCTTCAGCATCGAAGTCGCCAGGTCGTGTAAGCTCGGGTCAAGACCGGGCAATATGCGGAAACTGGGGCCAGAGAGCCGATCTCGTTCCTCTGTCGGGTCGTAGCCCTTGGCAAATCGAATATATTGTCCTTCGTAGCCCATGAAGGCGAATAATAAATCCTCCACAATGACCGCCTCTTGGATATCAAGTGACAGTTCAGCCAGGGGTATCGGTTGCGGGGCATTGGGCACCGTGGAAGCGAGCGGCGGGATCGATACTCGCGAGGCCAGAGGTGCTGTCGTATGAGGGCGCAACGTAACCTCGGGATTCCATGGTACTATACAAGCACACGCATTAGTCCGTATCCCAGGCTCTTCTCTAACGCGCAAAGCATACCTTGAGCCGCGTCCGATTTCGAGTCTCTGGGCCGCCACTCCGCAGACTTCTGCCTAGGAACGTCTGCCGGCTTGCGCTCGCCCGGCGCGCTGCGGCGCTGAATCTTTTCGGGGCTGGCTGTGCGCGGCACGACGCGCTCTACCTGTGCCTCGTAAGTGCGCTCCGTGACCTTGCGCTCCTCGTAGCGCCTCTCCTCGACAGCGGCCATGCTAATAGGGCGCGGATTCCCCGAGGCGGAGCGCTTATGCCCCAGGCTCGCTTGGAAGCCGCCCGAGAGCGATGACGGGGGGGCGTTCCGTCCTCCTTCTGAGCGTTCGTGCTTGCTGCTGTATCCCCCTACATTGCTGCTGGTCATGCGCGGCCGCTCGTCGCCGTGGCCGTTTGCGCGTCTGGAAGCGCCCGACATTTGCACTGATACGTCGATTGTAGGTGTTGCTGTTTATATTTTGGTACGGTATAGGCAGGCGGCGGGTGAGGCGCCGCAGTAGTGATTGCGATGCACATGAACGCGCGCGGGGGTATATTAAATGGAAGAAGGGTTAGGATCGCGAGTGGTGGTGTATGCTGGTGGTGGGAGCATCACGTCCCGCCACGATGCGAGACGCGCCTAGCGAGGTACCTACAGCTAGAGAACGAGGGCGTGGTGGGGTTAATTTACAGTGAGCAGCTGCAAGCTGTTGACTTGGCGGATTAACTTGGCACCGAGTCGAGCTGGCTGGTGCCGCTTTTGCAGACTTGCACAGCTATTAGAGCTACCGATGCGAGCTATCGAGAGGCCTATTCAGCATTAATGCGCGATATTATTCCAGGCTATCGCATCAAAAAAGTCAAGAATGAATTTTCTCCTCCATCTCTATGAAATTCGCCAGGTTCGCCAATAGTCTTCCCTTCTCGATGATCGTTGCCCGTCACACAGTCCCACTACAGCAGCATCAGATCTAACCCAAAGTGGCCCCGTAAGCACCCAGGAGCCAGAGGGCTGCGTAGGCTCAATTGCCTAGCTCACGACGTTCGGAGAGCTTCAGCCTGGCCCATCCAAACAACGAAATAACATCCACCTGACACAACTCTCTCTGCTACTCCAACGCCTCGACGAATTGCAACAACCTCCCTTCATCACCTCCATCCGATTAAACCCTTCTCCCATCTTGCATTCTAGCGCGGCGATAGACCCCAACCACCGCCCAGCATGTTTATGTCAAGATCAGAATACGGCAAGCTTCCACCCCTCCCGCACTGCGCAATCCCGCATCTCTTTGCGGGCATGGTCTACAAAAACGACAAGAGACTTCATTTTCTTTGGCTAACACACCTTGTGACCCCGATGCAGACCGCGGCATCAACACCTTCTCCCCCGAAGGACGCCTGTTCCAGGTCGAATACTCGCTCGAGGCTATTAAACTGGGCTCCACGGCCATTGGCGTCGCCACCTCCGAGGGTGTCATCCTCGGTGTCGAGAAGCGCGTCACATCGACCCTCCTCGAGACGTCATCCGTCGAGAAGATTGTCGAGATTGACCGCCACATTGGATGCGCCATGTCTGGCCTCCAGGCCGACGCGCGCTCCATGATTGAGCACGCCCGCGTCGAGTGCCAGAACCACCACTTCAACTACAACGAGGCCCTCGGTGTGGAGAGCACCACCCAGGCCATCTGCGACCTGGCCCTGCGCTTCGGCGAGGGCGCCGACGGCGAGGAGACCATCATGAGCAGACCCTTTGGCGTCGCCCTGCTCATCGCCGGCCACGACGAGAACGGCCCCCAGCTGTTCCACGCCGAGCCCAGCGGCACCTTTTACAAATACGATGCCAAGGCTATTGGCTCCGGCTCAGAGGGTGCCCAGGCCGAACTTCAGAACGAGTACCACAAGGTAGGACCCCCCGAGCAATGCAGCCCCAACCTGTGTGCCTGATGGGAGACGCTAATTTTCTTGCTACTCTAGTCTTTGACTATCGTCGATGCCGAAACTCTCGTCTTGAAAACCCTCAAGCAAGTCATGGAGGAAAAGCTCGATTCCAAAAATGTTCAGCTCGCCAGCGTCACCAAGGAAAAGGGCTTCAGAATATACACGGATGAGGAAATGGCCGCTGTCGTTGAACGACTACCAGCAAATTAGATGATGTGGCGCTGTATTTTATAAAGTAGAGCACATATGAACAGGACTCGCTCAAGCAAACAAAACCCAAAAACACCTTCGCCAGTTGCGTGTATCATTAATCTAGTTATGGCAATCAGCCCCGCTTCTATATGGCCACTGAGAAACCCCCATGCAAATATATGTAAGAGAGAAAAGAATACTTTGAAACTCATGGACATCTTGCTCCAAACTGCAGTTGGCGCGTTCTTGCCCGAGATCAGCTATAATTGTAAGATGGGTCCCCTTGTTTGTGTCGCATTGTTTTCGATTCCCAAAACAAAACAAAACAAAACAACAACAACAAAATCTTACCGCTACGTGCGGTCATCACGTAGCTCAAGACGAGCCAAATCCTCTTCTGCGGCGAGTAACCCAAGAGCAAATTGTGCTCTATCAGCTCTTGCCAGCACGATTCGCTTGTCGCCTTCCTTTTCGAAGACCTCGTCCAAGCGTCTGGCAGTCCGCCATACTGACTGTGCATGCTCCTCGACAGTCCGGATTTTGCTTGCGTACGGAGGGCCACGGCCCATCTGAGCCGCCTTCTTCCACACCGCTTCGCATCCGGTAGCAATCTGCTTCGCCGATTGCCAGCCTGTGTATTGAGCGACGTCGGACATTCTCTGAATCAGCCAGTGTCGCTGGTTGTCCACTTGAAACTAGTCGGTGTTAGCCAAGGTAATCATACCTCTCGAACATCATCACCGCAATCATCTTACCTGTACGGCCGCTACAAATAGGCAGAAGGAGCACTCAATCAAAGCCGCTACAAGCAGAGGATCTGGCGTCGACCTAGGATTATCGGCCCAAAGTCCAGAGGCAATACGTCCGATTTGATTCGCGTACGTTGCCGTGTCTCTGGCAGCCATTCCTGCTGCCTGCATAGCTGCCGGTGGCATGTTCGGGTGGGCCCTGTGAAGATGAATCAAGCCCATGTAGTAATTCATCCACACACCCGAAATGGAATAAGTGCGATACTGGACAGCAAGTCCGAACGGGGACTCTCGTCTATCGGCATATTCCGGGCTAAGTGGCCGAAAGTCTGGGCCAAAGCTATCCTTGAGAGCATCAAAAGCTTTCTTAATGCTTTCCCACTCTTCAAGAGCCGCGTCAAACTTGGAACAAGGATCTACGTCGTCCGCCTGGTCGCTCTGAGGGGAGACATGACGCGGTGGGCTAAAGCCCATCGGCGTTTGGAATGCTCCTTGAACGGGGATAATACCTGGGAATTGCGGTGGCGTATTTCCGGAGGGTGGACCGGGTGGCGCTTTGAAAGCTTTGCGCTTTCTTCCCAGATCCTTGGCGGCAAAGTTTGCGACACGGCCAAGTAACAAGATTAAATGGTCATATGTTCCAAAGCTGAGCGAAATGGTTAGCATCCTTCTTCGTATATGTATGCGGTTACAACATACATTTGTCCAAATCTTGCCATTGGCGCTCTGGGAGGAATTTGGGTCCATTCTCTATAGTCCATGCTACGTGTTGTTAGCGGAACAGTCGTTTTTCTCTCTCACAAACGGCTTACAAAAGCTTGGTGCCACCGAGCACACTCTGGTAAACGTCCATTTTGCAGAACCACCAGAATAAATCGGAGAGGTTTTCAAACTTTTCGATGTCTTGACTTGTTGCCTCCAGCGATTTTTCCACTTCCGCCTCGTCTTCCTCGAGCCCATAGTCGTGAGGGTATACCGAACATCCAGTAATAGTCCGAAGCAGCTCGTAGTCAAGCTTTTCTTGCTCCTTCGGTACGAATGTCGGGTCGCTTAGGGTACGCTGCTGCTCTAGCTGTCGTCGCTTTGGCAGGCAACGGCGGGCTTGGTCTCCTAAGGGTATCTCTCGAAGCAGGATACTAGCACCGTTCAGGTGCTTACACCAGTTTTTGTGGTCGGCCATCCAGACTTCGAAATACCCCAGTAGCAAAGTAGCTGCAATTGTAGCTAGATGCGTTCTGCGTGAAGGAGAGTTGACGTTTCTTGCGACACGTCTGATGGCTCTCGAGTAATGCCGTATAGCGGCGACGTGGGTCTGCCCTTGGATTCTTGCGAGTTGGAAACTCGCCAACGCAAGCATGGCATGCAGGAGGCCTGGATGGTGGAATGCAATAACCGGTAGCGTATCTGCAAGTTTGGCGGTTAGAAATGCTCGTCTGCACTGATATGCGAGGAACTTACAGCTCCAAAGATTGTGTCCCTTTGAGTGGAACTCTTGCTTCTCGACCGGGTCGCAGGGGTGGCGCTCATACATGGAAATGGTTGGGCTGGTGATGTTCAAGAAGTGGGAAAATACGGTTATCTCGCCCCGATTGCGCAGCTCTGAATTTGCTGGCGAATCCATGTAAGAGAACAGAGCTCCGCTATGGGCGAAAAAGTCGAATTTCCTCGCATCTACCCGTGCTCCAGTCCATGCCTTGGTGAGCGTCTGCATGCCACGGGAATCACCGCCTTGTGGCGCTTCGTCGTCGGATATCGACATGGCATCGTCGTCCTCCTCGTCAGAGGGCGAGAATTGATGACGATCCGCTTCTGATATCGGCTGGCTAACGTCGCCATAAGGCACGCCAGGCTCGTTCTGCCAATTTGCCACCATTGTCGATCTCGAATGACTGGGCATTACAGACATGCTGTGTCCATATCCGGACGCCATCAGAGGATTTGGAAGTTTTGGTGGTTGTTCTAGCATTTCCCCGGCATTCTGCGAGTTGAAGTCAAAATATTGGGACTGCGATGCTGACATGCCTGGTTGTCGGGAGAAGAATACATCTTCGGACAAGCCCATTGGCATACTATGCTGAGCTAGATGTGCAGGATGCATGGAGGGCCGGGGAGCAATCGGTGTCAACGAGGGCCGCATGCCAGGTCGAGCGAACGGGACATGCATATTCCCCATGTCAGTTGCATGGTTTCCGCTATAGCCTGAGGATTGGAACGGGCCCTGGGCAGCGCTCAGGGGCTCCTTGAAAACCACTCTAGGGTTATATCCTTCACAGACACGTTTGGATTTTATGCAATTGGCACACGTGGGTCGGGCCTCGTCGCATTTGATGCGTCTCTTGCGGCAGGCTGCGTGCGATGTTAGCGTCTGCCAAAGAAGACTTGCATATATTGGAGAGTGGTACGTACTTAGGCAGCCTGTTTTCGTTCTCTTGCGAACATTTTGCTTTTTGTTGGAGTCATTTTGGTCATTGCCTTGGCTTCCCGAGCCTTCGGACGGGCCGTAGGAGGTCGAGGCTTGCGGGGCGGTCTCCAACTCCATGTTGTGATAATCGGTGTTCTTCTCTGGGGGGAACAGGTAGGAAATGATGGGACCAGGTATAATGGTGTCAGAATGTGCTGGATACGCAGGCCATATAGTCTTGTATCACTTGACGAGGAGCATCTTGAAGCGTTGGCAAAGTATAGCGAAGAGATGAAGAGGAGAGAACACAAAGGAAAGGGCGGCCTCGGGTAGATATGGTCGAGATGGAAGCTGTAGAAGGATGGGATGAGATCCGAAAGAGATGCCGAAATGTGTGTTTGGGAGAGATCGGAGATGATTGTGAGCAAGCCAAGGACAGACGCATGAGGAAGGGCGGCGCTGTCCGACTGTCCGGTTGCTAAATGAAGCAGCACAGCAGGATGTGAAACGGCAACGGTGTAACTGAAAGACGCAGGTAAGTACAGACGAAGCTATAGGTAACGTCAAGACGGCAAGATGCAGAAGGCAGGTTGAGGGCAGAGCCTACCTAGGTAGTAATGCAAAGCTTGCTCCGGGTATGATGAAATGCGAGGTTAGACTTGACAGCGAGGGAAGGCCGGACGGTTGACGGGGGAGCGTCTCTGTCAATTGTAGCCAAAAGGAGGTAGAATGCAGTCTGGAATTGGGAGATTGCCTGGTTGGTTGCAGAAAACACAAGAGCGAGCAGAGGCAGCAATCGGGTGTGCTTGCAAGTCAAGTGTGTGTGTGGCAGAGGGGACGGAGCTTCCACGGAGGTGCGCAGGGGTACGGAAGTGAGAGAGGAAAGTGAGTGGCAAGTGGACAGTCGAGTGTTGTGAGAGGTTGCAGGCGTGTGAGGCGCGGTGATGGGTGTGGAAGCGGCGGAAGAGAGTGCCAATGGCGCGGATAGCAGTGGTGAAGAAGTTGAAGTGGTGGCTTGCGGGCTGCGAGATGGATGAAGGAAGGGCTATTACAGGAGGGCCGAGGACGGGTGGGATGGAGAGATGCCCCTCTGGAGGGGCAATACTAGAGGGCTACCTGGTTAAAGGTTGTTGGTAGGTAGAGCCCAAGGTACCGGAGTAGAGGAGAGGAATCTGTAGAGGTGGGCAGTCCTTACAAATTACCTACTAGTAAATACCTGGCTGCAGGTACCTTTCTTACCTAATTGCCGTGCAAGGTACCTACCAAGGCAGGCATAGCGTGCAGGACTGAGCTGCAGCCACGAAAAGTCCGGCAAGTCGTTGATATGCAGAATGCAAGCCAGAAAATCCACCCAAGTCCGGTTCACGATACGGCGTTCTAGGCTTTTCTTTTTGCAACCCCTCACGGCTCCCATCTGCCCACCTACCCTGCCCGGCAGTGGGCTTTGAACAAGCTTTCCAGTGGCTTTGGTGGATTTCCAACGGGGCCGACGACATCGCGCTAATAAGCGTTGCGCCACTAAACAACGCTAAAACCCCAGTGTCTGGCAACTGCCCGGCTACCAACAGGACCCAGGCAGAATGTCGCCTCATCCAGTGAAACGTAACGAATAATGCTAACGAATGCTACTCCATTGTGTTTGGTCGACTTCGGACGCAATTCTCCCATTCTTGAGCCCACAAACAATGCTATCCGCTCATCTCGTGTGCTCCGGCAAACCTGCCTATTCCATCGTTGCCAAGTCCCCCCCCCCCCCTTTGGCTCGGCCTTTTCGGCATCGCCCCTCCATCATTTGCGCGGTAACTCTCCTCAGTGCCACCGTCCTGTTGTAACATGAGCTCGGAATCGGCCATTCGAGCTGCCTCTCCATTCTCTCGGCGTCTGTTTCTCCTTCTTCGAGACATCAGACATCACAATAGGATCTGAAGTGGCGGCTGAATCAATCCTCCTCTCCGCCACAGCCTGCACACTATCTCGCTGGCCAGGGGGTCGCATCGGCCTTGCCATTGCCAGCCACTTTTTTCCGGTCCAACACGACCCCTGTACGGCTGCAAATATCTCAAACATCCAACTACGAATGATATCGAATGATATCCATCTGTCCCAGAGCAAAAGGCAACCCCACTGTCCAGATCTCGCCGTGGATTCTTGTCTCATGGCTCGAGCTCGCTCCTTGAGCAACCGAGTCGGCCAATATTTGCTTACCACGACAAGGCCGCCCGTGCTTCTGCGATACGCGGTCGACGCACCGTGTATGCCAGATGCTACATTGCATGTCCTGTGCATCTATCTGTCGTGCAAGGCCCATACATATCACGCACACATGGGGTTGCACCAGATTCTCCTGTAAAACAGAGACCTGTCCTGTCCCCTTGCACCAGCAAGCCACGCTGGAACTGGCAAGGCATCGCATACTCTGCCACTTTGAGACATCTTTCCCGGCTACTGTTCTGGTCTTGTGTACCTGACGTGATGCTCTCAGACACTAGCAGTGCATGCACATCATACCGAATTCGGCGAACAGCAAAGGATAGTACCATATCTACGCTTGGTAGTGCTACATAGATAGCCAGCCTCACTCTGGTTTGGTGCAGAGTCACCGCCTGATTTTACCCAGTAATGACGAAGTCCATTCAGCGATGGGTAGATACTACTGTTCATCCGTCATCGGCTTCGGGTGAATGTATGCGGAAATGCTACTAGAAGAATAGTACCGACGCCATAACTAATCCGTTGAAGTTAAGCACGTCGCCTTTTCGTTGTCGATATCCATCCTAAAGAACCCGAACACGTACCTCAAATGAAGCCAAAAGCGTTCGGCCCTATGTCGTATTCTAATTTTTCATTTAGAAAAGAAACCCCAAAAAAAAGAATGATGGAATTTATTCGAGGCTGCCAGATGTCGTAACCGATCGAATTTTGACTAGCATAAAAGTTAATAGCCAGTCCTTACATTAAGGCTAAAGTACGAGTTAATAATATTAACTAGAACCCATCACCACTGATGAGGTCGTACAGTTCCAAAACAATGGGGCAATTCGCTGCACCAAAAAGAGGCCCGAAAGCCCCACAAAAAAAAGAACCTGTGCAACTTCTTTTGACCAAAACCTTCAACTTTTTTAACAGCTTCATACGAGCTGCCTTAAAGCTCCCCAGCAGATTTTAACGAGGAACCGGGAACAATGTTTGCTGTGCCGGGTTGGTCTGTATCTGCCGGCAGCCTCAAAGCCGAAACAGTAGGCTCCAATGATGGGGCTGCGTCTGGCAAGAAGCGCAAGAGACCTGGCCGTCCTCGAGACGAGGCCGTCACCACAGACAATGTCACACAGCTCTACGAGACCGTCGTGGAGGGGAAGAACCCCAACGCTCCAAATAAGGACAAGTCGGCCAAGCGTCAAAGGAAGAATGGTACCGCAGAGGATGCCCAACCAAAGGACAACGGAGACAGGAAACGGCCTGCTGAGCAGCAGCAGAGTGGTGGCAAGATCTCAAAGGATGGGAAGAATAAGAAGAGCAAGAAGACCCAAAAGCATGAGAAGCATGGGGCTCAAAACGGGAATGAGGAATCACAAGAAGCAGCTGCTGGTGCCGAGGAGCCAAAGGTTGCGGCCCCTGCCAAGCAGCTACCTGCGCAACCGAAGCTCACGCCTCTGCAAGCAGCCATGCGAGAGAAACTTGTCTCTGCCCGTTTCCGTCATCTGAACGAAACGCTCTATACCAAGCCATCTGAAGAGTCCTTCTCTCTCTTCCAAGACTCCCCAGAAATGTTCGACGAGTACCACGAGGGTTTCCGCCGTCAAGTCAAGGTGTGGCCAGAGAACCCCGTCGACAGTTTTCTCCAAGACATTCGCAGCCGCGGCAAAATCCGGCAGCCGTTCAAGGGCAAGCCCGGCGCGCGCCCGTCCTCTCTCGCTACCTCGCCTCTTCCCCGCACCGGCGGCACCTGCACCATTGCCGACCTGGGCTGCGGCGATGCCGCCCTCGCGCAGTCGCTGCAGGCCGACCAGGGCAAGATGCGCATCAACGTCCAGAGCTACGACCTTCAGAGCCCCCACGCGCTCGTGACCAAGGCCGACATTGCCAACCTGCCGCTCGAAGACGGCGCCGTCAACGTCGCCATCTTCTGCCTGGCCCTCATGGGCACCAACTGGATCGACTTTGTCGAGGAGGCCTTTCGCGTCCTCCACTGGAAGGGCGAGCTCTGGGTGGCCGAGATCAAGAGCCGCTTCGGCCCCGTCCGGGGCAAGCACGCGCCCGTGGAGCACAGTGTGGGAAATCGCAAAAAGGTCGTCAAGAAGGGCAAGGGCGGCGACGCTGCGGATCCCATGGACCTGGCCGTCGAGGTGGATGGCGCCGAGGACAACCGCAGGGCCACGGATGTGTCCGCCTTTGTCGATGCCCTCCAGAAGCGGGGTTTCGTCCTCAGTGGCGAGCGCTCCGAGGCCATTGACCTGTCCAACAAAATGTTTGTCAAAATGCGCTTCACCAAGGGCGCGACACCGACCAAAGGCCGTGCTGCCCAAGCACCGGAACCCGGCAGAGGCAGGAAGCCCACATACACCACAAAGCTTACAGAAGAGGAAGATAACGGCGTGAACGAATCAACAATCCTGAAGCCTTGCGTGTATAAAATTCGGTAGAATATCCATTGTCTGAACTATATCACGAGAGGCGTTTGGCTCACTTATTTTGTCCTCAAAATTATTTCATGCAACATCGTCAATTAAGCTTAAGATATTCCCCTTTATATGTTTTCTGTATGTGTTTATTGAGCCTCCACCAAAAAAGAACAGTCGTGTGAACGTCGTTGCACTTGGTCCTCAGTGCTGCCCAGTGGCCGTTACCTGCATACTTGCCGAAATAAAACTCCCAACGCCCCTTTCCGATACGTGAAAACCTACCGACGCTCGCGTAATGTAGTCTTGCGAGACAAGAATGCACTTCCCATTGCTGTTGCATCTAGAAGAAGATGATGCCCGCAGCCACGTCCACGTTGCCCTCGGCGGCCTGCAAAGCCTGGATCGCTTGCTCTCTCGAGGCGCCCATGCCCATTAGTGTCTCAATATGTTGAGGCAGCAAGGCCGGTCCGGCGGCAGCAGGCTGAGCGGTCGCTGGCGCCGGCGCGGATACAGGCCCAGGCGCAGGCGTGGCAGCCGTTGTCGTCGCAGCAGATGTCGGCGGTACACCAGCCGCGCCAGCAGCTCTTGCGTGCGGCGCAGAGGAGGGTCCTGCGCTTGGAGGCTCGATGGCACCCGATCTCTGTCCAATAGTGGTTCCCGCAGGGCCAGGAATGGTGGGTTCGTCCTGGTTGGCTTCCTCCTCTTTGGGGATCTCGGCCTCGCCCAGGAAGGGAATCTCCTCGCCCTGGATAACCAGCTTGTCCTTGGCAAGGTCAATAGTGGCCTGGTGGCGCTTCAGCATGTCAAGACCGAGCAAGAGGTCCATGCCCTTGCCCTCCATGACAGTGAAGCTGCAGGGCAGATGCATCGCGCCAATCTTGATCTGAGCAGAGTGCACACGGCCAATAATGTTGGCCGTGCCCACTCCGCGGGCGACACCAGCAAAGCGCGTGTCGATGAGGCGCATAATTCCGCACGCCTCCGCGCACGAGGGCGACATGATGGTCGCTTGGGCGCCAGAGTCTACAAATGCCTTGACCTTGTGCCCGTTGACCTCGACATCGACGTACAGCATATGCACTCTTCCAAAGACTATGGCGAGGATGTGTGTTAGTTCCTTGTCAACAAGCATGCAAGATGAGACGTTTACCTTCGGGGTTGTGCTCCATGGCATTTTGCAGGTTCTCCATGACACGCTCTTGACGGATCATCTCCTCGATCTTCCTCTGGTTTTCGACGTTGAATGGGTCATCGTTCAACTGTTCGATCTGCCGTTGTCTTTCGAGGCGCTCTCTCTGCTCGCGGCCCTGGCTTTCACTGAGGATGGCAGCGAAGCGCGCGGGATCGTCCACAGCGGCCGCCAGCTCTGGGTGTTGGCGCTGCAGCTGCTGCCGCAGATTCGGGTCGCCAAGGACCTGCAGACGAATCATCTCCGGGTCGTTTGCTCCGGCACTGGCCTGAGCCCGGGGTTGAGATGGCGCCGGTCGAGCAGCCTGTGCCTGAGGGTTGGGGGTTGGTCGCTTCTCGCGCACGTGGACAGCCAGCATATCCCCATCATTGATTTGCAGCTGCTCCATCGTCTTTGTATCCTCGTTGAGAGCTCGGCCGTTGTGGTAGATTTGCTGAGTATCGGGCGCCACCTTGGCCTCAGCCTGGATCGACTCGCGCAGCGTAGAGAGCGTCATGTCGGGGAAGATTTCGAGGGTCAGAAGGGTATCCTGATCCCCCGCTTTGCGATCCCAAATGTTGAGTGTGATACGCCTAGACGCGAGAAGCTTGTCAGTCTCACCACGGACGATGCTGCATCAGGAACAAACTATTCAGACTTACATGGTGGCAAAGAGAGGAGCTGTCAAGCAACTGGGTCGTTGAGGGCGTTTGGATAGTGCGGGCACGCTGAATCGCGCTAGAAATTGACGTCTCGCCAGTGTCCAAGCGTGTCAGCAGGGCCAGGTGCAAAAGAGGAAAGAAATCCTGACAGTGAATTCGAAGCCTAAATTTGTGATGTTTAGCTTGCAAAGTGAAGTCCGGCCAAGTGTCTAAGTATGGAACGGAGTCGAAATTAGTCGTCACTGGTCGCAGCCTGGTACATGGAGGAAGTGGGCCAAACCCACGACAGAAGCTTGGGGGTAGCTTCTTATTTATGCTTCTGCTTGCCACCCGTGACCAGTTTCAGTCAATGCACCACAGACAATATTATTGAGTATCGTCGTTCACAGCATGTGGCGCAGGGCGCACCCTGAGAGACTTGCTGTCGATTCCCGACGGGCAGCGGCAGACTACTGCTGTGGTGGCAGGCTGGCATCCTTGGCGTGCCACTGGACATGTATGCGGGTGACGAAAATACTGTACAGTCTATTAAACCCGTTTTGAAAAGGAAGACAGGGAAAATAAATACATCAAAAAGAAGAGAACAAATATAGTTGCGAGAGATAAAGAAGATAAAATAATCAAGGAAAATGTTATTATTATTCCCTGCAGTTTACTTTGTCCCCTTGGTGACATGGCAAGAGGCATCGAGCTAGTTACTATTAGATTCCGGAGCAGACCAGCATCGGAAGTGTCCGAAGACCGTGACTCGATGCTGCATGTAAACGAAGCCCTGTCGTCTCCCCCCGATCATCGCTGCAGCAGCAGAAGCAATGGGTTGTCATGCAGCCACGACACGAGGTATATTGGCTGCGGGCGAGTGCGAAACGGCTCGGATGCACAAGCACGGCTGTGTCGCCTCCAATGTTGCAAACAAAAGAGGTGCACACAAGTCCGCCATCGTGCCCAAGTGAGGAAATGATGCTTTACGGCGTATTTTCCCGCATTGTACAGCATCATTTGGTCTCCTCCCCGACACGCCCATCTGCAGGAGGTCCTTCACCGAGTGGGGAATGCAGACGCAATTGTCCTGCGGCATTGTTTCAATGAGCTGGCAAGTAACATGCACCTGTTTCACACGCATCATATCAACTGTCGAACAATAGTCGACAGCTCGTATTGTGAGAAGCAAACAAGTTAGTCAGGTCGTGGAATAGCTGGTTCGGGCCTGATGCTCCTTCTTGTATGTAGGATGCATGATACGCCAGCGCACAAATGCATGTACATACACATACACACAAATATACTCGACAGAAAGATATCAATTTGAATCAAATACGCCAAACACCACGCTAATACCGCTATAAACTAATGATAATCCGAAAGGCTTGGAGCGTAGTTGCTCGTGCCCAATTTAGCCAATACTACGAAGAGTTAAAGCCTCGATATCTGCTATATATTTTTGTTCTCTTCTCGAGCTTCATGGCCGCCGCCGTTTTGCCTTCTCCGTGGTTCAGCCTTCAACCACTCAGTCGCTGGCCTTGTATTTGGCGCGGTACTCCTCAGCCTTCTTGATATCCTCCTCCGAGATGAGGCCACGCATGCCATCGATGACGTCGTCGAGTGTCACAATGGAGAAAATCGGAATGCCGTACTCCTTCTTCATCTCACCAATGGCGCTGGGACCAGGCTTGGAGTCGTCGCCATCGGTGGCCGGAAGCTTCTCCATCCGGTCCAGAGCAACGACAATACCGGCCACAATTCCGCCCTCCTTTCTAATCTTCTCAATAGCCTCTCTCTTGGCAGTTCCCGCAGTGACAACGTCGTCGATAATCAGCACGCGCTTGCCCTTGAGGCCAGCACCAACAATGTTGCCGCCCTCCCCGTGGTCCTTGGCCTCTTTGCGGTCGAATGAGTAGGAGATCTTGTCCAGGTTGGCAGCCTCAAGCTCTCCAATCTTGATGGTCACGGCCGTAGCCAGAGGAATTCCCTTGTAGGCGGGGCCAAAGACAATGTCAAACTCGAGACCATTCTTCTGGGCATCGAGAATGGTGAGGGCAAAGGCCTTAGCAATTGCACCGGCGAGGCGGGCGGTGTGAAAATCGCCGGCGTTGAAGAAGTAGGGAGATATTCTCTTGGACTTGAGCTCGAACGTGCCGAACTTGAGAATGCCACCGTCATGACAAGACTTGAGGAAGTCCTTCTTGTACTGAGCGAGATCCGACATTGTGCTGGTCGGTCGGTCGGTTGATCGTAGATACTTGGCAGGTATGGTTGAAAGACAAAGTGTATGACCAGAAAGAAAAACAAGAAGCTCAAGGACTGTATATACCCAAACAGTGAAAATAATAAGATGACGAAGGAATATATATCTTCAACTCACCAGAAAAAGTCTTTCCGCCAAATTTGTTTAAGTTATCGTGACTTGGGTGGGGCAACAGTAGCGGGGTATTCAGATGAGGTCTTTTTTTCACATATTTTGTGCGAAAATGTACTTCCACAACCAATGCCAGAGGCCAGAAGGCTATCGATAAGCGCTCGACCCACTGCCCGCCAACTTTTTGTTTTTCCCAATGGTGAAGCGAAAAAAAATTTGACCGCCTTGCCAGTCGGGGTAGTCCGTCTCGAAAATCCTCATCTTCCAACCACCAAGACCTGGGCATTCCGACATCTTGCGCCCACATCCAGATCTTTCACAATGAAGACCACTTGGAAGGACATTCCTCCTGTCCCAACTCATCAGGAGTTTTTGGACATTGCTCTAAGCAGAACCCAGCGCAAACTGCCCACACAGATTCGTGCTGGTTTCAAAATTGGCAGAATTCGAGGTGAGAACGACCTGACTTTGCGCAACGCCTCTGCCTCGCACACCCACTAACTCTTGTTCCAGCCTTTTATACCAGAAAGGTTAAGTTCACCCAGGAGACGTTTTCCGAAAAGTTTGGCTCCATCCTCGAGAGCTTCCCCCGACTTCAGGACATCCACCCGTTCCACAAGGATCTGCTCAACACCCTCTACGATGCCGACCATTTTCGTATCGCCCTCGGTCAGCTTTCTACCGCCAAGCATCTGATTGAGACCATCTCCAGAGATTACGTTCGTCTTCTCAAGTATGGCCAGTCTCTTTTCCAGTGCAAGCAGCTGAAGAGAGCCGCTCTCGGCCGCATGGCCACCCTCGTCAAGCGCCTCAAGGATCCTCTGCTGTACCTTGACCAGGTTCGCCAGCATCTTGGCCGTCTGCCATCCATCGACCCCAACACTCGCACTCTTCTGATCTGCGGCTACCCTAACGTTGGCAAGTCGAGCTTCTTGCGCAGCGTCACCCGCGCCGACGTCGATGTCCAGCCATATGCCTTTACTACCAAGAGTCTCTTTGTTGGACATTTTGACTACAAATATCTGCGATTCCAGGCCATCGATACCCCTGGTATTCTCGACCACCCGCTCGAGGAAATGAACACCATTGAAATGCAGAGTATCACAGCCATTGCCCATCTTCGTTCTGCCATTCTCTATTTTATGGACCTGTCTGAGCAGTGCGGCTACTCAGTCTCTGCCCAGCTTCAGCTGTTCAAGAGCATTAAGCCCCTCTTCTCCAACAAGCTCGTCTTTGTTGTTATTAACAAGATCGATGTTGTCCGTCCCGAGGATCTGGAACCCGAGCTCAAGGCGGAGCTCGAAGCCATCCTCAAGCCCGGTGAGGTTGAGATGCTTCAACTGTCGTGCACCACCCAGGAAGGTGTTCAGGAAGTCAAGAACGCTGCCTGCGAGCGTCTCATTGCTGAGCGTGTCAACCAAAAGCTCAAGGCTGGTACCGCCAGCGGTGGCAATATCGGCGGCCGTCTTGCCGATGTCATGGCCCGTATCCACGTTGCCCAGCCTATGGGTGGCCAGACCCTGCAGACTTTTATACCTGATGCTGCCAAGGAACTAAAGAAATACGACAAAGAGGACCCCGAGCGCCGCAGACTTGCCAGAGATATCGAGGCCGAGAACGGCGGTGCCGGTGTCTACAATGTCGATATGAAGGTCGACTACCTGCTCAAGAACCCCGAGTGGAAGTACGACAAGATTCCTGAAATCTTCAACGGCCAGAATGTCTTTGACTTTGTCGATCCCGATATCGATGCCAAGCTGGCCGCTATTGAAGAGGAAGAGGAGAAGCTGGAGGCTGAAGGTTACTACGAATCTGATGACGACATTGACGATGACGAGGAGATCGAGGTCCTGCGCAAGGCCGAGCTCATTCGCGAGAAGCAGCAGCTGATCCGCAACGAGGCCCGCATGAAGAAGCGTCTCAAGAACCAGGCCATCATCCCCCGCAAGATGGCCAGGAAGTCGCTGTCCGAGTTTGACGATGCCCTAGACGCCCTAGGCCATGACACCACCGAGATGACGGAGCGCGCCCGCGCCAAGTCGCGCCAACGTGGCCGCTCCATGACACGCGCTGCCACCGAGGACCCTGATGCCATGCAGGTCGATGACCTCAGGGCCCGCCTCCGCTCCAAGAGTCGCCCCGCCAGCCGTGCACCCACGTCGAGCCGCAGAGACGCTGGTGTCGTGGACCAGGGCGAGCGCACCAAGGCTGACCGCATCGCCAAGCTGGGCCAGCGCAAGATGAACAGAATGGCCCGACAGGGTGAGGGTGATCGCTTCATCGGTACCGCCATGCCCAAGTATCTGTTCTCTGGAAAGCGTGGTATTGGCAAGACGGACTGGAAATAACAGAAGACCAATACTTCGTCTGCTTCGAGGACTATATACAAACGAAAAACCAGCAACGCAGCCGCTTCTGCGACACCCCAAGTATATTTGCATCTTGTTTGGCATTTACCGCCCTTCTACTCTTTTGGCATCGTCTCTGTCTGAAACATATTTTCTTGTTTGGGAAGGAGAGAGCTCTTCTTTTTTTTTCGGGCGGGCTCTCGTTGGCGTTTCGGGAGTTGGTTGTTTCTCGTGTGCGTGCGTGCGTGCGTGTGTGTATGTGTGTGTGTGTGTTGCATCTAGGAGGAGGACAGGCCAGCCACCGCTGTTATCGTTTTTCCATCGCTCGAGATCCCAGGAAGTACAATGGAAACATGGCAGAGTTGAGAGGAAAAGAGAAGAACTACAAAGCCGCACTATTGAGAAGCTTCTTTGGTGGCTAAAGGAGTTTTGTTTCTATCTAGATCTACAAGTTTCGCAGGTTAAAATTGACGATTATGAACATGGCTTTCCTACAGCCCGAGACTACATGTTATATTTAATTTGTTTCATGGCTCATGGCGGTGTCCATACAGACACAAAAAAGGGCAACATGACAAGGTCATTAAAATGTTCTTTTTTTACTTGGAACAGTATTTGGAATCTAACTAAGTCCCAAATGAATCAATCATTGCCCGGCAGATTCTCGTGTTGACATGTTTTTAGATGAGCCCGTCAAACCATCCTATCAAAAATCCTACCCCGGCTATCGAATTCATCGCTTCCCGCTGTAAACTAACTACGAATGTATATGTGGTCGCTTATTGCTCGTCAGCAACAACAATGCCCTCCCTCAGGCCCTCAACCTTGAGCTCCTCGCCAGTGGCGCGGCGGTAGATATCCTTGACATCGTCGGTCGTGGTCTCGAAGTGGCTGGTGGCGTCGTAGCTCTTGGAGATGAAGATGTTGTCCTTGGTGCCGTCCTCGAGGGGCTCGTACATGGGGATGGGAGGGCCCTAAAGGGGAGTGTTAATACTTGAGTATTCATGACATGATCTTCAGCCACGTACCATGAACTGCTCCTCGATAGCACCGAGGCGGTCGAGACCAGCCTGGAGCTCGAGGTGATGGTTGGCCTCGGTCTCGGCAATGGTAGAGACGATGGCAACCCAATAGCCCTTGGGGCAAACGTTGTGGGCCGAAGAAACGCAGGCAACGTAGATGTCTGTGCACTATTAGAAAGATGCGGACCAGAGATGAGGATGTGGGAGACATACCATTCTTGCGGCCGACCTGGGACTGAGGAATGATGAGCTGGCAGGAGTCGCTGTCGTTGGTACCGGCAAGAGGGTGCTTGAGAATGCAGATGGCACGGAGGACGTGTCCGACAACCTTGGTCTTGCCAGGGAAGTAGGAAGGGTCACCAAGAATCAGCTTGGCACGGGTCTCGAACTTCAAGTCCTCGGCACCAGTCATGGTGGCCTTGATGCCGACGGTCTTGCCGCCCTCGGTTATGAACTCATTGACGGTTGTGTTGAGCATATAAGTACCACCGTAGATAGCGGAGAGGCGGGCAAAGCCCTGAGGCAGTTCGCCGAGACCGTACAGGGGGTAGATGTATGGCGACTTGCCGTAGCGAGCCACCGACTTGCCGTAGAGGCGGATGCGTTCGATGGCGTTGGGGGCCTCGCCCTTGGCCGTCAGATAGTCGTCGGTCAGATAGAGAGCCATGGCGTGGCCAATAAAGTCCTTGGTGCCAGCCTCGAGACCGAATTTGTCATAGACCTCGTTCATAGTGCATTTGTTCATGTCGAGACCTGGGGAAACATGTCAGCCAGCGTGTTGAATCAAGTTGGGAACATTTCTCACCCTTGTGAGTGGCAGAGTCCTTGAGCTCAAAGGTGCCAACCCACTCAATGAAGGACTTCATGCGGCGCTTCTCAAAGAGGCCCATGAGGGGTGACTTGAGGGCCTCGCCAGCATCCGAAGGAACCTTGGCGACGGTGGCCTTGGGGGAGGCACCCTGCTGGACAAAGCTGCCAGTGACTTGCTTGAACTCGAGATAACGGGTGACATCGGTAGAGACCAGAATGTTGGTCAGCTCGCCAGAGGACATGAGCAGCTTGGGGACCAGGTCAATGTTCCAGTCGTTGAGGCGGCCATACTTCTCCCACGGCTTGTCACCGGTGGCACTGCCGTACTTTTTGAATAGCTATTTCGGCAGTCAGTACCGTGGTTGAAACCAAGCGATGGTAGAACGAGACTTACGGTCTCGAGGTTGACGGAGGCAGCCTCACTGTAACGCGAGCAGTCGATGTTAGCGTATCTTCAGGCAAGTACACGGATAGGGTCGCCGGCGTGGCTTGGGCGAAACGTACCCGCCGTAGTGGTCGTTTCGGTCAATGTGCAGAACCTTCTTGCCCTTGACACTGAGAACACTGTAGAGAGATGTGGCGTTAGCTTAGGCCATGTTGTATGGTGATCGATCGAAAAAGGCGGGGGGGTCATTGGCGGTGGGAAGTCGGGCGCGCAACATACCCGGAGAGGATGCACTCGGTCAGGCCTGCAAGGAAAGAGGAGCATTAGCAAAATGGGATCCAAAGACATGAAAAGGAAGCGTGCACAAGCAGCAGGCAAAGACGGGAAGCTCTCGTCGCGCGACGCGCGCTGAAGCTGCTGGGTCGGTGGATGAGGGGCAGAGAAAGGGCGGCGAAGGCTTGCTTGCACAACCCCAACAACGGCCAGACGAGCGAGAGCAAGCGCGGGCAGGGCAAGCAGACAAGGACGACGTACCAGTGCCGAGGACAACAACGTCGTATTCCTTGGCAATCTCGTCCATGGTGGCGGGTGTTGCTGTATTAAAGTCAAAAAGTAAATAGGGAATTGGATGGGCCAGAGAAAGGAAAAAGAAAAAAAGATGGTCGGAGTCAGGAGGAGGGATGCGAGGAAACGGGCGGCGTGTGAGGTGAGGGGTTGGATGGACCTTGAGGCCGCTAAAAAAGAAGAGGTGAAGAAAGGTACTTGAGCCGCACGCTGTATTCGTGCTTGCGGGGAGGTACCAGTGAGCCAGAGGTACTTGCGTAGATAGTCGCTGTACAAATATGGTGACGGGGAGATAACTAGATGGATGTAGGAGGAGGAGAATGAGAGATGATATTATTTGTATTTTCTTCTATTTTTTTTATTCCGCAAATTTCCCCAATTCGCTTCATTTCATCATACCCTACCACTGTGACAGGGAACCGGGCCATCCTGAGTTCATAGTCAACGATGCCCTCCTCCACTCTCGTCCAGCCACAGCGTAACCCAATCTCCCTCTGCCAAAAGCATTGACTTTCTCACCGTCCTGTTGAGCTCGAAAAAAAACGGCGTGGCTATTGACGCCTTATATCTACAAACTACCATCCGCACTAAATATGACACGAATGGCGGCTCGCCATGGAATCCTACAGATCAAATCCCTGGCTAGCATCTGTCTCGCCCTCAGATTGCTCTCATCCCAGCTTCCTTGCTTCGAAAAGGACAGCATGTCGTTTCCCCCGCGTTCCCCAGTCTACAGCCGGCTCGCCTGAGATTGCTGCAATTAAAGCTTGCGAAATTTTGCCCGCATTCAATTATCTTACATTTTCGCTTTCTAGTTGGGCTACTTGTAGTTACATTGTGTACAGCCGCTCTTCGGTGGCGGAAGCGTCCTCTACTTGTTGAGAGGCACCTTTTCGTCATTCTCCTCCTCTCACCCCAGCCTTGTATCATGTTGCCAGGCTGCTTCTTCAGCTTGGCACCTTGGCCGGCTCGGCTTTGCTGGCCACCTCGGGCTTGGCCACCTCGGATGCCCAGGTGTCGGGCACATCGGTCTCTTCCTCGTACGCGGATGGCTTGTAGAACTGTCCGTCTTCCGCTTGCAGGTCAATCTCTGGGTCCGACTCGGCAATTTTGGTCGCATCTTCCCACGTGTATTGTCGTTCGGTAAGGGTGTGCTTGATGGCCTTCATCGTCTTGTTTACCTAAAAGATGGGCAAAAGCCCAACATGTCAGCCGGTTCCCCCAATGCAGTCCACTGGCAGCGGGCGCTCCATACCTCGAGCTCGCGGGCCTCAATTTCGGACTCGCCAAAGCCTAGCTTTGTCCTCTCCAGCTCGGCCTTGGTGGTGGCCAGCATGTTGCGCTCTTTGCAGCACGTCCACCACAGCGCGTGCAGGTCCTCCCACGATTTCCGGCGCAGCTCCTCGACCTTCCACGCCCTCCCGTGCTTCTCCATTTCCGTCGGCGTCCACATCAGCTTGTTGGGCTCCGGGAAGAAGCCCCAGAGGCCGTGGCTCTCGTCCACGGGCACGGTGGGCTTGTAGTCGGCGCGAGGCTTTGGCAGCGGCACATTGGACATGGAAAGGGGTTCGCGTGGTCCCGAGCGGTACAGGCTGCTCACACCGCGCTTCTTGTTGTTGTCTCTGGTCTTTCGCTTGCACATGTGACCTGTCGTCGAGAAAGCTGCGGCGCGACTGCTGGCCATCGTCATTTGCGCCAGCACAGACGACCTAGCCGGGTTTCCGAGGCGCATGGCGCAGCCTATTGTCGGCCGTAATATATGCGCGCCCGACATTGGTTGTGATTTCAATTGTGAACAAGACTAGAAATCCCAAATGTTCCTGAATTGGGAGAGTCGAATGCTAACTGGCGTCTCAAATTTTGGCCTACTGGGTCAGCCAATAGGGGCTGCCTTGAGACCCACACCTACCCTATACACGCGTCCTACGCTCGCTTGAAGTCGCAGACTGTATGAAAGTCGGCAGTTCCGCGAATTAAATCTTGCTTGATCTTGGGGTTCTTGCCTGTGACTTCCGGGAACGTGTGGGAGTCTGTGTTGGTACTCTTGACCGACTGAACTCTTGAATCCGAACCATTCTGAAGTAGTCTGGCTTCAAATAACCAAACTCCATCACGAAGCGACCAAATCCAACCAACGTGCAAACACTCACGGATAGCGATAAAAATAAACAACTCATCGCTTATGAAGCCACACGACAGACTACACCTGACTATGTTCTTGCTTATCTTGCTTACCCTAATACCTCGCGGCATCGCATCAACTGCGAACAGCTGCTCTTCTAGTGACAACTCGGCTTCCCGGCCAGCGAATGAGCCTGCTTATAGCCAGCCTAAAGCCCGAAATTCTGCAGGTACTGAGGCGGATAATATGATATGAGCTGGTAGCAAAAGTCATCAAAGGTAACTTCGAATAGCCTGTGTTGTGCTCCCGGCGCACATCGTGTAGATAGAACTAAACCTACAACACAGCCTTTGGACCGACCGACCTTGTATTGTGCAGTCTCTAGTAGATATGGAATGATTCTCCTGTCTATCAATATGGAAGGAGGACTTTCGAGCTGTTGGATCGATCTGGTAATGTCAACCGGCAGTGTTGGTCTTCAACTAGAAGACCAACTAGCCGCACTTCCACCCTTGATGCCGCGGGAGTCTGTTTAAACGCACTGACAATAACTATTTCTCCACCGCTTGACCAGGGGTCAAATAGCTCCGTTAAACGTTGTAGTAAGAGCTTTGCTAAAGGTTGAGATCGATCATCTATACGTAGTAATCTTTTAATGCCGGAATTCTGGTGGGTTTCCTGGTTGAGTCACAGAAATGGCCTACACGACACACATGGCACCCGTGCCTACGGGATGAATATCCACCATCTCTTGTGTTTCTCTTCTCACTTCCGTGAGGGCCGTTCATGTCCGGCTCAAACTGTCATACCCGTTACCTTTTCCTTGTCTCACGGCCGTGACCGTCTCGGCTGGTTCCATTGTTCAAGCACCATACCATGGCGGGGTTGGCCCCCCTCCAGAGTCCCTCTTTCCTGGGCGCTGTGGGACATGTTGACATCCAACAGCCTTGTGGACTCTTGCTCCTTTTTTTGTGACGCCCCGTTCTCCGTGTACATGAACGCTGATCCCACAAGCCGTTTTGTGGTGAAGTCTCCATGTGTCACTTGTGGACCATTCGAGTTGGGGCCCCCAAAGTGGCTCGGCGCAGCGATCCGGGGCAAGACCGGACCATATTCCCCGTTGTTGCCGTATTTTACTCTGCATGTCGGATGGAAAGCCCTTTTCACAAGCGCCATCTCATCCATTCCCCCGCAGTGGATCGTATCTGAGCGGCCTCGCTCACGATACAGCGGATCAGAAGTAGATGCCGACTCGACAGGCGCCGCCCCCCCCCCCCCCCCCCCCCTTGGAATTAGCTGGGAGAAAATCCACCGTGTTTCGTTTGATGGATTACAAGCGCCTCCGTAGCTGAAGATGGGCGGGTAAATAACCTCTATATAGGGTAACCGCCCTGCGCACTGCTTGTGTCCGGAGCACGGAAACAACAAGGCAGTTCCAATTGACTTATTTCACTCAAGTTATGTATTTTGCCCACAGCGCACAGCTGAGACATGTGAGAAGAGGTGAGCGGGGGACGGCCGACGCACTGAGACTTGGGCGGCTTGTGTGCTCAACCGCCAACGAGGCAATCGACCAGCCACGGGGAATGTATCGTGGGTATCGACATCGGGTGCCCAGGCGAAGCACACATCTACAACAGCTCCAACTACACCTGGTTACGACAAGCAACCGTTCCGTCTCGTACGGCAGCCATGCTGGCACCCGCGGGCACGCGGACACAGATGCAGAGGCAATCAAAATGACGGCGCAAGCGAGACAAAAAAGGGTTTATGCTGATGCAGGCGGCTTGTCCATTGTCCATACACGCCCCCCCCTGTGGGATTTGATTTTCCTTTTTGACACGCGCGTTCGGCGCCAGGTAACACGTCACATGGTTGTACCCTGCGCACACGCTGTGTTATGTATATGCAGCAAGGGCAGAGAGCAACTTGGTGTACCGTCGTTCTGATGAGGGGGACATGATAGGCTGGGCCAAGAAGAATGGACAACGCCACGGCGTCAGAGAAGAGGGAGAAAAAAAATGAACCGTCTGGTGTGTGATGGGGTGATCGAGTAGCAGTGGCACGGCTTGGGGCGGCGGGTGGCAGCAGCAGCGAGCAGCCTGCAAGACCTGCCACACCCAGAGTATGCATGTACACGTCAAGAAGACGCAGAGGTCAAGTAAGAAGACCATGCAACAGATCCCGGCGGCGGAGGAGAGCTTCCTTTCCGAAGTCGCCTCTCCCTTGCAGTTGGTGCGTACGTACAGATACATACCGGAGTAGTAGCGGTACGAGGCCAGCTGTCTTCACTTCAGGCTTTAAACTAGGAAGTGACGAGACAACACATCGTCCAGCCCAACTATCAGTAGTGTCTGCTGGAAAGCCCTTCCATCTCCTCATCTCACGCTAAATAGTGTCTGGGGACCGTGGATGAAATAAGACGCCGCGCTAACTAACTAGCAGAATCATGGTGGCATATTTTCGACAGGTTCCAGTCATCATTCTGGTCTTATTCAACAAAACAACTAATACTGACAGCTTGTGGCATGTTTTTGATACATTGCTTTTGCTCCAAAAGCGGCCCACGTCCCGTCTCCCTTGACTTGGACAAGGGGGGGAGGAGAGGATCCATCTATAACCGAAGATGGATATCAGACCGCCACAAAGCCCCATGGTCGTTTTCATAAAAAGTGTTACCTTGTATTCGTTCAGGTTTCTGCCTGTCCAAAAGGGTGTGACAGACTTGCATCACGACCTGCGATCCATTGGCATGCTAGATAGCTACATCACAACTTGCATTGTGCGCCAGCGACTAGCTTCTCTGGCGTTGTACCGCACTTGTGCATATGTGCATACCAGCACGGCAGTTGTCCAGCCAGAGGGGGGAGCTGCGAGATACAAAAGCGTCTTGGATATCGCGGGAAGCTTTGAAAGAGCCCACCGGCTCGCTCTTTTACCGCTCCATTCTTCGGCTGGGCGTTTCAAGATGAATAGAGAAGAAAGGGCCGAGTATTTTCTGATATGATCAAGCAATCACGTAAAAAATGCTGTGCAACCTGGGCGGCAGCGCAAATGACCCCTGCTGCATTTTAGGCTGGCAAAAAGGAAGCTGGGGCGGACCGCCGCCGCCCTCCTGCATTTGTCGTCATCCATGCCCGGGGGGGAGGGGGGATCCATTGGATAACCAGAACTTTTATTATTAAATTTATTAAAATTTTCCACGTCACGCGTTCGGAGCACGGTGCAGGGTTGGTACTCGTTGGGCGTTTTGGCAAAGCAATATCGGAACCAGCCAGGAGGGGGTGGGTGGCCGCGGCCATATGGCTTCTATCCGGGTCGGGGGGCTACGCAAAAAGAGACAAAGAAGGACAACTCATCGTGTAACTTGTGCCCGTGATGTGGCATCGTTGGTACTCGGGAGAGGGGGGGTAACAAGGGAACGTGCAGGCGGCAGCCCGCAGTGCCTCGCCGAGTCCCAACTACGGAAAAGTACGAATGTAAAAAGAAAGGAAATCGACCATTCAATCGGACGTTTGCTTGTCAGGCTTGCAACACCAGGGCCAGAATATGTGTGATTCGCTGATTTTGCGATTGTGTACTCCGTTGTGCGCCCGTCAGCCGCCGTCCGTCGACGCCGACCAGCTGTTCCTCGGACTCGCGACATTTGCACTACATTTGTACCACGTCGTACCATATATCTTGACACTTGATTGCAATTGCTAGATTGATCTCGAATTCGAGACATTTCCAGGTTCCTCGCTAGTTATTGGCGGCCAAGAGCGCGGCCTCGAAGCCAAGCTATATTTTGGAGATGCGTCACAAACCCTTGACGTTTGTGTAGGTCCTCGTTGTTAGCTTGAGCTTGAACTAAGTTATCTCGGTGCCTAGAACAAGAACCGTGAGCACTAGCTCGTGCAGACCTTTTGGTGGCGAGTCTTTTGTCTGTTCTGCGGTATGCACAAAGGGTTGGCGAGCACTGACTGATATTGACTGGATAGTATTACTGTATTGGTATTGGCAGCTTACGTTTCAGCGCCTTGCTTGTCTCATTGTATCACTCGACGACAAAGTTGGCCAAGACATGCAACAACTGAGGCTAGCGAGGTGATGGAACCGAGATTTGGACACTTTCCAGGTCCAAATTACGCGCCAGGTGGACACCAGGAATAAGTAATTCGTACCAGTGGCAGAATGGCACCGAATGGCACCAAATGGCACCGAATGGCGGAGCGAACTCCGCGGACAAGACACTTTCTATTAGCAAACTATGGTCAGAAAATGATAAATCTATTCGTTCGTAATGTTACACCCCTCCCATACGCTAGCATAGGGGGCAAGAATTGATTACAAAGTAATACGCGTAGATGGTGCAATTTATAATTTATTCCAGCCAACGGAACTTTCCACATTGGCTCAGCCATGTGCAGACGTCGAACCCCTCTTTTGCTATTTTTCTTTTTTTCACTCTCTCGAGTTATACGAGCGTTGGTGGAAATTACGCTGGATTATTTGCGTGCTCTCCGAACGATGAGCAAACAGATGCCCAGTTTGAGTCGGTTCTGCCCGCTCCAGGCGAGGGGTCCCGTCTCGAGATGTACGAAGACTAGGCAGCAGTTTGAAGCTTGAATTTTTTTTTAATTTTTTTTTCTTTTTTAAACTATGGCCCTACGTAGCACCGGCAGCATGAACAGAAATGCGCCATAGCGCGCGAGCGAACAGTGGGTTCACCCAACGAGTTCCGGGGGGCCGTGGCCGCAGCCAGCTCGCAAGCCTCGTCCTGTTTTTCTTATGTGTTCCTACCCTCGATCTCGTTATTAATAACAGATGGGCTGCCAAAGGGGAGAATGGAGGAGCGAACTGGCGGGGAGGGGGGGGAGGGGGCGCGGCAACCCTCAAACCTCGAAACAGAGGACCAACGGCGCTTGACTATGGCGATGTAGGACAGGCCATTTCCAAACTGGTGATTTTGCTTTAGTTATTGGCCGAATATTCTTTGTCAAGCAATACCTTGCATTGCTTGAGGAAGAAAAAAAGGTTCGGTCAGCTGTTCCCGGGGTGTGTCTCTAGGCAAGAGAAGAAAAAAAGACTCGGATCTCGACCGAAGACAAGACCGATCTCACCAGTAAACGCCGAGGTGCATTTCGTTGCGCGTCCGAATATGACTCGTGCCCTAACTAATGAGTTAGTAAATATCCAGCTGTAATCTGTACCCTGTAGTTCGTCAAGTTACTGATCACTATCATGTGTTCGTGTTGAGCTGGGCGTGTGTTCCGTCGGAAAAGCAGGAGCAATCTGCAATGTGATGCTACATGCTGGGGCAGTGCAAGTATGCAACCGATTGACGGTGCGCAATGCTGCCCGTAACATCCTTCTTTCGAATCTTCAAACGTACGGTTGTTACCAATCGGCCGATGCTCACTAAACTACTGGTAATTTGTAGATGTTTTCCTTTGTCCCAGGCACGCACACGCGCACATATCCACAGTGAACATGAGAGAATCGACACAAGAGTCAGGACACACCAACGCGTCCACAAGAAAATACTGCAACGGCGAGATCTGGTGCAACGGGGCAGATGGACCGGTCGGCTCTCAGCGGCGGTCTCTTTGCAAACACTCCCCCACTTCCACTCGAGGGGGCTCCTCTTCCGGGTGGCCCGCATGCTGTCAGGAACCACACTACACTTCAACTCGTGGTCAGGGCCAGTCATTGATATGTATATCGAGCCTGCCACTATCAGATGCCGGGCAGGAATGGACATGAACTGGGGTACCAACTGCCGAGCGTCCAGTGCAGCCGATCTCTGTCTGTACTCGGTATGACGGGGGGACGGGGACGGGGGTGGACAAGTTGACAAGTTGACTGCTGTCATCCGGCAGGACAAAAAGAATGACGCAAGCCACCTGTACAAGACAGGCTGTCTTTGGGGGGAAGCGAGAAGGCGCAAAGTCCTTTTCGACTCGAGGCACAATAATCATCAGGACTCATAACTAGTTCGTTAACTAGTCACCAGTTGTTGAGAGCCTGATCTTCCTAATAATTCCGATTATGCACTGCAGCGGAGTAAATAAACCTGGCCCTGGTACGAGTGAGTTTGGCACGGTCCGAGCTAGTTAGTCCACGCACGGCGCGCCAGTCCATGTGGGAAGCAGGCATTGATGGTTTGTGAGAGTTCGACCGACATTGATACCATTTTGATACGAGCCAAGGGCCAAGGGCGAGTTAGCAATGTGACGTATGCTTTTGGCGTCGCGACTGCCACGACGAACTCGGTATTCCGCTTTGGGCAGCCGATCGTGACACTAGTTGTTTCGAAACCAAGGCATGTTGGCCGACCTCTGCTGGTGTCACAGAAGACGTGGCAACCACCGATATTGCAGGCGCCCCGGATGGGCAAGAGAGACAGTTTGGGAGGAGAGAAGCGAGGGAGGATAACGTCACGCGGCAAATGCAAAAGGGATGCGAGAGTTGCAACCCCAAACACCCCCTTCACAACCACCGCCAACAACAAAAGAGCCAGAGCAGGCCCGTACGTGGTAACCGTTTGCGACGCGCACATGATGGATGATTGGCCAAAAGCGAGGCCAGGCCAGAGGAAACGCGCATACTGGCATACTCAGCCGCTACGAGGACACCACCACTATTACCACCATCACCGCCGCCACCGTCGCTGCAAGGCGCACTTCATACCCGGCCTCTTCTCTGCTGGAAACCACAGCGCTCCTCTCCGATGGCCGGCCCGGCATGTCGCTGTTGCGCGCTGGCTGGCTCGGCCAACTTTTTTTCTTCTGATGGTGTGGTCGGCAAGGTGCAGGGGGGTGTGCGTGTTTGTGGTTGGGTCAAGTCGTGTCGAGGACGCACGCAGTAGCCACGCCACACAGCAACACCAACCAAGTAATAACTACTTGAAAAAGGTGTGCCATGTCCCGGCACGTATGTAACAGTGCGATGAAGCAAAAGCTGTCGTGAAAAAAGGCCAAGGGATCAAGAGGCTGTTGTTTTCGTAGCCGTAGCAGCCCCCTCCTTTACAAACTTCTGTCAGAGCCAACTCGACTCGCCGTAGCGGCCATGGGCTTGGTCTGGTCCTTTTGTCTTTTGCTCCAAGCGGACATGAGTTGCCTGTTGCGTCCTAGCGGCTGGTGCGAGTTTCGACGGCACACCTTTTTTGCTTTCATGTCATTAGTCAGGAATAAACCTATCGTGGCAGTGTTGTGGTTGTGAGCATCTTGAATAGCTGGACAGCGTTTCATGCTTTTTTTAAACCACCGTGCGAGTACGAGGCCAAGCTTGCCCGACTTGTTATTGGGAGGCACCCAAGCTGACCACCGTGGAATAACGCGCGCTGTACAATTGTCCAGTCTCGAATGGTTTTCGTCGGCGATGTTGACTCGCGCTGCGGGCGGCGTCACACCTCGGTGGCGCACCTGCGCATGAGCGTGGTACCTGTATGTTTGCGACAGCATTGGTCACTGTACTTTGCTAGCTATTGTCTTGCTACCCCCTTGGGACAAGGGAGGCGGGGGGAGGCGCTTCGCTTCGCTTGCTGCTTTTCCAAATTCCTGGGAACCTGTGCTTTTGATTCCGCACTGGGAGACGCACGCCCCAGTCTCAATAGAATATGACCACCCTGCCGCAAATATCAAGTGTGAGAAGAGAAAGACCGAGTCTGGCGGTGAGTTTCGCGATAGAAGAGTCAGGCCTGTGATTGGCGCCAGTCATGCTAGCTCTCGGGGAAAACTCGGTGCTGAACGCACCACTCGTCGATTGTGACGCGGACAGGGAAAAGGTCAAAAGTCAGAGGTACAAGCTGCTGACGCTGACCAATGTACCAATCGTCATATGATGCACCTCTCCTGGCGGCAGGCTTCACACCACCCATCTCTTGAGTGTGTGTGCGTATTCGTGTGTGCCATGTGCTTTATTATTTCGTTGTAATCATGATCCATTCCTTTCTCATGCTTTTCATTGTTGCACATGTCGAGTACAGCAAACGACGGGCAGCAGTCTTTGTTGTTGCGCCCGCTGCCAGAGCTGGCTGGATCGATTGACCGCAGAGTAATTTGTAACTACCGGAGCTGAGGCATCGTCGTCGCCGGCTGTTTCTTTCTTTCTGGTAATTTGCCCGCGAATTTCCGCTGGCTGCCACACTGCTACCTTCTTATTCTTACGACAGTCTGGCCGAGCCTCTTCAACCCTACATATACCGGGTCAATTTTGGGCTATGAGCAATCATACGGCAAACGAGCTTGCCTCAATATAGAAGTAGAGAAGGGGGCTAGCAATATGTGAAGAACATGGGCATATTCCGAATTGCCAACCTTGAATTGCGTATGTGTGTGTCTGTGGTGTGTGTGTGTGCGCGCGCGCGCTTTCTCCCGCCGGCTAAATGCTCTTTTCAGCTCTGGCGGCCTCCTTGTCTCCTTTTCTCGCTCATTCTCGCGCTCTCTCGGCCATTGCCGGATCGAAAATGCCGATTCCGGAACCAAGACGCCAAAGTCCTGGCGCGACCGGCCCAATCGCTCTGCCAGGCTCGTTTTGATGCCATTCACGTCGTCCTTCAACGGACCACACCCATCTGGCAGCAAAAATGGCCCCCCTCCAACGACCTGATGTTGACTGTGGATTCCCTCGTCCAGCAGAGCCGCACAGCATTAATGCTGGCGAGGCGCAAAATGGACCCAGACCTCAGCGCATCGGTTGAGTGGATAGAGGGCCAGGAATCTGGTTGTCTTGTGCGTGCGCGCGGGACTGGGGTCCCACTGCCTGGATGGATGGGTGGTTTTTGGGGGCTCCAAAGCCTCTGGATCGCCTGTGCCAGCCTATCCAGCTCGCTAGCACAACGGATGGCAGAGATGGTGCTCCGTAACTAGAGGGGGAGGGCGAGATGGCTGGTTGGTACCTTGGTAGTTACCAGGTTGGTGGTTGGTGGCGGGAAGTGGGTGTCGTCAGCCCACTCACCACTCATCGTCGCTCACGGATTTTTCTTCAGCGGCGGCCCCTCTCCCCACTGCCGAACCACTCACTCAACTCAGATGGACGGGCCTGAGAAGAAAAGTTAATATCGTGAGATTGAGATTGAGGCGTGAGACGAAACTCATTGTGCTGCTCTCGTCTGCCAGCCTGCAATTCGTATTTTGCCAAAATTGCAGCTTGGTCTGAAATACGCCGGCTCATCCTTGAAACAACATTGGGCCATTTCATTACCAGCCTCGACGCTAACTACAGCCACGGCTGAGTTTCAACTGCGTCCGCGAGACGCGGCCTTTTCTTCGGTCATTCGGTTTATGATTGCGATGTGCCGCCCCTCGCAAGCCCAACGGTGCTGGTCGCGCTGCCCTGGGACCGCGTTGTGCCCCCAGGCTGGCTCCGGGGACCTCTCCTGGTCAAGTCTGCCCACACACACTCACTCACTCCCTTACCCCCGGCATAGTTGCCGGCAAATGGGCCTCGAAATGTGACCATGGTGGATATTTCGAGGTCTGGCTGTCTGTACCTGGCATCCCGGTTCTGAAATCTGTAGGAAAGGACAAAACCACCCTGACAGGCTGACATTGCCCTACGATGTGGCTATTTTGTCGCTCACGACTGTTTGGGAACAAGCTCCGAAACCTGATACTTTGAGCAATATGCCCGCTCAGCTATTACCACTGCCGCTGCTCAGGTGATGTTTGAATTTTTTGCCCCCCCCTGCAAGTTTGGCGGACAGGGATGCAGAGGAGTCGGCGCCACTTGTGAATAGTCCTTGTATCCATCCGTCGAGATGACATCGTTTGCAGACATGGGAGAAGGACTTGACTATAAGATTGCGGCGGCGGATGTTATCCAGAGTGACGTAGCGCAACCAGTGACTGACTATCTTGAATTCCGTTTTCTTTACCGAGTAATTCAGTGACCGTTATTCCAGTTGAGCAGTGCATTCCTAGGACGAGGATTGCAAGGGTTGGCGGCATGGCATCGATAATAACGACGCGGTTCAATCAACAGACGGCGGCTTTTGCTCCGGCCTCTGCAGCATAATCCATTCCATCCGCACTCGACGATGTAAGCTGTCACTTTTTCCTTTTGTTACAAAGGGGTGTGACCTCTGGCATCGGCCACGAGTAAGACGACCTGCAGACAGACACATCAAGGTCATACTCGACGATGTATGCCGGAGCAAGAAGGGGCATTTCACAGTATTGGACAAAAACCGAGGCAATTGAATTCAAACATCGTGGCTTCTGTGTGCAAGTCGGTTCTGCCAGGTTCATGCTTGCTGTCTTGCTCCGCTGCATTCACAACGTGCCACTGGTGGGTCAATAGCGCGGTTATGCTAACGAAAAACGCATCGTTGCTGGATGCAGTACAATCAGGGTGAGATGGTGCCCGTCAATTGTGTGAACAGTGTCCTAGACAAGAAGCTGGCCGAGGTCAGCGCGCGGGCGCCTCTCTGTCTGCCGGGCAAGGGTACCTAAGAAAGCTGCCAGCCACGAGCACCCTGGTCTGGGCTGGGCTGGCAATAAGCGATCTATCACAACCGGGCTGCACCGACCGCTGCCCGGTGCCAATGTTCCAGCTCTTTTGGCTAGCAAAGCACATCATCCCACTAGCGCGGACTCGGAGGAAGAAATGAGGGTAGGTACTGCACAGTTTTATTAGGGCCAGGACGTTGGTAGCGGTGTCGGGCTCTCGGCGACGCTGATTTGACTGGCAGCATCCGTATCCGTATGTAGTTACATTGAGTTGGCCGTCGATGAGGTAATGGACTTCCTTGCCGCCACTTTGCCGGGTGTTTCTTAGCTGCTCGTGATTTCGTATTCCGGCCCTTGGCTTGGTCAAGTCTCTGCCGGTGATTTGACCATGGACAGTTGCGTTTTCTACATCAACAGTTGGTCAGCTTCTTGTCTAACATAGGACGAGGGGGGGCTTTTATTATAGTCAGTTATGTGCCTATGTCTTTCTGCCAAGTCTACTCTTTCGCCTCATCAGCGAAAAGCTGAGATGGGCGGATGGGGGGAGAAAGGGGGGGGGGAGGAGAAGAGGAGCCGCCAACGAAGGCTGGGACTAGAAGCCGTCTTTCCGGGCGAGGCCAGGCGAGAATAAAGATTTCGGCCACCACCAGGCAGAGCTCAAGCACATCTGTTAGAGGTCATGGAGCTGGCGCGCCGGGATACACTGGAGTCGCAGTCACCCACCAAGCCAACTATGCGGAACATTGTGCTGGCTAGCCCGACGGAGAAACTGGCAGCGTGTAGCGTACCTGCCGGCGCCCCCCCTCTCCCTCTCCCCACCACACTATTCCGGCTCCCTCCTGGCTGGGAAGTGGGAGGACAAACGTTTGACGTTGACATTCTCCCCATGAAAACGTGTGTAAAAAAAAAAAAAAAAAAAACCAAAATAATATAAAACAACCTGTGGCTTGTCCCACTTCCCAACGCCCTTGTTTCTCGGGTTTCCTTCCTGGGGAGGGGACCGTTATTCAGTCTCGTTGCCGTCAGCCGGACAAATGGCGTGCGAGCCCACTACTCCGACCACCCGGAACTGCCTGCCCCCCCAAGCGTTGGACGGGCTCCGCCTACTTGCGATGCCAACTTGCGATGCGAGACGCTGCAGAAGAAAAGAGTTGTCCATGTTGCTGTTGGACAAAGACAAAGCCCCCCCTTGGAGCCTCGTCGGGATCCAGATGCGTGTGTGGCAGTCCCTCTCTGCGTGACGTGACAGAACAGACGTACAGACTTGTTTTGCAGGAAACAGGATAATAATAACCTTTGTTTTTTAACCTTTTGTTTTCTTCTTTTTGCTTCTTCTTTGTTGCAGGGACAGTTTGAATTACCCGCTTGATAGTTGGCCTCTTTTTGTTTGCTCCCTCATCTGTGCTGAGAGGCCGGTTGAGCCGAAATATACGGCTACCGGGTTCCTCACCAGTGCACACCGTACTTCTGCGAGTAAGTTTATACCGCATCAAAGTGCGTTATCGTTTTGGCCAATCAAGTCATTTCCTCGATTCTTCGGGGTGCGCGCGCTCCAGCGGGAGACAGGCACCGACGCACGATGAGGCGACGCGAGTAAGTTGGTTGGTTGCTCTGTGTGTCCACACACCCCCGAAAGGCCTGTTCCGCGGGGCTTCTTGATCTGGCAGGTGGATGAGTTTCCGTAACTACTCAGACCGCGCCTATCTTGTTGCATTTTTGCGACGGGCAGGCAATGGAAAGAATTTTCGTTTGTTCATGTTCGATACAAATTAGTTCTGCTAGTTATAACTAGTGGTCGAGTTGACTCTTGAGTCGAGTTGAATTGAATCATGAAATCACTCAAATCGAAACGCAAAATATACCTGTACATGTCATCGTCACAAATAGCTTGGTCAGCAACCAACCGTCGTGCCAATAGAGGGACGAAACTCAGTTGAACACGAGGCACGCCGCTAAATTACTGCAAATGAGGCAGAGACGCAGTCAATGCCGACAAAGCGATGTTCTCGTGACCAAACTTGCAGACTGAGACACAATGTAAAATTACCACCCCAATAGTCAATTACTTGATTCCGTTTCGGAATCCGGAACATGAAGAGCATTGACGACTTGACGAGACTTCCAACCAGTCTATACGAGGTAATACTGAGTACCACGGGTGATACGGAGTAACTTGGTGCTGGTAATAAACAGACGTCGGTGTGCGCTGGGCGTGCAGCCGGTGAGTGGGAGGGAGCACTGTACTTTGTACCAGGCGGCCTGTAATAATCTGTATTGCCATGCCAATCAATGCCAGGGTCGCTGGCGGGCGACATGTCACTCGGTCTTTGGGACATGCATGCTGCCCATGTCCATCACAGGCAGAGTTGCCTTGCCTCGCAAATCAGGCGCGACTTTTTATTGTTATTTGTATTTTTATTTCATTCTTCGGCCAATCTTGCCGGCCTGATATTGCAACAATATTGTCATGTATTAATATTGATTTTGCAGCGATGTTGCCTCTTGTCGCAGTGGCCGGTGTTTTTGCCAAGCCCCTCAAGTGCGTGTCGTAATGGAATTACTCAACATGACAGTTCTCAATCTTGTCTGCATTCCCTCGCCACGGCCAAAACTCAGTTTCCCTAGCTGACAGGCTGGTTGGTTGGTAGTTCGTTCTTCGTGGTTCCAATCACGCCAGGTAGCGTGCCAGCCCAGCCGCGCGACTCGTTGGCGTGCGAGGGACCCAGAAAAACCGTGGTGCGGCCGGCGAATGGCCATGTTGGCGGTGGTTGGGTGCGTGTGTGTGCGTGCGTTGCATGTGTGCGTGCCTTTTCCCTTCCCTTGCCTCCCTCATTATTCAATCGTTTTATCATACTATCTTTCTAGTCTAGTTCAAGGCAGAGCATGCAAAAGTCTGCCCCAAGAGAGCTAGGCCGAGGCGGTGGTGGTCGCCGGTCGTCGCTCTCGGCATCACCATAACCCTATTTTGCTTGCGGTCACTAGTTAATACTGGGTAGTTAAAAAGGAAAAAAAAATCTTACCTAGGTGTCGGGTGTGGGCCCATCAATCGCCACTACTCAGGTAATAAGAAAGTCAGAAAAGAAGGCGGCGCTGAAAAAGTGTGCTGTTTTCAAGCCACGGCCTTGTGTGGCAAACAGCTCCAGGACCAACGGTTCCAGCGGTCGCTAGACAGGCGACAGGCGACAGGCGACAGGTGACAGGCTTTTACAGCGTGTTACTAGAGACAGCAAAGCACTGTTCTTGGTACGAGACAGAAGGCAAAGAGAGTGCAATAGGCGGCATCTTGGAGTACCAACATGGCTCACTTGACCACTAAGCCGCTTATGGAAAATTCAAATTCGCACCACATCAACGCGCTATCTTGCACCACAATCACCACAGCACAGCTTCTAACCCTACCTTTGCATTTGCACCCGGCCACTCCTAAATGCCACGCCCTTTCTTCTCCCACCCCTCCCCCCTTCCCTCCTTCACCCTCTTCTCAGTTTTTTTCTTAATCATTTTTTTCTAGCTACCTCTCGTTGCCGGCTACTCGTCGCTCTCTGCCCAGGCACACAGTAGCCGCCTCGCCCCCCCCCAAGTCCAGGCAGCAAAAAACCCAGAGTACATAAACCGAAGGGGCCCATTTTCTCCACTCTGAACCCTCCAAAAACACAACCTCGTAGGTGCCTCCAACGAGCCTCATCCACTTCTTCTGGAACGCCGCCGCTTTTTTTTTCTCTACCATCACCGCGTGGATACTCACATCAGCCAACCTCAAGATCCTCTTCTTCCAAGGCTTTTCTTGCCATCATCCGTCGATTCTGAGCCTCGCCTCGCCAGCTCACCCGATCGCTGCCTTTCGCGCCCGCAAACGACAAACGCAGTCGCCGTTTTTCTTTCACTGCTTGCGTGTTCGACGTCCGCCCGCTTCGTCCGTCGCGCTCTGCTTGCTCCCGATTTCGACTACCGTCCTGCCCCTAAAATAACCACCTGTACCGTCTTCCACGACGCGTCTTTTGCGCGCAAGAGCATGGATAACTCTCCCTATCCCACCAATGGTATAAACGGAACCTCGAACCCTCACAGCTACCCGTCGCCAGCGTCCTTCTCGCCTCATCACGGTCAGCCAGGTTCCCCTCTGCCTCAGACGCTGCCGCCTCTGCAGCCTTCCACCACCACCATGCAGCCTCTCTACGGTAGCAACCCGCACACCCCGCGCACCGGAACGCCTAACACGCCAAACTCTGCGCATAACCTGCCTCCTAGCTACCCTCAGAGCACCCAGGCTGGTGCCAGAGGCGGCATGTACTCGATGGGTCAGAATCCCTACCCGCCGCACGCCGGCTACGGTACTTCTCAGCCCATGATGCCCGGCGCCACCACTGCTGCCTCTCACCCGCAGCCCATTGCCCCCGCGCCTATTGGTGGCCGCGGCCCGCCTGTCCTGCGTCCTATGCCTCCTGGTGGCCTCATGGGCCCGAACGGTGTCCCCTCGCCATACGGCCCGGGCCCTCTCATGGCCCAAAACGGCGTCATGGGCGACAACGAGCAACCTACCCACGTTGTTGGCTCTCAGGGTCGCAGAGGTATACTTCCTAGCGCGCCGGGTCGCCCTGCTGCTCCCGCCGCTGGTACCTCGGCCGCGAAGAACACCGTCATTCCGGTCAAGGATGCGGACGGCAAGTTCCCATGCCCTCACTGCACCAAGACCTACTTGCACGCCAAGCACCTGAAGCGCCATCTCCTGCGACGTGAGTATTTCCCGGCCAATGCCATTGTGGCACTGAACGTGCTATCATGCTAACCAAATTGTGCAGACACCGGTGACCGCCCATACATGTGCGTTCTCTGCCGCGACACCTTTTCTCGCAGTGATATCCTCAAGCGCCACTTCCAAAAGTGCTCCATCCGCCGCGGTAACCCCACCGGGGCCTCGCACCTTTCCCACCCCCAAGCGCACGTCAAGAAGAACGCTCAGGCTCAAAAGGCTGCCGGTATGCCCGACGGCGACATGAACCAGATGAACGGCATGCCCGGCGACGGCATGGTTCACCCCTTCGGCATGGTTCCTGTTCAGGATGGCATGAATGGCATGCCTGGCGACCAGCACCAGCACCAGCTCTCCCGCTCCTCTAGCATGGGACGTATGGACAACCCCGCTAACGGCGATCGCCGTGGCATGGCTCCTCCTGTCATGGGTGGCTCTCAGCCTTATGGAGGCGATGTCAACCCTATGAATGGTCAGAGCATGCACGGCTACAATGTCCCTCCCGGCCAGAACGGTATGCCCATGTACGGCCAATCCAACAACGCTCCCCAGTCCAGCCTTGACTGGGCTCAAATGTTCCCTCCTGGTGCTGGTGGCCAAAACCGCCCCTAAGCGTTTGCGACCGATGTTTCGGCTTGCTGCGACATGCCTCTAGGCTTCAGCTCTATTAAGCTCTAGCCGCGGGCTTGGACGGCGCATAGTCTTTCGGTGGAACGACTGCTGCTGTTGCGGCTCGTTGTCCAACCATACGACTCGGCGCAATCGCGATGCAACAAAGCAAAACCACGAGCAAACGAACGAACCGAGCAAACAAAAAAAAAACATGAAAACCAACCTTGCGCTATGCAAATACGTGGCTTGGGAACATTATGCTATCGAACAAGGCTCCGTGGAGGTAGATGCATTTGGGGGCGTTGCGAACTGCTTTTCTGATTCCTGGTTTTTACGTGCTACGCTACTGTTTTCTAGTCTTTCGAGATTCACGGTTGGGCTTTCTTTTTCACGTCTACTGGACAAGGGGGCATGCTGCAAACTTGCGTGCCACGCATGACACCTCTGCTTCCTCATGCCTCTGCCGAGGCTGCCCATGTGGATGTTTTGGTTCTACAATGCATTTCTCTACGGATAGACGGGGTGGGAGTTGACAATTTTTATTAGACTTTTTTTTTCCTCTTTGATCACGATAGAGACGGGGGAAAAGGGTTCATGTGACCGCAAAAGGTACCCGGTAATCTGTCGCGACTGTCGTGACTTGGGCGGCTCATTGATACTTTGCTGTTTGTTATTACCTCTGTTCACTTATGGCTTTTCGTTGTTCGAGGACCTTGGGCTGTGGTATTATGTGAACGAAAAAAAAAAAAAACTTGCGAGGGAAAGGAGAGAAAGTTGGTGCAAAAGGGAAACATTTGTTCAAGTACTTGGCTGTTTTTGCACAAAAGCATTGATTCTGAGTGGTATGAATGCTAGTTTATCATCATTGATTCAATACACACGAGTAAACAAAGAAATAACCCGCCCGCAATTGACTGTATTGTATAGACTGAGGGTTATAGTACTACATGCGTGACCTGGTGGAGTGGTTCATGATGCGGTGGTGGTACAGACCTTGGCGCTTGCGAGGTGTGGATTGTCGTCACTTGTCCTCCCTGTCCACGACGACAATGTGCGGCGTCATCTGTTGCAGTTCCTCCTTGTCCTTTTCCGTCGGCTTGAAGCCAAACTTTTCCTCGGCGCGGTCCGAGAGGTAGAGGCCGGCCGTGCCCCAGGCGAGGATGGCCACGCCGACGCCGAGCTTGGCGTTGGGTGAGAGGTTCTTGTACGCCCTGGAGGGGGGGCAAGTCAGCGCCGGCAGAAAAGATGAAGTCGGTTTGATTTTCGGATCGGAGTCAAGGTTCACCAAGTGTTTAACGTACTTGAACATGGCGAATGAGGGAGAGCACACGTGGCTCTCTCAACCGGCCACGCGGGTGTTGCTCGCTCTGAGGGCGCCCTCGCACTGTTTGGATCACAAGCTACGGAACGGGTCTGACGCGTTCTCGTGCGACTGATGCTCTTCGGATCGCAACGGGTGGAGGTTGAAGGGGGGGCTGAGGAGCGGCCCTGGCGTCGTCGCCACGAGCCCCCTTCGCTCGCGGCTGGTTCGAAATTTTGAGGGGCGGCCCCGTCTAGGCGCGTACCGCCGAGTCTACGCTAACACTTGCTCACTGGCCAACTATGCACAGTCTGCTAGTGCGCCTCACGCTCACCCTGCGGCCAGGGTTTGCTCCACCGCTTCCCCGCGCTCCCGACGCTTCGGTTGGCGACAAGAAACTCTTGCCGCCGTCGCTACACCACATTAACCGCCACCTTTATCAGACGTTGCTGATATATTCACATCTATACGCGGCGAATACTGTTGGTGTCTCTTGCCGAGAAACTTGCGAAGTTCTTCGAAACAACGGGCTAGTCCGGTACCGCGGCAGCTATTCCCAGACGCGCACGAAACGCTCGCTTAGTCTGCGATTCTGGCCAAGTTTTGCCGATAGACTTTGGAATTCTGGGACTAGCGAGACTGCGGAGATTACATCTTTTTTGAAACTACGAAGTTTGTCGAATCCGCCTACCAAAGTATCACCCTCAACTGCCGCCTCACCCTGCTCCCGTCCAAGGGTCGTGTGATCTGGCCAGCGGTTACTCTGTCTTTCTTTCTGCTCACCATTCTCATTTTCCGACAGCAGACTATGCAATGGACGATGACTTGTGCGCCGCAGACGTGCCGCAGCTGAGCCCTCTGAGCCGGCTGCCACACGAGCTGCTGCTCCTCGTGGCACGGCAGCTCGCCCTGGCCGACTTTTGCGCACTGCGGCTGGCCAGCCAGCACATCTCGAGCATGCTGCGGGTGCTGCTGGCCGGGGCGGACTTTGTGGGGGAGCCGTGGCGGGACAATGCGGCGCGGCTGGATGCGCTCGCGGGGTGGCCCGAGTGCGCGCAGCAGATCCGGCGGGTGCGCATCCAGTCGCGCGCCGTGTACGAGGACGAGGAGCAGATGGCGTGGGACGAGGACTGCGCGGATCCGGAGCCGCCCGTGTGGGGGGAGTCGCGGGCGGCCGCGGCGAACCCCGCGGCGCACCGCCTGGCGCCGCTGCGCGCCGACCTCCTCGCCGAGGCGCTCTGCCGTCTGCCGCGGCTCGAGGAGCTGTCGCTCACGTGGGAGCGGCGGCCATTCAAGTCGCGCCAGGAGACGGGCGTCCGCGACGACGACGACCACCTCGCCAACGCGGACCCCGATGTGGCGCGGCAGCTCCAGTACACGACGGGCGCGTGGCAGGTCGAGATGCTCGTGGACCTCGCGGCGGACCTGCCGCCGCTGCGCGCGCTGAGAATGGCCCCGCTGGCGCTCGAGGCCATGGACCAGGCCCGCTACCTGCCGCTCATCGCGAACCTGTTCAACTCGCTGGTGCGGCTGGACCTGCAGCTGTCGGCGCGCGCGCAGCGCACCGACCCGGCCGTGCTGAGCAAGCTCGAGGACCTGCTCGCCGCCGCGTGGGTGTTGCAAACGCTGCGCCTCGATCTCGACGACGACGGCGGCGGGCCCGCCGAGCTGCGCCGCGTCGTCGACTTCCTCCCCAGGACAACGATACCGCACCTGCAGGAGTTGACGCTGGTGTCCGCCGCGCTCAAGCTGCGCGACCTCGACACGTTCCTGCGGCGGCACGCGTGTACGCTGCAGAGCCTGACTCTGGAACACGTGCGCGGCGCCGGGCCGGGGCAGCCGCTCTGGGACGACATCTTTCAGACCATCGGCCAGCACCTGACCGAGCTGACAAGCGCCAAAGTGCGCGGGCACATGTCGGACCACAGATACGCTGTTACCTTTCAGCACGGCGCGGGGGAGGAGGCTGGGAATGAGAACGGCAAGATGAAAACTATAGATCCGGCGCCGCTGGAGAGGTACCTGACGCGGCAGGGCGAGTTCCCAACGCTCCCGTGGATTGAGCACTTCTTGGATTGAGAAGGAAGGGTAAAGTTGGTGTTGAAGATCGCGGGTTTGTGCGTTGTTGATGTTGGAGCTGGATGGGTTGCTGTATGGTAGGGTTTCGTTGTACGATTCCTTTGTATCAAGCATTCAATATACCAAATAATGATGTGACCTGTTTCGCTGTCTGTGCCAACCTGAGAGTCTGCATGCACCGACATCGTGCGAACAAGTAGATGCCGCTGGCTCATATCGGAACGTTGTGACTCTTGGTTCAATTTGCCCGTTTCGGCAGCAGCCCTGGCTGTCGGCCGGCATTCCCACGGATGCGCGCCCCCGGGGGGGAAAAAAAAGTCTGGCCGGGTTCAACAGCTTCTTCGAGGAAGCGGAGGAGCAGTCATGCAACCACTCTAAGCGTAAAGCAGGGGGAAGGGGGAAGCCCACCGGACGAGAAAAAGCAAGATTTGGGGGATCGAGATGGGAGGCATTGTAGGCCTAGTAGGCGGTGAAGTTGAAATGATTGACGGGAACAGCTGCAAAGCAAAAGTATAAATCACGACTGGAGGAGGAATTGGGCCTTGATTTGGTCAAGGAAGCGAGGGCTGTCAGGGATATGGCTGGAAGCGATTACCGACTCGACGGCGTCGTCAGGGCACGGACATGAAGTTGATAGATCTCGAGGAAGAATATTAGAAAAATGACGAGAATCCCATCGAGAAAATGATATCGCTGCCAAGGAAAAAAGCTCATCCTGGTCGCGAATCAGAGTAACAAGGTACAGGGGTGACAAGTAAACCGCCCAGTATTCGTAACTATCATATTTTCTGTATTTTCGTTGTTCTTATCCGACTTGTTTCTCCTGTCATTTTCATACTACCCCTTTTCTTTCAGATACTTATTAGCTCTAGTTGTTAATTAGATTTCCAACTGGTCACAGACAACATCTGGTGATGGGGGCTGAAACGGACGTATCGGATGAAAAGGGGAACACATTTTGCAAAGGCAAGCATTACTTGGGTATTTTGTAGTTTTCTTCCAAGGGTCTTTTCTCGGGACGCAAGGCCATGTCAATCTTGTGCAAGATTGGGCTGAGGCTAGCTCGTGGCTTGGATAGCTCCAGGGGTTTGGTCTGGCCGGGGACTGGCTTGTCTTGGTAGATGTCGACTCTGTCATTGGCGAGTGAGCGAGCTGCGTGTCTGACCGGGGAAGTATTAGACAGCACAAATGTCTGGTCACGGCAGGTTTGGGCGTGACGACACGCAAGCATATACGTGATATTGGTTTGGGACAGGAATTACCGACGCGGCCGAGAAGCAAGGGTCTTCTCCGCGAAACACTTGGGCAAGTCGTTGTGACGATGATCAGACACGGCTATAAAAAAAGGTTGATGGTTTGATTTTCCCGGTGCCCGGGGATTTGACGGTCGATCCGGCCGTGGATAGTCGAGGGCGGGGGCACGGTCCCCCATCTTGGGCGCTGAATAATAAGATCATGGTGGGACAGACAGCGAGCAGCTGGTGCAAGGATCTGCAGCTTTTGGCACGATGGGGATGGGAAAAAGGGACAATTGGTCATGAAAACGGCGTAGCGCTGGCAAGAGATGGGCTCCGGACTTGACAAAGTGAGAATCGACGCGCCAAGTTTTAGTTGGGTCGCATTCGGATATGTACGTACCTGGCCTTTCTTTTTCTCTCTCTATTTCTTGCTTTTTGGATCATGGCCACGACGCCGAAGAAGAGACAGTTTCAGCTGGTCTAGCCCCCAGCCTTTTTTACTGAGTATTAGTGCTTTCTTTTTTGTCAGTCTCGGTTCGGTGTTGGAAACGTGCCCTTTTTTCTTTTTTGGTCTTGTCCCTGGTTCCCTACGAAGTATGTACAAGTCCAATAAAAAAAATGGCGCAAGTCGCAATGCGCACTTTGCGTCGCTATTGAGATGCGGCGGGTGGGAGCCGGAAACCCGCCCGCCGGAGGTCATGGTGACGCCGGAAAGCGAATGGACAGAAATGAGGTCTGAATGACAACTTCAGCTGTTGGATACATTTGGCTCGTACGTTTCCCCCCCACTTCAAAGAGAGTTCAGATATTGGTTGGATGGGACACGAACGGACGGACGTTGGGACCGCTGTGTCAGGTACCGCTGGATTGCGATTCGTCAGGTGGGTGGGAGGAATGCAAACTAGATTGGATGGAGAGTGTAATAGACGGCAAAGAAGACGAGACTGAGAGGATCCGTGATTTATTAGTAGCAAAGTGGTTGTAATGCGACATTTGCGGGCATGTGGGAGACGTTTTGGGCGCAGGCTGGTGGTGCATTCCAAGCACACGCGTCCCAGACTGCGGATTGGCATTCCTACCGAGTAGTTTAATTGAACCCCAGAAAATTGGGTGGGCAAACCGTTCGATTAGCCAGCGATGCAGCTGGTAATGCTCAATTTTGTTGCTCCCTTTCGGTGGGTGGGCAAACTCCATGTTGAAATTTTGACCTCAATGTCGGAAGCGAGGGCGGTTCATTTGACAAGATATGCAAGTCTTGGAACCAACGGAAAGCCGCCGCCATTATCTGCATTTGTTTGTGACTTGTATTTCCGCTGTGCATGGTTGGCCGGGATCGATACGATAGCCCACGTCATTCTACCGACTACGAGGCTGTGTTATCAGAGTAGTCACTTATATCCGTACCTTTATTTAATCTATACCGATACGAGCGAGGCTGGTGCAGTGCTTGGATGGCGACAGAGGACATGGAATGCCAGGACTTAACTACCTCCTAGTTAATTATTCAGGCCCGCCTGTTAGAGATGACAAGGAGGTCGTGCTGGTCTGGTATGGGGAGGGGACGAGCGGCGGTCGAGGATGAACTGTAGGCGCCTGGAACCGGGGTATTTTTTTTGGAGGTCATGTGAAGTCGAAGAGAAGAAAGTTCACTAGTTAGTTGCCTACATACTATCCAGCGAAGCAAGCAGGGAAGCAAACAATTCATCGTCAAATATTCGTATTGGTCACTCGTTGGTACCTCCAGGCACTATGACTTAGCGGCTGATGATGGATGGGCCCAGGGCCAGTGACGTGGTTTTGGCGGCTTACAGGGGTCCAGGGGTAGTGTGGCGCTGAGGCCTACAGGCCGCTTCCGGTAACTATCAAAGTCCTAGAGCCTGATAAGATGTGGCAAATGAAAAAAAAAAATGAAGAATAGCGAAAAAGTGAGGGCAAAACTGAGAAGAGAGGCCAATTGATACGGGCCATCAGAAAAATAAACGGAAAATTGTCTCGACCAGAACAACGTGTGCTCTTCGAAGTGACTTGCGCTGCTTGAAAATGAACCTCCGCTTCCTCCGTCCAAGCAACGAGACTGGTCCCTACCTATACATGGATGGACTCATGCTCGATTACCTTGCAACTATTAACCTAATTATAAACATCAACGCTGGCTTTTTTTCAAAATAAATCGGGGACTTGCTGTACATATCCACCCGAGGTATTGCGTTGCGTGTCGTTCCTTGTTCCTTTACTAGAGTCGCCTAGCAGCGGTGGCGCCGCTCTTCCGGGGCCTTCCCTCACTGGCTCACAGCCAGTCGCCAGCCTGGTCCAGCCCAGGCCTGCGCTTTTTGAATGACATCTGCAACCTTTTCTTTTCTTTGCTTCACGCCCACCTCCCCCCCGAGCCTCAATTCCTCCTCATCCTTTTTTCTACCCTTCGCTTTCCCTTTTTCCCTCCCCCCACCTACTCGACCCCCTCAACAACGACCGCCTTTCGCCCCTGCGGTTTTTCTTCCTCTCCAACATCTGCTGTCGTCGCCCTCTTCTGTTCATGCGCCAAGGGGGGCGTGTGAATGGTCCAGCCTGCAATTGAGACCAACGTACGACTCGACGCGAAAAGGATTCTCCGACGTCCTTGATATCGTTCCCAACCGCTGCCGCCTCCCATACTGCACCTCTCGGCCTTTCTTATCACGCCTGCCAACTCCAATCGTCCTCCGTTTTATCCTCGAAACTCGTCGCTTCAACCCCAGGACTGGCCCAGTCCCCTTCGTTTGCGCGTCCTCAACCCCCGCTGCTTTGGCTCGTCTGACGGCCGAGGGAGACACCCCCTTCCTGCGCTGCCGTCATGCAGCGCGTCTCTTCTTTTCTGCCCTCATGGGAGAAGAGGGCGTCCTCGGGCGGCGCAAAGAATAGCAATGGCCTGTTTGGCTGGGGTGCTGCCAGATCCGCCTCCAGCCCCACGCCCTCGTCCAAGCCCTTGGCCGCCATCAACACGGCCAAGGCAAACAACGGCCGCATCAAGCGAGAGGCCTTCTGGCCCGCCACCCTCGACCAAGAATGCGACAAGGCCGCTCGAATACTAAAATCCTTCTGTGGTGCGCGCCCTCCCAAACCACTCCCGCCCCTGACCGCCCACACCCTTGAATGCTAACCCCTACCTTGCAGTTGACGGCTACCTTCACCCTGTCGATACCGATGCGCCCGAGCCACCTCCCGATTCCACGCAGCCTCCGTTCTCTCCCACCAAAACCATTCAGAAAATCCCCAAACGAGTCATACAAAATGCCGCTGGTATCGCTGTCTTCACATGCATGCGAAGTGGTCTGTGGATGACTGGATCTGGCGGCTCCGGCATCCTCATCGCTCGCAAGTCAGACGGCACCTGGTCTCCGCCCTCTGGCATTATGCTTCACACGCCCACCCTTAGCTTCATCATTGGCGTCGACATTTACGATTGCGTCCTCGTCGTGAGCAACTTGGCTGCCCTCGAAACCATTACCAAGTCCCGTGTCACTCTCGGCGAAGATGTCGGTCTTCTCAACGGCCCCTCTGTACCCCTTGATTCGCAAGAGAAACGCATCAGCTGGAAGGATCTCGACAACACCGTTTTGGCCTACATGAAGGCCCGCGGCCAGCATCAGTCCGTGAACCTGCATGGCTGCATCCTCACCGAGAGAGCTAACGAAAACGAACGATTCTACCGCGCCGAAGTCACTCAAATGGACGTACTCGCCGGCAATGTCTCCCGCCACGTCAAAGAGACGGAAGCACTCTTTGAGGTGATCAAAATGGCCGAGGGAAGAACCGACTTTGACGCCGCTGTCATCAGCCAGACTGCATTGCAGCCAGCTCCTGGCGACGCTGTGATAGAAACACCAAGGTCCGCTACCCCGGTCTCTCCCCGCTTCGGTGTCCCCAAGGCCGACGACCCTGATCCTTTCGGTATACTAGCCCTCGAAATGGCCGGCCTAGAGATTCGTGAAGTGGGCAGCCGCCTGCGCCCTGCAAGCAGCCAGGTTGACTTTGGCAGCGGTCCGATGAGCCCTGTTCTCTCCAAGTTCAGCCGCCAGAGCATAGAGTCCATGGCTCGCAGCAACCGCGGCTCTTACATGTCTAACCGCACCATCAAAAGCCAACTCACCGACGTCGCAGCTCAAACCGGTACTCGATCCCCCAGCCCTGTTGCTCGCGACAGTGATGAGAGAAGCGAACGACCGTCTTTGGATAAAGAAAATGTTGACTACACGACTGTTGACATGTCCTCGCTCACACACATCAGTCGGGAATACGCCAAGACACCTGTTATTGCCGAGGAACCCGAGGAGACGACAGTTACCGAGGAAGAGGTCAAATCTGCTAAATCTTCCAACCCCGGAACCTCTTCGCCCGAGGAAAACCAGGAAGACTTTGACGACGAAGATATCGAAGAAGACGACGAGGAGCCTGTCGTTTTCGAAGTTGCTGCTGTCCAACCTGCGAGAACCCAGGCTGTTGCTTCACGCATGATTCAAGCCAGAGGCAATGTAGTGACCATTGCAAAGCGTGTTCCCCCTCCTCTGCCTCGCCGAAGTCCAGCACGCGTCTCTCGGCTCATGAAGAGTGACGGAGCTGTTGACACCCCTAGCGTTAAGAGCCCTCTGCGTCAGGCCTTCAGTGAGGCCGATCTGCACGACGAAGTTGCCAATGAATCTGTCGAGGCTGCTGCCGATGAGAACAAGTCAACGGGCGACATGAATGAATCCAGACTGAGCCACGCATCTGATATGGGCCAGGCTCTGCACAGTGACCTCGCCTCGACTGTGTCTGCAAACCCCGAAACCTCGAAGAACAAGCATCAGTCCTTCGATGCTTCTGCTGAAAAAGCGACCATCGTTGATTCGAAGCCCAGGGCCGTCTTACCTACTGTTGAAGCCAAGAAGGTTTCGGATGACTCTGATAATGGCTCCATTGGCATCCTCACGGCTTCCTCCCTGCAGTTGGGCAAGCACATCCCTCTGGCCGAATCTAACTCGGCTCATGAGAAGGTCGCCCCCATCGCTGGCGACACCAAGAAGGACGAGGGTGAGGCAAATATTCTCACCCCTCCCACTGTTGGTGTGACCGAGGATAGCGACACAGCTATGGATGGTGACGATGAAGACATCTCCGACGTGTCTGACTCTGAGCTTTTGGATGCTGAATTCTCCATCATGGAGCCTACTACTGTTCGAACCATGCGTCTCTCCCAAATTTCAGGCAACGGCGACTCAAAGCCTCAGAAGCTCGAGATCCGCAACTCGCGCGAAATACCTACCGACAAGCACAAGTCTCTTGATTCCCGCAAGTCACTTGCCGACGACGAGCTCAAGGCCGCCATGATGGCTTTTGACAACCTGGTTCATATCGACGATAGCGACAGCCACCCCAGTACTCCCCACCACGACCACACAGATGCTTCCGACTCGGCCTCGATCAAGAAGAAGCACAGCTCCTCAATTTACACTGGTGCCACCGACGATCGCTGGAGCTACGACGGTTCTTCGCCTACCACGCCCACTTCTGACCGTCCCAGCTCCATGTCCGGTGACCTGACTGATGAAGGGACCCCCAAGAAGCACAATAGAAAGACGACGGAATTGGAGTCCGTTGACCATATCGAGCCCCTTGACAGCCGCAACGGAGACACAACACCCACGGCCGTCACTGTGGCATAGACGTGCTAATCTCATAATCAGGACAGTCCCAACGCGACTGCTCCGCAACCTCGCTCTTCACTGGAGCTGTATTACTATACTATGATTGGGTATGAGGAATGAAAGATTAGAAAAAGGACCGGCAAACAACAAAGGATCGGGCGGTGTTTTTGCTTGATTGTGGATGGGCGTTTTGGGAGAGCTTCTTTCCCGTCTTCATGTTTATACCTTGGCGTTTGTCTCATTTTCGTCGACTGCATCTTTCGTTTCAATCATCACCAGAGGTGATGGCGCATCTTTGAATGTGCCAGGTCACATTCTGCGCTCGGTTTCTTACAGACTGCCCCTCATTTCTTGGCGGCTGTGGGCTTTATAATTATAATCTAGTTGACGTATATTAGGGTCTTGTTGGGTTGTTTCGTTTCTGCTGCGGCGTGTCAGATCTTGCCAGGGACATGATGGAAAGACTTGTTTGTTTGCTGGGATGGGGAATATCATGCTGTCTACGATTACATACTATTACTACTGCGTATTTAGATTTCACTACAGGCAGTGAATATAATGAAAAAATCTTGTTTTCAATGGTTTAGCCTGGAGAGTCAACCACCGCCACGTCAAAGGTAGCAACAAGACGGTTCCAACAGAATCACGTGATCCACTGTGCCACTCGTGCTTCCCTTGCAGCCACATCCACCATTGGCCAAAGCTCGTTCTCGCTAGTTAGCTTCGCGATTTGCCTTGGTGGACTTGCTTTCTCGCGACGCAAGCGCGGCAACACTCCAAACTTGAACGCCAAACAGCGACTGTTTAGCTTCCGACGCATACCCCTCTCCATCGAGCACCCGACGCCAATTCCTCTCTCTTACCCACAGAAGAGGACAAGCATTTTGTTTTTGCTTCCTTTCTCATCATGTCGAGCTCAGGCAAATGGCGCGAGGAGCAGATCCTGATCATCTGCCCTGGTAGCAAGACGACCCTTGCGCAACTCGGATGCAGCGAGCTAACACTGCCAACGCACCGCATCCCCACGCGCATGTTTAAAGATGGCGATGAGTGGCGCCCGTTCCACACGTACAAGCGCATCAAGATTGTCGAAGGCGCCGAGCAGGAAGAATGGGTCGAGGACGTTGACTCGGACGAGGGCGCCGTATACCCCATCCGCGGTAGGTCGCCATCCGTCGTGCGCGGCTCAATTGGACCGGCCGTTATCTCACAACAATCACTAATATGGATTCATACATGCAGCGGGCCATATTGTGCACATGGATGCCTTCCTCGCCTTTCTCGACCACGTTCACGGCCTCCTCACGACGACATACCACAACACGCCCATTCTGTTGATGGCGTCGCCGCAATGGACGCGGCCCGACGCAGAGGGTATCGCGCGGTACGTCTTTGAAAAGACGAGAACGCCCGCTCTTTGCATAATTCACAGTGGCGTCGCCACCCAACACGGACTCAAGTGGCCCAACTTGACAGTCATTGATATTGGCTATCAAAAGGTCGATGTTACCGCCATCTACGACGGCCGCGTCGTCAATCACATCGATGTCGGTGCGTCTGTTGCAGACGACCAGCTTTCTGGAGGTGAAGCATTCACGCAAAGACTGCGAAAACTGCTAGCCTCCAAAAATTTCTCAGATGACATGGCCGAGCAATTGAAGAAGAGTAACATCTGCGAAGTCTTGCCATACGTCGCGACGGCACCGAAGCTCTTCGAGCTCCCCGTTTTAAACTCCTCTGGCGCGCCCCCCAATGCATTTTCTGCGAACAAGCCGCTCGCACCCGTTGCTGCCGCCGAGGCCTCCAAGCCTGACAGCGCTGCCAATGACGAGGAAGGCAGCGATGAAAAGAAGGGCGAGGATGATGGTATCTTGGATGTGGCCGCCATTGTTACCAGCGGGCAAACAAAGGAGTTCCTAGCGCGCAAGGAAAAAGAAAAGGGCAAGCCAGGCCGAAAGCCGAAAGCGCAGCAAGAGGAAGCCCCCACCAGAACTCTGCGTCTACCGAACAGCAAGAGAACACACAACACATTCTTCTACGAGGAGATTATTCAAGAGCTTGTCGTGCCTGAGCCCAAGCAACCTCCCAATGAAGTACCGAAGGAGAACGGGCCTGCTGGTACCAACCAGACGCCTGCCGAAGGTGCTCCGACGGTAGACTCTGCAGCACCTGCTGCTCCCATACCAGAAGGCGGTGCTGCCCCTGAAGTGGCCGTGGCAGATAGCGCAGCGCCAGCTGAGGTGAAGGAGGAGCTCAAGCCTGAAGAGCCCAAGACTTTGGCCACAGACGGAGAGAGTGCCAAGACTGCAGAGGACGTCACATCCAAGGACTCCTCCAACGACACACCCGAATACCGGCCAAAGCGCGTTAAGAAGGATATCGAAGTGGGCCTCGAGCGATTTACATTTGCTGATCGCTCTGAGATTGACCGCATAGTGACAGCCATTTACCGTACAGTACAAGGCATTGACGACATGTATATGCGTCCTCCCTGTTGGGATAATCTTGTATTTGTGGGCAATGGCTCGCGCCTGCGTGGTCTCAAGGAGAATATCCTGGCCACGCTCCACGCTAGACACATTGTTTCTCCTTCCACGGCGACCATGTTCACCTCTGAGCTGCCCTCGAACATGGCCACGCCCACCGGTACCGGCGCTCAAACGCCGACCAGTTCGTTCAACGGAGCGCCACACCAGCTGCAGTCAGGAGGCGTCAACCCGCTGCTCCAGGCGGCGACCACGGCCGGCCTGAACCAGCACCAAGCCCTTGGTACACCGCAGCCCGGGTCCGAAGCGGCGGGTCCCGCCAGCCACCACTTCCACAGCCAAACACCCACGTCAATTAAGCTGGCGGCCATGCCCAACTACCTCAGCGAGTGGACCAAGGCAGGCTTCGAAGAGTCCATGTTCCTCGGCGCGCAGGTGGCCGCCCGCATTGCGTTTTGCCTGCACTCCAACATGGATACGCAGTCCATTGAAGCCCAGCGCATGATGAGCCTGAGCCGGGTCGACTATAAGTAAGTTTCCTTCTCGGCATCTTGTTTGAGAGTGTCACTCGTCTAACATGGGAAATAGTGAACTGGGCCCCAAGGGTATCCGTACGCATTCCATGCTCAACTAGACATGGGGGGAACAAAGGAAGCAAGTGATTGAGAGGATGCCGGGAAGAGATTACATGTTGTTTTTAGCAGGAGGAATGGTATTCAACTTGCGGAGTGGGAGTTTGGACTAAAAAGAGATGCCTCGATTTTTTTTTGGCGCTTCTTGCCTCTTTTTTTTTTGTTTTATTAATAGCGGATTCGTTCATTACGCGTTTCGTTGATGACGTTTCCGTTTGCTGATGTTGATGCGTTCTGACAATACTTTTAGTTGCAGGTAGTGAGTGCCATGAGAAGACAAATTCAATAAATAAAGAGAACGCTTAGACTTGGACGCCAAGATGTTGAAAGAGATGAAGTGGGTTTTATATTGTCACTTTGCTTATTTGGTAGTAAATGCATTCTTCCCCCCCTCCCAAGATTTCCAACCCTTCTGTTTCGAAGACAAGCCAAAGTCATAGTGTATATGTATATATTTGCGCGCGCGCGCGTGTGTGTGTAACTAGACGAGGTAGATGTGAGCCGTGAGTAAATGGCAACGTAGTTTACAAAAAAAAAAAGGACGCGCGACCCCCAACTAAACAAGGCCAAGAACTGGGTATCGGCCCAGTGCAACTGGTCGCTCGTGTGTATGAGCGGCTGTGCAGTAAAAACAATCCGCTCTGATGCTAGCAATGGATAAGGTTATATGTCATATATCATCTTCGTTCTCTTTCGCCTGACGAGATTTCCTTCTTTTGTTTTAGCCGGTAGCATTTCTGTTGGCAGCCTCGTCGACGGCCGAACTCCAGTCCGTCTTCCAAAGGTAGAGGTACTCGATAACGGTGACAATCAGCAGGCCTGCCGTTACACCAATCCACAGACCTTCGAGTCTCCAGCCGAGGCCAAACGCAAGACCGATGGATAGTGGTAGGGACACGAGGTAGTAGGCGATGAGATTGATGGGGCCGCCGATAGCCTGCTTGCCGATGCCACGCAGCAAACCGTGCGCGCCGGCGCTGAGGCCGTCAAAGACTTGCATGATGGCTACCGCGGGCATGACCTGAGCAACCAGGCCGATGACCTCCTTGTCGTTGGTGAAGAGAAGGGGCAGCTGGTAGCGGAAGAGGACAAATACGAAAAAGTTGAAGATGCTGATGGAGGCGGCGAGCCAGAAGGTGACCTTGGCCGTGATTTTGGCGGCGTCGACGAGACCGGCGCCGATGAGGTTGGCTACGCGGGTCGAGGCGGCAATGGACATGGGGAAGGGGATCTGATACGAGATGCTGGTGAGGGTGCCAAGGACGCTCTGGGCGGCGAGGTACTCGGAGCCGAAGCGACTAGCAAAAAGAGTCATGAATTCGAAAGCGAGCCATTCGGCCTCAATCATAATCATGCCGGGCAGCGCAAGCTTGATCATGACGCCCCAGTTGGAAAAGGCGCGGCGGCTCATGCCACCCCAGCACTGACGACCGTCGACGAAGCGGATGTAGAGGAAGAGGAGGATGGGGAGTAAATTCTCGGTAATGGCAACAGCAATGGGAGCGCCAATGAAGCCATATTCGAGCTTCCATACGAGCAGCCAGTTGATAAATATGTTGAAGGGTGCGGCGATGAGGAGAACATAGGTCGTGGCACGGAAGAGGCCCTGTGCCTGGGTAAAGCGTTTACCGCACTCGAACAGGATTACGCCAGGTATGCTAGCAATGCAAACCTTGAGATACATGGAAGCTAGGCGAGCTGTCTCGGCTTCTGGGACGAGTCGCACCAGAATTTGCTCTGAGAAGCACCAGATCAGAATGACGGGACCAGACAAGGAAAGTAGGAAGAGCGCCATGCGCTGACACTGTAGACCGACAAGGTGCTTGTGGCCAGAGCCATACGCTTGGGCGCAGAGGGTGTCGAGACTCGTTGCCAAGCCTTGGAAAGGAGCCAGACAGGTTATCGCATTCGACATGTTGGCCACTGCGGGGGGGGTTAGCTGGAATCGAAGATGGAATGGGCGACGACGCCTGGCGGGTAGACGAGACTTACGAGAAACTGCACCAAGCTCCATCTTGCCGATTCGGCCGACGGCAAAGATACTGGCGACGTTAATCGAGTATTGTAGAGCAAATGTTGTGATGAGAGGGATGCAGTAGGTGACGACAGTCTTGGTCTCGCGCTGCCAAGTGGTGCGGATGCGGCCGCTGGCAACGGCGTCGACCCATTGCTGTTCCACGTCTTCACTGTCGCTATCGGTCGGTGTGGTATCGCCGCCACGGCCATGGAGCAAGGGCGCGGTCTCATCCTGAATACGATGAGGGACGTTGGGGTCAGTGATGTGGTCCTCGTCAGCGGACACCTTGGTGCTGAACAAACGACGGTATATGCGGGCAACAAGACCCTGACTGCGATGCTGGCGCTTGGGCGGTAGGATGTGGTTGTCACGGAGCAGACTGCGCTCGGCGTGGCGGGATTGCTTGTGCTCCTGCGGCGTCATGGCAGGCTCATCGGGGCTGCGGTGGTCGAAGACGGGACGGGACGCGCCATAGGCAACGCCGGATGGGCGGCGGTACATTGTATTACTGAGGCTGCCATAGTGCTGATCGTGACTGCCGACAAGGCCGTCCTCGACGGCAGTCTGGTCGACATCGTCATCGGAGCACTCTTCAATGTCGCGTGCGAGAGCCTCGGCGAGCGGGGAGGAATTTCGAAACGAAGCAGATAGGCGACCGCCGAACCGGTTGGCGGACCCGGTCAACTTTGGCATACTCATGATGAGCGTAGGGCGGGTGGTTTACGGATATGCGAAGTCAATTGGATATGGATGCCGAGAGAAAGGCTATAGGCAGGCGGAGGGGAGAGTCCAAAATGAGACCGGGGGAGCAAAGTTGCTCCGGATGTCGGGACAAGTTGGCGATGACAGCCGATGACGTTGGGAAATGTAGAAAAGGGTTTGGCTGGCGAATTGGTTCGAGGCAAACAGTGTTGGCTTGGCGGAACGGAAGAGGAAGGTAGTTACTGGCTCGAGAGTCGTTCGTTGGTCTGGGCTTATCGAGGAGAAGGAAGTCGAGAGAAGATGGGGAAAAAAGCGTCAGGATCAGGCAAGAATAGAATAGGTAGGCCGACGGTGGTGCCAAAGCAATTCGGGGACTTTATTATGGAAAAGCGCGGCGAGAAGAAGAAAATTTCAAACAAGGTTCCTCGGCGCAGGAAAAGGCAGGGGGGACATTGGATGAAAAGAGGACGCAGGAAAATGGAAAAGTATATATAGTAAGTTATGACGAGGACGGCGTGCAGAGACGGAGAGGAGACGCTGGATTATTTTCGGCCGCCGATGGGCCGCCGCTAAAAAGAAAAAAAAGTACGTTTATGATTTGCAGTAGTATAGGTAGTTAGTTAACTACCTACCTAGTTACGGCGACCAAGTCGGGGTTGGTTTGGCTGGCTGCGACGACTAAAGAGATGCAAGCTAGGTACATAGGTAAGGAGCTACCAGTTAATCAATCAATCGTCATGAGCGCCATCTCAGAATGCAAGATTCTCGAGGGTTCCTTCGCATGGCATCGGTGTGACAGACTAGCAGCTCGACAGCAACCACCATCGGCACGGCTTTTGCACCCAACGAGGTTTTCCCTGTAAATGCACGTCGGTATCCGCGGACCCTCTCGGCCTCTGCACCAATTATAATTTAGGGTACCCTGTTGCACGCCCTGTCGCGCTAGCTGCTTCTGCAAATCGACTAGGTACCTACATTAGTTACTGTATGTCTGTGTATGTACACCATGATGGCCACATCCCCCCCTGCAACACTGCCCAGTCGCGGCCAACTTCTTCCCCCCATCATATCATGCCATCCGCACAAAGTATGACTCGACTCTCCATCCTGACATCACTTCTTTTTGCCGCACTATACTGCCCAGCTCTGTCCCAAACAGTCTTCCTTTTCGTGCGACATGGTTGCCACCCACGGCATTGCCTCTCTACTATACTTGCGTAGGGGCAGGCTGTATGGCATTCGGAATCCCACCACCGTCTCGGCCTCTCCCCGCTGACCGCCGTGCCCCTCTGCGGACCCCGGCACATCGCTCTTGAAGCATCCCTTCATGATCGCGTCCTTTTTGAACAGCGATGGCCACACGAGAACCCCAATCTCCCACGATGCGATGCGAAACTGACCTGTCGGCTTGGCGGCCTCGCCCCACGCTTGCTTCGATAGGTTTGCCGACGTGACCAGGGCCCAATCCATCGTATTCTTCTCGTTCGTGCGTATATACGTCTTTATATGCGGCGCTGCCCTATCTCGGCCCGCATCGCGAAAGCTGCTTGCTGTTGTTGAATCAACTGTGAGTATATTTCCAGCCGCATCAGCCACGCACATGCCTTGGTCTACGTACCAGCTTTTGATGCATCATCTGCCATCCAGTAATGGAAAATTGGCCGCAGATACCTGAGCTGCATCTCTTGCTGCTTGCTCTGTATCTTGGTGTGAATGGATCCCCCAGATGCATACCCGTCTAGCGAGGCTCGGATCTCATCCGCCGTCGGGAACACCACCTTGAACTGCGGTGCCGCCGCCGCCGTCGTCGCCGACTTTCCCTTGGATAGCGCCTTGAATAGAGTCCCGCGTAGCCATCCATCGTTGCCACCCAACGTCGCTATGGAAGACACTTGCACAGTCACTTCTGATTTCCCGGCCTGGCACGGTATCTGCTCAAGGCATTTGCCCATAGCACTCCAGCCCCAAGCCGTTGCGCCAGCCTCCGTGTGCACCTCATGTGTACCCGGAACACTCGCAACTAGGCTTCCTTTGACCGAAGAAAAGTCATAAACCTTCAAGCTCTGCACCAACCCGGTGCAAGTTGGCCGCATCCTGTCGTATGATGTGAGATAGCTGAGCAGGTCAAACTGGAACCGAGGTCCACTGCCCGGTGTCATGTTTTCAGGCCGTGGTGAATCTTTCGGTGCCGTGTTCAACTTTGGAAGAATAGGTGATATCCACGCCGCATTTGTCATGTTGGTCCAATCTTTTGCTATCATGTTGGCCGTGTGGATAATCACCTGGGCCGTGTCGTCTCGACGGAAGACTATCAGCATTTTAGAGTGATGGGTGCCAAACATTTCCGGCATAGGTGCCACGTGTAGTTTTACATTAGGGAAGTGCTCTGCTTGTTCCTACTGATTCATTATTATACGATCGACCGTGCAAGGAACGGATACATACAACCAGACGGAGGCGGTTTCCATCTTCCCTCTTCCAAAACCCATGGACAACATGAACTTGGACATGAGCTCTGATATCACGGTCGAAAGTGCCCATTAAAAAAGGTATATCGTGCTGGTAGTTAAAGTTCCAGCACTCGCTGATTAACGGATCGCCCAGCAAGTCAGTCAGCGTAATGGCATCTTGATTGCTCTCCTCGTCAAGATCTCGAATCCAGGTAAGACGAAATGGAGAAGAGACCGTGTCCACGCTCTTGTGCTTCTTTGTTCTGGGCGGGCTTATAGAGCGCGAAAGCGAGTCCAGTCCGTTTGGGCTTCCTGTTTCGAGCGGCCGCTTGCTGCGGTTATCCATGGTAGAGTACTATCCAGATGAGTCTGACTAAATCCAAAGATTTAGAGTTGACCCCCTCGGTTTACACAGTACGAGAAATATATTCCGAGAAAAGTGTGTACACCGGCGCGAGACTCTGCTGCCAGCTACAAACGCTTGCTACGCCACAGGCTGCACACTAACTACCTAGGTACCTACCTAACTAGCCACATTACCTTGGTACAGATCAATGCACAATGTGGCTCAACTAGTCATATCCGGCCCACATGTGCTTCAGCCCGTTTATGCCTCCTCACTGCTTTGTCTGTCCCCTTGCCTTCCGCTCGTAACCTCCCACGATTTTCTCTCTTGTCTTGTACCTTCCACCACCGTTTCAACTGGCGCTGTTGGTTTCGTGGACGCTTTCCTTTTCTTTCTTTATGTTATGTGGAATTTTACCACCACTTAACATTTATTCCAATACGCCACTACGACATACATTCCCCCAGCTTGGCTCCAGAGGGGGTAGTCAACCATTCACCATAGTTGCTGCGTACCGATCCTAGCTTCTCCCTAGTTTCCAGAAATCCCCCATTGCAAACGTCGGAAAACCGCGCCACCGAATCGACATACAGAATCCCGCAAAACCAACTGCCGCCCACTTACGAGGCACCGGATATCGGCACGCAGTAGCCCACCATGAGGCTCCTTCAACTTGCTCTCTTTGTGGCGTCTGCCGTTGGCGTCGTGGCAGAGTCTAAAGGTGAGGCCACGACATTTGGCGGCGTCTCCGTCCCTGTCCTACCTGAGTTTTCACCGGCGACATGGGATACCGAGGTCAACAAGACCAAGTTCACCGTGGTCAAGCATTACAGGTAGGCATGCTTGATTCCATGCTCGTGCTACCTGCCTAACAGAGACTCCAGTCCCTACTGCCACCACTGCATAGCATTTGCGCCCGTATTCCAAACCGCTTACGAGTTCTATCATACCATGAAATCTGGGCCCAACAGCGACCAAGCCGCCACCGTTGCAGAAGAACATGGCCTGCAGTTCGCTTCGATGAACTGCGTTGCTCACAGTGACTTCTGCTCCGAACACGAGGTTAACGCATGGCCTCAGACTACACTCTTCAAGAATGGACAGAAAGTAAAGTCTCTTACTGGCCAGCGTTCCATCGCCGAGATGAGCGAAATGATTGAGAAGGCTCTCGAGGAGGAGAAGCCCGGCTCTCGCCCCAAGGATATTGCGCTACCCGAGTCAGGCGCAACGGAAGCCCCCAAGCCTGTGAAGAAGCCAGCCGCTGTTGCGAAACCCCCGAAGAAGATACCCGAAAAATACAACCTCGATGGTGTCTCTGTCTCCCTGACGGCCGAGTCGTTCCAGAAGCACGTTACTCTCTCACACGATCCCTGGTTTATCAAGTTTTACGCGCCTTGGTGCTCTCACTGTCAGGCCCTGAAACCAACGTGGGAGCAGCTCGCCAAATCTATGCGCGGGAAGCTTAACATTGGTGAAGTCAACTGCGATCAGGAAAAGCGCCTGTGCAAGGATGTCCACGCCAAAGCCTTCCCTACTCTTCTCTTTTTCAAGGGAGGCGAGAGAGTCGAATACCGCGGCCTTCGCGGCATCGGCGATTTCACCAAGTACGCCGACAGCGCCATTGATCTCGCCAGCGGTGTTCCCGACATTGACGCCGAGGGCTTTGCGGAGCTTGAGAAGACCGCAGAGGTCATCTTCGTCTACTTCTACGACCATGCTGCCACCTCGGAGGACTTTGCCGCGCTTGAGAGAATTCCTCTGAGCCTCATTGGTCATGCCAAACTGGTCAAGACGAACGACCCTGAGCTCTTCAAACGCTTCAAGATCACAACCTGGCCGAGACTGATCGTCTCTCGCGAGGGACGCCCGACCTACTACACCCCCTTCACGCCCAACGAGATGCGCGATGTTCGCCGTATTCTTGACTGGATGAAATCGGTCTGGCTTCCTCTGGTCCCCGAGCTGACAGCCACCAACGCCCGCCAAATTATGGAAAACAAGCTCGTCGTGCTCGGAATTCTGGAGCGCAAGGATGGCGACCAGGAGACAATTCAGGGCTCGCTCCGCGAGATGAAGAGCGCTGCCAACGAGTGGATGGACCGCCAGATTCAGGAATTCCAGCTCGAACGCAAGAAACTCCGAGACGCCAAGCAAATGCGCATCGAAGAAGCCGAAGACCGCAATGACGAGCGCGCCCTGCGCGGCGCCAAGTCGATCCGCATCAACATGGACAATTCGAACCGCAAGGAAGTTGCCTTTGCTTGGGTTGATGGCATCTTTTGGCAGCGCTGGCTGCGCACCACGTACGGCATCGACATTAAGGACAAGGACGGCGAGCGTATTATCATTAACGACGAGGCCCGCCGCAAGTACTGGGACACGACGGTCACGGGCAACCATATCCTAGTCAGCCGCACCTCCATTATGGAGACGCTCGACAAGATTGTGTACGGGCCCCAGGTTATCAAGCCCAAGCTGACCGTATCCTTTATCGAGAAGATCTTCTTCGACATTCGTGTCACCTTCCGCGACCACCCTATCCTCTCCCTCCTGAGCGTCTGTGGCATCGCCTACGGCGCCTTTTCGTGGTTCCGCGCCCGCAAGGGCCGTCGCGCCGGCGGTAGCGGTGGCCACTTTCGCCTGGATGACTCTATGAGCGGCAGTGGCGGCATGCGCGAGTTTAAAGACGGCCTCCTCGGCGGCGGCGTCGGCGCCAATGCAAAGGCCGACTAAGACCATGGCCGCTCGGCATTCGGCGGCCAAGTTAGTCTTGGGAGAAGAAGGAAACGCGTTGTTTGGTTGTGTCTTGTTGCTCTATGTTCGTCCTTTTTTGGGTATCACTGCGTCTACGGGTTAGAACAGCGACGAGGGTGTTTTTACAAGCAAGAGAAAAAGACGATCAACCGCAGATGGAAAATAGCAGGAAGTGTCAGGCCTTGCGCCTTTGCTTGCGTTGTTGCCCGGAGAAGTTGCGCAGCTACGCATTGGAGTTTTGGGGGATTCATGTATGTTCCTTGTTTATACTGCTTGGTGTGTGGTTCTGTATAGTATTTTGCCTGTTCATTCACTTTCTTCTCTGATTTCCTTCTATAAAACTGCATATGAGTCAATATTGAAGCCGCGATGCATTCAAACGTGTTCAGCATAATGTCGTAGTTCTATAGGTTCGTGATAGAGAGGGTATCAAATCTTTTCTAGGTATATATCTCTTCCGTCAGACTGTTGAGCGTCAGGCCCGTCTTGGCAATGTCGCTGACGTCGACCAGAAAGTCGAGCGGCATCTCGACCAGGCTGCCTCGTACGCGGCCCAACCATTTACGGAGCTCCTTGATGCCACCGGGAAACTCGCTCCGGACGACGTGCCCGTATTCCACCTTCTCTGGCTGCTTAGACTCTTCCTTGCTATTCTTCTTCTGATCCTCTAGTTTCTCGTCGATTTCGGCAATATCTTGGGGAACCTGAGCCTCTTCCTGGGCGCGAACTTCCTTCTGCACCTCGTGAAGCTCGCTGTTTTCCTCGAGTGTGCCAACGTGGACGGTCTCCGCGCCTGCATCGTCTGTCTTGGGGGTGTCATTCTTACTGGTATGGTGCTCCTCTTTTTTAACGTCTGCAAGTGTCTTGAAGTGCTTGGTGAAGAACTCATCGTAGTCCTCCCAAGTGCGCACATTGTCGTCGGGCACAGGATGAAAGGCCTTTCGGAAAATCTCCGTGTTGGATTTTGCCGTTCCACGCCAGAGATTGGAAAAGTTTGGATGCAAAGGATCGCGGACAAGGATGTCGGCGGGAGAGCCCCAGTCATATTCGTTGAAGGAATCTGTGATGGGATACCAGTTTGCGTTGGGCTTTTGAGGGTCCTGATGCGGGAGTAGACCAAGGTGCTTGCGGAAGATTTCGCGACGAAGTGATGAAGCAAATTTGGAGGCTTGATAGGGCTTGCCGTTCATCGTGCTAGAGACTTGCGGCCCATTTTCGATGACGACGGCGATTTCGGAATCGTGCGTGCCCAGTTGCGAACGATCATTGAGATTGGCAGAACCACAGAGGACAAGGCGATCATCGGCAATAAGAAGCTTGGTATGAACGTAGAGTTCTTCGCTAACGAATGCGTCCATCTCAGCATCCTCAGGGCCATCCCAGACAAAATCTGAAAGCTCGTTTCGTCCATCCATATAAGCCGCGACGATGGAATCCTTTGTCTTATCCGCCACTGTTTGCGCTTTCTCTTGGTACTTTTTGTAAGAATCCGTAGTTCCACCAGTCCCTTCTCCCTGAGGAAAGCGACCCGCGCCAACTTGGTCGTCGTGTTCTTTTCTGGCCTCTTCATATTCCACCCCAGCCTCGATTTCAGCCGCTTCCATCGTCGCCGAGGTGTTGATGCGATCAAAATTGCGCAGATTGTAGAAGCTAATGTATTCACTCGGATCCTCAATGCCAGCCTGTTGAAGCCGCTCAATGATGCTGTTACCTCCCCGAGAGATTGAGTTATACTGGTATTTCATGATGGCGCGAGTACCGAGTGCCTCATTGGCCTTGAGATCGCCAGCAAAAGCTGGAACTGCGGGCATTACAACCCAAATTTTGAAACGCTCGTTATTTTTGTGAGCACTTCGGATTCTTTGAACGATAGCTGCCCCGATTTTGTTGACCACAGGGTGCTGTTTCTTGCTTGTCGCGGTAATAAAGAACTCGAAGGGGTAAGAGCGATGATCAACGCTGATAAATCTTCCAAGATGATTGTACTCACTTGATTTTCGATATATATGAAGTGCTGTGCTTTCAGAATTGCATCAACGTATGCATTGGCGATGGAATGCTCGGTGCGGTGGCCAGAGGACCAGCGCGTGCAGCTAATTTTGATTAGCAGTTGTGGGCGCTGTAGTGTAATATAGTAGCCGTACCTGCGAGTGAGCTGAATGTTCAGTCTGTCTTCTTTAGCGGCGGTTTTCCTACGGCCAAGACCGCGCAGGCCTCTGGTGAACCTCTTCCTGAGTGACCCAACAGCTTGGTGCACAGTCTGCCCAATCGCCTCGATCGTATCTGGCGTGTCCATGAGTTTATACTTGCCGCCATCTTTGGCCCCATACTTGGATTCGAAAATATAGTTCCTATACTTGGTGAGAAGTTTGCAGAGGGTTAGGTCGTTTCAACATACCAACGATCGACAAAATGATCAACGAGATTATTAGTGATGCTCCCTGTCATGCAGAGAGCTACGTCGGACCATCCCATTCTTGAGCTCTTTGTTCTGTCCACTGTGACAAAATCAGTTATTTGAGTGGATATTGCAGACAGGACGTGACATTTAACATACACTTGTTCTGGTTCCAGTTACCAACACCAGAAAAGTCGAAAATTCGGGCATTGTTGTAGTCTTGACCAGGGAAGATGATAGCATCCAAGTCACCGGGGTGTGCATCAGCAATCGGGTGGCTGTTGGTATCCCATCGCCCAAAGCAGAGATCCAGGCCACCCATGAAACAGATGTTGTTGTCAATAATGAGAAGTTTTTCATGGTGAGCCCAGTACAGAACTATGTCATCGGTAACGCCGTAGATGGCCTTAACAGCGGCGTGTGACGCTTTGGCGAGGTCAAAATGGGTAAGATCTGAAAAGGCTTTCTTAAATTCAGACTTGAGATCGTAGCCAGTCGGGACATGATCTGGGTGGCGGAAGACATGAATGTTGGGATGTAGAGCCTCGAGGGCCTTTTTCGTGTGCTGCAGTACTGTTAGCGGGGAAGCATCCTTGACAGCCAAGACAATTTCACTTGCAGCAGAATCGAGGGTGAGGGCAGCCTCAACTTCTTTATAAATGATGATATTTACGGTGACACCTCGCTCAGCAGCAGCCTTGAGCATGGCGTCTAAGCGATATTGTGCATTGTTGGACGGTGGCCGCCGCAGGTACAATTCGGGACTTAACCACCAGTCGAGAATGCAAATGGATTCTTGGGCACCTATACAGAGTGTTTAGCCGAGCGCATGATTCAAATTGGAGACTGTCTGCTCACGCTCGAGCGCCTGAGATACGGCGTAGAAGTAGGAGCAGCCGTCGACGAACCATTTCGCATCGCCAGTCGTTTCCGGAGCAAAAGAGTGGTAGCGATTGGTCAGATACTCGGGGTGTAATTGATCGCAAACATGGCCAACGTGAGCATGGGAATGCTTCTCGCCGCCAAAAAGTGCCTCGATCCCCAGCTCGACCTTCTTGAAAGGCGTTTGGTGGTGGGCTTCGGAAGCTTGCGAGTCGGGCTCCATGGCTGGCCACGTTTAAATTGCTGCGGCCGTGAGGATCGGTAGTGAGGATCTAGACAAGTCGAATGGCTGTCTACGCCTGTATTTCACCTTTACATTGCAAGAACGGCGTCAAAAGGGGAAGGCTGGGAACCGGAGCGAATGGGTTAGTTGTTAGTTAGCGCCGCTGGCAACGTGTACGTGTACCAAGGTCAAGCCACATGAACATACAATGCAACCTCGCCAGCGAGGCAGAAGGGTGAGAGAGTGGCTGTTGGAATAGGTATTATGCAGAACGGACATATAGGGTCGAGTAATTGAGTAGAAAAATATTATTGGGGCGGAGAGATGAAGTCGGCAAGTGCCTGCCTCGGATGCCCGGTACGCAAGAGCTGGCCAACCGAGAATAACTGCAGCGAGGTTGTGAGCTGAAAACATTGTATGACGATGAAACACCTAGCGGTAAATATGCTCTTTTTTTGTCCATTTTGTATCAATTTTTCTCAGGTGTGGACAAGTTCCGCTTGGCCGCTCTCACAGTGCGACGAGAATGTGTTGGCGATGCTGCCTCTTGTTCGTTCCCACGTCTCCACCCGATTCCTGAGAAAAGCTCGCAAACCCTCAACATCGCACTCTGCTCAGACCACACTACATCTATACGGCAGCGTGTGTCAATAAAAGTATCGCTATTAGGTCCGATGACATCACGCTTCTGAGCCCAGACGTAACGCATCTCACCTCGAAAACGTCGCTGTCCGGCGCTCAAATACGTTGCTTGTCCTGCTTGAGAACCACGCAGCACATCGCTCGCAGCCACAGTCCCGGCCCCTTTCCAAGATAGACGACGCTCCTTGTTAGCCGCATCATGTCAGACTCGGCTTCCGTCATCCTTTTCGATGCCAAAGAGCACGCCCACGTGACGGTCTATCTTGCCGCCATCCACGCATCCTGCATTACCCACGATCGCACAATAGCTACCTTTCTTCCGCCCCTCTCGCACGGGAAGCTGCTATCATGGTGGAAGGCCCGCATAGCAGAACTCGCAGACGGCAGCCGGGTCATATTCTTGCTGCTCGACGGCACAAACCCCTTGGGGAGCATAGAAGGACCCGAGATTGTCGGCGTCGTCATGCTGGTCCTCCCGTCATCAGAGACGGGACCCTTTCGGTGCCTGGTGGAGAAGTTGCTCATCCACAGAAGATTTCGGGGAAGAGGCGGCGCCAGGTTGCTGATGAGTGCGTTGGAAGCCGAGGCGCTGAAGCGCCGCCGAACATTGCTGGTTTGTCTTGTCTAGAGCCTGGACGTGGGCTTGAATATTGCTGACGCATGTGCTCGCAGCTGTTGGACACGGAGACTGGGAGCCCGGCCGAGGCCGTCTACAAGAAACTGGGCTACACGGAGATGGGAAGAATCCCGGGCTATGGCATCAGCCCCACGGGAGATCTGAAAGAGGGCACCTTCTTTTACAAAGACATCTCGGCGCAGAGGTATACCGAGTGAGGCAAAGCTGACGGGCCGAGTTTGATTTCGAACCGCACGTTGGATACCGCAATATCAGGCGACCAATATATCAACTTTGCAGGGCAGGGCACACACGTGGGCTCTCGCTTCATGTCAGCTCGGGGCCCGTCGGCGTGTTCACGCAGTGGGTGTATAATCTCCGCAGCATGGCAGAATTCGCGGCCGCGGCTGTTGATGGTGAGGTGACCGGTATTAGCAGATGGATGTCAAGCCTAACTAGGTACATTATCCATGTCACTGCTCCTTGGCAAGCCACCTCGTTCCACGCAAGCCCTGACCCTATCGAACGCAGCCGCAGTCCTGGAAGCTGGCCTTGTTAGGTCACCGACGCGACGGCGCCGCTAGATCCGGCCAAGCCCAGCCATGTGCGTTCGATGATCAGGACGTAGCGTGAGGTCCCAATTGGCCTACCACAGCGTCGCATTTCCCCAGGTGCTCACCTGTGGCCACTATTAACTTGCAGCTCCAACCACAGCGCGAGTCCCTGTGTTAGCCATTCGGGATTTACCTGGATCGATATTTGCAAAGCAGCTGAAAGTATGTACTACAAAGAAAAAAATCTATTAGATTCTTCAGAACCTAAAAATGTCCACCAGCATGGTGCCGTCAAAAGTTTCGACCCGCAATTGGCTGCCTACCTACCGACTACCAGGTACCAGCTCGTGGCATCCTGGCTAACACCAAAAGAGAAGGCCGTCAAATAAAAACATCGGCCGCTGTCCCCGGCCGGCCTTGACCGTTTTCCTTCCTTCCTTCCTTGTTCCTGATCCTCGCCGAGCGTCATCGTCACTTGCGCATTGCTTCTTCAATCGCTGCCACCTCGCAACAATGGTTAACTCTGCCATCTTCCCCGCTGTGGCGCTCGTCCCGCTGGCTGCTGCCGCTCTGTACCCTGGAGTCACGACCGACAACCACGTATGCGTTTTGAGTGCGTTTACACGAGCCCAACTCTAGAGACTTGGATAGAAATTTGACGTACAAGGCGGCTAATTGATTGCTCCAGGCGAGCCTGCTCTCTCTTGCTCCGCAGATGCCGTCCCGGGCAAAGTCGACACTTGCTGCTCCGAGACCTTCGGAGGCTTGGTGGTACGGATAACACCCAAGCTTGCGCAAAGGCTTGGCTGTCGTACTTGTCGCATATTTGACTAACCTTGGATGGCCATGTAGCTTCAAACCCAATTCTGGGACGTTTACACAGGATTAGAGAGCCAGGGCCAGATCCTCCCCCAAAAGTCGTGGACCGTTCACGGTCTGTGGCCTGGTAAGCACCCCTCCTTGCCTCCACCATCTTCAGTCGCTAACCTGAACCCCGTCTCTAGACTTTTGCAATGGTATCTTGCATCACCAATACCTGAACTTGCTATCCGCATCTAACTGTTTTTTCAAGGCTCCTATACCCAGTACTGCGATCTGAACCGTCAATATGACCCGAAGCCTTCGCCCAACACCACTACCGGTACTCCGAGCGGCACTCCCGTTCCGCCTTACAAGGGCGAGGCCATTGACAAGTGGTTTGCGCCGTACGGCAAATCCGACCTCCTTGCTTGGATGAACAAGTACTGGATTAGCCAGGGCGACTCAAACTGGGTCCTCTGGGCGCATGAGTACTCCAAGCACGCCACCTGCTTCTCTACCTTCCAGACCGAATGCTTCGTACGTCGTCAATACGCCCGACGCCCGACACATCCACCCATGCAACGATGCAACTTGCTAACTCTTCAATTGCATTACTCCACAGGGCCCCAAAGCCAACAAGTACGACGATCTGTTTGAATATTTCGAGACTGTCATCGACTACTACAAGGACCTGCCCACCTGGCACTGGCTCGCCAACGCCGGCATCAAGCCTTCCAACACGACCGGATATAGCCTCTCCAACCTACAGGCCGCTCTCAAGACAGGCTACGGCAAGGTCCCCTACCTGGGCTGCGGCGGCCCCAAGTACAATGAGACGGCGGCCGGCAAGGGCTCCACCGACAATGGCCGCACGCAGTTCCAGGAGGTCTGGTACTACAACCATGTCGTCGGTCGTGTCCAGAACAAGGACGTTGTCCGCGTCGACGCCGACGTTGTTGGCGGCAGCCTCGGCAACTGCGCCAAGGCTGAGAATGCCATCTGGTACTACAAGCGTGCCAAGGGCAGCGAGACGACCGCTTGCCAGAACAACTAGCCGAGATGCTGGGCTGTAATACATGGCGCTTCTCTCTTCCAGGACTACATACATGCATATACTAACTGACTGCCATTTAAACAAGCTTGATTATACATGCCTTGAAACTGTGTCCCCTACATTAAAAGAGCTTCCCATTTCCATCATTTTGCGCAATCAAGGGAGGGGAGGGGAGGGGGTTAGAAAATCTATACAGAACTCCCATTTCTTCAACCTGCTCCCCCACTGTACTTTTCCACCTGACCTGACATTTAAAAAAAAACAGAGGTGCCAAAAAGCTGGATTATTTTGTGCATGGTTTGCGCCTCGTCTCGCCCGTTTGCGCTTTGTTATTTACTCGTCATCCTGTAGCTCCTCCACCTTGGGGGCCACGTAGCGCTGCTGCGCTGCCGTGTTGATCTGAGTATCGGTGCCGGTCGTGGTCGCGCTGGCAGGCGCGGCTTGTCCAGTGGCGGCGGCCATGGTCGCGTTGGTCGAGCCCCCCTGCTGTGCGCGCTTCTTCTTCTTGGGTTTCTCAGTCTGTCGGGGCTTGTTAGCGTATGCATCTCTAGGCCATGCATCATCTCTGGCTTCGTCTTACCTCATGCCAGGCCCAGAAGGGTCGGAAACTGTCGAGGAAGGACACATCCTCCCAGAGGTTGGGATACAGCCATAGGCCGGGCGGGACGGCAAAGTATGTAATGCAGAATAGAATGACGCGGAAAATGGCCATGACGAAGAAGAGACCTAAAAGACCGAGCAAGACCCAGCTGAGGTAGTAAACACCCTGACGGAGCTTGAGCGGCCAGAGAGGGTACAGGACAATGGCGAAGATGGCGACGAGAAAGATAGCGGCATACACCTTGCGCTTGACCTGGCTGCCTTCCCACAGCCACACATAGTACAGTTCATCCTGCGCCTCTTGCTGCTGCTCGATGCGGACGTTCCACTGGCCCTTGACGCGCTTGGCCTTCTTGCCGTTGGGGCCCAAGGCGGGCTCGATCTGGGAGACTCGCAGGGCAAGCATGCTGAGGGGCAGCAGCTTGAAGGTGTTTTCGAGGGATGCGCGGTCGGTGATTTCAGGTAGCAGAGGGTTCCTCTTGCGGGCCTTTTCATAGGCGGGGGATTGAAGGATGCGCAGCGCACGTTTGACTATTGTGGCCCGGCTCTGTTAGCAAAACACGACTTATCCGTCCGAAGCAGGTGGACCTTTGTCCGGAGCAGCAATACCTCGGAACATGTCTTTGCGCTCGCCGTTGAGAATGACAGTGCGAGGCTTCAGCTCCTGCCCGCGCAAAAACGTGGCCAGCGCAATGGCCTTGGGGTTGGGCGGTCCCGGCGTGATGGGCTGGGGCTGGCCCTGCTGCTGCTGGTGAGGGTGCGAGTGGTTGTGGCCGTCCTGGTCGTGATCGTGCGAGTGGCCGTGGTCGTTGCCGTCGCCGTGCTGGTGCTGATGCAGTTGCTGTTGCTGTTGCTGCTGCATGGCCTGCATCCGCTGTCGCTTGATTTGCTCGATGAATTCCGGAACGGTCATGCCGGCCTTTTGCGCGTCCTCTGTAATTCGACGCTGCAGTTCTGCAATCTGCTCAGGCGTGGGCTGTTGGCCCGGCCCGGGCATGGGAATACCCTGGGGCTGTTGAGTTGGGGGTGCGGACATTGCGATGAGCTGTGTGGTGTTTGGGCAACAATAAGGAGACGAGAAGAAATATTTTGGTTGGAGGATAAAGGTGAAGCAGATAATTGCAAGCCCAAGCTGCGGAACCCTAGCGTATAGAAAAAAAGAAGGCGAACGCTGGTGCAGATGCAGAAAGCGGTAACTCGTGGATGACACCTATGAGTGTTCACTTTCTGACCAGGTGGCTTTGCTTGCTGTGCGCCGGGTCGTCTATTGCCCGCGATCCGGGCAGCCAGCGCCAGTGCTAATAGCAACGTTTTTGGCACGGTGTCACTGGCGGATTTGCGTGGGGCGCCAACCATCCACAAGCTTCACGCACCCAACGCTGGTTTGGCTACCACTTGTTTGCGCGCATTCTCCTTTGTCGCGAGCAGCGCGCAGCTAGGATGAGTGACAGTTTGACTCAGCTACAGGATGCTGTTGATCAGGTAAGCGACGGAGTGGTTATGCCTCGCGAGGCGCTGCGCTACAAACTGACACCTCTCACCCGCAGCTCGCGCAGCAGTTCGTCGCGTCCCTGCACTTTGTCCATCGGCGACACGATCTCGAAACCCTGGGACCGAATGATAAGATCCGCGATATGAAGCAGGAGCAGGAGCAGAGAGAAGGTAGATGACTGCAAGACCAGCAACTCAGGTCTACATGCGCTAACATGCCCGCGAAATCCAGTCGATCCCCTCCCTGCAGACGAATTCGCGGCCGGCCTGAACGAACTCTCGCGCGATCTCATCTTCAAAGAGCAGCAGATTGAATACTTGATATCGCTGTTGCCGGGTCTGAACAATAGCGAACAGGATCAAGAAAAGGCCATAAAGGATCTTGAGGAGGACCTGAAAGCAGCGGAAGCTGAGAGACAAGAAGCCCTCAAAGAACGCGACGGGATCCTCATGCAACTGGATTCAGTAATTTGCAGCATTCGGCGGCCTTAGACGGCATCTCCATAAATGCAGATATTCTTTGTTTTATCATGGCATGGGTAGCGAGGCGTAACGGAAATCGGCTCTATATGACCGCAATGAATTTGTCACCTCTATTCTATGGATTTCGGCGTTGCAGTCCCTCTCGTCCTGTTTTCTACCCATCTCGTTCTAGTCCTGCGACTGCGGTCGTGGTTCATATAGCTAGCTAACTGGATTTAAAAAATTGCGGGTAAATGTCACGGAGCTCACTCAGGTGCTTAATCTGGAACTGTGATGCCTTGATCGCGGGTTCCTTGATGCCCTCTTCAACCAAATGAGCCGCGGTCCATCCAAAGGCCTGTGCACTTTTGCAGTTGTTGTACGAGTCATCTTTGCAATTTAGTATAGGAGCGGACGTTTGTAAAGCAAGAAATCAAACGTACCGACAAAATAGCAGTCGGCTGGGTTCTCGACGCCAGCTTCACGCATTGATCTCTTGTAGCTGTCAAGGCTCGGCTTGCAGACAAAAGGTACCGCGGAATAGTCGCAGTACGTCAAACCCTCAAATTGGTCATCGATTCCGAGCAGTCTCACGACACGCTCGCCATGGTTCTTGTAGGCGTTGGTGAACAGCCATAGCCTGACTTTGCTCCTGTCAATATCCTGGAGCAGCTGACGCAGTTCAGGATTCGGCTTAATGATGGACTCCAACGGCAGAGCATCGTCCACTTTGGCGTTATATTCCATCGGGTCAATCTCATGATGGCGCACAAGGCCCTCAATAGCAAGACCGTAGTTTGTGTAGTACTCGCTGTGTAGCCGCACAGCCTCCTCATGGGGTAGGCTCAGGTGCTGGGCAAAGTACTTGTCAATGAGATCGGACATGAGTTCCTGCACTTTTGTGCCTATGATTTTGTCAGGACTGCCATTTACGTACTATTCGAAAGCAACTCACTTCGCGCATATAGGCAGTTGTCGATGTCGCTATTGCAACGTCAGTCTGGGCAGCGAGGTCCGAGGTTGGTGGTAGAGTCATACAAGAACAACACGGGCAACTTCGATCTGTCTCCATTGGCGGCGGTCATTTTGACAAGGCCAGCAAAGGATCGAACAGGCGAGCAGTTACGTTTCTGAAGCCGAGACTGCGTGTACGAGCTTGTGCTGTGTTACGAAACTGCGGGAAGCCGCTACGAGGTTTGCGCCGATAGTCTTTTGATAGTGCCGCACCGTAGTCTCGAGCTGCGCATGAGATCAAGAGAATATGCCAAGTCAATATCCACTGGTCGGCTCCCGTTTGGTAGTGGTTGTTGCGAGATTCGATTGGTGTTGAGATGAACTACTTCGGCAATGGCACAACAGCTTCCGATGGCACCCTTTTGAGTCATTCCACTAATTGGGCTCAGACCGAGCCAGTCACAGCGAGAGAGCCTATCCACGCCTCGGCGCGGGAAGCGATCTCGTATTAAAGGTAGTACAAAAATATCAATAGATTGCACTACATGACAAAACCCATATAAACTGTCGGTAGTAGGAAGAGTATTTAACACAAGGCTTCCTCAGAAAAAAAGCAGACTTCCTGTGAGCGAAAGCAGTGGCTTGTCCACTATAAAAAGAATAATTGTCCACTGGCTCTGGGGCGTTGGCGTCATGACATTTCTGCCATGCTCACCGCCTGAAGCATGTGGATATTATTCAACCCAAGGCGAAATTAGACATCCCTTGGCCAAAACTCGACAGGGAAACAAAGAAACAAAGCAAGAGAAGCAGCGCAGCAGAATGGCTCAGTGCGTCTTGCTATAGCCTGCGCAATCTCCGTACTTGGAGTTATTTTTGGACGTGTATTCTGGCTGTTTCCCTACTGAGGAATTGCGAGCACGAGCCACGATAGAATCGCGGCCGCTCTTGCCACCCAGTCGCGCCGCGCAACTAGGAAGCCGACAGGCAAACGAGACCATCTCCTCCAGGCATGAAACTTGTGGCTAATATCGAGGCGATCACAAATATGGCTGTGGATAGTGTCGTGGCTCCTGGGCTCCGCGAGGCCGAGTCACACACGTTGGAACAGTACGAAAGAATCGTTCGCTTTCGCGACGAGATTCTCGCTGGTAGACATGCCACTATCAAGATCCCCGATTCTCTGAGGGAAGCTGCGCTCTCTTTATCCACCCATGAATGCAGCCCAGGATATCAGCCTGGCCAAAATAACACGGTATTTGCCTCGAGTGCGCAACGCGCTGTAGGACCATCCTCCACTGCCACGCCCATCGTGGCACCACCTATCGAGCCGCGCCCGCCATTCCTTTCAAAACCCGATGAGCTGTTGCGTGCCGAATTACAAATACAAAGGAAGCGAGCAGAGCAGGAGCTACAAGAAGATGTGCGGAGAGTCGCCACCGGCAAGCAGTTTGGTCCAGGTCTGCAAGACGATATCGACGCCTCAGCTGTCCTGGCCTCTGCTTTGCTTGCGGTACCAGAACTGAGTTTCTCTGCCCAGGCACAGGAGGGCGCTGGCAGTGGCAATGGTCCGGAACATGATTCTTTTGATGATAATACGTTCTACTCATCCCAGCACGACACGCCCGAATTTCAGCCGGCGTCGCCGGTCCCTCTCAGCTCTGCAGCCCCTGCTGCCAGTATTGTTCCTGCAAAACCGCCACCTGCGAATGCAGCTGCAGCAGAAAAGACGCCAGATGAGCGACGTAGTGTTAATAAGCCACGCCAACTCCGCACTTATGAGGAGCTCACCGAACCTCATGTTCCGAAGCAGCAAGCGAGCATTTTGCCAGGTTTGAACAATTACATTGACAAGTCGGTTGCAAGTTTGAGCCAGTCCAAACTTACTCCCTCTTCTGTGACGGCGTCTGTTGGTGGGCGAACGGCTCCAACTCAGTCAACTTCGTATATCGATCTCCACCCTCCATCGCCATTACTTCAGAACAACGAGCGTACGCTGCCTATCCACTCAGTCAAAAGCTACCCAGTCCAGCCACCACAACCGAGCGAGATCCCTGGACTGCATGGAATGATGCAGAAGCCTGCTCCCAACACCGGAGCCCCTGCTCAAGTGGCGGCGCTCCGGAGCGAACCAGGCTCAAGAACAAGTCCAGAGAGCTCGTCACAAGGCGGACAGCCGAAGCGCAAAAACAGAAGGAAGAAGAGAAAGTCTGAAAAGCAGGCGCTGGAAAGCCAGTCATCATTCGAAATCAGCACGCAACAGATCAAGGCTGAGCCACGATCCCCTTCGCCTCTACCCGGACCATCATATATTCGACCGAACAAACGTCAGCGGCAGGCCAAGGCTCAGAACCAAAACGCAACACATGACGAAATGTCGTATGATCCGGCTATGCCTAACGGACCCAGCAACTCCAATGATGTCCTCCAACGGGTTCAAACTCGACAGGAGCCAGCACCAACTGGTTATGAGGGAAGTGGCGCCTATTTTGCCGCAGCACCAGCCATGCCTGACAGTACAAGAGTCGGAAGGGACTACGCGACTGACCGTGTAATCACTGACGATGGTTACAGACGAGAACATATCCCACAGTTAGCACTGCCTTACGACTATTCCTCTCGTGGGCCACACATGAGCAGACCTGTGCACGCTGATCCGTATCAAGACGGTGCGCTGCCCTATGGAAATTCCTCACGCCCCGCTCGTTACAGTGTCCATACCGAGGGTGATGGCTTTCATGAGTCTACAAGATCACATCCAGCTAGAATACTCGTTGATGCATATGGTCGCGAATATATCGAGCCTACACGTCAGCTTGTTCATCATTCTATCGCGCCGTCACCATTACCTGGCGAGCCTGACAGACTGTACGAGCGTGCCCCGGCACAGCCTCTTGCACGCTACCAAGGACCAGGAACTCTCGAGGAACGAGGGTACATGTTTACTCAACCCGCCTCTCCATATGTTGGACCTAGACGTATCCTGACACAGCCGGAATACGTCACATTCGAAAATAGAGATGGCCGGTACCGAGAGTACTCAACACGGCCGCTAGCTGCTAGTGGAGAGTTTGTTCCTGTACGGCCACAGGAGCACAGAATATATGCAGAGGGGGGGCGGGAGTACATCGGTAGAGCATCGAGCATGCACCCTGTTGAGCAAACTCGGATCGCTAGTGGTTTGAGCTCTTACGGGCACGCCGCGAACGTTCGGCCTGAGGCATCTGGAGTAGTGTATGGCATCGAGCGCAATGCAGCACCGGGCGCCGTCAAAAGTTACGGGTCGTGGCCGAGCAATCAAGGTATGGTGGAACGAGAAGGCGGCATTGGCTTGTACACGGGCACAGCACCGAACGCAGCAGGGAGCTCTCGCAGTACGGCTGGTCCAGATGCCACTACATACGGCCGCGGGAATACGCAAGATGGCTTCCGATAACCAGCTGGGGTGTATTTTTATTTCTTTGGGATGAAAGCATTGCTCGAATGGCGTTGCTGGCACGGGACTTTGAAATTTTTGCGCTTTGTGTTGATTAATAGACGATGACTTTGCTGAAGGGCCTAGAAACAAAATACATGTTACTGACAATGTAAGAAGATACTGGGACGCGCTCACAAGATTGGCAGTTTGATAGGTTTGGTCGGTTCGGCAAGGATACCAAGCGAGACAAAGCTAGGGGATGGTGGATGGCTCTCGGTTGGGGTTGTTGGGGGAGTTGACCTCAAGTAATCTCGTCGGGAGGCCGGGGAGACAAGCCCGATTAATGACTAATTAGGGGAGGCGTAGGGGTACAAAGTAGGCGTATTGGCATTGTGACGTCTGGGTGTGTCTTGTGATTATTGTCTGTACTGGTGACTGGGCAGGGCCTTGAAAAGGGACGAAGACTTAATGCTAACCATTTACAGCTTGATGTCGTTGTGGATGCTTTGTTCTTTGTTTGGTAGAAAGGAACTGAGAGAAGCTGGAAGGTGGGAATTCTTTGGGCCCTGTGATCTGTATGTATGTTGTGGAAGAGGTTGCACCATGTGCTGGGCGAGGGTGACGCCGCATGTAAGTAGGCTGTGTTTGGTTTTAGTGGCGCAATCGGAGACGGACACTCTTATGAACTTTTGTAGGCAATCTCGGACTCGGGATTCTTCAGCGTCTCCGAGAAGAAGAAGAGAAAATAGGGCCGGATACTTCGGTTACCGGCACGGAGCACGGAGCACCAACATGGAGCGGAGATGAGACAGGATTCTATTTTTACGTCGTTGAGATTCCGGCAACGAACAAGGGGCGTTTCGACACGGGCAAGCGAGCCAGCCAGCTTGGCCGAATGGCTTGCATGAAGTCTGGGCTCTCGTTCTGAGTCCTCGCTGCCCTGTCGTTTGAGGGCGATCTGGTATTAATTACTCATGGTATTAATGGCCGAGGTCGGGAAAGATGAGGTGCAGTTCGTTGGAAGCCAAGTTACCTACCGACGGCTGTGGCTTGATTGAAGTGGGAAAACTGTTCTTTCGCCCCAGAGTCGTACCACACTCTGATCAACCAATGACGGGTGAAGACTGCTTGTGCGGCGAATATGTACAGACCAGCCATCCTTGACGAGACGCTGGGACAGGCATGTTGAAAATGGCGCAGAAGAGGTTAGAAAGTTGGCACTTTAGCCGTCATGTTTGGTTCTCAGGAGGCTGAATCGGATTTTGTCTCTTGGCAGTTACAAAGACAACAGTGCGAACGTGCTTGAATAGTGACAAAGATGCTGCAACTACAAATTAGTCAGTCGCATCAGGTTGCTGGAGGTGGTGCCAACTACTGCCAAGGCATTGACGCGGTTCCACCTCGAGACCCAGCGCCAGAGAGAACCAACCGATCTGCCAGTGGGCAAGCTGGCTTTGTGGTGAGGGTCTGGGTCGCGCAAGCAAGCAAGGTAGGCGGCCGTGTAGCAGGAGGTACAAAGTACAGTAGATGGTGTTACCCCAGAAGGCAAAGGTCACTCGTGGCAGGTGACTGTGGCAAGACAAGACGGCGAGCTTGTGAGGCCGCTGGGATGGTCAGGAGCCCTCGTCTAGTTACTAGAGAGCCCTACCAGCACTAAGCTCGATAAGCAAGACGCGGAGCGATGACTGCCTAGGTACCTAGTTTGAAGGGCAGGGCCGGATAGGGTGTTGGTTGGCTGACTTTAATCATGTAGATGCTGGGTAGATACCTGGTACGGAGGCTGGGGATGTTGGAAGGCAAGTGATGCATAATCGGGCAAAGTTTACCTACAGATGATAAGTAAGCCAGGTATGACGACCGACTTGGTGCCCCGCACATACATAACACATACACACACCTGCCAGGTAGGTAGGTAGATACTAACCTTTGACAATTGACTGCCTTGCCTTCATACCTGCACATATCCATCCTGTCCAGCGAGGATGTTACGATATCCAATATACTTGAGAAAAAAAAATCATTTTTATGCAGTTGGTCCCCCGATACAAAGGCTTCCTAAGCGGGAGAATGCGTGTCGCAGACCGAGGACGTGTCTAGCCTGTCCAGAAACAGTGCGAGCAGCAAGCCGGGTCGCCTGCACCGATTCTGCTTGGTTGCTTGGTCCTCTAGCCCGAGACACGCATCGACTCTACGCCTGCAGCAATTTTCATGCAGGCGACAGAAACGAGGTCTTGCAGATGGTCCAGAAGCATGCACTGGCTGTTGAACCGCTCGAGCTGACTGTCTGCTGGCCAACTTATGGAATTGCATTCTACTACGTAGGCACCTTAATCTGTAATCTGTAATCTGTAATCTGTACTCTGTAATCTGTGAGGCGATAACTGATCAACAAGGGCGCAGCAGACCAGGCGCTCAGCTCCATCGGACCACCAACCCCCCTCCCCGCTTACAATAGCCCCACGCAGCGTACAACACAGCCGCCCCAGCTGTACTCGTTATTGGTACTACTAGGTACCTAGTAGGCGGTGCCCGCGCCATGCCTGCCATACCCAAGTACCAAAGTACCGCGTCGGCTCTCTCTCATCAGAACTGTCATAGCCCCCAATGGCCTGTTTCTCTCACGCTGTCATCTGAGGTACAGGGCTCTGCTGCCCTCCAGCTAGCACCACTACACTACTAACCTACCGTACCTCTAATGTTGCTTGTATGACAGACTGATGCTCCCGCAAGCACGAAATATGACACCAGCCCAAGACTATGACAAAAACAAAATAAAATACCACATCCTACCTACTTCAGTCCTTTGCGGTCGGCCAGTTGGCTACAAGTCTCTCGTTTGCCTCGACTCTCTGGCCTTCTTCCTTGTGCCCCAAGAACGATCCACCAAACTCAATCAACCACCAACAAGCTAACTGAACTAGCAGCTCAGACTTCTTGCTACCATCCTACATACCTAATCCCATCTGCTGCTGACCACCAGCCTAGCCGCTCCTCTCTTGGCCTTTTTCTTCTTCTCTCACCCTTCCTTCTTATTCCCTCCCCAAAGAGTTCTTGGACAGGATTGCTTCGCGCCCAATTCTTTCTAGCACTGCCCTTCTTCCTCTTTTTCTTTTCTTCCCATCCTCTTTGTTTCTCCATTTCTCTTCTCCCTCTCCCATCCGTCGCACCCCCAGCGTCTTGTTCTCGATACCCCCCCTTCGTTGCTGGTCCTTTTGGTGTACCTACGTGTCTAGTCTCTCCTCTTCGCTGTCGCTCGCTCCATCTCCATCCCACGATCCATGCCAGTCGTTCCGCCGTTTCTCTCTCTTGTTTGACTGATTCCTGCTCCGCCTCGAGCCTCCGTTTCCGAGTCGTGTCCGATACCTCCCGCTGCCTCGCCTCGCCGTATCTTGACGACAGCCTCGCCGACCTGAAGCTCTTGTTCCTTCCCGCCATCTACCGACCATGAATAAACTGGCAAATATGCGGCACTGGTCCGAGAGGATGAGCCCCAACTTCGGTATGGGCGGCCGCCCCAACATGCCTGGCAACCCCCTCAACACGCATCCCAAGAATGCGCCTCAGACGGGCCCGATCCTCACCAACCCGCAAGCCGTCGATGCCACCATTACCTACTCCTTCAACGTCCCCTTCTCGTCCGACCTCGCCGGTCCCAATACCGAGGAAATCCTGCATTCTACCGCCGATGCAGTGCTCCGATGGACGCACCCCGAGGACGCACCTGATGACGTCCAGGTTCACGAGCTTCCCGTCCACACCTACAACCTCAGTAATCTGCAGCAATTGTGTAGAGATCTGTCAGGTGGCCCTCTCCCCATCGAGGCCCAGGTCATTTCAACGGCTCCTAGGAACGGTAGGGCCCAGCAAATTACCACCGTCTGCCTTTCCGCCTCTCCCGAGCTCGTCAACAAGAGCCGCGAAACCATTCTCAACGAGATTCCCATTGCCTTGGTATGCCATGCCCTGACGAGATGAACTTAATCATCCTACTCCTTTCTCTTTTGCCCCTGCTTCTAATTAATCCATTTCGAATAGCGCTGTACCATCATCGACATCGATGGCAAGCTGGTCTGCGATTTGAACGCCGGCGTTCTCAAGAAGCCCGTCATCGAGACCCTCGATTCCATCTCCAGTTTCTGCGGTGTTGACATCTTCCTGCTCGGGCCCAAGCTAACTCCCATGGTTGATGGCGTTTCTGGAGATTCCGAGATGCGCATGGACCAAAGATGGAGAATCGCCATCTATGGTGATATTTTGTCCTCGGAGCATGCCAAGGCTCGTGTCCTCATTCACATTGACACTCTGGTAACCCCCCCGCCCCCCCCCGCTGTAAACATCTTCTCGTGACAAATCTGTTAACTAGCTACAAGCTTGGTCGTGTCGTCGATGCCACCCGAGTCGAACTTTCGCTGCATCAACTTGTCTGCGGCCGCCATCGTAAGAACATCAAGCTCATCGAGTCATCCACGGGAACTGCCATTTACTTTCCGCCGCTTTTCTCGCAAATGTACCGCTACTGCCCCCCCAATGCCAACCGACGTGACCCGGCCGAAATTTACATTACAGGTGACTCCCACCAGGCCATCGAACTTGCCAAGCAAAAGCTCCACGAAACTGTCTCTCGTATCCGCCTCTATGTCAAGGATGTCAACATTCCTGCTGCCAAAATTGACACCATCCTTCTTGACCGCCTAGATAAGGTTCGAAAAGTTCTAGAGGCCAACGGCACTTACATCATGTTTCCTCCCCTCGCCTGCCAACGCAGCATGGTCCGAGTTCAGGGCAGCGAGGGCTTGCCCGTCGAGCGCACCGTACGCGAGCTCATGTCCCTTGCTGGTCAGTTTTACTCGGCCGCCTGGTTCCTGCAGCAGCCCGACGCTCGACAGCTCCCTGGCCCAGCCGATACACAGGCTATGCTTGGTGAGATTTGTGCAAATTCGGATGCTGATGTATCTTTTGATAAGATGTCCTTTACTGTGACTGGCTCTGATGACGCTGTAAAGGCTGCCTTGACCGTCATCTCGGACCTGAGGTTTGTCTCGCAGCCCCAGTACCAGATTCGTGTCAAGATTGAGTTGGCAAATGAGCATAAGGAGTTTGTCAGCGGCAAGAAGAATGGCAAGATCAACAAGATTATGGGGCAGAGCAACGTGCAAATCATCTTTGACGGTTTCAACGAATACAACTTCAACATTGACGTCATGGCTGCCAGCTACGAATCGCTTAAGCAAGGCCTGACCCTTGTCGAGCAGGAAATGCCGGCATCCATTTCGTTCCACGTTCCGGATCAATACCACAAGCGAATCATTGGCATCGGTGGTCAGCACATTCAGCGCATCATGAAGAAGCACTCTGTCTTTGTCAAGTTTTCCAACGCCATGGACCGAGGCGGCATGGGCCGCGAGGATGATGATCTCAAGGTTGACAATGTCATTTGCCGCACCCCTGCTCGAAATGCTCAGAACTTGGATGCCGTCAAGAACGAAATCTTGGAGATGGTCGACCGAGCAGATTCCGAGTATACGTCTCAGATTGTCAATGTGGATCGCCTCTACCACCGCGAGCTCATTGCTCGTCTTTCCGAAATTGATGAGCTTGAGCAAAAGTTTAATTGCAAGATCAGCTTCCCTAGCACCGAGCAAGCCAGCGATGAAGTTACAGTCACAGGTCCCCAGTGGCAAGTACCGCACTGCGTCGATGAGTTTTTGGGCATGGTCCCTGACAAGCACGACCTCGTTTTTTCTTACTCTCCAGAGCTTGTCAAATTCCTTGAGTCGGTCGACTTCGTTCACGACTTGGTTCCCAAGCTGAAGAGTCAGTACGAGGTAGCTGTCACCGTTCACCAGAACCCCGAGGAGCTCACGGAAGACGGGAAGCCTACCCTGACACTGGTTTGGGGCTTCACTCGCAACAATGCCGGCGGCCTTCGTGATGCCGTTGACTTCCTCGAGGCCGAGTTTGCCACTGCTGCAGTGGATGCCACTGTCGTCAAGGGCTTCATCCCTCGACCCAAATCTGACTCCTTTGAAGACTCTCTGCAGTATTTCGACTCGAAGCTTCTGCAACATGCTCCATCGTCGGTCGGCAGTGAGACGCCCACCAAGTCTGCCTTCGGAGCCGAGATCATTCGCGAGCGTAGTAGCATCCTGGATCGCCTTCGCAAGCCTGGCAGTATGACGTCTCTCTCTTCATTCTTGGACCGCAGAAAGAACAGCTCCCACTCCGCCAACGGCAGCTTCTTCAAGGGTTCGAGCAACGTTTCCAAGTCATCACTCATCTCGATTGAGTCTACGCGCAGCTTCAACGCTGATCGGAACCCCTGGAACGACAGCGGCGTCAACCTTGTTGACGAGGAGAACCCCTGGGGTATTCGCCTTCTCGGCCCTGTCGATGCCAAGCTCACTATCCCCCACGGTGGTGACATTACCCCCAGACACGGCACCCGCGCATCCGGCGATAGCGGTCGCCCCTCCACTTCCCATTCTCTCAATTCTGGATACCCCGCCCCCAGTGGGCATTTCCGTTAGATTTCCTGTCCTAGAGCCCCCCACGTCCAAATACCCTGGCTGGATATACCCACAAAGAAATACCCGGACGAGACTGCGAGCATCTCTACCCGACGCTCCAATCTCTGTCCTTGCTCCCTTCATTTCGTGTTATAACTTTGCTTTTTGACGTTATTTGTTGACTTTTTGTTACGCCTTTATGTCTCTATTTTTTCCATGATGTTATCGTTGGCTACGGATGCATTCCTGCCATATACCCCTTTGCAAATAAAAACGCCGAGCGAGATGGAAATCAGAATACCCTGGAGATAAATAAGGAGTGTGGAGAATTGTTTTTGTTTTATTGCATGGACTATCGACAGATGCGAAAAGTTTCAGCCGCATTGCATAGAGTGGCTATTGCCTCCTTGCAGTTTTTGATACCTGCTTCTTTGAGTCTGTGATGCTCTCCAGATTTTCTACGCCTAGTTTCAGTTGTGAACGAGGATGACGATGCACAGAATGAAACACGTTCAGAGAAGTCGATGTCCAGCGTACAGACAAACTCCGTTTCTGATGACATAGAACCATGCCAGCGAGAGAATTGATCTTGCAGCACCAGCTGCATTACCTTGCGAATTTACTTTTGTATGTGATGTGCACGTAGTGTATGACCGGGGAATAACGGGGAAAAAATGTGTGTTATACAATGATTACTTTATGCTCTAAATACTATAACGGGGCACCGACGCCTCTCCGCTCTAACCATAGAATCTTCTAACCATGGTATCTTCCTTGTGCTAGACCGACCAAATCCTGAATATGAATACACTTTTTGAAATTTTTGTTACAATGCTAGCCTGTCCGGGGGTCAGCTGACAACCGGCCCAACCCGGACTTGCTCGCGATGTCGCCGTTCGTTGAACGCGGACGTCTTCTTGTCGCGGCGCCTTTGTTCGAGCTCGATCTTGGCATACTGACCCCGCGCGCCGTGCTTGAGCTTGGTGATCATGTCGGCGGCCTTGCCCTTGGTCAGGTCCGCCCGTTCTAGGGGGCCGCCTTCGGGCTTGGGGCCGCGCAGCTTGTTGATGTAGTCGAGCTGGCCGCGCGTCGGCGCTCCCTGGCGCCACGGCTGGTCGCGGTGGATGAAGCTGTGCGGAAAAGCCTGCGACGCGTAGCTGTCGGCACCGTGCACGGCGTCGTCAAACGTGGCCGCGGTGAGAATCTCCCGCGGCGCGGCGTACGGGCGAAAGCTGCCCGGCGGCAGAGCGCGGATTTCGACGGCGTGGTACGATGGCTTGGTAGGAGGCGCCGCCGCCGAGGAAGTCGAGGACGGGGAGGAAGAGGAAGGTGAGGAGGGTGGCAGTGTGCTAGGGTCAGAGATGCGCTCTAGGCGGATGTAGGAGCCGCTCGGCGCGGAGAGCACGAACCGCTCCGGACCGATCTGCACCCATGCGTACGTGCTAGCGGCGCGAATGTGGCGCTCGCCCGAGGTGTCGGCAATGAGGTCCAGCACGGACGAGTAGTCGGTAAAGGTGACGGCGGTCGCGGGGTTGGCGGGGGCGGGGGTGTCGGTGCGTGCCTCCTCGGTGTCTCGCTTCTGGCGAAGGCGGCGCATCTGAGCGACAGAGGCGCCGGTGACGAGCTCATCTGGGTCGAGACCGAAGAGGGTCGGGGTAGTGACGATACCGGTCTCGAGGGACGAGACCATGTCGAGGACGTGGCAGTTGCGCTTGCCTGGATGCAGGCGCATACCGCGGCCAATCATCTGAATGAGCAGGTTGCGGGAGCGCGTGGGGCGGGCGAGGAGGACACAGTCGACGTTGGGAATATCGGTGCCCTCGGTGAAGACGCCGCAGTTGACGAGGACGGGAAAGTCGCCGCGTTTGAAGCCGGCGAGGAGGTCGGCGCGGGCGGCGCGCGGGGTCTCACTGGTGACGAAGCGGGCGTCGAAGCCGTGGCGGCGAAACGTGGCGGTGAGGCCGGCGACGTGGGCGAGGTCGACGCAAAAGACGAGTGTCGACTTGCGGTCGGGTGCCTTGGCCATCCAGCTGCGGACGGTGACGTCGTTGACGTGGTCCGTGTTGACGACGCGCGAGAGCTCGCCGGTCTGGAAGTCGCCAAAGGCGCCGCTGCGGACGGCGCCGAGGTCGGCGGACGAGGCGACGGTGGTGAAGACGACGTCGGTGAGCCACTTGTCGGCAATCATGTGCACGTAGTCGCGGTGGTAGACAATCTCGTCAATGGCGGCGCCGAGCTTGAGCCCGTCGAAGCGGGCAAACGTTGCCGACACGCCGACGAGGACGGGCGCGGCCGCGCGCTTGGTGTCGAGGCCAAAGTGGCGCAGCGTGCGCAGGTAGCCGGCGGCGACAATGTGGTGCGCCTCGTCGACGAGCACGAGCTTGTACCGCGCCGGGTCGAACTTGTCCAGGCGGTCCCGCGACGTGATGCTCATGATGCTGGCGACGGTGATGTCGGCGTTGCCGCTCGCGTGCTGCGCGCCCATTTCAATCTCGAGCGTCTTGTCCGGGTACGCCAGGCGGCAGTGGTGAGCCGCCTGCTCGACGAGTTCCCGCCGGTGCGCGAGGATGAGCGTCCGGTCTCCCCCGGTATCCTCGCGCGCAGCAATCTTGTCAATGAGCTGTGTGAAGATGATCTGATGCCCCGTGTTAGTTGGATGAGGGAAGGGGTTGAAGAGGGGATGGGATTGGAGGAGAGTGCGTACGGTTTTGCCGCTCCCGGTCGCGAGAGAGATGCCGACTCGCTTGTGCCCGGATTTAAGACTGTCTAGGACGGAGCGGATACAGTCCTGCTGGTAATCCCGGAGTTGGGGTTTTTGAGGTTTGGTGGTGGTGGTGGATGCCCGCGCTACACGATGAGCCAGCATCGCAACGACGGGGTTGCGCGTCTCCGCGCCGGGGCGCAACAGACATTGGGCAATGGTTCGTAGCATTGCATCTTATTCACCAGATCTCAAGCAGAGGATAATAGTGTTTTTTATATATACTGCCCCCATAAACGAAGGAGTGCAGGTGAGTTGATCTTTTGATGGCTGAAAAATGGCATCTAAAGGAGAACCCTTAATTAGCGACAGCAAAAATTCTGCATTATGTAAGCTTGAATACTTCACTTCACCTCCAGGGCTCTCAGATGAATTTCAGTTACAACCACTCTTCATAAAAGTCATTCACACACTCGGCGTGTGATTTTTGGATCAATTTATTGCTTGGCTTTTCTTTCCAATGATACAGAATCACGTGAGCCCAGCGACTTTATAATTAGGACAATGAACACAAATCGGTCCCGCCACCTACAGCACTCAAACGACAGCGGGTGAAATCATGGGGGCATATGAATCGGATTTTGAGCCCAGCGGCTCCGACAGCTGCCAACATCTCTCTGGATCGGATGATAACAGCGATGCAGACTCAGCCCGTTCCGTGATTCTCGGCGAGGATGCGGAAGAGGCACACAGCGTGAGCGACGGCTCCGCGAACCAGCAGTCACCGCGCAAACGGTCCGGCGAGGACGACCATGCGCTGCGGCCCTTTAAACGCCAACGAAGTCGCCTGAACCCCGACTACCTCGACATGCTCAACAAGGACATTGAAGAGGCGGCGCTTAGAGTGTGCCTAGACGACGACGACGACGACACTGTCTTGCCGGATTCGCAGCTGGGACTCACGTACTGGTCGTCGCCCGAGAAGCATCGATTCTTTGAGGCACTGGCCCGCCTAGGCCGGCACGACCTCCCTGGAATTGCGCAGCGCGTCGGCACCAAGAGCACCATCGAGGTCAAGCACTACCTGCTCGTGCTGCACGAGGCCGTCGCCGCCCGCAGCGCGTCATTCAGTCGCTACCTGGCGCCCACCGAGTACCCTGCTGCCGTCGAGCTGACGCCGCCTTGCTGCCACGCTCAGGAAGAGGCTGCAGATGCGGTATCGCTCATGCAAGAAGCTCGCGAGAACCAGCGCGAGGAAGACAGGTGGCAGAAATACTGGGACATTACGCCCAAGCTGGCCGCTGAGCTGAGAACGAAGAAACCGAAGGACGATGCAGCGTCGAAACTGGCGTTTACACGTCTATTTCATGTCTCGCGGTGGCTGAATCTGTCGAATCACGTGTTTATGAACTCGACTATTCCCGGAAATAACTGGCGCAACGTTGACTCGAGACCGCCGTCCATGTGGGCGACAACGCTGGAGGACTTTCACTCCCTCGCGTTGTCTCTTACGCGGCGCTTGCTGCAGGCGACGCTGTTCATCACCATGTCGCGGATCAGAGCAAAATCAGAGTTGGGGGATGGCATCAGAAACACTGTGCGGAAGAGGGACGTGGAAGCGGCCGTTGCGTCGCTCGGGCTCCCGCACAACATGAGTGACATGTGGCTCAAGAGCGCTCGCCGCTTACGACTTGACGTGTATGAAAACCCACCAACACGCAACAAATACGAAGAGGAGGAAGAAGAGGAAGGGCCGATGACGTATGACGAAGTTGAGGCGGTACTCGGCCCCAAGGAGCCGTCTCCCGCCCCGGGCGTCGGGTCCGATCTCGCCGGTTTCAACATGGACCCGCTAAACTCCAGCGACGAAGAGGACGACTTGGCCGCTGACGACTCGGCCACTGACGACTCGGCCGCTGACGACTCGGCCGCTGACGACTCGGCCGCAGACGACTCGGACGCGGAAGGCCAACGGGACCACCAGCCCTTGGATGCGGAGGCATGCGCTGTCAACCGCGAGGTCAATGAGATGCTGTGGTTCGCAGCAGCGGGCCTCCGCGACCTGCCGAACACGCGCCGCGCGCTCCGGCTGCGTGTCGAGGCGGAGCGGCGGCAGGAGCGTGAGGCCGACGCCTTCGATGAGCATGCGAGCAACGCGGCCGAGACGGCCATGTGGGCGCTGTTGCACAGGGCGGCACCCGCGCCGCGGCCCAAGCCGGCGCGCCCCGCGACAGTGCGCCACTCAACCGTGGACCTCGAGAACCTGTACCCGATGAACAGGACGTGGGCGGACGACCTCGAGTACCGGGCGGAGTGGGAGACACTGCAAAAACCAGTTAACACAGTGACTCACGACAATGAAGACGAATACGACTAGACACTTGGCCTCTATGTATATATATAATTTTGCATGGTAATTTGAGTATATAACTCCCCATTTATCGGACACACCATGACACTGACTCCATCGTAATACCTTCGTTTTGTGCTTTGGCTCTCATGTAGTCTTTTATTTACCCCTTCTTCTCCCACGCCCTCTTGTGGCCCCGCGCGGACGTCCTACCCCTCTTGTAGGTTTTACGACAGGCGTACCGCTTTCCTCCTCCTCACTCGTGTCATCGCCTCCATCGGTCTCGTCGTCGTCGTCCTCATCCGGTTCTTCTTCCTCGGTCGTCTCAGCCTTTTCGACCTTGCTCGCGGCGCGTGTCCGACCGCGGCCGCCTCTCGTCTGTTTCGGGGCCGGCGATGCCGGCGCGTCTGTGCCATCCTCGGTGTCATCGGGATCGGTGGCGCGGGAGGCAGCAGCAGCCTTGGACGATTCCCGCGGGCGCTTGCGCCGGCCGCTGCCGCTGTTGTGGCTGCGGCGGCGCGGCGGCGGCGGCGGCGGCGATGAGAGGTCAAGCTGCGGCGGGGACGTGGGCGCCTCGCTCGGGGCGGCGATGGCGCGGTGCATCATGGGCTCCAGGTAGTCGTTGTAGGGCAGGGTAAAGTCGAGGTAACGCTCGTCGTCGTCATCGTCGTCCTCGACATTCTCGCGGTCGTCGATGAGATCGAGGTTGTAGTAGGCTCGCAGCTTTTGCCAGATGAACGGTATGCGCGTGTGCTGGTGCACGTCCGGGTCGAAGCCGTGATTGCGGAGGTGTTCAGAGATGGCAATCATGCGAAAGTGCTTGTGCATGCCTACAGTTGCGTATTTAGCGATGACTCGACAAGGCCCCGAGAAGGGTGCGTACCGGCAGGCTTCCAGCGGATCACGCCTTTGAACAGGGAGGAGACTTGATCGTCTGTCCACATGGCATTATAACCGGGTATCTGCTCCTTGACGGGCGAGGTAGGTGCGGCCTTTGGCGTGTCAACGTCCATGGCATCGTCGTCGCGGGCTGGCGTCGAAGCAAAGGTTGCTCCTCCGCGGGCGCGTTTTCGAGGAGGCATGCTGAGGGTTATGGCAGGGGAAAAAGGCGGAGAGGGACGGTGCAGCGGTCGCTCTGCTCAATTGGCGTAAATCTGTTTGCCTCTCGTACAATGTGTACGGGGGAGAAGGAATTTTCTATAGTCACAGAACTACCATTCCGCTGTAGCTTGGGTTGTAGCTCATGTCGCAGGTGCTGTAACCTTTCGCTAGCGCGGGGCAACGGGACGACGCGCTGGCGCGCGTTCCCTTCAACCTTCTTAGTTTTGCATCATCCTTGATATCTTGTCAGACAGCGCAAATCACATATCGATTATCCATGGTGCTGAACTTATGAAAGCGACGGCCATGGCTGGCGAAGAGAGCAAGGCGAATCTATTCGCAGTACCGGACTTCTGGCAGAGGTCGAAATGGCTCCAAGACCTCGCAACGGATCCCGAGGCCGACTTTTTCTCTCTGCACAAAAATGGTATGCGCTTCGTTGAAATAAATCTATAAAAATATGTGCTAAATTATACATCTTGTAAGACGATCCCGATGCGACAACCAACGGCTCCTTTGCGGCTGTTGCGCCAGTCCTTGCCGATTCGCATGGACTGTTTAAAGCGCCAGTGTTCGAAGCCCCAGATCCTGTTGAGCAAGAAACACCAGTCGATGAAATGAGCACAGCTAGCGAGTCGATAGCCGATACATCATTCGAAGTAGACGCGTGGATGGACCTCGACGAAGCTGTTCCTGCGCCTCCCGCGCACCGAACCTGGGATGCCTTTGAAAGAGGGACGACAGTGCCGCATGAGCCGTTATTCTTCAGCGAAGCTGGAGCTTCTACTTATGACGCTTTGCTCTCATGGCCTACGGATCCCCTGAATCTTCAGAACACAGATGTCCCCGTTGTGCAAACAAAGGCATATTTTTCTGCGCTGCTGTCTCTCGCGCTCGGCAGGCAATCTGTGCTCTTTGTTCGAAACCACCCCCAAAAGACATTTGAGCCTGCGTTGCCAAAGTTTCGAATATCAGGTTACTCCCGTCAGGTATTGGTTGGCGTCGAGGAAGAATGCCTAATCTGCGGGACGCGAATACTGGACTTGCGCTCGTTCATTCAAAGTTCATACACAGCCGAAGCTAGCCCATGCCGAGTGGCTCTCGCGAGCGCTGTCAACCACATCTTGCAGGTCGTGCACAAATACATCACTGTGGACAAAGTGCAGCCTCAGTCACTGCTTCAACTGCATACGTCAATAGCTTGTCTGGCAGCGATAGTGAAGCCGCTAGTTAGGCTGAATGCGCAGCTACGACCGGATATGCGCGACCACGACATACTTTCTGCTGTCTTCCATCACGCGTCTCTGGCAGACGCTGAAAGTCTATATATCCGTGATATGATGCGAGAAATCCTGCAGCGCGTGTCAAGCCCTTGGATCGAGTTCTTGCAGGAGTGGATTGGGACCAAGGCGGAGCAAGGCATCCCGCTGACCAAATCCGATCTTGGAGCAAGGAAATGGTTTATCAAAGTTGACAAGGAGATCTACGTGGACGATTTTGGGCGGCAAGTTGAGGACGTTGACTTTCGCCTCGATCGCTCGCGCATGCCATCATTCTTACCCGATGATGTTGCACAGTCGATATTTGAGACTGGCAAGAATCTACGATTTATCAAGAGTCACCACCCTCAACATATATTAGCCAATACCCAGTTTACCGTGTTGCAGAACCCACCAGAGATAAGATGGTTATTTGACTGGAATGATGTTTCCCAAGTCGAACGCCGAATAAAGGAATTCGGGGAGAGGATGGCGACAGCTGTCAGTGATGGTCGGGCGGGAAATGCTACTGAGATGGGCTTGCCACTCTATGATTCCTCACACAAGACACAAGATTACGAATTAACATTCTTCGGGGTTAACGAAAAAGAAATAGAGGAGCGTATAGAAGCATCGATGCGACGTTTGAAAGAGCCACTGAAAGACGAGACCGCTCACGACTCGCTTTCAACGATTGTCCGTCGCCAACTTCACCAGGGCTTCTCTAATAGCTCGGGAAGCAGTCTCACGCCCCATTGGTCCCTGCTCCCGCTACTCTCGTTTGGAGCAATGGTATCAGCACAGGCGCACTCCATAAACCAAGAGCAAATGAGACTCCTCTTTGCCAATCACGATCTTCTCGGGCACTTTCGCCTATATAGGGACTTTCATATGCTTGGAAGTGGTCTATTTTGTACCAGGCTCTCACAAGCACTGTTCAGCCCGGATCTTGAGTCTGCAGAGAGACAGGCAGGTGTTGCTAGACAGGGCGGCGTCATGGGACTCCGCCTTGGCGGCCGCGACACCTGGCCGCCTGCTAGCTCAGAATTGCGGCTGGCATTGATGGGCATTTTATCTGATGCGTACTTTGACAAACTGCCCAAGTCGTCCAGCAGGCTCGGCAGAGATGGCGACAGACTTCCTGGAGACTTGAGCTTTGCCGTTCGGGATCTCTCAGAAGAAGAGATACAACAATGCATGAACCCAGACTCGTTGGAGGCGATGGATTTCTTGTGTTTGCAATACACAACACCGCCAGCTTTGAGCAGCGTCGTTACCCCCGTCGTCCTGTTGCAGTATGACCGCATTTTCCGGTTACTCCTGCGCGTCTTACGACTGATGTACGTCGTCGATGAGCTATTCCGGCAAACACTTTGGACCAACCGAGTTTACGGATATGAGCTGTCGGACGACGAATATCGCTTTGCCCGCGAGGCTCGCATTTTCGTCTCAAGTGTGGCCGGCTACTTTCTCGACACCGCCATCTCGATTCCTTGGCGAGCTTTTGAGGGTCGTCTGGGCCAGATTCAGGCGGCTTTGGCACTCGCTCGCAACGACGCCGTCACCAAGCAACCCCCAAGTCCGCTTCAGCTGCAACAGCTCCACACCAAACTCTTGCACACCATCATGAGCGGGCTGTTTCTGCGTAAGAGACAACAACCTATACTGAATCTGTTGGAAGACATCTTCAACGGCATTTTGGAGTATGCCAAGGTCGCCAAAGCCAGTGACTCGGGCGCAGCGCCACAGAGTCAGGCGGAAGCGAGACAGCCGTCGGAGCTTTACCATGAGTTTAAGCAAAAAGTGCAAATCTTCATCACAGTCTGCCGCAGTATAGCCGAGAAGGCCAAATCAGAGTCAAAGACCAAAGATGGCGGTGATGGGTTGTTCGCCTCGGTCGGAGTTGGTGATGAGGGCATTGTTGCTCAGTTACTATCCAAGCTTGATCTGGATAATTATTATGTGAAATAGCACATGATGTAACGGCTTTACGATTTAATGATGGCCTTGAATTGTTCATTTAATTGCTTGATCCAGCGTTGACTTTGCTTGTAGACCAGGTTCATATTTACAACGTATCTAATCTATCTATCATGATGCATATCTAGCTCCTTGCGCATTTTCTAACTCGAAATCTATCATCGAAATCAAGACGCCAGTGACCTTTCCCTTTCAGCTCGTCGTAGGACATATCTATATTCAAGGTTTCACGGCATAGCTCACGCGGCTAATACCCTTGCTTCTTGTAATTTTGCGCACCGTCGTCTCCCCGCACAGATCCGTGGTGTCGACGTGCGTGCCGCCACACGGATACACCTCTGCGCCGACAATCTTGACGACGCGAAACTTGGTCTCGCCCGGCGCCAGGAAGCTGCTGTCCGGGATGAGCCGGGACAGGCCGGCGCGCTGAAAGTCGCCGGCGTCCCAAAAATCAATCTCGACGGGCATGGCCCGGGCAATGTACTCGTCGACCTGTTTCTGGATGGCGGGCTTCCACGCGCCGTCAATGGTGCCGCGAAACTCGCAGCCTGCGCTATCCGGAAAGTGCGAGGCCTTGAGCTCGTCAAAACCCTCGACCTTGTCCATGACCAGGTGGCGGACGGCGGCGCCGAGGACGTGGCCGGCCGTGTGCAGGCGCGAGTAGAAGACGCGCTTCTCGGCGTCAATGGCCTGCTCAACAGCCGCGCCGGGCTGTTGGAAGCCAGCGGCCGCGGCGGCGGAGGCAAAGCGGCCCACGTGCAGCACCTGGCCGTCGTTGACAAGGTCCATGCGGACGGCGCGGACCTCGAAGGATGGTGGTGCCGACGAAGCGTCGCCGTTGGTGGCGGCGCCGGCGCTCATGGTGCCCTGGTCCGAGGGCTGGCCGCCGCCTTGCGGGTGGAAGATTGTCTCGGCCGTGACGACGACGTGGTCCTCGTCGCTGCCATCCTTGAAAAGCTGCCGATTGGCCTCTTCGAGAGCTGAGTACGGGCGGGTCGAGACTATCGACGTCTTGAGGCGAAATAGCTTTGCATTATGGTGGAACGCGAGATGTGTGCGCGCTGCAGCTGCCATTGTGTATTTCCCACTTGAACAATTATAATCGTGTCAGATGAAAGAGACTCGAGAGCCATGTGTTACATTTTATAAATATTGCGCTCCAACGTTTGTGGGGGGTCATCAATCGCGCCTTTACGCCCTACAGATCACTATTAGAACGCCGCTAATTAGGAAACTTCTGGAAGGTTGATCAAGAACAGCGAACTTGACGCCTGTATCTGCACGTAGAAATTAGAGCTGCATGGCATTGAATCGCCCTATAAAATCGTCCTGATGAGTTTGGAAGATCAGGCTATTTGTAAAAGAAATAATTTGGAAAACTTGTGCACTTCCCTATCTCTGCTTGGTGTAGTACCATGCGCCAATCGCAATGGCAGAGACAACAACTGAACCAACGACTTTATATGCAGTGGCGGCGAGGCGGCCACCGATGAATCCGCCCAGCAACTTGTCAAATTCAGCTGGAGCATTGCCACGGGGGTATCTCTCCTTGGGGATAGGAACACCCAGGAAGGGACAGATTTCCTCCCAGCCAAATCCGTCTTCCAGCTTGACATCCAGCAGCCTGTTTTTGGGCACGCGTTGTCGGATCAACTCGCCACTAATTGTCCGAGGACAACCACGTCAGCTGCTAGTCGCCTTGATGTTTTGTTGGGACACTGCATGTTGTGGGCAATTGTGTACTTACTCCTTGACATAGTCAGCCTGCGCTAGAGACATACCAGCACGGAGTCCTCGGCCGTGAAAAATGACTTGCCAAAACGTTTCATTCAAGTCTGTAAACATGGCAATTTGGTTGTCGAGTCTGTAGACCACGTTCAGAGGGAAGCTGTGGCAGGCCTTGGTGACAGTTGTCACCAGGTGACCTAGGGACTTGTCCCAGGCACCCAAGTCACGCTCGGTGAGGATGAACATTGCATCGGGATAATATTCGATAAACTCCTCCACAAAATAAGAAGGAATCTCTACAACAGTCTGTTTGTGGGTAACTATTAGCTCATGACGTCCTCGGATACTGTGCAGGCTGCACATTCGCAAAGATGGGGAACATACATCGTAGTTGGCCAACCACTTGTCAAAGTCGGCTTTGTCGTAAGGCTTGCCTTCGCCCAGGTATTTGTTGCGCAGAGCTTCATTTAAGAGGCTCATGTGCGTGTATCCATTCATGACGCATTCATACATGTGGTAGGGCTTATAGCCGAGCATCTGGAAGCACTGGTACATGGAGAAAGTGCCCGTACTGAGGAAGAGGAGAGCAGAGTCAATAAAAGTGTTTATATAAGAGTTGGTTCGAAGTGAAATTTACCGGCTCTTGCTCAACACGATGAGCTTCTTGTCTAGTATCTTGTCCGGCTGGGGAAGTCTGTCAATGAGACGCGACATGTTGGCGGCTAGGAGTGGAATTGCTCGTTGGTCTGTGATTGTGCTCTGTAGTTTAAGAAGTGCGGCATACATGCCATTTAAATATAGTCCGGAAACTGTCCTTGTAAATAGAAGGAGGTAGCTAGTCCGTCGATCCAGAAACATTCACGCCTCGCTCAGCTCAATGGCCCACCAGGCTCTGCCACGATGGCGCTCTTTAGAGCTGGTACATCCAGGCTTAGCCTACGTGGTGCGCCAGCTCGCCCGTCAGAAATCAGTGGGTATGGACAAGTAAGATTATAGTTGGCAAAACAAGTCTGAATTCTACCTATTACTGGGCGAGAGCCCTTGGCGACCGCGTCTCCGGGCGTGGTAGCCTTATAGGGGCGACGGCCCGGCCGAGAGTCCGTGGGGTAAAATAGTTCGTTTAATGGAAACACAGGGCAGTCATCTTCACTGCAACTAAATGATAGGTTCGAATTGGGGAAGGACTGACAAGCCATAGCTCAGCCCGAGTCAAAGGTGCTTACTTACATCCGTTTCCGTATGGGGCGCTACGAGTAGTGGCGGGCCTAGGCTTGTTTTTGTACCAGGGAAGTTGACGTAGATTTCAAATAGCCATGTGAGACAAGCACTTTACTAGAGCCCCTAATTTGGAAGATTTGGTGAAATTGCTTGAAGACCTGACGATGCATCATGTCTAGTCATAGGTCTCGGCATGTGATGGAAGCAAGCGGGCAGGGAGTAGAATTGTAGGCCCAGTAACTTAGTAGTGACGGTTGGGAGTGTGCCCTCGCCAGTCTTAAGTTACGACTAGGCTCTATTCGGCACCATAAGTGCCAATCATGAAAACTTGTGGCTTGTGGAATGGCACGTCACGGTGGCTTGGCCAGTAAGTTTCCGATTGGAACAGGCCGGACGTTTTTGGCCCAATCATACTCAGCAATCTTTCCCTCATTACAATACTGCCGAAGAAAAAATAATGAAAGAAGAAATAACTGACTTTATTGCTAAACCAGCAACTCTAATTCCGAAGAGCAGTCATAACTAATACTTTGCCAATGGCCGGCTGTTGGCCGATAGAATAGTGGGGGCGGGGTAACTGGAGGCTTAAAACGTCGTCGTTGCAGGAACGCGACCGACGCGTCTCCGCACTTTGACGACGGGCAATCCAGACAGCCCATCGGCGCGCTTCGGAGCACTTGGCTGTTCGAATCAATGCTGCTTGTCCATCTCGGGTCCGTTAATAACAAAAAACATTTATTATTGTTGCACCAAAAATGTCTAGGCCAAGCGTTGCGGCGCGAACCTTTTCGCAGACGGAGGAGCTGGAACGCTTGGAGCAGTCCATCACCCTCACTCTACAAGGTAAACTTGTGCAGTTCCTATGCACCGAGCCGACGAGGAGACTGTTGTCTAATAAGATTGCAGAAATCGATCACAACTTTAGCAAAGCGCACAGAATCGTCACGACCAGCATCTTGCCAGTGGTGGAGCAGTATGGCGAAAACTCGAACGCCATTTGGGAGGCATCCAAGGTACGACGGCGCATGACACGCTGCAGACAGAACCAACGGCTTCTAACTACTTCAAGTTTTGGAAGCAATTCTTCGAGGCATCTGCCAATGTTTCCCTGTCCGGATACGAAGAACTTGCCAACGACGAGTCGACTGTCATGGAGGAGAGCACTGCGATACGAGAAGACGGAGACGCCGCCGATGACGCGCTCGAAGCCGAGAATACCACATCCAGCCGTCAACACGACCACAAACCGGTCGAGGATGACGATGACGAGTCGATGCTAGATGATGCTGAGCTAGCAGGAAGCACACCACGGCCCGGAACGTCCAAATTTTCCAAAGCGCACAGGGTATCCATGGAGTCCCCTTATGAGGCCATGCGCCGCGAGATGAAGCATGAGGAAGACGGCGACACGTCGGTTCTCGACGAGGAGGAGGACTCGTCCCTCCTGTTTGCGCAACAGACGGCCCGTCTGCCAGACGTGACCTTGACGCCCAAGGCGCTGCTGGACCAGCGCAACATGGATCCATCCACCGGCGGCAAGGACCCCCTCCTGCACCGCGTGCTGGACAAGAACTACAGGATACAAGCCACCCCGCACAAGCCGGCCGCCAAGGGCACGCCAGTGCGCGGGGCCGCCGCGGCGACCGCCCAGCGGGAGAGAACGGCGGCGTGGCAAGACTCGCCGGCGTCATCGCCCGAGATGGCGATTCCCCAGCTGCGCAGCGAAGCCTTCATGTCGCCGTACAAGTCCTCTGCCGCCCCCGGCCGCGCCGCCGCAGCAGGGCCCAGCTCGGGCGCCGAGCGTCGACGACAGCGGTTCACGCCGGCGGCGTCGTCGCACGGGCCGAGAACACCGGGCGTCAGCGTGCAGACGCCCATGAGTAGGAAGACGAGACAGGCACTCGCGGATGGGTCCCTCAAGGGCAAGCAAAAATACGAAATCGACTGGGAAAGTGACGAAGATGATGATGACCTGTACGGCGGCATGAGTCCACCCAAGACGATACAGTTTGCGCTACCACCATCGAAGCTATTACAAACACCAGGTATGTCGCTCCTCCTCTCGGAAGATTTTTCTCGCTTGCCATGAATTTTCTTGCATTTTCATCTTTTCTCGGCTCTGGGTGTACATGCGTCACGCTGAAATCCACTTTGGCTTGGCGATTTGCATGCAGGTCCTACCACGCCACGCATGGAGTCACTTTCTTTTTTTTTTACGTACAAGCTCGACACGAAGGCTGTCTCAAGGATGACCCATACCCATCGGACGAGCAATCAAGTATTTTTGAAATCGTACACGTGCTAATAAAGAATGGTGTGCAGCTCGAGAAGCTAGTAGGCGAATAGTGGACGATATCCTAACGGATGCAGGGGCGAACCCGGCGTCGTCCGAGTACAGCCCGACGATGGTGAAGATGAATGAGGATATATTAAACGACAGTTTCTAGGGTTAGTGAGATTACATGTATATATGAATTCGTGACGTGACAAGATATGCCATGCCGTCTACGTGATGTAACGCAGTTCGATGTAGGGCGCCGTGGTCAAATCCGGAACATGGAGGTGTAACTGTTACCCATATAGACAAAGCAGTGAATGTGCTAGCCCGGTAATAAAGTCACGAGAAGGAGCCTGAACGATGTTTTTTTTTTAACAGATTTGTATTAATATCTAGAGCTCAAAGCCAATCTTTGCAGCTAGTGTCTAGGATCTGGCATCCCAGGTCAATGTAACAAGTGGACTTCGACTTTTGTTGTAGAAAGCAAAAGGGAAATCATGTATATAGCCAGCTTGGGCTCGATTGGTTTCTAAATTTAGAATGAGAGAATAGAGAACATCCCAGCAAGTGTCTTCGATTAAGAAGGGAATTCACCACTCATATATGTGTGAGTGTGAAATAGCAAAAAACTCCAATGCCATGTGTATCCAGTAAGAGCGAGCAAGCGGCGGCCGTGAAGCAGGAAGCTCCTTGCTTCTGCCGATTCATTATATGGTGTAAGTCGTAAATGGGTCATCAATGGAAAGAAATAACGGCGGTGTTGGATTCAGAAATCACTGTTTTACAGGATGTTTGAAACGCCGGCGACACCGCGGTTCTTGCCAAAGCTGGCCATGCCGAAGAGGGACGACTTGCGGCGCTTCTCGCTGGAATAGGCGGCGTGGGCAACGATATCGGGAGAGACGACGGAGCTCTTGCGGGAGGTGAGGAGGCTCTTTTGGGAGGCAAGCGAGCTCTTGCGGGATGTGAGTGGGGTGGACGACGAGGTTGAGGAGCGGCGGCTCTCTTCCTGAAGGACGGCGACCTGGGCCTTGCGGTCGGTGCTGTAGAGGATGCCCTGGAGGATAGGGTTGACATGCTGGCGGTCGGCGAGGCTGACGCTTCCGAGACCGTTGGCGAACTGAGCAGCAGACATGATGATGTTGTGGGGTGGTGGTTGGTGGTGGTTGGACGTTGGAGATGTCGTTTGTTGTAAGAGGGTTTGTGTAAGTGGAAGTTGAAGTAGTTGGGAAGCGGTTGTGGAGTTGCTTTGTTGTACTGTGATGAGTGAGGGGGGAGAGGAGTCGATATGTGGGAGGAACTGGGCTCTTATGTAGACAGTGGACAAGACGAAGTTTCATTCCTACCAGTATATACATTCGGCTTTTGCGTCGGGCTGTTGCGGCCAGCCGAAAAGACGAGACCCGGATGTCGTATGTGGACTCTAATAGTTAGTTACAACTGTATGTACCTCGTTTGGCCTGCGATCCAGAATGGGTCGCCGTGTCCCCACTATGTACGGACAGGGAGGGAAATAAAAAAATGGCAAAAAAAAAACAAATTTAGTACATTTCCGACGGCCGTCCGGGAGCAGCACCCGGAACAAGGTACCGGGACGCGGTGGATTCGGTGGGAGCGGTGTGGTGGTGTGTGACTGTGCTGCCTGTGACTCACGACGCAAGGCTGAGCTGAGGCAGGCACTAGTTGACGGGCAAGCCACAATACTAGCGATGGAGGAATGAATAGCCTGGAGCTGGTGGAAGCTTGTCTATGGTGGCGGTCTTGAGCCAACCAAGTGTGGTAAAGGAACTGAATAATATGTGAAAGGCCACGCACGCCCGGTGACAAGGCCAGCGTGCGTAGGCGTGCATCTATACACGCTGCCAACACTAACAGGAACGTGGTCCCGAGAGCATCGTGCCTCGTTTGCCTCGTTTGCTAGCTTTCTCGAACCGCAAACAGCGTAGCGTGCCGTGGCCCATGAGCGCACACGCACGCATCCTCACACAGCTCGTTATAGTGGCGCCTAGTTACGTGACTGGCGACGACAGAGACGACGGGACGAAGCCAGCCGTTGGGCTTGGGCCGGAACAAAGAGGGCTCGACAGGGCTGAAGGGAGCTGCCCTTGTTATCCCAGGAGAAACTCCTGCCAGCCCGAAAGGGTTGATGCTCATTTTCAGGCAACACTTTTCTAGACTCTGCTGCCTGGCACCATCTGGCCACTCATAGTTATTTCCGTAGCGGAGTATATGCGTTAATACTGCCTGAACCTTACAACTAGCGACTCTAACTATTTTACAAGGCTTGCGTAGGGCGCGTCACGAGGCTGCTGTGCGTCACCGGTTCAGGGCGAGCTCGTCTATTCAGCCTCGAATACATGCCCTCGCAAGCCGTGTCATTTCCTTGCGGAGCTTACGCGAAGCAAATCGATAGCCTTGTTTGAATTGGGCGAGCTCATTTTGACCATGCATTGGGTAACTGTATGATGGCATTGCTGTCGCGTCGTACATGCTGAGGTTTGTCAGTCTGAAGACTGACCGGCGCAAGCCGCTACAACGTCCAGTGGACTTGATTTTCGCTCGATTTTGTCGCAAAAATAGTCAAACCATGTTATGATGCAGCGGTACAGGGATGGCGAAGTGGGCAGCGGGACTACAAATTTTCTTGTTCAATCGTGTGGCTGGTCCCAATTATGTGGACTCGATGGCACCATGGTTTTACAATGATTTCAGACAAGGAGATTTATGCTTGGTTTGCTGGGAAAATGGTGAAAAGAATTCGCGTATGGTGTGGACAATGGTGTCGGCGCGGGACGTCGTGGAAACTGGGATGCAAGCCCGGAGGTTTGGCACTCGCAGCAGCTCAAACGAAGAATGAAAGAAATTGCTCGATGCACTGCCACGTTGGAACAAGTTGTCGACGACGGTCGCTACGGGAAACCTGGGCTTTGTGGCTGGTCAGCGTACAATACAAGATGCAGTCATAGTCAGCGCCATGAACCAGTCATACTTATTGATTGGCGCCATGGCTATGGCCAAACAGTACTAAATCGGTCATCTGGGTTGACCAGCTAAGACCAGGATAATTGCCGAATACAAATAGATAATTGCTGAATCGTTTTATATGTGCCTAACTAATAGCTAGCGATCAGGTCGGTAAAGTGCCCATTCGTTGTAAGCCGGGAGGGCAGCCGGCTGCGCGACCATTCATCAGTCGGTGGCGCCGTTAAAGGCCAGGTAGTTTTGAGTACCCTCTGGAACGTCAGAAAGCACCTTCTTGGTGGAAAGAGTCTGAATACGAGAGCAGACTTCCCCGGCCTTGACATGATGGAGCGACAGGAGATAGGCTCCAAGACCAGCAATGTGTGGAGTGGCCGCCGATGTGCCAGAGAGAAGTTTCTGCAGTAAACAAATCAGTTTAGAAAACCAGTCAAACAGCACAGTGTCAGCAAAAACTCACGGCTTGGCCGTCGTTCCAGGTAGAGAGAATGTCAGAACCAGGGGCGAAAATGCCGACGACACTGCCAAAGTTGGAAAAGGGAGAGCGACGGTCCTCCGAGTCGGTGGCACCGACGGCACAGATGGACGGCGCCGAGGCGGGCGAGAAAGTGTTGGCATCCGCGTTGCTGTTGCCGGCTGCCGCGGCAACAAAGCAACCTGAAGACTGCAGGCGTGTGGCAGCCTCGTTGAGGGTAGCCGAGTAGCCGCTGCCGAAAGACATGTTCACAACGACGCCCGAGGGGCAGTCTCGCCAGTGCCGATCCGAGGCGACAAACTCGATGCCGGCGATGACGGTGCTGATAAGGCCCGTTCCGTCGTCGCTGAGTACCTTGACGCCGAAGATGGACACCTTCTTGGCCACACCATACGTGCTAGAGCCAATGATGCCAGCGCAGTGCGTTCCGTGGCCGTTGCCATCTTGCGTCTCGTCGCCGGCAAACGTCTTGATTTGCTGGGCACGTTGCCCAAAGTCCTATAGAGCCTCGGTCATTAACCGTCTTGTCAAAGATGCACGAGCCGGGATACGTGAGCTTACAGGGTGCTTGTCAAAGATGCCTGTGTCAATGACATAGGCGCAAACACCCCGGCCAGCGCTCCTGTGGTAGATGTACGAGGTGTTGCCGCGCTGACGGTGCGAGATGCGAGCAAGACCCCAGGGAGCGTCGCGCTGCTCAATCATGGTGTTGATGCTGACGATGGCATCCTGTTCAATGTACTCGACCTATTTGCCTTGTCAGAATATTTCATGGCAAGTCTCCCAAGCATGCCTAGACGAAGAGGTACTTGCATCAGGATCCCGACGGAGGCTCTCAACCTGGTCCTGGGTGAGACTGGCTGAGAATCCCTTGATGACGTTTTCGTAGACATGATCGGTTTTGGCCACCTTGGATTGAACATCCTGGATGCTGACTGCCGCGCTGTCTTTGAACTTGACAATGTACTTGCCATCAACGCCCTGCGAGCCGCGGGCCTGGATGAGAGGAGCTGGGTCAACCACAGGGCCTGCAATGGCTAGAGGGAGAACTGCTGCGATGATGGATAGACGCATTGTGACAGACGGTAAAGAAGTGACAAGGGCGGTGGATGGAAAGGCTACTTGCTGCATGGAGAAGAAGTTCGGTTTCACGGGGAGTCAATGGCTATTTATCATTCCAGGAGTGCACTGCCGTCTTGATGCGGTTGATGCAGCTAAGCGCTCAGTGTTCTTCGGCAAGTCGGCATACTGCCTGTCAAGGCCCGAGCAAGACGTTGTTTCTCACCATTTCCAGCCATGATGCAGAGGCTGACGTGCAGAAGCAGGCATGAATGCGCTGCGAGGTTGTACTAGGTAGGTTAGTTTGCGAACAGAGGTGATGGAACCTGGAAGACCCGGAGTGGCATCTCTCGGATAGTACATGCCAGGGGCGTTAAACGGGTGCCATTCTCCAGACCCGAGATAGATGGCGTCAATCCCTGGGCTCTCTTGATACTTCTGTCAAGATTGTCTAGTTACTCTCCTCGGAGTAGACCCGCGATTTTCGCTCAGATGAGGCTTTCCTCAACCCTCAACGCGGGTGAGACATTGATCCTGCTGAGCCGCACCCGTTGCACAGGAAACTGCCGCCCACCACCTTCTAAACAGGGAACCAATGGGCCGTTTGTGCTCGCACGAGCCAAATTGAGACTTGGGTAGCAGTAAATGTCTTGAAGATTGAGGCGGTTGGGCCTCGGCGGGCAGCGCTGTTCATTCATCTCGTGATCGACACGGCCGGGTGATGAGTCAATGTGCCTTCCCTCGACATCTAATCTATACTATACCGCAGTTATCAGCGCAGCAAAGCATGGCGGACTGGGGTACGGCTGCCGAACCATTCGAGATGAGCAATTGCTAGGTTCGGAAAGGCCTCGACGACATGGCAAGCAAGCAAAACGACACAATTCTCTATTTGTCAAAATGATTCCAAGATTCGAGGCCCAAGGCACTATCCGTACTCTTTTCGTTTCAGCCCAGACGCAATAATGATGCAGGTGTCGTTCAGCCGATGTACGCTTACATCAAGGTGTGGCAGGCCCAACGGCGTCAATAGTTGCCTGAGAAACGAGAGCAGAACAAGACGGCTACAAATTACTTGATGCTAGCATCTTGGTGCAGACAGCAAGCGGGATGAGGCAGACCCTACCAAAGAGATGTCTCGGATGGTGCTTGTGTTGTTGGCAGGACGTCTGCAAATTTGCACTCTGCATGAAGCGCAACCTCGTGGCTACCGCACTGCTGCCTTTGCTGCATTCCCCAGAGCTTCCGTGCCGTTGTGCATGATGCCGCTGTGAGACAGGGTCTTGCTGAAAATAGTTATGCACGCGAGGTGACTCTCTGTTTCCTCTTGGGATATGCTTTGCCAGGGTTTGATGCCAGCCATGTGTTATTTTTATGCTGGACCTCACCGACGGAGAGGTTGGCCCAGAGGCGCCCATGTGTAGCCTCGGTGTAGGTAAGCTGTGGAATTTAAATGTGTCTACAGAGTTCGCTCGTACATGAGTACCATCTATATACATCAACTCTTCTTTAGCCCAACGCGAACGCACGACGTACCATATCCAGCTGAAGCGGCCGCAAAGTCTGCGCGATATTTACTTGCATATTGGTCCTCCTCCTCTACATCTTGCTCTTTGCGGAAGCCAGTGCCTCGTACGTCGCCAATTCTAGTTCGTCATACAGTTTCGCCACGACCGGATCGCCGTTGGGACGAATATTGACGACGAGCACAGCCGCAATTCCCGTCTTGGGGTCAATCCACTGTACATAATTAGCGATTCCTTCCTCAAGGACAATTTAGGCATTTTTTGGTACGTACCCAGCGGCAGTTGTGCATGCCGCTCCAGGCCATGCTGCCCGCTCGTCGCTTGCCGGGGACGTCGACCAGGTTCAGCAGGCCGCCGAGGCCATGGTTGAGCGGGATCGGATCGCCGGTAAACTCGGGCGCAAACGTATCGTGGACCGAGGGGTGAAAGGCCAGGACCTGGAGGTAGGCGGCCGTGGCGTCGTCGAGCTGGGGCGTGAGCATCTCGCGAAAGGTGTCGCTCCGGAGCGCCGTGCCGGCGAGCAGGCCGCGCAGGAACGAGGCGTAGTCGCTCGCCGTGGTGAAGAGGCCGCCGCCGCCGCTGTCGACCTCGTGGTCCGTCGGCATCACCCAGGAGGCGGCGTCGGCGAGCGCGCCCGTCTTGGGGTCGCGGGTGGCGGCGCGCACGGTGCGCGCCGCCGTCTGCGGGAGCTGCGCGCGGCGGAACCCCGAGTCGGTCATGCCGAGCGGGCGGAAGATGCGCTCGCCCATGTAGTCGTTGAGCGTGCGGCCCGTCACGGCCTCGAGCGCGAGGCCGGCCCAGTCGGTGCCGACGCCGTACCCCCACGACGTCCCCGGCGGGAAGCGCAGCGGCGTCGACACCTCCTCGCGCGACCAGCTCATGCGCCAGACCGGACGCTTCTGCTGCCGCGACCACTTGAGGAGCGTCGGGTCGGCAAACTCGTAGCTGAAGCCGGACGTGTGCGTGAGAAGTTGTCTATGCGGGGGTTCGGGTTAGAGATGAAAGCCTCAAAGACGCTGTTTCTTGCGGTGGCAGGAGGCGCGTGTATACCGTAGGGTGATGGGGTCCTTGTTCTCCTCCATGACGGGCTTGTCATTCTCGTCAAAGTCGACCAGGATCGGCACCTCGGCGAAGTAGGGGACGACGGGGCGCAAGTCCTGGTCCAGCGTGAGCTTGCCATCCTCTACCAGCTGAAGGAGCGAAGTCGCTGTGAGAAGCTTGGTGAGAGAGGCCACCCAGGTGAAGGATCGGTCTGTGAAGGGGGGCGCCGAGGTGTCGGCGGCGATGCGCCCGGAAGACCCCGAGTAGACGACGCCTAACGACAGCTGTTAGTTTCTTCTTTTTCTGCTCCAATGCATGGTTGAGCCCCCAGTCACCATTGCGGTCCGTGACAACAAAGGAAGCGCCGTAGACCTTGTCCTTGGTGTCTTGACCCTCGGCAGCGTACTTGTACAGGACGCGGTCGATCTTGTCCATGGCTGAGATTCGTCGATGAGATTTGGACGACTAAGAGCGACTTAATCAAGATGGCCGTCTCATGAAAAATATAAGAGAAAAATATAAGAGAAAAATATAAGAGACGAGTTGACAGTGGTAGCGTTAGATTCTGGGGTATAAAGTGCCTCGGCTACTCCACAACGCCACCAAGGCGGACCGGAATCCGGGATTCAACAAATGCCGTTCCTAGCAGCATCGCGACTCAATATTATCTATGCAGAATAGTTCATTTCTCTCATCAAGGAACATACAAAACGCAGTTACTACCTGCCAAAGTGCTTCCGCTCCCAGTACCGCGCCGGGGGATAACTCACGACAGTCACAACAAAGGTGAGTTGAACCGCGACATCACCGCCCGAGTCTCCGATTAGTCTGGCCAGCGGCCCAGTGAACCAAACCTGGCTCATACCCATACACCAAGCCACAACACCAAGCCCAAAGGATACCGAGGCGCCAATTCCGATGGGGAGTCGGCTCGGCGTATTCCACCCGTCCAGGTCGTAGTTGTGGAAGCTGCCCTTGCGGAAGATGTAGTGCTCTTGGAGAATAATGACAATATACGAAGTGCATCCGTAGCCTAGTAAAGAGAGAAAAGTTTGAAGATACTGGTTGAGCTCCTCCCGTCCTCCGAGGGCGAGCCCGAGTATGCAGACCAACGAGAGGAGCATCCAGAGAAGGCGTGGCACGAGAGAAAAGGGTCGCGAGATTTGCTGAAACGACAGCGCCGCGCTATACATTCCAATGACATTGTTGTTGATGCCGGATAGCACAAGAAGGGCAAGAAGGAAGTTGGCGAAGCCGCGAGGATAGAGCGAGTCCCGGATCACATACCCTAGACCTTTCTGGTAGGCAGCATCCCAGTCGGGTCGGATATTGAGCGCCGAGGAGACGACGCAGCCCGCGACCATGCCAATCGACGTGGGAATGGCGATGCCAAACGTCGTCATGAAGAAGACCTTTGTGCGGCTGACGTCGGCATGATAGTGCACGTAGTAGTCGCTGGCGACGGTGGCCCAGGACGCGCTGGAGCCGTACACGACGGCGACGAGGTTGAGCACGCCGGCGGCCAGGTTAGCGCCGGTCGCCGTCGCCGGCGTCTTGCTGTCGGCATACCGGCCCGTCTCGGCAAACATGATGACGAAGATGACGAAGAAGACGACCCAGGCGTAGCGCTCGTAGACGAGGATGGCGTTGAGCCCCAGGGCGGAGATGAGCCAGGCGACGACGGCGAGGATGACGATGCCGAGCACGAGCGAGACGCGGCCGTCGGACACGGCCGTCAGCGCCAGGCCGCCGGTGATGCACGACACGGCGGCCCAGCCGAGCTGCTGGACGCAGTTGAGCACGGCGAGGACCTTGCTCGGCCACCAGCCAAAGGCGAAGCGCGACACGCTCATCTGGCGCAGCCCGGTGGCGGCGCCAAACGTGGCGGCGGCGCCGACGACGGCCCCGCCGAGCAGCGAGACGAGCACCGTCACGAGCAGCGCCTGCCGCAGGTCCAGCCCGAACGCGCGCCCGAGGAAGCCCGTCGCGAAGCACGACGTGTTCATTGTGCCGCTCGCCCACAGCAGCGCCATGGACAGCTGCGCGTGCCACGGCACGTGGCGCTGCCGGTCCTCGGCCCGCTTGCGCGACACCGCGTCTGACTCGATCCCGAGCGTGCGGTCCATCCGGCTCTCGAGCTGCCGGAGGCGGCCGAGTAGCCCGGCGGTCGCGGAGGCGGGGCCGGGCGTGGCTGAGCCACCCGCGGGTTCGTCCGAGAGCTTGGTGTCGCTGGAGGAGGCGCTGGGGTCGTCGAGGGAGGCTCCGGGGCCGATTTCTAGATCCGCCATTTTGTTGTTGTTGGCTGATTCTTCGCTGTCCACCGTACACTGGGTGATGGATGGCGATGGGTTGCACAGCAGGACAGGGGCGGGGAAACATTTCGCGTGATGCGGCTATCTAGCTAGGGGAGACATCCCAGTCGGACTTTATCTCCGTCGCCGAAGACGGAACGGCAACATACATGAGCTGCATGCATAGCTCGTTGTCAGCTCCCTGCTGTGAGTGTGAGTGATAAGACGATGAGGCTGATGGGTGCTGCCAAGCGTCGTCGTCTAGCTGCATCGGTGGAGGCGCCTCTGCGGGCCAGATGCCGATCCAATACTCCGTATCTGTGATTGTGCCACACACCCACTAACTACATTTATAGTAGGTAATTGAGGAGTAAGTTATATATGTCCTCCCTGGCCATTTATTCCGGGCGCAGCTGAAGCTTCTCGGTCGCGAAACAGGCCGTCCTGCTGCCAACCCATGACTGAAAGCGACCAGTCCCAGATCCAAGAGGCGATGACGGTCACAACCAAATAGCAAGTGATGATGAAAGAAAGAATCGAGGCTGAAGGGTCTGAGGATCCATCTCCGGGCGACAACTGGGAGCTTGGCCCGCCCGGCCCCTGCACAGCCCGGCAATGACCCCCATCACGAACTAAGAAAACAACTAGTCTGCCTTGATCAGACCTTATTGCGCCACTTACGAAAGTCGATACAAGGCGTGAGTAAGCTCACCAGCTGCACTGGTTGAATCCCTCTAAATGCAGCAAGTCCCCTCGAGGCAAGGAAGGGCACACACGCAGCACTTTACAAAATTATACAACTCTTCATACACTCTTCACAACATGGGTCTCTTCTCATCCATAAGATCCAAGGCAGGCATGTCCAAGTCGGAGAGCGGCTGGAACTCGGAGTCTTCCGCCGATGAAAAAGACAGCCACGGCGCCGGCACTTTCCTCGCGACCAGCAACCTCGACGTGCACGCGCTCGGCTACGACACCAACCAGGCGCTCACCGGCAAGACACTCGAAAACATTGCCGTCCGCCGCGTCGAGTCAGGCGAGACGGAGTACGTCTCGATGCGGCAAAAGAAGAGCTCCAACTCGTGCGCGCTGGTCCGGCCCTCGGACCCGGACCGCACGCTCATCTCCACCATCTACCGCTTCGGCCCCGGCCGGCACCCCACGATGCGCCTGGTGCCCGCCAACGCCCGCGTCTCCGTCGACGCCGCCCTGCTCGACAAGAGCGTGCCGGGCGCGGCCGTCGACGTCAGGAGCCGCTCCTTTGTCTCGCGCGCCCAGGTCCTGGACACGCCGCGCGGTGCGTTCCAGTGGCGCTACGGCAGCCGCGAGGAGCGCAAGGCGTGCCGTGCCGACTCCCTCCTCGTCATGGAGCGCGTGGGCGGTGGCCGCGTCGCGCAGCTGGTTCGGAATGAGGAGCTCCGCACGCCAGGCACGGTGAGGGACTCGGGCGGCAACGGCGGCCGCTTGATGATGGACCTGCACGAGTGGGAGAAGGCCGACAAGGGGAGCGTCGCCGAGGTCGAGGCTTTTGTCGTCGCGGGCTGCTTGTTGATGCTCAAGAGGGAGGCGGACCGCTTCATCGATAATACTATCGCCGCCGTGGTATGATGCGATGGAGCTGAGGGTTTCTTATCGACTACGTTGGCATGAAATAAAGGATGTATAAGTACAAGTCATTTTGAAGTCAAATGGCACGAACTCAGTCTACTAGTTATATAATCGAGTATATAATTGTACCTACTATGACTTCTTCTGACTCTGCGCTTGGTTACGTTCAGCGCTACAACACTACCAAGGGCGTCTCTTCTGTTCAGCCAGTACACTATTGCATGCTCTTCAACACGTAACGTAGACTCTGGATTTATTTTATCCATATATTCACTCCGAAAAGGCTATGGCTAGATGGTGAGCTCATTTGCAAAACACGACAAGGGCTGCGTGTACAGGTGCCAAAGCGTCTCCGCGACCCGGGCATCCCGATCGGTGCCTGCAAGCCTCTTGCTCTCCGCCGCCTCGCCCTTGTTGAATTTCAGATGCGCGACATGGATGTACTTCTTCCCGTACTCCCTTCCGAGGCTGCGGCTCAGCGCGACGAGCGCGTTCTCGACGATCCTGTCGCTCCTCGACGTGGCAGCGCAGCCGACGTACAGCAGCGTCGCGGGGAACTCGGCCGAGCCGCCGCCGTAGGTCAGCAGCGGCATCACGGCCTGCGAAAAGGCGTACGCGCTCGCAATCTGCGCCGACGTGGCCGCGCGGAACTGCGCGGCCGTCTGCGCGAGAAACGGCACCTGCGCCTCGGCGCGCACCTGGAAGACGGCGGCGGCGCACTGCCGGCCAAAGTGGGCCGACGCGGCGCCGACAGAGGCCTTGACGGACTCGGGAGAGGAAAGGTCCGTCTCCAAGAGAATGGCTTCGCTGCCGGCATCGTGGGCGGCCTTGACGGCGGCCTGGAGGTCGTGGTGAGGTGCGCAGAGAAGGGCAACGGGGTGGTGAGGTGCGAACTGAAGCACGATTTGGCGGGTTACTTCATCTTGGCCTGCTGTGGTGGTTATTTAGTAAACAGAAAAAGGAATGAAAAAATATTGAAATTGCCGGAAGGAGTGGTCATACCGGCAGCAAACACGACCACAAATGGCTGCGACATGACAAGCTGTCAATTTCGTTTGGTTTTATATCCCGTTTTTTCTGAATAATGCGTGTTGATGCACTGCGATGTAGTAGCCGTGATGTTCTCCCGGGAGAGTAGACGGGGTTGGTGGTGGTGAATGTGAGGAACGTTGCTGGGAAAAGAGATGGCCAGACTATTACTTGGCTGATGATGGTCTACAATATGTAGACGGATATTGTCCACGACGTTGCGGTGTACGGATATGATGACAGCATCATGCCTGCTTGACCTCGGTCAACGGCCCGGAAGGCGGGCGGAGTTGCGGAGGCCGTGCGCGGGGCAGATGCACGGAGCTGATTTGGCTAGCATCGCCGACCGAGCCTTGTTCTCCAGACCAAGTCCATGCTCTTATACAATCGCGTTTGCACATCTTGTTTACCGGGCAGCTCATTATCCATATCAGAAACATGACTTCAGAACCATATGCCATCATTGCAGGAATTGGTGAGCCTCCGTCTGCATCTCTTTTGTCGCTTTCGCTTTTCTATACTAACCCGGGCAAGGTGCCGGCACCGGCGCCGCCGTCGCGAGGCGCTTCGCCAGACAGTATCCCGTGGCGCTTCTTGCTCGCTCCACCGATTTCGCCAAAAAGCTAGCCGCAGAGATTGAGGCCGACGGCGGCACGGCCGTGAGCTACAAGGCCGACGTCGCCGACGAGGAGGACCTGGGGCGCGTGTTTGGCGAGATTCAAGAGCGCTTCGGAACGACCTGCGCCGCGGCCATCTTCAACGCGAGCAGCCGGCCGTTTCCGAAGCCGTTTCTGTGGCAGTCACAGAGCGACGTCGACTATGCCCTCAGCATTAAGAGCCGCCCCCTCCGCAATGTATCTTGAGGAATCATGGCTGACGAGCAGCAACACAGAGACGGGGCCTATCATTTCGCCAAGCTGGGGCTGCCGCTCCTCATCGGCTCGACCGGGCATGACTTTGTGCCGACGTTGCTGTATACCGGCGCAACGGCGGGCGTCAAGGCCAACGCGTGGATGCAGCCCTTTGCCGTGTCCAAGCACTCGTTGCGTGCGCTGGTCTTGGCGCTGGCCGACGAGTTTGCGCCGCAGGGTGTGCACGTCGCGCATGCCATTATTGATGGGGTGATTCGCATGCCGTTGACCCGGATACTGAAGCCGCTCTCATCGTGGCATGCCAAGCTGGACCCTGATGCGGTACGTCTATTGTGTGGTCCTTTGTGCCTTGGTGCTGACGCCAGAGTGTAGATTGCAGAGAGCTACTGGCATCTGCACGAACAACCTCTGGCCTACATGACAACCGAGATTGCCTTGCGGCCATTCTGCGAGACGTGGTAGATGATGGAACGTTGTAACGGTCCGGGGTACATGGGCCTTAGCCTTTTCATATTGTATTATTCAATTGGGAAGATGATACTATTATTAAAATCCCTAAAACTCTCATAATACCAACTAGTTGAATGCTTTTCCAGCGCGCCAAATCAGCTTCAGGCAAAGGACGTTGGCCGTCCACCAGAGGACCGGTCTAAGCGATGCGCCAAGCAGCGACGCGCTCAGCACATAGTTGCCCACATAGGCGATCCGTGCCAGAGTATACATCAAGCCGACGTAGTTGATGTCTGCGGCCGGGATACCGGCCACCTTGGCAAGGATCAGCGCAGCGGCCAAGACGGGGAGGTGATCCAGCGAGTTGGCGTGCGCGGCCTCATTGCGCCTGAGCATGTCGAGGTGGCTCTGCGTGAGGTGGCCTTCGAGAACGGCGCGCGGGCCGAAGCGGGCGAGGTCGTCGCGCGGCGAGACGTGGTTGTCGATGCCGAACCATACTTTGAGGATACGGGCGCTGCTGAGGGTGTGCGACAGCAGGATGTTGGCGATGAGGTACTCGGCGAGCATGAACTTGGGGTCGCCGTTGGCGGCCGAGAGGCCAAAGAGGGTGGAAATAGAGGACATGGTGGCTTGGAGGTGAGAGTAGTATTGGGCTTCTTTGGATGTATTCACGAGAAGGCGTCCATGTATTATGTACCAGTCAGGCGGCAATGGCACCGATGCCGAGCGGCGACCCGACTGGGCATCGGACATCAAGTGTCACCGTGCCGGCTCTTCAGCTACGGGTCATAAGCCATGAACGCGTACGACGTGTGCCTGCCTAATGTTTTGAGGGTAATGTTTAGTATAGTGAAGGACCTGCGATCTTGGCTTTTTTCTTCTTCAACATTGGCCAAGAGTCACTTCTCGCCCAAGGGTGAGAGACTGGATATCACCCCATTTAGCTCGATCTGGCAAGATCTGCTTCATGAAGCTCAGCCAGGGAATTCATTGTAATAAGACTTGAACAAGATTGTATTATAGCTGCTGAATAACAAGCATGACCTGTGTGGTGTGAAGGATGCGCCCGGGCTGACTCCACCCATGCAGAGGACGAGAGCTTTATTGTCTTCTAGAATACTGGTCCAAGTTTCCAATCACCATTACAAGACGGTTGCAACACATGTGGAATACGATCGGATGTTGCCCACTAACCACGCAAAGTGAGGGAACCGAGATAGTGGCAGTCGTTCCCAAGCTGATTGCAACCGCGTCTGCACGTCAACATCGTCCTATACATGTTCCCAACATGACCAGTAATATCTAGTTACAAGAAGAGAAAAAAAAAACCACCCTTCCGGGCGTTCAACGGCACCATGTGGAGTCACCGGCGGCTTCCGAGACGAGAACCCTTGGTCTGCCCCAGCCTCGAAGCAGTCAGACCATCAAACAATAATACTCTGACCTGCCTCTGACCCAGCTGGAAATATTGGCCCCAGCGATCTGCAACACAAGATTGGCCAAAAGGACCGTAGGGTCTAGCGCTGCCGTCTGGCTAGCTGTCGTCGGCTCGGGCACAGCCACCATGTTCGGTGAGCGATTTTCACGTCAATTTGGTGGCTCATTCCCCTTTTCAGACGGCCTCCGCTGCTTCTTTTGCCTGTAGACGGGGCAAAGAAATAATGAGGAAATAATAATAATAAAACTAGTGCCAGAAGTTGGCGTACTCGAGTATGCCGCGTATCCGGCCGTCGCTCTGCCAGCCGTACCACGTACCAGTACAATGAATGAACAAGCCAGAAGGGCCAGACACGGGCGGTGAAAATTCTGGCTCGAGGAAAAATTTGCAGTCGGCTCCGACGCAGGGTTCTATCCACATGTAGAAGCAAAATGTACTCTGCCGTATCGGTACTGCATATATATTGCATCGCCGCCTCCGACGGTTGCGGCCGCCGAAGCCTGTCCCTGTCACTTACACCAGCTTCGCCGACATTGTTGATAACCCGCCCATCTTCCGTCTTCACTTGACACTTTACACGTACCATTCTACACTCTAGCAGCCAGAAGCTGCTAATCTATAACGCTGGCGACCTCTACTCTCTCTCTCCGTCGTGCACACATCGGCACGGCAATCTTCCCACCTGCGGAAGAGCTCTGGCCTCCTTAAGAGTCAGGTATACATGCGAGCCTTGCAGAAAAAGACAAGAGCCTTGATTTCTAAGAGTTTGATTCTGCAGCTACTTTTCGATGAAAACTCCTTCTTTCGCCAAACCTAGCCGCGGTGCCTGGATCGCGTTGTGCCCAGCCTAAGAAGCCCACGACCGAGTCCAAGACGGACGGACAGTGCAGCATCTCAGACGCCACGAGAAATAAATACAGAAAAGTCCAAAGAAAATCAGGTTCTATTGAGGAAAAGCCCAACAGTCAATATGGGAAAGATCTACAACTGGCTTGCCGCCCCTGGCAAAAAGGGCCCCATCGCAGATGCCGCTCCAACCCAAATCGTGGCTCGCCTTCCCGGCAGCGATTCCTGCAATGACAAGACGGCGCTGGCCGAAGTCACCGAGGTCCTTTCCAAGGAGGACGACTCGGTGCATAACGTGACTGGCTACGTGGACAAGCAAAAGGACGGCCGTCTCGACCGCTGGCTCGACTGGGTCGTCTGGGCCTCGGGCTCGGAGCCCGTCTTCCTCTTCATCGTGGCCGGCCTGCTGGCGTGGGCCCTCGTGGGCATCCAGTACGGCGAGACGGACTCGTGGGCCGTCATGATCTCGGACATCCAGGCCATCCTCAGCTACCTCTTTGACTCGCTGCTCGTGCGCCAGCAGCTCAACGGCTACGACAAGATGATCCGGCTGACGGCGAGCCTGCGCTCCCGCAGCGTCAGCCACCAGCGCATGCTGCGCACCGTGCAGGCCCGCGGCCAGGGCCTGCCGCGCGACGACGCCGCCGCCGCCGCCGAGCTGGAGCGGCGGTTCCGGCAGACGCGCGCCGACGCGGGCCTGCCGCAGGAGAGCTGGCTGGGCCGTCTGTCGACGCGCGCCTCAGACGTCATGGGCCACTTTGCCACGCTCTGCTTCTACTGGGTCGGCATCTTTGTCTGGCTCGGCTTCGGCCACTACTGCGGCTGGAGCGACCGCTGGCAGCTGTACATCAACTCGGCCACGTCGGCGCTCATGGTGCTCGTCTTCGCCTTCCTGGCCAACATCCGCGAGCGCCACGCGCTCTTCACCAACCGCTGGCTGGGGCTGCTCTTCGAGGCCGACTCGACGGTCGAGCGGCGCCTGCGGCTGCTCACGGGCGACGACGCGCCGAACGAGGTCGTCGAGGTGCCGGCGCCGACCATGAGCCACCTGCAGCGCGCCATCTTCTACTACGCCGACTTTGTCGGCACGCTGACGGGCGTGGCCATCCTCGTCGCCGTCATCGTCGTCTGGGTCGCCATCGGGCCCGCCATGGGCTTCAGCTCCAACTGGTGGCTGCTCATCGGCACCTACGCCGGCCTCATCGGCCTCAACGACGGCTTCGTCCTGCGCAACCTGCAGCACGAGCTCGAGCGCTACGAGAACGACGCCTTTGCCGAGGCCAGCTTCGCCGACCTGGCCGTGCTGGACGACGCCGGCGTCGCCGACCCGGCCGCCGACGCTGCCCGGCCCGCCTTGTCGCTGAGCTCGCGCCTGTCGGAGCGCATGGGCACCTTCTTCTCCCACGAGTACGTCGTCATGGCCGATGTTGTTCTCATCATCGGTCTGGTCATTGGTGCGAGTGCCATGCGCTGGACCGTCACGGGCCAGCTACTGTGCAATGTGCCTCCCAGCCTGATTGAGACCTTCATCATGCTGATTCTGATTACGGGACACAACCTGGGCGAGGTTCGCCGCAGGGAAAGCATCGAAAAGATGTATTTGCGCAGGCTCAAGGTACTCACCTACGTCGACATGGTCGGGGACAGAACCGGCGACAAGGCAGAGGGCGCTTAGACAAGTCCCTTTCCGGACTTGACTGTACGCTTCCATCAGGATAGATTGCATTTCGGTTTCAACAGCCAGGGCCATATCGGACGGAATGACTCGCTTTCAATAATCGAGCCTGGAATTTATATGAATGGATAAAAGTTTTTGGAATTGTAGATGCTTGGATGGCCACGTAGATTCGACGCGTTTAGTTATTAGTAGTTAAATTAACTAAAAATAAATAGCAATAATTATTCTTATAAATTATATAAGCAGGCTAATATAGATATTAGATAACTAGTTATAATTAAGAGTAATTTTATATAATAGAGTTAAAGAATAATATATATTAGAACTTATAGCTATTTTTACCTTATTCTTTCTTAACTAAGAGGAGAAATTCCTTCTTTTTTATATTTATTTTCTAGCCTATTTAATTAGTTTAATTATACTCCTTTAGTATATCTTTTTATTATTTAATTCTATTAATAATTAAGATTAGTTTTTTTAAATTTAACTCCTTTATTTATATATTATTATTTCTTTTTAGCTTTTTATTATAAATAGGTTTTTAGCTAATTATATATATTATAATCTTTATTTAAATTATAATATACTTTTTAAGTAAATTCCTTTTTTTTTTTTATATTACTTTAAAAAAGTATTTTAGAATTTAATTAAAAATAATATTCTTTAATAAATTAATCTTTTATAACTACTTTTATTAAATTAAAGAATATTTAAGTCTTTTATATATATAATTCTTTCTAATCCTATTATAATTACTTTATTTTTTTTTCTTTTTATATTTATTAACTTACTTATATTATTTTCTTTAATTATTTAAAAATAAAGTAATAATAGCTTTAATAATATACTACTTTTTAATAATATAATCTTATTATAATATATAAAGTAAAGTACTTTTAATAATTATATAAAAGTATTTAAATTACTTTTAATCTTTTAAAAAGCTAGTTTCTTTTTCTTTATTTATTATTTTTAATATACTTTATCTTTATTCTTTTTTTACTTATAAAGAAACCTTTAATCTTAATAATATTATTAACTTTAAATATACTATCTTTACTTTAAAGTATTTATAAAATATTAATAACTTAAATTTAATAAAATAGTCTTAGCTTTTAACTTCTATAAAGGTTTAAAAAGTAAATAATATATTTATTATATTTAATTTTAAAAGTATATATTATTCTTTTTAATTATTTTATTTTTTATTAACTTTTAATCTTAATAATATAGATTTAAATAATATTATTATATTATTTTTTACCTTTTTAAGCTTAAATAATATTAATAACTATTTCTTTATTCTTAGTTTAGTTAAAAAGGATACTTAAGTATTCTTAAAAATCTAAAGAAAGTTTATAACTATAACTTAAACTACTATATATACTTTTAATAGTCTTTATAAGGTTCTATATATAATATATATATATTCTTTTATAAGAAACTCTTAAAGTTATAAGTATTATTATATTATAACCTTAATTAATACTACTTTTTCTTATTATAGTAAGCTAATAAGTTATTATTTTAAATATTATATAAAAAGAACTTAATATTAAGCTATTAAGTTTATACTTTCTTTTTATTCTTTTATTTTTAATTATATTTTAATTAAGTCTTTTAAGAATCCTTTCTTTTTATATATTCTATCTTAACTTCTAACTATTAACTTTCTAAATAATCTTAAAGCTATTAGTTTTTTAATTATTAATAAAATAAATTTCTTTATTTTTATATTATTAAAAATTATAAAAAAGCTTATAATTAAGGCTCTTTCTACTAAATAATATTAAACTTTAGTAAGTCTTAAGGCTTATAAAAAGGAATAGAATTCTACCTAAACCTTTTTTAAGATAATAGTAATTATAAGTAAGTATAAGTCTTTTAGCTTATTCTATAAATATAAAATTATATTTAATACTTATTTAACTAAATTAGAATAATATAAAGCTATTATAGATTATTTAATAAAAAATCTTATTAATAAATAATAAGATTATTTTATACCTTTTTTATATTTTTTATTCTCTTTTTTTTTATTAGTATTTAAAGATATTATTATTAGGTTTTAATTTAAATTAAATTTTTATTACTTTTAAACTTTATAATCTTAATTAAATCTTAAAAATAAATAAATAATTATAATAGTAAGTTCTTTATAAATCTATTTACTAATATATCTTTTATTAGAAAATATAATACCTTAAATAATCTATATTAATATTCTTATTAAAGCTATAAATAATAAATATTAATATATTATAATTTAGTATTAATTCTTTAATTTCTAGCTATAATTAAATAAATTATTTATTAATTATTATAGAAAATTTTATAGAATAGTCTAAAAATAATATCTATTTCTTAGAAAAAATACTTAAGTATAACTATTTCTTTTATAGTATTCTAGAAAGCTAATAACTTAGCTTTTATAGTAAAAGTTATTATTATACTTTAATATAATACTTTCTAGGCTATAATTCCTTTAAAAAGGATTATAATAAATCCCTAACTAGATCTCTTTATATCTAAATTATTAATATATAAGGTATTATTTATTATTTATAAAATAATTACTTCTTTATTTTTATTATATATAATATAATAATCTTTAATATTAAGAAAATACTAAATAATATAAATAGCTATATTAAAATATATTTAAAATAGGTTTATTAAATAATAAAATAGTATTAATACTATAAATATAATATTTACTTTTATTATAATTAATATATATAAGATTAACTTAATAATTTCTTAATATTTTTTTACTTTTTTTAATATTACTTATTCTATTCTTTTAATAAATTACTATTATAATAAAGAAGTTTAGACTTAATTAAGACTAGTTACCTTAAACTTAACTATAATCTTCTTTATATATACTCTATAGAAAAGCTATATTATTTTCTTCTTTTAGTTATAAATAATCTTAACTTTTAAGAATTATAATACCTTTTCTTAATTATATATTCTATATTTTTAAAATAGCTTATAAGTAAATTTATTCCTTTTCTTTATAGCTTCTTTCTTATTTAGAATAATAATATTATTAATAAAGAAAATAATATATATTAACCTTTCTTTATTAAAAAAAAGGTATAATTCTTTTTTATATTATATAAGCCCTAGCTTTATTAATATACTAATAAATTTTAAATACTAGAAAAGTAGTAAGTCTTATAACCTATAAAGTATTTAATTTAATAAGATATTATAGTTTACTTCTTTAAAATCTACTAATAAATTTATTATTTCTTAGAATCCTAGTAGTAGCCTATATAGGACTTTATTTAATAAGTCTTATTTACTAGTATATAAAAAAGTATTTTTAATATTAAACTATTAAGAATTAAGGTTATATTTTACTATAAGTATTATTATTATTTAGAAAGTCTATATTACTAATATAGTTATAGATATTTCTTTTTAACTATTAATTAGCTATAAATCCCCTTATATATAGATTTATACTTTATATTTAATTAGGATTTTATTAGTATTAAATTTATATATAAATACCTATTTAAAAAGTAAAGTATATCCCTTTTTAATATTTTTATATATATAGGTCTAGGTCTTTATTTTATTAAAGGCTTATATTTTATTAAAACCTACTTCTTTAAATTAGGTCTTAAAAGTATACCTTTTAATCTTATTCTACTCTTAAGGTAAGGGTAGTAAATTATTAGTATAGTATAACTACTTATCTTTTTTAATATTCTAAGTCTAATTATTATCTAATTATTTATTTTAAAATATATATTTTAGTATTATAAATAATATCTATAATTCTCTATTATTATATTTTTTTAGGTTAATATAATAAAGATTAATTATATATTTTTTCTTTTTAATAATAGTCTTTAGTAATTAAAGTATAATAAAGGCTAATTTTATCTTTTTCTATACTAACTCTTAGCTATTTTTAATCTTTCTTTTAATCCTTTTATTTCTATAAATAGTCTTTTTAGAAATAAAGATTAAGCTTTTTATAGTTACTTTCTAAATTTCTAGTTATAATTTAAAGTCTTTTATAACTATATCCTATAAATATAGATTATAATCCTTCTTAATAGGCTTTTTTTAAGTTATTAGCTTATCTTTATTAAGTAGGTATAGACTTATCTTTTTATTTTAAATAATAAAAAGCTAAATTCTTATTTTCTAGGTATCTTTTATATATAAATCTTATAATTTTAGTCTTATTTAAAAGCTAAATAAATATATATATATTTAGTTATTTTCTTTTACTTTTAAAGCTAAATTATTAATATCTTTTTCTTAGCTTATATTCTTAAATAGTTTTAATATATTTTTAAATAAGAGTATATTATTTATTCTATTACTTATTATTATCCTTATATTACTATTATTTTTAATTTCTATCCTTAATATTAAAAATAATATATTACTTTCTAAAGTTCTAATATTACTTAGGTTTACTTCTTAAGTTTATATAGTATATTTATTAAATATTATAATATCTTATATCTTATAACTACTTTATCTAAATTTATTTAAATCTTATAACTTATTTTAAGGATTTAGGTTAAAGATAGTATCTTATAAAGTTATTAAAAGAAAATATTTAAGTCTAAATTCTATAGTTAGATTTTAACTTTCTATTTCTATTAAAGACTTTATCTTTTTCTTTAGTTTTAACTTAATAATTCTATCTTTATTTTTTATTTTTAAAGAATAGAATATATTTTTATTAAATTTAATATTCTTTATTATAATAATATAGTTAAATTAAGGTATTTATATTTAGTATAGATTTAATACTATATAATTAACTAAATAACTAATATATTTTTTAGAGTATACTTTAAAGTTCTTTTTATTAATTCCTTTTTCTTATTTTTAATTAAAAAGGTATACTTAGTATTTATATATATATTACCCTTTTATACTAATCTTTTTACTAATTATATACTTAGTACCTTATTTACTCTTTTTAAACTATAAATTTATTTTTTATAATAATAATTTATATTTATATACTTTCCTTAGGCTATTTCTAAGTAAGAAGGTAGTTATTTTTACTACTTTAAACTATAAGGCTATAGGTAGTCTTAAAGATATTATTAAGATAAGTATTTTCTTAATAACTATCCTTTTAAACCTTTTATTTAACCTATTTAACTTATAAATATATACTAATATAGTTTTAATCTTAATTCTTAATTTCTTTACTTATTTTTAATACTTTATAAAAGTATTTTTATAGATTATAGCCTTTTTATTATTATATTTTATAATAAAGACCTTAAGGTTAAATTACTTTTTAATCTATATTATAAAGTTTTTAATTATAAAGAAAAAGGTCTTAATATTTTTAAAAATAGTTAAAATAGAATAGATTAAACTAGTATATTTATCTTATATTATAAAAAAAAAGCTTATTTTATTATAACTTAAAAGGTATTCTTATAAATCCTATTTAATTCTTTTAAAAAGTTAAATAGTAAATATATTATTAGTTTCTTTATTAATAATATTTTCTATTAAAGTAATATTATATACCTTATAATCTAGATATTATATTTTAATAATTTAGTTACTAGTTAATTCTTAAATTAAAGCCTTAAGTAATTCTTTTTTAAAGTATCTTAATTATAAATATTATAAATAACTATCCCTCTTTTTAAAGAGAGATATTCTTTTTAATATATAATTAAGACTATATTTAAAGGTATTTAAGACTATTTTCTAAAATACTAGCTTTTTTAATTATTAAATTAGTTTATATTTAAAGAATAGAATATTATCCTTTTTATATAGTTAAACTATATAGTAATTATTCTTAAGTATACCTTTCTTTAAAGTATTATTATAGCTATTAATCTAAAGCCTAGTTTTAGCTTTTAAAATATTAGCTAAGATTAAATTTATATAAAAGCTAAGAATATAATAAATATTTATTAAATAAAGGTTAATTCCTAGCTTATTAGAAGTAGTTAAAATATATTTTATAATTCTTATTCCTATATTAATAATAATAGATTAATAATCTTTAGCTTTAACTAAGATATTTTATAATTCTTTATAAAAATCTAGTTTAAAAAGGCTTTTATTATTTATAATATAATATAAACTATAATTATCTAAAAGTATACTTTTATAATATAGATAGTAGTTTCTATAAATAGTAAAGAATATATTCTTTATAGGTTTAAGAATACTTTTAAATAGAATATATTATATTTCTTTTATAGCTATTTTCCTTTATTTATAAATACTTTAAGGGTAGCTTATTTAGATTTATTTATAATTTCTTTAATTTTCCTTATTTAAAATTTATTTATATTTATATTTAGTTTAAAAAAACCTAGGTATACTTTTTAAATAATATAATATTCCTTTAGCTTCTATAAGTAAGTTTAATCTTTCTTTTAATAAAGGTAATTATATCCTTACTTTTTAGATTTCTTTCTTTTTTTATTATTTAATATAAAGAAAGTATTCTTAGTTAATTTCTTATACTTTAATTCCTTTATATTTTCTTTAAATATATTTATAATAGTTTATAAGGTTTAATTTAATATTAAATTATTTCCTAATAAAGTATTTATATTAATAAAATCCCTTTTTAAAGATATAGCCTATTTAGGTATTATTTTCTTTTTAATTATATTTAGAAAGTTAATAATAACTATTAATCTTTCTATATTTAGAATTTAGTAAAGTAATACTATTTAATATACTTTTTCTTATATTTAGATTTAACTTAGTCTATTTAATACTATTTTTTTAATAATTATAATTTATTTATATTCTTTTTTTATTTTTTATTTTACTTTTTTAAAATTTAAGATAATAATAACCTTTAATTCTTTAAAAATATTTTTAAAAGTATATTAATTATAAATAACTTCTAGTTTTACTACCTTTATTTTAATAGTTTTTTAAATTCTTAAAAAGAACTTAAAGTTTATAATAATATTAACCTAGATTTAAACTAGATTAATATTTTCTTACCTCTTTTTAGCTATAATTATTATTTCTTTTTAAAAATTTATTACTTCTTTATAAGTAATTTTTAAGTTTATATAATTAATACTTAAGTATTTATCCTTATACTAAAGCTAAGTAAACCTATAAAGCTTTAAGTATAAATTATTATTAAAATAAGGCTAGTTTAGATTTATATAACTTTAAATTTACTTTAAAAATATATAAACTTTAAAATAAAGTTCTTATTTATATTATTATTTTAATTCTTTAAGTTTAAGGCTAAAATAAACTAAAGTAATTATTATTTTTTAAATTAATATATTAAAAAAGAAAAAAAAGAAATTAAGAATATTTTTATATATTTTAAATAAGTTTATAAGTAAAATAAAAGTTTTAAATAATAAGAAGTATTTTTTATTATTTACCTTTTAAGTTTATAACTTTTATAAATTATATAAATAGGTTAATATAAATATTAAATAATTAGTTATAATTAAAAGTAATTTTATATAATAAAATTAAAAAATAATATATATTAAAACTTATAGTTATTTTTACTTTATTCTTTTTTAATTAAAAAAGGAAATTCTTTTTTTTTATATTTATTTTTTAGTTTAATTAATTAACTTAATTATACTTTTTTAATATATCTTTTTATTACTTAATTCTATTAGTAATTAGGATTAGTTTCTTTAAACCTAACTTCTTTATCTATATACTACTATCCCTTTTTAGCTTTTTACTATAAGTAGGTCTTTAGCTAATTATATATACTATAATCTCTACTTAAATTATAATAATTGTCTACGTCACATGATAAGCCATAAATATTGAACAGACCTATCTGTAGTTTGTTGTAGATTATTAAGTAGCGTTCCCGTTTATACCGTGTTAGCAAGTGGCGACTTCACTCGAAAACAGCCCATCAAAACCTACAATGAACTGTCTGCCACATGGGCAAGCGCAGCTCCGCTCCCATTAATGCCGACCGCGACACCGCAGATCAGATCTATATCGCCCGCATTATCTATATTGTCTACATCTTTAAGATCTGTATTGCTGGCTAAGAGGCTGCCTGGTGCCTACCTTGCGGCGCTCTTGAGGCTGTTGTGGGTGTTAATATTTAATAGTGTTAATAGTACGGATAGGAAAATACAGTCTCTGCCGTCTGATATTTTGACTAGCGCGACGCTAGTTAACGCTAGTATCTACCCCGACCTATAAATATTTCATTCGGTCTTGTTGTTGATTGACTAATTCTTGTTGTTAACATATCAGCCTTCTTATAACTACCGTCGCTCCTCACCGGGGTCCCGACGCCCGCCGTCTTCCGATGTAATTTCCGTTGATGATGAGATGAATCTCTCACTTACTGCTTGGATTCAAAATTTGCCAAGCCCCGCGGCCCGTCCAAGCCGAAGTTAGCTGCCAGCTTCTTGCCAAGAGACTCCACCAATATTTATGTCACAGCATCAGGCCGTAATGAACCGTTGGATTTGTGCTTGTATTAGGGTTGTTGACTCACGCGACTGCGGGCCTGGTGTCACAAGCCTGACTCCTCTTAAATCCACAGCGAAGCAGCCGAAATGCAGCTGCGAAAAAGCAGCACGCGAGTTTTCTCTCGATACCTCCTTTCAAACACTCATACCTGTCTCCGATACCGAGATGGCATCTGAATCAAAATACTTGAACGACGTTGAGCGGGTGGCAGCCTGCGCTGCCATGTCCGGCGAGGGCGTCGTCCTGAGGCTGGACCATCCTGTGAGTCGCGCAGCCACTATCCGCGGCATTCGCAGTCACATCGAATACGCACAAAGTCCCGAGATTACGGCCCTCTGCTCTTCAGAGAATGCTCTTCGTAACCCGGACTTTGCCAGGGCGCGCAATGCTCGCGTTATCATGAGCAACATCATTCCTACGCCAGAGGAGCTGGGCCTCGAGAGCCATGTTGGCCTGGACGACCCAGAGCATACGAGAGTTCCGTACTGCATCTGGCATCCCGAATTCGCAACCGAGGACACATACCATGCTTTGGCTGCGCGGTACCCCGCCATGCGATATCAAGTAGGCCGAGCATGCGCTGCCGCCGGCATGGACAGGCTGTATGCTGAGCTCGACTTGCTGCCGGATGTTTCCATCGCCGAAGAGGCTCGTGAAAGTCTGACTCCTGGTGGGAAACTTATTTACCGTCAAATTATGTCTGCACCACACAGATACGCCATCATGGACGATTACCAGAGGAGCATCAACATCGCCAATCCTCCATATCCAGCCTATCTGAACGGCGATACAAATGTCCGACGCATGCTCAGCCACTGCCCACATCCTGCATTACAGCTGTATGATGAGTCGCATAACAAACATCGCTTAGATCCACTCCCTTGCATCACCGAGACTCAATATATCAGGCGAGATATGAATGACGAAGACGCTCCAGATCAACTTCGCGATGATGAGGTCGAGCTTTTATATGCGCCCTTGCCACAAGACTTGCCTACTGTCAATAAGACACTCCTCATACACATGGCTGCCTACCATGGAGACATAGACCGGTATTCACGGCTCATTCGGCGACCGCTTTACATGAGTGAAGTGGAATTCCTCTGCGTCGTGCGGGGCATCTATCACCAGCCAATGTTTGCTCGTTTCTGGGCCACTCAGCTAGACAAGGACACCCAACTCGCAAAACGAGTCGGAGAGACAAAGCGCAAAGAGATTCAGATGGCAATCTCTGCTCGAAGGATCATGTCAAATGACCGGCAGGAGTTTGAGCACGGCTGGAGCCCGGACAAGCCTCCGCCATTCTTGATATGGTGGCCCCAGAAGCCGCACCCATTTACCCTGCTGGATATGTTCGACAGAGCGCCGTCTATGAGGGAGACTGCGCTGGTGGCATCCATCATGTGCGACTATGAAGAAAACTTTTTGTGTATGGACATTCCGCCCACTAATACCATATACTTGGCTGCGCGGAGGTCTAGCAACCCTATATACTTGGACATGGTCACGAAAAGGGCACAAAACGCGGGTATCGACGTGAAAACTTTTTCTTTCTTTGATAGTGAACCTTTCTTTGACGACAAGGAAATTTGCATGCAGGAGCTTGAGCCACCTGAGGATGGCGAAGTTCGTACCTATCGACCGGACCGGGTTTCTACTACGGGATCACAAGATGTTTATGATGGAAGCAGGCTTTATCATGGTCTGCTGCATAAGTATATATGGCATGTGCCAATGAAGCCAGGGGAATCCAGGCTATAGCGGTGTGAAGTGCTTTTACTAGCATTGCCGCACCGAACAACGGGCATCTCTCGTCACATTTCGGGCTACCAGAGACCAGGAGCAAAGGCCAGACATGTACTGGACAGACACGGCTTCTTGTATCAAGTAATCGGTATTGCAAATATAGAAATTATAGATGTCAGCTGTCACGGTGCGTTGGCTGTCGGTGAGCCATCTTTCTGTAGCGCACCGCCGTTGCGATTCTGGCCCGTTTCCCCCACTTAATGAGTGCTACAGGCAGAAGCAGGAGAATACAGCAGAAAACGGAAATCATGATGTGGAGGTTGCGTAGTCCCACGGCGTCGATCCAAGGCGTGAGAGCAAAGAGGACGAGCACGGAAATGGCGTTGCGCGTGAAAACAACACCGACCAAGGCATTTCCTATAACCTGTGGAGTGTCAGTGCCTGGCACAATTTCTTTGACACCTTGACCGAGATACGCACATCGTGATAGCAATCCATAGCATACGAGAGTCCAATGTCGCCAGCGACGACGAGACCAAACCCAAAAACGCCGAAACCAACAGCCAGTAGTGGCCAAGGTGCTTCCTGGGAAAAGGTCAACTCAACCCCGATCATACGCAACAATCCGATAAGGAATTCCATAATTCGACTTACATATGAAAGCCCCAATCCAAACATGAGGATCCCGGCAGGTGTCACAAAGGCCATTGGAATCGCCATCCAGAGACGCATCTCGGGCTCATATATGCCTCCATTTCGCCGGGCGAGCCATAGAATGGACTTGTCGTTCAAGTATCCACCAACCCAGATAGCGGGAATGGTGCCGATGAATGGGGCAATGTTCATCAACCCAACACCGGCGGCAGTGAAGTTGTAGGGTGGGTTGAAGAGATATGTCGCCTGCACAGAGGTGGTGACAGCAAACCAGGCCAGTAAGCTGCCATAGGTCAAGGCAATAAACGTGATAGCAGGAAAGGTGAAGAGGAGAACCAGGGGCTGGTAAAAGTCCCGCATCATCGACCCATCCGTTTTCGTTACCAAGGCAAGCCGCTGGCGACGGGTCTTGAGGGGAATTGTAGAATCTATGTGAGAGTTGACAGAAACACTCTGCATGGTTGTAGATTCCACCCTTTTCATCTCCATATCGCGTTTTTCAAGCCCATCGCTGACAACCTGCACCGTCCCAGGCTCCCGGCTGTCCCTCGCCGTGATGGAGCGGGAGCCCGATTGGCCTTGGATGATGGTGATATACTTGGACTCGTCAAAGAAGAAGATGATCAATACTAGATTAACAGCGAACAAGATGACACACCACCACCAGACCCAGCGCCAGCCTTGGCTATTTACGACATAGCCAGATGCGACAGGTCCTAGGTATGCGCCGGTAAAGGTGGCAAACAGGTACCAACCATTCATGGCTCCGTGATGATGCACGAAGAACAGGTCTGCAATGGTGATTTGCACAATCGTCTCGCTAATAGCGCCGCTAATGCCGGAGAGGAGGTTGCTGCCAATCATGTCGCCGCGGGTGCGCGTCGCGCCAAGCCACACGCAGGAGAGCAGCTGCAGCAGCGTGCTGAAGATGTACATGGGGCGGCGACCGTACTTGTGCACAAAGGGGACGAGAAAGACGCAGCCGACAGCGAGACCGGCATAGTTGATGGCGGCGGCGGCGTTGAGAAAGTCGATGGAGAAGCCGAGCTCGGCCTGGTACTGGTCCCACGAGGTGAAGCCGACATCGAGCTGGACAAAGGTCAGGAAGATGTAGAAACAGACGAGCGTAAAGTTGACGGTTTTGCGCCAACGTGTCCAATTTAACGGATCGTTCGGATCCGAGGACGGTGTTGGGTGTAGAATGACGGTCTCGGACGCGGATTGTACTTTTGGGCGGGTGGGTTAGCTGTGATTGGAACCCTGCAACATTGGGGAGGATCCCGCGATAAAATCAACAGAAGGAAGACCTGCTATTACTTACAATCTTCCAAAGTAAGTGTTCCCGGCGGCCAGGATGACGCATCGTCATGGTTCTCGGTCGGCTGCACCATGATGCGCAATGACTCTGCTGTACGTAGGCCGACGCGACTCCACGAGGTCGAGGTTTACAGGGCTGTTCGCCAAGATGTACTCGGCGCAAAATACGGAAGCAGAAGTTGGCTCGCACATGCTGGGTGCCGGATGTAATGGCACGGCACGCCGTATATAAGTTGGGAAAGCACAGCGCCACGGTGGCCCGTTATCGAGTCCACGTCATGCAGCTGAACAGATAACCCCAATGGCTTGTGCGGAGAAGGAAAGTCTCGACGATTTGCTTCTTGCTTCTTGCTTCTTCCGTCGCGCCCGCGCGCCCCCTGGGGGCTGACTCGTGCCGGGTTGCCGGGCAAGGCCGGTGTATCGGGCGCATCCACTTGGTAAAGTTTCCCCGCAAACCCTTAGCCCTAACTACTAACTAATACTGTACAGTACATATTACAGCCTGTAGTAATTAGTACGGATAACTAGTTATCTATCGGAAACCCTTGGCAGAACTAGCAATGTAGTTGGCCGGCCGGCTGGGCGCTGGCGCCTTTTGAGACGGCTCAACCATTCACAGCACCGAGAGTTCGCCGGCTTCTCAGGGAGCCCTTCGAGATGGTCCAGGCGCTGTGGCTTGCCTTCACGTTGCTGGTCATCGTGCGCGGCCAGGGTTCGCCAATCAAGTTTCGCAGATACTGCCGGTAGCCCTTCTATTACATGTCAATAGGGCGTAATCGGCCTTGTTCAATCAGGAACCCATCTTACTCGTTGAAAATAGGCATATCCACGCATTCATTAGAGCTAGTTACGGGTTCCTCGGCAGCCGAGCCACCACACAGCTTGCTAGCAGCCTAACTTACTAGGAACTATCAGTATATAAAAGGTGGCGGCTATGAGCCAGACATTTTGATAGACGACTACAAATCATTTTCCTTGTTTGTCGCCGGCACCTATCCAGCATCAGCCACATTCTCGATTATTACCACTGTCCCCCCAGTCAATCTTGGTCCAGTCGTCCGCCCAACATGGCTACCCCAATCTCTACCAACCTCATGGAGGAACTGTACGCTCAGGCACTTGCTGATCCCCAACTCCCTCGTGACAACCCTACAACGGCCTTTTGGCAGCTTCCTCCGCACCCGTCCATGTCCGAGACGCGGTCCGCTGAACTGCCGACAACCACCGACTACGCCATCATTGGCTCTGGCGTGACCGGGTGCAGCATGGCCAAGACACTGCTCGACAGCACGCCTTCTGCCACATCCTCGGTGACAGTCTTTGAGGCGCGCAAGTTGACCAGCGGAGCCACTGGCCGAAATGGAGGGCTTCTCACAAATTTTGTTCCTGGGCACTTTAAGCATCTCATCGACCAGCTCGGTCATGAACAGGCCATCAAGATTGCACGCTTCGCAAACAGGACGCTGGAGAAGATGCATTCGCTGGCCAACTCGTCCGACGAGTTCAGAGACGCTAGTGTGGTGCGAAGAACTTTGGATGTCATTGCATTTGATGACCATCAGTCCTTCAACGATGAGAAGGAGGGATTCAAGCTTTATGAGAAGTATGTCACAGAGGAGGCGGGTAAGACGCAAATCCTGACCGCGGAAGAGCTTGCAGCAGTAAGTACATGGGCCGCAGCTATTTGTGTTGGTATTTGACTAACGAGTACCACTTCAGAAGTACAACGTCAAGGCCAACTCGGGTGCAATTCTCTTCCCAAACGGCGCCTTTTGGCCGTATCGATTGATAACCAGACTATGGGCCCAACTGCAGAAGCAACATGCACCACGGTTGTCAATCGAGACAAACACGCCGGTGACGGAGATTGCCTATGACCCAAGCAATGCGACCCATCCGTACGTCCTGAAAACACCTCGTGGTTCCGTCCGTGCATCCAAGATTCTGCATGCGACGAATGGTTACTCGGGGCACCTCTTGCCTGGTCTGCGCGGCAAGATCTACCCGCTCCGTGGTACCATGTCGACACAAAAGCCACCGGCCGCTTTCGGCAACCATGGAAACGCAATCACTTGGAGCAGGGTGGGCGGCGGCGGCTTCGACCCCACCACCAATGTGATTGAGCTCGGTCTGTACTACTCGAACCAAAACCCACAGTCTGGCGATGTGTTCATCGGCGGTGAAAAGACCAAGCTCAACGAAATTTTTCATCAGTGATGACTCGGTTGTCGGTGCGCCTTGTGAAGAAAATATCCGCACCAAGCTGCCGCGGTGCTTCACCAAGGGCTGGGAGGAGACAAGCGAGCACGAGGTCCGAAAGGTCTGGTCTGGCATCATGGGCTTCACTGGGGACCGGCTTCCGCTGATTGGGAAATTGCCGGCGAGCGCGACGAAGCGGCGAGGTGACGGGGGCGAGTGGATTGCAGCCGGATTCAATGGCTACGGTATGCCATTGTGCTGGTCAAGCGGAGAGGCAGTCGCGAAAATGATTCTGGGACAAGACGTGGACGATTTTCTGCCGAAATCATTTGTTGTTACCGAGGAGCGCCTGGAAGCGGAATCCATGTCGTTTGCGACGGCCATCAACGGTCTTCTTTCTGGCTATGTCTAGGTGGAAATCATCAAATAATGGTTGCTCCGTTTTATCCACCAGAATGACTTACTATTTAATATCCTAGGTTGCTCAAATCTTTCGTGCAGACTGAGCACGACTTCGATCTTCTAGGCAGTTCATGTCCCTTCTGGATAACTGATGATGTCTTGTGGAGGTTCTGGGCTAGCCACACCCTACGCCTCTGCTTACGTACCTAGGTTAGGTAATCGGCACTCACACAGCACGATGGCTACCTGTTGTCTTGCTTTCACTCTCCCTACCCATTTCAACTGACAGGGGTGTGCAGGTGTGGGTGGACTTGGGCAACTGTACAACTGTGCAAATGGGTGAGGCGCAGTATTACTTGGAATAGAGAGCTGAGGCGTCATCAGTCAGCCTCACCCGCCTCACCCGTCGCCCAGCATGGACTCGTTCCCTTCTCCGCCATCATCCATGGGAGCTTCCATGATGAAGCACAAGCAAGCTAGGATACGATGAGTTTCAGCATCAGCGTCGGCGATCTGATCAGCGGCATCGATTTATGTCGAAAACTGCGGCGGAGCTTTGCAAACGCCCCGCGCCAGTGTCAACAGATCGCCGACCAGTACGTCAACTCATACATGCTCATTTTCGCACGGCGCTAATCCTCGTAACTACTTTGTAGGGTGAGAAACCTCTCCATTGTCCTGCAAGATCTTGAAATCTCTGCTTCCGACTCCAATCTCGCCGATACCGACTTGCAAGAGTTGCGACAAATTGCCGGTGGATGCCACGACGTGCTGCTCGAGCTATCAGAGCTTGTTGAGAAGAACTTGTCGCTCCAGGAAAAGGCACCAGGCTCCAAGAATATAGCTAAGAGGGCTTGGGCAAAAGTCAACTGGTCTCCCGAAATCGCCCTCTCCGTGCAGGGCCGCATCACCGCGAATGTGACTCTTCTGAATGCCTTCCAGGCTCGCATGACGCGCACGGCCACGGCGAGCCTTGCGCGATATGTTGAGAGCCAGGAATACCAAAAGATACTCCAATGGCTCTCCCCAGCACAATATAGCCGTGAGCAAGCCGATTTAATTGCTAGGCGACACCCCAATACAGGACAATGGCTATTGGACTCTCCCGAGTTTCAGCGTTGGCTCGGCACACCAGGCGCAATCATGTTCTGTCCCGGGATCCCCGGAGCAGGTAAAACCATCTTGGCCGCTTCCGTCATTGACCACGTTCAGACCAAGGCAAATGCAGGACATGGCATTGGAATGGCCTACATTTACTTTAATTTTCGCCGCCAACAAGACCAAAAGCTTGCCCATCTCCTCGCAAGCTTGGTCAAGGACCTCGCGCAACAGGATGCTTTCGCGATTGAAGCTGTCAAAGCGCTATTCAATGTACACGAAATGAACAACACGAGGCCATCGACAGATGAGCTCAATAAGCTACTCAGTGTTGTTATTCACTCATCATCATTTCAAAGAATATTCATTGTCGTGGACGCACTGGATGAGTGTCAGACTGGTGAGAATTGCAGGGGAAACTTCGCTTCCCTACTCTCTAGTCTAGTTCAAGGCGGGAAAGCGAATGTCCTTGCGACTTCTCGACCCATTCCCGAGATACGAACGGCTTTACAACACAACTCCACCATCACGCTCGAGATTCGAGCTTCGGACCAGGACGTACATGCGTACTTGGATGGGAATCTTGACCAACTGCCCAGCTGTATAAGACTGAATTTAGATTTGCAAGACCAAATCAAAAGCACAATTGCAAAAGCTGCAGATGGCATGTTCCTTCTGGCTCGAATCTACTTATCTCAGCTAGAGGACAAGCTCACCACCAAGACTGTCAAAAAAACGCTGAGTTACTTTGAGGAGCAGGGCAAAAAATGCGCCGACGGCGAGACTGCGAAACTCGAGGTTTTATCACAAGCCTATGACCAAACTTTGGAGAGAATACATATGCAAAGACCGGGATTTCGACTGCTTGCAGAAAAGGCACTGTTGTGGATTGTGTCTGCTCGCCGACCGCTCAAGGTAATGGAGCTCCTGCAAGCGCTAGGCATTGATGAGGACGAGTCAGTATTCGACGACGATAACATTCCACAACTTGAGGATGTCGTATCCGCCTGCGCTGGTCTGGTCATAGTTGACGAAGAAAGTAATGTGGTTCGTCTGGTCCACTACACGACGCAGGAATACTTCGAGCAGCGTCAAGACAAATGGCTGCCAGATGCTGAATGGCGCATGGCGAGGGCCTGCATCATGTACTTGTTTACATGGGAAAATCGGGAATGGCCATCCATGGCAAGTCGGACCTTTTTTGCGTCCGAGACGCCAGCGCACAGGCTACATGAGTACGCCGCCGAACACTGGGGGCATCATCTCGCCTCTGCCCCAACTTCTTACCAACTCAGCAACGTGGTGCTGGATTTCCTGCAGTCCACTAGAGATCTGAATCGCTGTAGCGAGCCCCTATGCTGGGGCCTCGAAATCTTGACTGAAACCAAGGAGAGACGGGGAGGCAAACATGCTCTTCATTTCGCGGCGCACTTTGGGCTTGTGGAAACCATCAAGGCGCTTCTCGACCACGATGGAAGACTCGACTCGGCTAATGTTGTTGACCTGGCCAATAGGACGCCCATTTGGTATGCGATTCGGTCGGGAAAAGTAGACGTCGTGCATGAACTTGTCCGTCATGGGGCCACAGTACTAGGCAGTGCGTCTGGCGAGTACCCAACACCAATGGCCGTAGCCGCTTATTATGGACGGTACGGACTTGTCAAATATCTTGTCGAGAATGGCGCGGAAGTAAATGAGCCATACCGCGAGTGGTTTTTCCCCAGAGTGACCACGGCCCTGTTCGCAGCAGCAGGGAGGGGGCACGCCTTGACCGTCAAGGCGCTTCTGACTTGCGACGCTGACATTGAGTTCGAAAATAAGGCAGGGGAGGCGTCACTGTTCCGCGCTGCCGCCAGCGGGCATTTCAAAGTGGTGCAGTGTTTAATCAACCATGGGGCAGATGTCAACGCGAGCAACAGAGAGCTGACGACACCACTCATGGTCGCTTGTGAAAGTAGCCGCGTTGAGATTGTCGGGTTGCTGCTAGCCAGCGGAGCGGATTTTGAAGCAACCGACATGCGTGGAAAGACGGCGATGCGCGCCGCGGCCGACTCTGGGGTTGAGGCCATCGTGCTTGCGCTCATAGATGCCGGTGCCAAGATTGAGGCTCGAGAAATGTGGTACAACACGCCGTTGCAAACGCCGCTCCTCATAGCCTGCCAAGCTGGCCATGCGCATGTGGCAAGGCTGCTCCTCTCTAGGGGCGCCGACGTCGAGGCGTACCGCAAGTTCATACACCGCTACGCGCGGTATCGGGACCCCCAGCCCTCAGACTTAACGCCTCTATTAGCTGCTGCGAGCGAAGGCCACGCTGGGGTGGTATCGGTTCTGCTCGAATACAATGCCGACAAGGAAGCCACCAACGCAGAGTGGCAGACACCGCTCATGTTGGCGGCGGCGGGAGGCCATTACGACGTGGTCAAGCTATTGGTAGAGTCTGGTGTAGACCTTCACGGAGTCGATCAAGAGGGGCTAAATGCAGCCACGTTCATTTGGAATGCTTATAGCAAGAACAAGACGGACCAGAGTAGTCGATGGAAGGCGGATGAGGCAACCACTGGGGCCAAGATCATGGCCAAGCAACACGAGTTGTTGCAAATATTTGCGGCTGCTGGGGCTACATTGATCACATTTGAGTGGGAAGAAGTCGGAAGCGAGCTTTGGGATGACTGGACGGTCTGGGATGATTCCGGTTACCCTGTTGGTAGATGCATCATTACGGAGTCAATCCTTCAAGTCAACATGCTATGAGTTGGGCCTTATATTCAGATCCAGAGCTTAGGATTTTAGCTTGGGTTACACATTGAAACAAAGAATAGAGTCTAAATAGAAGTTGGTATATTGCCGGCCTCGATGACGACCAAGTTGTGAATATTACTAAATGTGGCGTGTGGAGGTGCCAGGAACGGGCAGCTTGTGCACCACAATCGAACCAGGCCGTATTTTTATTAATATGGTATACTTTTCAGAGGTATGATATGGAGCTACTAATTATGCACAGAGTTTTCGGAGACTATTAGGAGCCGTTTTGAGCACTTGACTGCTGCTCATTCTCCCTGGTGGTATCACTCCGTACCTAGTATGTGGCCAATGGCTTCGAAAATAGACTTGGTCTTCTCTGTAGCCACACACAGGCGGCATGCGAGTGGCCTAGACCCTATCTAGAGAAAGGCTTGTCCGCCTAGTAGAGAACACTAGTAGAGCGCACTTGAAAATGGGAATTTTCTCGACTGATTGACTGCCATGAGTGGTAGCGCTTTGGTGGTACCTTGGCCCGGCGGCTTCCAGTGTGGGCCTGTATGTACCCCACGCATGGCGCTGTAGCGCCCGCAGCCCAAAGCCAAAACTTGGTAAAAAATGGCCGCTGTTGACAGCAAGTTGCAGCATTACAACAATACGGGAACCAACAAGCTCGGAAGACATCATCAGCATGTATGAAAGCTCTTGAACCTGGATATCCCATTACAGGCGTTCCAAATTAGGCTGATGCATCACTGTTCCTTACCAACTGGGCCAAAATGCCTTCCGAGAAGGAGCAAGGAAGGGACTTTGCGCATGAAGCTCAGAGGTACCCTCAAGTATCTTTACCATTGACACCGCTCAGGCGCCGCGTCGAGACCACAAAGGTAAAATTGATAGTTGAGGGTCGCCATGACGTCGTGAAATGTATTATAGTAGAGGGATATGAACAAGTGGCCGAAAAAGTATAATTATATTAGAGTGATATGAACAAGTGGCCAAAAAAAAGTATAAAATATATCTATATATAAACCACCACTCCCGATGTGGGAGCCCACGAAATATATCATCAACAAGGTACGTAGTAGACTACACCTCCAGTTAACTTCACCATTCCGCTAATCAGTACAGGTAAGTTTCTTCTCGGACAAAATTTTACAAAAAAAGATCTGCCGTCCATCTCCGGCGCTGCCACAGATCGCCCTCAGACGCGCATTGTTTTAATCATTGGGTTTCCCCTCAGATCGTAACAATTATGGACTCATCACCGGGTACCGTCAAACGGACCTAAACTTTCCTATGTATCTCTATTCGAGAATGCATAGCAGGTAATGGAAGGTGGATGGTTGGCATCTCGGCTCCTTCCTCCCTTCCTGGGCAGGCACACGCTGTGCCACGATGGACAGGTTTGCTCTCGACGTAGGCGGCGTACGGCGAGAGCATCGAAACGATACCAAGGGGGATACAGCTGGGAAACTCGCTTTGTGCATCGGTTGGCCAAGAGTTTGGCCCGTTGTCAAAGCGGTTTACCAGGCTATAAGAACGATGATGACAATTTTACCTATCGGGTATATGATGAGTAGGAGGTACTCAGTACCACTACATCAGGCCTTTTTATTCCAGTCTGAGTTCCGTCTTCGAATGAATGAAGGGATGTGAAATCAAGTTGATTTTGTTCCGCTTCTCCTCTTCTGCCTATTACTTGCTCTCTTTCTTTCCTCCCCTCTCTCTTCTGATTTTTACCAGCCCAGTCATGTAAGTGGGCGCAAACTCCAGTGTCTACCATGAACTACGAGAAATACATAGACAAAAACAAGCAGAATATACATAACTGTAGTTGGGAACCACTCAGATAAATGCTCTACTGCGCTTTGCCGATGCCGCGACAGGAAAAAAATTCTTTTCCGAGTTTCGCGAAAATGCTTGCGGGATGCCGTCGCCGTGATGAAGCCCTTCTCTCCTCCAGCATGGCGCCATGTAATGTGGATGCCTTTGACAAATATAGTTAGCGATAATTAGTTAAATAATTACGGCTCTTAACAGCATGCAACAGTTTTTCATAAGTTATTACAGGGCGACACCATAGTTAACTACCTAGGTAGGTAGGTAGCCACTCCACAACTTTCAGGCGACTCAACTTTCCTTATCGATAAGCCACCTCCAGAAAATTTATGGTCGAATCGCCCGCCAGCCAATTCAGTTTTCCTGCTTCAGACGACGATAGAACGCCGCAACCATGGAGCAGCTACACAAGCCGCACCGCAAATCCAAGGAGAGGAAGGAGAAGAAGGAGAAGAGCGCCGGAGAGCGCAATCCCAAGGCTTTTGCCTTTGCGCGACCCGGAAAGCTCCAGCGGGCGGCTGCTCGGTCTTCAGATGTATGTCGCACAGCCTGCTTGCGCCCACGCTGCTTTACATGCTGACCTTTTCTCCTCAAATAGATTAAAGAAAGGCGTTTTCACGTTCCTCAAGTCGATAGACTGCCAGAGGAGGCGCCTCCTCGCCTTGTCGCCCTCGTCGGCCCTCCTGGCGTGGGAAAGACGACCTTGCTCAAGTCTCTGATCCGAAGATACGCCAAAGAAACCATCACCGACCCTCAAGGCCCCATTACCGTCATTACTTCGAAGAAGCAGCGTCTTACCTTTGTTGAGTGTCCCAATGAGCTCGAGGCAATGGTCGATATTGCCAAGGTGGCCGACATTGTCCTGCTGCTCATTGACGGCAACTACGGCTTCGAAATGGAAACGATGGAATTTCTCAATATTCTCGCCGCCACCGGTATGCCTGGCAATGTCTTCGGTGTTCTGACACATTTGGATCTTTTCCGAAAGCCACAGGCGCTCAAGGAGGCCAAGAAGAGGCTCAAGAAGAGACTTTGGACAGAACTTTACCAAGGAGCCCACCTCTTCTTCTTGTCCGGTGTCATGAACGGCCGCTATCCTGACCGCGAAATCCACAACCTTTCCCGCTTTCTTTCCGTAATGAAGAACCCACGCCCTCTCATCTGGCGCAACGCCCATCCATATACGATAATCGACAGTTTCCGCGACATCACCCATCCTACCAAGATTGAAGCCGATCCGAAATGCGACCGATCCATCGTTCTGTCCGGTTACCTCCGAGGCACAAATTTCGCAGCTCAGAATCAACGAGTGCATATCCCAGGTCTTGGCGATTTTACCATCGCCAACATGGAAGTTCAGCCGGATCCCTGCCCTACACCCGCCATGGAACAGGCTCTTGCCAAGATCACAGGCAAGACAGGTCGGAGACGACTAGACGAAAAAGAAAAGAGGCTACATGCACCCATGTCGGACCGCAGTGGCTTGAAGATTGACGGCGACGCCATCTGGATCACGAAAGAAAACGGCTTCTCTTTTGATAGGGATGCTGAGGATGGTGGTGAGCGTGGCGAAGGCGAAGAAATGATCATCGGCCTTCAGGGCGAGCGTAGGCTCCTCGGCCATACAGACGAGGGTCTGCAGCTCTTCCAAGGCGGGGAAACCCTCAAGGATGTACCAGACGAGGAAGACACTGGTCGCAAAACTCAACGTAAAGCGCGACTGGCTGAGCGCGACGGCGATGACGACCAAGACATGGAGGTTGATGGCTACGCTAGCGGTAGTGATGATGTGGCATCCGAAGCTGAATTCGACGAGGAGAAGCTGGGAAACGTGTTCCGCAAGGACGCGGATAAGGAGAACGCCGAGGACGATATTGCGTTTGCCGACAGCGACTCCGACTTGGGTTCCATGTCAGAGGCTGACGAGGAAGAAGAGGAAGACTACGACTCAGACGAGGAAGCCGCTGCGCTAAGGTGGAAGGATGACCTGACTGGCAAGGCTTTCAAAATGCATGGTCGCAAGCGCTCTTACCACACCGGCGACTTGGCACGGTACATGTACGATACATCTATGACAGCCGAAGAGGCCCTGAAGCGATGGAGGAACGATGAAGAGGAAGAAAGGGAAGAGAACATTGAAGATGACGATGACGATTTTTTCAAGAAGACCTCGCAAGAAACAGATGATCTCGCAGAAGACCGCTACATTCCGGATTACGATTACCAAGACCTGGCGACCAAGTGGGCGGAGGAGGAGCATATGGAGGCTCTGCGGCGCAAGTTCACAACAGCCGATCTGAGCCGCCGCAACGGCGACGGCGACGACGGCGAAAGCTGGAACGGCGCCTCAGACGCCGAGGACAGCGAAGGCGACGGCCAGTTTGAAGATCTCGAAGCCGGCGACGGCCAACCCGCGGCTGCGGCGCAGCCAACCGCCGAGGATATCGAGGCGGAGCGCGAGAAGAACGCGCGCCGCAAGGAGGAGCTCCGACAGCGGTTCGAGGAGGAGGATCGCGACGGCTTCCTCAACGACAAGGCCAACGCGCGTCGCGAGGGCGGCGACGACGCGCAAGAATTCGGCGAGGACGACTGGTACGACGCGCAAAAGGCGCAGATCCAGACGCAGCTCGACATCAACAAGGAGTCGTACGCGGAGCTGGACGAGCGGCAGCGGACGGCCGTCGAGGGCTTCCGCGCGGGCCGGTACGCCAAGCTCGTGCTCGAGGGGGTGCCGTCCGAGTTTGTCGCGCGCTTCGACGCGCGGACGCCCGTCATCGTCGGCGGCCTCACGCCGACCGAGGACCGCTGGGGCTACGTGCAGGTGCGCATCAAGCGGCACCGGTGGCACCGCAAGATCCTCAAGACCAACGACCCGCTCATCTTCTCGCTCGGCTGGCGCCGCTTCCAGACGCTGCCCGTCTACTCCATCTCGGACTCGCGCACGCGCAACCGCATGCTCAAGTACACGCCCGAGCACATGCACTGCTTCGGCACAATCTACGCGCCCCTCATCGCGCCCAACAGCGGCTTCGTCTGCTTCAACTCTCTGGCCGCTGGCACGCCAGGCTTCCGCATCGCCGCCACCGGCACCGTGCTGTCCGTCGACGAGTCGACCGAGATTGTCAAGAAGCTCAAGCTCACCGGCACGCCGTACAAGATTTTCAAAAACACCGCCTTCATCAAGGACATGTTTACCACGTCGTTAGAAATCGCCAAGTTTGAGGGCGCCGCCATCAAGACCGTCTCCGGCGTCCGCGGCCAGATCAAGCGCGCCCTATCGAAGCCCGACGGCCACTTCCGCGCCACCTTTGAGGACAAGATCCTCCTCAGCGACATCGTCTTCCTCCGCGCGTGGTACCCCGTCAAGCCGCGCCGCTTCTGCAACCCCGTCACCAACCTCATCGGCTGGCAGCCCATGCGCCTGACCGGCGAGGTCCGGCGCGACCAGGGGCTGACGGCGCCGCAGCAGAAGAACAGCCAGTACCGCCCCATTGAGCGCCAGGACCGCCACTTCAACGCCCTCAAGGTGCCCCGCGCCCTCGCCGCCTCGCTGCCCTACAAGTCGAAAATCACCGTGACCAAGCCGCAGAAGAAGAAGACGTACATGCAGAAGCGCGCCGTCGTGGCGACCGCGGGAGCGGAGGAAAAAAAGGCGCGCGCGCTCTTGCAGCAGCTGCTCACGGTGCGCAAGGACGTCGCCGCCAAGCGTCGCACGAAAAAGGAGGAGACGCGCGCCGTGTTCAAGAAGAAGATGGCCGACAATGTCGCCAAGAAGGAGGCCAGGGAGAAGCGCGAGACAAAGGAGTTTTGGCGCAAAAATGGCCGCAAGAGGGCCGCCGGCGACGAGGGCGGTGGTGGCGGGGGCGGCAAGCGTGGCAGAAAGTAGGGACATTGATTGTTTGTTGGCCGGCGGCCGGGGTTGGAAAAGAGAAGAGGAAGAGGGAGTTTTGCATGTCGTCTCGCGCTTTTTTTTTTGTCGTGTATTTCGCTGTTGTTTACCTGCATTGGGCTACAAAAAGTGTTCTTGTTTGTTAGAGAGGTATATAGTTGCGAATATTTATCCTATCACGCATCCCGCGGAGCAATGGGAAAATAATTGGTTTACAGCAATTCATCTGTCACGAGTGCATCAAGATCAAATCAAGTACTGAATGACTTGGGACATCAGTCACAGATGAAAGAAAGACGATGACATTAACTAATAGCAATTGGCAGTTGAAAGCTACTGAGCAGGGTCCATTGCCAGAATACAGAAACAAATAGACACAAACACTCATGTACACGCGCTGTGCAGTCTTACACACGAATCAACTTTGAGGCCCAACTTCCATCAAAGCAATGCAGCCCGAGCCCACAGGACATGAAAGGAAAGGTGCTCGTTACCACCACCATTAAGAGAAAAGTTGCCAGGTTGCACCATATTTTCCCAGCTGGCTCCTTGATCTTTTTACTTTTCTTACACGAGAATAACAAATCCATAGAAAACACTCTGAATAATGCTTTCCAACAAGACGCCATGCTTTGAAGGCAGTCCCGGCTGACCTCCAACCGAGAAAATGCGTGCAGAAACCAAAGAAATCGTCGCAAAACACTTCCACACCGAAGCCCAAATCGTTATAAAACTCATATTGTCGTAGGACAAAGTCTGACTGGCCGTACTTGTGACGCATCCGCCAAGCAAAGACTCCAGTCTCCTTCGTAGCTCATGTGCACGTGGACATCATTGTGAGTTTCGCGTTTAGGCGGCAATCAGAGGCTCCTGCTCGGGAACTGCAGGCATCTCGGGGATCTCGTGGGCGGCCTCCTTAGCGGCGGCGACAGGTTCCTCGGTAGGAGCGATAGGGAACTCGGGGGCCTTGGCCTTGGCGGGGGTCTTCTGATGCGACGCCGAGGCAGCGGTAGGGGCAGGGCGGCCGCGGATCATGTCCTGGACTTTGCCAGTATAGTCGCCAGCGTATTGCTTACCAAGAGCAGCGAGCTGATCGGCCTGCTTCTGGGCAGCTTCGCGGACCTGAGCAGTCTGGGCGTTGATGGCGTCGGAGGCGGTCTTGATGTTCTCGTCAATGAGCTCCTTGTTGGCAGCGTAAACGAGAGGAACAAAGAAAGCCAGAGTGGTGCCGAGGATAGCAAGACCCCAGTAGGGAACAAGCTTGACGAGGAAGTAAGTGATAAACGCAGCGACGCAGGCCTAGAACATGGTCAGTTGAGGTCAGGAGGGCTATCAAGGTGTGTCTATCTTACGACAGCGGAGACACCAATATTTTCGGCAAAGAGAATGCGCTGGCCCTCGATAATGAAGAAGTTGGCAAGCTCGTGGACCTCGCCGATCAGACCCTGAACTGTATCGCGGTGGATGGTGTAGTATCGGCGAGGGCGGAGCTGGGAAGTAATGCCACTGTTAAGGACAAGCTTTCCAGCAGTCTCGGCAGAGATTGTAACAGCGAGAGTCATCCATGAGAGCTTAAAGGCCCAGCGGATGATATCGAGGTAGCGGGCGGCGAGAATGAAAGTAACAATAGAGCCATAGGCAATGGCGGAGTTGCCTGCGAACGATTAGACGGCTGCGAGATCAAGGCGGTGTGTTTTCGTGAGGGAAGACTCACGAGGGTTCTTCCAGGAGAGGAGCTCAGTGAAGACGGAATGGAAGTGCGTCACAGGTTGAGCATCAGCACCGAGGGACTTGCGGCCTGGAGGGGGTGCGACGCAAACGCGGTCATGTTAGCCGTCGGAAGTGTAGGAAAAAGAGTACAATGTGTCCAGAGCATAAAACATACCATTGGCAGCAGGCTTGGTAGCGATGGAGGCATCTAGAGGCCATGTGTTAGCTATTACGGCCACGCGGTCAAGGGTGCGTCACATGCAAAACTGTCTCCTGTGTTAGCCCTAAGCAACGGAGGGGGAGGGGGAAGTAGACGCACCATACTGTTCTTCTCGAAAGAAGAGGCGCCGTTGACAGCCGGAGTCGCGTCAGCAATATCAGACATGTTTGCTGTATTCTTGGTCGATTTCGGAGGAAAAGCGAGCTAGGAACGAAGGTGTCGCGGGATGTGTGGTGATGTTTGGCGCAGAGGGCGAGCAGGCTGTTTTTTTTTTTCTAGCTGCTAAAGGGGGCAAGAGACCCTTGCCTTGTTAGCGAGAGCTGCCGAATGCACCTAACAATGATAAGAGAGCTTTGCTGGGCTTGTATGGGGCGGGCAAGGGGAGACTAGCAAATGCTCCGTTGACAGAAAGCCAAGGGGGGCAAAAGGGGCATCGTCGTCTCAGGAAAGCAGCAGTTGCCCACTACCGATGGAAGGGGGTGAGGGTTCCCACGTACCGGATGAAGATATTTGGTATGATTGTGCCGTGGCAAGATGTGAGGGTGCAGGAGGAAAAAACGTGTTTCTTGTGGGAGGGAGGGATGGGGAGAGGAAAACGGCGGAGGGGAGCTTTTCAAGGTCAGAAGCAAGATTGCCAGGAAGTAAAACAGAGGGGGCCTGATGGAGGGGGAATGTAAGGCATGTCGCAGACTTGGTACCTCTGGTAGGTACCTACCTTGAGAAATGAGCTTGGGCAAGACTTATCAAGGCAGCATGCTGTACCTAGGGTACCCAGGTGTCGACATCGGTACGAATGTACTAGGTTGAAGCTCAGGAGGCTTAAAGGGCTTAAAGGCGTTGTCCTTTGCCCCAGAGCACTATACTTTAGTGTGTCAGCAGAGGGTACGCTAGATTACAGGGCGTTGGACCGCAAAATGTAAAATACCTGAAGCCACCTTAGTACCTAGGTACTAAATAATAAAACACTCCAATTCCAAGCCTGTTTATGGTTTTTCCAAGCTTTTTCAAGCTTTTTTCTTGTACCCGTTGCCAGGCACGCGCGCATCCATCAGCAGCAACGCCCAACGGGCCCCGTTCAAGCCACACCAACATCATCGGGACAGCTGATGACGACAAGATGAAGTCGACACCACGACAGCAGGCAGCCACGCACGTCCGCCCGGTCACCCGGTTTGCATGGCCATGTCGCGCCCTGTTGTATTGCTACAGGCTGCAGTGCATCTCTCATCTCTCGTGTGTAACGTACGTAGGATCTGTCTGTGCCTTCGGCCAGGATGTCGCTGCGCCGCCACGGTCGGGAGCGCAGGCGGAATTTGTCCTTGGGTTCTTGCCCTCCGTATCCGAAGGTTCCCATCCATCAGCAAGACGGCCCGTGTAAAAAGAGCAGCAAGTCGCCCTTGCATTCGGCTGCCTGCAGATGCGCCGGCATGCATACGCTCCCGCAAAAGTTCGCCGAGGCCATGCTACATAGTTACATGCGTCCCGGTATCCTGTGCATCACAGATAGTAATAAAAGAGGCCAGAGTATTACCGAGTACGTACTCCGTACCGCGTTGCAGGTTTCATTTCCACGGTCCAGGCCTCTTGCAAAGCTTACGCCGCTTGCTTGCCCTTTAACAAGCCTGTCTCTGATTCACAAGGCATCCTGTCGCGTCGCCTCTGCATCGAACCATAAGGCGACTGATGATGCTGGGTACATTGATTTGGTGATTTGGTCAGTCAGTGCCACCAGCCGGAGCAAAAAAACAAGACCAACGGACCCAGTAAAGAAAGCCCGCCGCCGCCGCCCCATCGTTATCGTTATCGTATTGGGGCAGAGTCCAGGCATGGACAAGGACAAGTCGTCTGCTTCGTTTCATTCTTTAGTAGCTACTTGTTATCAATAACTAGCTCTTTCTATAAAATCTGGATTGAGTCTTGACCTCTAAGAAATACATGATTTTTTTTTTAATTTGAAGCCGCCTCCTGCCTGGTACTTACCATGTAGTAAACTCGGTTCCCTTCGTACATACATCCTCTGTAATTTGTACTATCTACCTCGTTACCAGTGTCTTGATACCAGTCCCCGCTACAATGCGGCCCGTTGCGCCCCCCTGGTAGGCCAGATAACGCCCCTGCACGCCAACTTGGAAGTCTCCGGTACACGCTACCTACCGGCCGACAATTATGAATTGATGCCTACAACCATCACCAAACAGCACCCCTTGCAAACAAAGTTTCACCCCGTATTGATCATTCTTTTAATCATAGTCATCCCCTTGCCTTTCTTCCTGCATCTCTTGATGCTCTCGCCATGTGTTTACATCACCTGTTCGTCGTCAACACGTGAGCACGTGCCAGTGGTTGAGACAACAGCCACCAATGTCCAATGTCGCCGCAACTGCCGAGGCGCCGCGCCAGGATCTTTTGCTGTTCATGCGCGCGCTGCACATGGTAACTACCTCTGAGTAGGTAGGTACCTAGGTATTAGCAGATATGTAGCTGGGTAGCTACTTTTTTTGCGTCCAATACAAGGCACAATCCATCAGTCGCCCGAGGTCCGGTATAAGTAAACAAGCTATTGTTATTGCAGGCATCATTATCTGTGTCTTCAACTTCAGTCTTAGTGATGCCACTGCCGCCTTGCTTTCTGTAATTTTTCTTCCATTTCTTCCCCAACCCAATGCTAACACCTAATGCGTAAATGGTCACCATCCTCGTCTCCGTCCTTCCTCTTGCCCCAACCAAAATTGGAAACCCAAAAACTAGAGCTGCTTCGGCGAATATATACCCAACGGACACAAATCATGATTGCCCGCGGAATGCCTATGTACAAGAAATAATCAATGCCGCTCGACTTCTTCTTGCTATCTCCTCCAACCCCAGAATCCTCCGCCAGCCGCCGAGTTGACTGACGCCGAAGCTGGCAGTTTTCCCACCGGTTCTGCCGTTGATGTTGCTGGGGAACCGTGTCCAGTCAGTCGCCCAAACATGCCCATGGCTCCCGCCGCTACCGACGATGCCGACGGGGAGTCGCCAGGTGCGAGACCTGTTGCTTTGCGAAGGGCCTCGAGCTTCTGTTTCGCCTCTTCTGCTTCCTGCTTCGCCATCGCCTCGGCCGTTTTTGCCTGTACTAGCTCATGCAGCAGTGTCTCATGCTCGCTCGGTGGTATCTCGCTCAGCATATCGCTTGGCTGCGGCAACGATGACATGCGCTTGTTATGCAAGTTGCCCTGAGTAGACGGCGTGGATCTGCTACGTCCAAGCTTAAGCTCACGCAGACCTGCTCCGCTCATTCCCTTAGCCGCCGTCCAGTCCATATCTGCATCTTTCGTTCCTGCATCGTACGACGGGCTGGCCGAAGCTCGCATAGTCCGGAGGCTGTGCAGTTGCTTTTCTAGCTTTTGCTTTTCTTGGTGAAGCGTTCGTACATGGCCATGGCGGTCTTTGAGTTGGTCCTTTGTGGTAGCCATCTCTTGGTCCATGTCATATATACGTCGGTTGAGATCTTGACATTGTGCCGTCACCGCGTTCAGCTCTGCTTTCGCTTGCGACAATTCTTCTCGCAACTGAGATTTGGTCAGAAGCATCGATGATCGGTGTTTCATATTTTTACTTTCCGCCGCGAATCTTGTTTCTACTCGGTCCAAAAGGACTGATAGATCTTCCGTTGATGGCGGGCCGGCAGGTTCTTCCAGCACCGCTAGAGTCTCTTCATGCCCAAACGGCCGCTGAACCACGTCTGCCATTGGCGTCACCGCATCATCTTCGTCGGCATCGCTCGCAGAAGTGTCGTCCTTAACGCTCCTGTTGTCGACAGTAGCTGTGTCGTCACTTTCTCCAGCTGAGTCCTGCTCTTCATGCTCTTCGTCTTCAATATCTTCAGCAATCGCCGAGTCTCGGGGATTCCGTGACACGGTTTCGGCATCTTCTGAACCCGAGTTGTGTGCTCGCCTTCGCAGCCCATCGAGCAAAGAGCGGACAGCTCGACGATCCTCGTCTCGTTCTTCACGTTCTCGCTGTAGTTGGTTTGTTACAAGTGCATTGCTGCGCTGTAACTCGGTAAGAGCGGTCAGCAGATCTTCTATCTGGCTGTGCAAATACCGATCTTCGGTCGTCTTTGAGTTTGCTGCTTGCTTTGATCCCACGGGTGTGGATTCTCGACTAGAGGATGCCTCTTCGGGGTTGGCAGAATCTCGTGACAAGCTGGTTCCGTCGGTAGATGTAGAGCTGCTAACGCTAGCAGAACTTGCTTCGACTGAGTTGAGAGTGGATGCAAGGCTCTGCTTCGACGTGCTGCGCCTCAAGATGTTGAATTGTTTGCCGGGCGCACTAAGTCCGGGAGCCAGTGTCGCAGTCTTGATGTTAGAGTTTGCCCAGATACGTCCCAAGAAACGGCTGGCGGCCGTCGTAATGTCAGATGTACGAGCCGCGTTGGCGGTAGCAATGAGTGACTCCCGGTAGGCCTGTTCCAGTTGCGCTAGCTTTTCGCGGGTGACGATGCTGGTCAAGCTGGCAAAATCCTGAACAAAGTCGTCTGCATCATAGTGGTAGCAGTCCCAGAGACCTCGAGATAGCAATAGTTGCATCACATCTTCCAGTTCCTGACAAGCCAGCAGGCGAGCTTCGTTCTTGCGCATCAGCGAAAGAGAAACGCGCATAAGGGTTTCAGACGCTCCCTCGGCGAAAATAACGTCATATACGCGGAACAGCATGGGGAGCGGGCATGTGACTGCGAAGAAGCTAAGAAACCATTGGGAGACATAGGCAGTTTCCACTTGTAGCTCTTCCAAATGGGCAGACAGTGCTGGAAAATTGAGTCGCAGAAGTTCTCGAAATTGATAGATGCGCACATGCAATCCTGATAGGTCGGGCAAGAAACATGTTCTTAGGTTGTACCGGTCCATGAGACTAATTGCTATTAGTGATGGCGTCCGACGCATATCAATGGGAACACGTACCGAACCAGGACGCAGAATGCCTGCTTGTCCGGCATATGCATGAGCAACGGGCCGACCAGGAATGCAAGGCCTTGGCAGTACCCGATCTTTGTGTCATAGAGGCTGAAGGCCTTGAGAACGTTCCCAAGCATACGCTGCCCATCGCCCTCCGGGTCGCGAAACATGTCAACTCCTGGGAAGCTTCGGCCGAGATCTTTGCCGATTATGAGCTCGTAGGGGCTAGATTCGCCGCTGAAGCGATCGAATTGCTCTTCTAGTTGCGCATCTCTAGAGCCTGACATGCTCACCCAGACAACACCTCGGAGCGGCGGCGGGATACCTTTTCTAATCTTGTTTGACAATAGTGTCGGCAGGCGGGCGGCCGTCTGCTGGTAGTCTTTGACGAGAGCGGCGTAAAACTCCAGGTCGGTCATTGCAGGGGGTGGTAGCATCGAGTATCGAAGCTCCGGGGGTGTCGGGCTGCTCATCATTTGGCGTAGCTGTGCCATGGAAGGCGGTCGGCTTTTGGCCGCCATAAGCCTCTCGACGGCTTGGACTTTGACGGTCTTGGGGTTCGTAGCCAACTTTGCGTTTTCCTGTTCAAGTCTAGCGAGAAGCAGTGCCGTCGACTAAGCGAGGAAAATGAGCATTTGCTTGGGAATGGAGGGGATAGAGGGCGAGGGCAGGGCTCGAGGCACTCACGTTGTCTGTTTCTTCGTCTTTCGTTTGCTGATCTTCTGTCTTTTCCAGTTCCTCCCAGTCTACCTCTTCACGGTCTTCTGATGTATCACTGTTGTTGTCCTCGTATTGGCCCAGTTCGTCTTGCAAACTGCGAGCGGTGTCTGCTCGGGGTAGTGTAGTTCTCGAGTCCCGGACGACGACTACGCTTTCTCGAGAGTTATGAACGTTGTCGATTTCGGATGTCTCGGGCTGAGTGTTATTTTTGAAGCCTTTCGTCGTGTCGGGCTCAGTAGTATGTAGAGTTGTTACCGGACTCGAAGCTGGCTCCGAACCAGAGGCAGAAGATGTGTCGAGAGTCAAGGACGGCGGCTCAGACAAGCGGACTGTCACCATGGAGTCGTGTGTCATCTTGGGCGTCCGTGTGTCTGCATCTTCCTCCGGCATGGCGGTCAAAGGGGGTATTTGGACTGAATCGACCGATTTTCGAGTGTCGTCTTGGGTATGAGCATGGTCGGTCTCGGCGCCGGGCTCTATGGTGGCGGGGGCAGCCATGACGGTAGCGGTTTACCGATTAACGAACGGTTGGTTGGCCGGCGTGGAATGTGTCGCTGAAGCAAGGGAACTAGGAGCAATCGACGCCTCGACGGCGACGTCAGTAACGCTCTAGAGCGACCCAGTCTTCCATTCAGTGCTAGAGGCGCCAATTGAGTGGCGTGGGCTCGAGAAGTGCAGTGTTCGCAGGCGTTATTGTTGGCAGGAAGGAGCTGGCGGCACGGGTTTCACGAGTGGTGCTGCCTGTAGGCCTGAGACGGAGAGGGCTCCACGGCGGTAACTGCGACAGAAGTTGGCGATGGAAAGCGTTGTCAAGCAAGGGCCACTGCTCAAACGTGGTTTGCTTGGTGAGGAATAAGGAGGGGAGTCAGGTCTAAGGAGCGGGTGGTGTGAAGATGGGCGAACTGGACAGGGTTATTAAGGCGAAAAGGGTCACTGGGGTCTTGGGTCAGGGATTAGCCATTCTCCATGGACAATATCCGGGAAGAAGCGCCTGCATTTTGATTTGGTCTTTTTTTATTGTCTCTCTCTTTTGTCATTTTTCCTACCTCTCTACTCCGTACTTTTAGCGGGCTCAAGTGACGAGATCAAGGCTCCGGATCAAGACTGGGCCATCCCATCCCCTGAGACTTTCACTATTCGCATTATGAGGCCCTGCGCTAGTGCCCAGGGACCAACTCTTTCAGGCACCCTTTGCGCCCTTATTGGCCCCCGACTGGCTGTTCCTCCATGACGGTGCATGAAACAAGTTCGACAACCATGTTGCTTTGTCTAAGACTGCTGTTCAAACTTAGGACGGAATTCTTCCTGCGCTTCCTTTTCATTTCATGGCACCAGCGGCAGCTCATGACCATTTTCGCATGTCATTCTTAGGTCCAAGACTGCCTCCCAGTATTCGTTCAAATAAGAAAACGAAAGACAAAAAGGTACGACACTGTTTAATTAACCAGTTTTACCGTCACAGTGCAACCCAGGAAATGCCCCAATTTAGCTATAGCATGGCAGGGCTTTAAGACCCCTGAATGCCAAGCGCCGGGACACGAGCGGATTGGCCACCGACAGAATGATAAATTTAATTCCACCCAATAAATCAGGGGCTCCACGCCCCTCTACATATCAATCGCTTCCTGGAGGACTTAACAATATTCACCAGGAGTCTTCCCCCGCTCAGAGACGCGGTATGCCGGTCAAATCAAACAAACAAAAAGTTAAGGACAAACAATGACCGTCTAAATCTAGTCTCTAGTCTCTAGTCTCAAGGCCATCTTCGTTGAGGCGATGCTTCTGCTTTTCTAAATCCTTGACCGTACTCTGATGGGTCACCTCTTCCCGCACAGGCAGCCCACGCAAATTTAAGCGACAACTCGTTTATCATGTAAATAAAAATATGTCAGTCGCTTATTGCCTTGGCAAAGCGTACTACAAGTAGACCTTCGAAACCGACAGCCCTCGAAGCACACGAGGAATTTTAGCTCTTTGGCGAAAAGTGTGCCGAACATCAGCATATCTGCATTTGGCCTTCTTGTTTTCGACACTGCCGTTTTTATGTAAAACATTCCACGTCATGTTCTAAGATATACCATAGTGGAAATTGCCAAGGCTAATCAATCAGTCTTTATCACTGTCTTTAGTGGCCTCGTCTTGGCCTTGTTCCTAGAATTCCAAGGCCACTGCTTCCGTATACTTTCTGCGGCTCGAGATCTAGAGCGTCTGCTGCAGTTCCGGTCTGCCATGATCATCTTCTGTCCTGGCCCTGGGGTTTATGGGAAAGGGCTTTTCGCAAGGCAGGATGGATGGTTAGAATGTGGAGGGTTTCGGAACTGCCTTATTGGGAGGCAATCGGAGCTATCCCGATTTGATAGCTCACGCCACATATTTGTGCCACGATCGACTGAGCCACACGCAGGTGGGATTCGAGTGGGATTCGAGGGCGTGCGACGCTTACCCTGCAGAATGGCAATTGTACGAACAGGCGGTTAAGTGCTCATCTTGTGGCTGATCTGAGGTGATGTCGTGTATTTCTAGGATTTGCAATAGGGTCAAGTACTTGCTGTGTCGTGTACACTTATCTGGCAGATGGTTATCTGCACCGGGCTTTTACCAGCACAGGTACTGTTAGCTACATAGGTAATTATCCCGTGGGTTTTGCACCTGTTGCGTAATAACATGATAGTTAGTCCGTCATCACAGCAAAGGCATCTCGCCAACCAGTAGTCGTTCAAGATACAACTATCCGTATCTCGTTTTGACATCACAAGGCAAACGCCCATGACTAGCCTGCAGGACGTGCAACATGCATCATCCAATTATCAGGCCGGGATTCACCCAGTGGGGAGCTAGAGGGTGTCATGCGTCCACCTGCATATCCCCAGCTTGCGACATAAATGGGCTGCAGCTGGTTATCATAGATGGTGCATGCAAAAGATCGGCTCCAGAAGGAGATAAAAAAAAACGCATTTGAGCAGACAAGAACGAATGTGACAAAATCGACAACTGCCGAACTCTCTGCGTGCCAAAAAAAGCCTGAAGCTGCAAAGAAAGCAAACGTCAGCCCCGTGGCCTTCCACTGGCAGGAAGGCTGATATTTTGACAACAATTGGTCAAATGACAACAAGCTAACCGAATTGGTAGCGATGCAGAGATTAACGATACAGACGATACAGACGACACAGACGATACGGGCGATACGGGCGATACAGGCGATACAGGCGATACAATAGGTATTATTATCGCAGATTCAGGGGCTAGAACGACGCCTGAACTAGTAGTTAACAATCAATGCCGCCGGCTTTATTATAGCGAATTTATTAATCACAGCTATCGTGGTTAAGAGATACAATCAATACTCGTTTATCCCCTATAAAACTTGGTGGAGTGGCTACGTGGGTCTATACCAATTCGGTTTAGCTTATTGTCATTTGACCAATTCTTGTTGTCAAAATAGCAGCCTTCGAGCCGCAACGGAGCCGCTATGGGTACTGTAATCTCAAATCTCGTCGTCGCGCTGCACAAAATAAATGAGCCCGGTCTTGCACCCCGCTCTTCACCACCGGTTCGTTGCCTTGATGCACTGTAAATATTTGGGGAAAATTCAGTCAAATAGACTAGTTAGAGAAAGACGATAGGGAGCGCGTTTGTGAAAATGGGAAAGCAAAATACAGAATAATACAATAGGAAAGAAACATGATAGATTCAATCCCCTTCTTCCCAGTATTAATTAACTAACTCCCTACCTAGTTGGCCCGTCGATCGGCCACCGCCAAGGGAGTATCGAGGCGAGCGTCTTGTCTCTCCGTCTGTCCTTGGCTTGCCTGGGGGCAGCCACCACACCACACCACCTCAGCAACACCCCTTGTCGCACCGCAGCTGCTCTGCTGAGTCTGCTCAACCTCGAAATCTTGAATTTCCTGCATCTGCAGCCTACTTATCTCTCTGCCTCCTGTACACCAACTCGACCAGGGCGCCTCTGCCGTGTGTGTGTGCAAACAAGACACACCCAGCCCATCTCCCACTTACGCTTCGACCTGCTTCACCCAAAAGTCTGATGGCGTCCCAGCGCGCATAAAAGCAACCGGGCACAGCTTCAGCTCGCCACCATGTTCGCTTCCCGCCACGGTCGACAGCGCCGTCCCGCCGGCCTTCACCAGGCCTACAGTCCGTCACCCCCCCCTCAGCGCCCCCGCCAATTCTCTGCCCGAGTCCATGCCACTGCCGATTTTACAGAGGCAGACGACGATGAAGAGGACGACGACGAGGACGACTTTGACCACGACCCTGAGAACCCTGGCGGCGCGCAAGAGGATGATGAGGATGACGAGGATGCCATAGATGATCTACCCGAGCCCCAGCAGCGAGGCCCTGGTGGCCTGCCCGTCATCCCGCTCTTCTCCTCTACCCATCTTGGTATGCCATGTCCAAACCCAAACCGAATGCCGTTTTCCAACTGACAGGTGACCACTATAACAGATACCCTTCCCGTGTACAACATAACCCACGCCATTCGAATCATAGTATCGACGCGAACCGAAACATCTCTGTCCTGGGAACAGCTTCGCTCTCCTCAAGTGTCCCAATTCCTCGTCAAGCCCATGCAGCAGCAAATTCGCGCCCAGCACTTCTCACGAGCCACAATATATGCTCTCATGGCCAACTGCCTGCAGTTCAACAAGGAAGGACAGCGATATGCCGCCAACACGGGAATCAGCAATACCCGATCCAAGGTCTGCGAGCTTCTGGCGCTCAAGCTGCTTAAGGAGTACTCGACCCGCGAGCTGATTGACGCACTGGCGTACGACTTTTACCCGCTCCAAGGCCTCCCAGGCGCGCCCGAAGAGATCGCCAGCCGAGCCACCGGAAAAGCCAAGGGCTCCTTGACCGCTTCGCGCACATCTACACTCGAGGTTGCCATCCGCGCATCGGCCAAGCACTTCCTCGCCCACCCTGTCGTCATTCAGCAACTCGAAGCCATCTGGAACGGCGCCATCTCCTTCTACTCAGCCGCTGATACGCTACATAGGGAGGAGCCGCCTAGTGGCTTATACAGCCATGCGAATGGCTCCCCCAACAAAGCAGACGACAGGACACCCCTGCTGGGTAACGTGGCTGAGGCCAGACATGCCCAGTACCATGTCCCAAGTGGGCGTCGTACCGTCATGTTGTACGACCCGCGACAGGCTTCCATTTTCAAGCTCTCCCGTCTCCGCGTGCCCCGTTATCGGTCCTTCCTGTCGACTCTGTCGCTAGCAGTCCTGATCGGACTGTTTCTGGCTGTGCTCATACAACGTTCTGTACATATTAGCGGGCTGGAGCTAGTCTTTTGGTTCTGGAGTGCCGGCTTCATGCTTGACGAGCTGGTAGGTTTCAATGAGCAGGGATTCGCCCTCTACATCATGAGCTTTTGGAACGTATTCGATCTTGGCATCTTGGTCCTACTCATTGTCTACTATTGCATGCGCGCTTACGGAGTCTTCCTTGTCGATCCACATCACTGGAACGACATGGCTTATGATGTCTTGGCTGCCAACGCAATTTTGCTTTTACCGCGCATTTTCAGTGTACTTGACCACTATCAGTACTTTTCGCAGCTTTTGATCGCATTTCGTCTCATGACGCTTGACTTGGCTGCCGTCTTCATATTGGTTCTCATCATGTGCAGCGGCTTTTACGTCTTTTTCACGCTGTCGAATGTGCAAAGCGACGGCGGTGAGGTGGCCTATAAGATCTTTCAGATCCTCATGGGTTTTACGCCTGCCGTGTGGGATGTTTGGCCGACTTACAACTGGCTGGCTCGGGGCCTCATGGTTGTCTTCCTCATCATTTGTCACTACCTGGTGGTAACCATCCTCATTACGGTGCTGACCAACTCGTTCACTGCAATCGCTTCAAACGCCACGGAGGAGCATCAATTTGTCTTTGCCATCAACACGATATCCATGGTCAAAAACGATGCCTTATTCTCATACATTGCGCCCACCAACATATTTGCATGGGTGCTGATGCCACTCCGCTACTGTATGCCACTCAGGCAATTTGTGTGGCTGAACCGGACCATTATCAAAGCGACGCATTTTCCCATTCTTTTCTGTATCTATCTTTATGAGAGATTCTGGCTGGCGCCCTCGATGTTTGAGCCAACCGATCTAGTTGAAAACAACGGGAGAGGCAGACGTCGTGCTATATCCTTCGGTGATGCTGCCAATCGTACGGCTCTTTTCAGCCCCAATATTCGAGTCCGGGAGGAGTCTGTCGCGGGCTTCCAAAAGGACCGCGCCCTAGAAGAGTTATTCAGGCGAGCTCCAGCAAGTGCAACATTGCGAACACAACGAAGAAATGAACGGCGCAAGACGCAGAATGCCATTCGTAATTGGATGGAACAGCACGATGAGGACGGTAATGGCACCCACTGGCCAACCATTGATAGTCGTGCGGTGCCTGAATGGCAACGACGGATGAGTGTAGGTTGGGAACGAGGTTCCCATCTACGTCGTGTATCAGATATGAGATCAGCAGCCAGTGACCCTGCTGAATTTCTATCTAATAATGGAGCGTTTGGTGCGGGACTGTCATCTGCCTCTCGCCTACCATCTTTCAACGTTGAATTCAAAGACCAGACGGACGCGGATGGCGATGATGAGCTTGTTACAAATGACGAGGACGAAGAAGATACGGCCACAAACATCGGCCAGGGTGTCGGCGAGGACAAGACGCGCCTGATGGCCAGACAGGCAGATTATTTCGGCCCGATTCTTGGTGCCAGTGTGAGCAAGTTGGCTTCATCACACAGCTCCTATGGCGCCGTGCCATCTAAAGCACCAGCCACGCCTCGGCCATCCAATCAACGTCGTGGGTTACACAGTCGTGCCCTGTCAACAAACACAATCTTGTTCAACCCCGAAGAAGAGGCCTCGTTGGCAACTGGGACTGCAGTCAAGTCACCGCCAAAGCCAACGCAGACCAAGAAGCCCGGTAGCAGCGGCCGCAACACCACCGGGGAAGGGCACACGAGCTCTGGACGCCGCAGTCCCGCTAGAAAAGCGGCGGCTATTACTGACACGAAGGCTCGGCCGATTGTAGTACCAGCGGGCATGGCTGAAGCCGGGGGTGTGAGCCGGACGGCGCTCCTCAGCATGGACGCCGCTCGGGTCCGACTTGGGGAAGGCCGCCGGCTGTCTTCGGTGGACCTGAGTGTGATGTCGGACCAGACTGGCATGGGCGCGGACGACTCGCATATGAATTTGAGCATGCCAGGCAGCTTCCAGACGCAAATGGCCATGGCGATGATGAGGGAGAGCCGGATGCGTGTGGCGCACGGTATTGACGCAGCAGACCGGGATAGGATGGGCCGGCTGGTACTGGCGCGCATGAAGACGCTGGAGGAGAGCTTTGCGGACGTTGTCAAGGAGATGCGATATTTGAAGAACACGTCGACGCCACCGACGAGATGGAACTCGTCCAACGAAGGTGGTGGTGGCGGCCCGTCGGAGAAGCGGGCCAAGACGAGCTCTACACCTAGTCGAGGGTCCAACAAACGGCCTGTGAGCCGACGAAGCCTGCGCGAAGTCAAGGTATCGGGACAACAGGAAGGCTGGGGCAAAGGCAAGGGCAAGGCCGTTGCCTACTCGTCTGATGAAGGCGGCGACGATGACGGTGACGAAGCCCTGTCCAAGCGGGTGGGATGATAATTCATTTAGCTGGAGGATGTTTTGGTTATTTCTACGGTGGGGCATCTGGTACTCTTGTTGTCATGATTCTAGGGCGTTTGATCTGGAGTTGCTATTTTTCTTGGGACGTTTGCTTGCTACTGGGTCGGTTGGCGGAACGGATTGATGGTGAGGAACTGTAAAACATGGCATAATTGGGTGGCGGAAATTATGATTGCTATTCATCTTGCAAAGTTCAATAATATTATTGTTAAAGGGCCTGGCGATGCAAGATGCGTAGGAACCCGGGTGCCATTGTATGAGGGCTGGATGCAGGTGTGTGGTGATGTAAAAGTCGTGCTGTGATGGTCAGCCTTTGGGCTTGTGTTTGCCAGCTAGTTGTGCGACGTTGTATTTTCGTGTCGTTGAAACTTTTCTGGGCATTACGTATATATCGGTGCATTTTGGAGAAGTGTGTGTGCGGTCATTTATTCATTTTCGCTCGTTGGCCCCGTTCCTGACCATGGAGGAGTCGTTTGCGTCTAGATGCCGCCGCCGCTGCGGTCGACGCTCACGTAGCCGTTGGGCGCTTTGCTTTGCTGCTGGGCAATCTCGTTGGAGCGGTAGGCGTCCGACTTGTACTTGAAGACGGCGGTGGTGGCGGCCGCAGCGAAGAAGCTGACGACGAAGAGAGTCCGGTTGCGACTGTGTGCGGAAGAGGACGGCTTGATTAGGGACGAAGTCTTGGAGGAAGGTTTTTTTGTTTGGTCGCGTGCTCACCCACAGCAGAGCAGAAAAGAAAGCTGGGGTAAAATGGCGTGGGTGGCTGCCCTCGGGAGCACGGGATTGGCTTGTGGGTGGGTTGCTTACAGAAAAAAGCCGGCCATGTTGGGGTCCAATGGGGAGAAGACGATGGAAAAAAAAAGAAAAGTCGGCTGGGATCTGGATCGATGCGGCGAAGAGCGAAGAAACAAGGTTGAGATGATGGAAGGGGAAAAAGGAAAAAAGGTTGTGACGGGTTTGACGTTGGACGTTGTTGTGCTGTAGCCTAGCGGGGTGAGTTGACCCGAAGATGTGGACGAGTAGGTAGAGGGGTTAGTAGGTACCTACATAGCTGGAGGAGGGACGTCATTTGATATATCGGTAGGTACCTAGGTAGGTACCTACCTACCTAGGTAGGTACATACGCGAGTGAGGCCTGTTTTTGGACAGGGTACTAGACAGGTCTCTTTTTTAACAGCTAATTTTCCCCTGTCACAACGCTGTCAGGCGTCTAACACGGCTTCTAAAAAAACATAAAAGATCTTTAACACGTAGCAGCAGCCTGACAGCGTTGTGACAGGGGAAAAAAACATGTTGAGTGGAAAACGTGTCCAGTGCCCTGTCAGAAAACAGGCCTCACGCGCGTAGGTATGTAGGTAGGGAAGAGGTAGTTGCCTAAAAGTGCCAAGTAACGCAAAATATGTGGTGTGCTTTGGCTTGAAGGGATCCATACGGATCCACACCTTGCTGGCATGAATTTGACTTCAAGTATCCGTACAAATTAATTCGTACTGTTATTACTGTTCAACAAGATCGACGGGCTGCGCAGCCCTTTGCGGGGGGCCACATTTGGCAGACGGGTTCTAGCGAGTTACAGTGGGTTACAGTGGGTTACAGTGGGCTACAGTGAGGGTTGGTTCGCACTGTGGTCGGCCCGAGTTAGCCGACGGATATTTGCTTCATTTCTACTCCTGCAGCCTCCATATCGTCAAGTCACATTTTGATACAGGTCAGTCTTCACCTTGCAGCCCAAGGTAACCTCTGCTCTGGCACTGCCTACGCCTGCCTCCAGGCTCACCTCATCAACCGTGGCACAATGGTGCACTGCCACCGAGTCATCACCACCACCTTGTCCTCATCACACCAACAACCATGACTTGTCGAACTGTCGACCCTGTACTGCCTACAGAGTCAAGAGATTTGCGTCTGTCATTGGCTACAATACGCCTGCACCCTTCACCCTTGACACAAATCACAAATCACAAAGACGGGTGCCTGTTGCGTAGCTCCGTCACTTTGTACAGCGCAACATGCATGGCCCGACTTACACACCCCAAAAGAGTGTAAAACCCTCCCTCCTACGTTCAAGTTGCACCTGCTGCAGATTCCCACATTTCACATTTCACTGCATCAATGACAGCGACTACAGTGATACCAAGACGGCCGCCTAGACTCGCCAGGCAACAGCCACGTGCAGCCTCCCTCCCCTGCCTACAGCTCTCTTCCTCCCTTATAACCAAGCCGCCATCTCGAACTTGCGCTCTTCAAACCATCTTCATACCGCGTACATCATTTGTACCGCTCACCGATTTTTGATTTTCGCCCTCAGTTGTCTTTCTCTGTCGTGCGCGGCGCCTCGTCCTCCTTCTTCTCCTGCTGCCCTGTACGCCAGCAGGCAGCTTGCCCGCGCCGGCGGCCCGCCCAGGTGCAAACACTCAACCAATAAACAAAAAATAGCCATGGTGACGGCGAAAGAAAAGAAATAGATGAAACCAGCTATCGAGGACTGCATCGTCACCGCCGCTGCGTCGACGCCACGGCATGGGCGTGGGCGGGTGAGCGAGGGTCCGGCCTGGTTTCGAGTGCGGCGTGGCGCCTATCACCGGTCCGGCGATGGGTTGGGCGGGCTTCGAGGGCGGCGCGGCGCCCATCAATCGGGGCAGTCGATGGGAACCGCCAAGTACGGAAAACAACTTGGGCTCACGCGCTTCAACAAGCACTTTACCGAGGTCGAACCCAACAAGGGAGACACGCTCGTCTTCATTGACCTCCCCAACCCCACCAACGACAAGACACCGGTCGACGGCGACGACGTGCCCTTGTTTCGCGGGCACTCGGAGAAGCTCAAGGCCACGGGATCCTCGCGATTTGAGGACATGTTCCAGCCCACCTACCAAAACCGCATCCAACGCCTCCGGAAGCTGGTCAACAAGCTGCCAGAAGGCGTCAAGTACGTCTTGGACCTCACGCCGCCATCAGAAGGGGAGGAGATGGCCTTTCAGGTTACAGAGCTGTCCCTGACCCCTGGCATCATCAAAGGGTCGTCTTCGCGCGCCCAGATCGACTGGCCCTTTTTCTATGTCAACGCTCCTCTTCATATCCCAAACTATTGTCCTATACGCCATTGCAATGGTATTGTCCACCTTCTCAGGCTTATAGAAGGTATGGAGCCCATAGACAGTGCCCCACGGCTTTTGACCATAGTGGCCCTCGCCAAGATATGGGACTGCGTTTCCGCTGTCCGGGATCCAGCTATCCAGTGGCTGTTACGGGAAGAGGGTAGCAAATTCATCGAGGCCTTCCCAGAGGAAGCAATCATAATTGGCGGCATCTTTCAAAGCCCCCAAATAACGCGTGCCACCTTCAGGATTCTCGTCAGCGAGCTTGCTCTTGAGCCGACTGCCACTTATGGTACCAAAACGAGCGTCACTATTTTTGGCAGACGAAAGGGCGACCCCGGCCACGAATTTGGTCCTTTGATACAGCATGCTGCCCGGGCATTTGTGGAGCGGATGACAAGCCGACTGGCGGAATTGAACAGCCTCGATGTTTTTGAGGCATGGAAAATTCCTGATTACATGAAAATACTCAAAATTGAAAAGTCCTTGAAACAGTTGGACCTGGGTTTGGGCTGTCCGGCTCTGGAAATCATCGGAAGGCTTAAAACCATGCTTCGCTTGGGTTTGAACTCGGGTTTGAACTCGGGTATTGGAAGCCAACATTTCTGCTCTCTTTCGAACCCCGACTCCAACAGAGCTACCTATGTTGAGTCAGGGGACTTTCGACTGTTCCATGACATCTACCGGACTATGACACCACTGCAAAGGTTATTAACGTCTCGCCGATACAAGGAACTCGAAATTTCATGGCTAAATTGGGCCAGTCACGCCGATGATGCAGAGAATTCGTACCGTTCCACGGCCAAGGTTGTCGAATCTCTGGGACACGAGATGGGCAAGATCTCCGAATTGTGCAAGCGGTGCCACGCATGGAGCGTAGATGACAACAGCCCCGAGCTGATGAAAATATTCTCCGAAGACTTCCTCTCGGCTCCGCTCCTGCTGCAAAACCTGGACTTGCAGGTACGGCGGAAGCTGGGCGAGCTGGGCGGCACTATCTCAGACAACGAGCAAGACCTGCAGATGGCCAACATCGAGCACCTCTTGCTCACGCTGACGGATAACGAGACAAAGTTCCTGCCTCCATGGGCCGGCGGCCTCAACGACGGCACCGGCAGTGTTTTTGAAAACCAACTGCCGCCCGCAGACAAGGGCCCCGACGGGCCTGGCCCCGCGCATCACACCAGCATCACCATGCCCTCGGTTGCCTCGAGTCGGTTGGGCTTCAGTTTCGAAGACATTTCGGCCCTTCGCATAGCTGGCAGCGCCACCGCCGCCTCGGTCGATGTGCTTGACAACATCTCGACCATCTGCCACCCTGACCACTTCGTCGCCGACGACGCGTTGATGGGGTCGGAGAGCTTTCACTTGGACCATGCCGACTACTACGATGCGCGACATGTTCCCCCAAGCGCCAGACAGCGACGACAATTCAATGCGCTTTGATGACTTTGACACCCTGGACGACGAGGACGATGATTGTCAAAGTAGCTAGGCTCGGCAATAGAATGAGGGAGCAGGGGTAGGGATGACTACTATCTAGTGGAGGAAGTTTGTGAGGGGACTGTTGTGATTTTCTGCTGGGATATTGAATGTTTCAGGACGTAGAACACGGTCACTGCAAGGGATCTAGCGGCGGAAACAATGAGGGAATGAGATGTGGTGAATGATTAAGACTGGTATTGACTCTTTTTAGCAGCGAAATAAAAAAAATGCCGAATGACGCAAAAAACTTGGCAACATTTTGCTTTCAGTAGCCCACCGTTTCTAACCAGAACGCCGTGTATGCAAACATCAATAAGCTCTCCTTGATAAGCTCTCCTAAACAAGCCAATCACGGCAGCATGCTATTCTCATCTTCTTGACACCCATAACTCTTCAGCTCACATTCATTGTGTTTCCCGCACCACGGCGGTTCTCATCCTTGAAGTCGTCCCACTCGCGCGCCTTGTACGTTTCGCGGTCCACGGCCTCGTTGTCATCCTCGTCGACGGCGGGCTTGACCGGGTCGGTGCCGCCCGACAGGATGTTGCCGCGGCGCGCCTCCTCGTCCAGGTACTCGTCGATGCTCATGGTCGGCAGGTTGTGGCCCGCGCGGAACACGCCGGCGCGCAGGTCCGCGCGGCTGCCCACGAGCGTAAACGGCTGCAGCGGCCTGCCCTGGGCCGAGAGCAAGGGGCCGGTGCCCGGTCCGCGCCGCAGCGGCGCGTCGAGACGCCACGTCGCGTCGTCTTCGGTGTCACGGCGGCGGCTGTTCGCGTCGCCAGCGGCGCCAGCGGCGCCGTCAGCAGAGACCGACTCGGGCGCCATGGCGAGCATCTCCATTTCGCGGTTCAGCGACTCGAGGCCCTGCAGTGCGGCGTGCACGCCGAGGTGCACCGCCGCGAGGTGCGCCTGGCGCACCACGTCCTCGTCGCCGTCGCCGTCGCCGAGTTGGTACCGGGGGTCCGCGCGCAGCATGTCCAGACGGCGCTTGAGCTCCTTCTCGGCGCGAAACGCGGCCATCTTGGCCTCGCGCCTGGCGGGCGCGTCGGCACCGCCGGCGACGGCAAACGTATCCGGCTCATCTCGATAGCGCGCCAGCAGCGCGGCGTGGCGGCCGGTGACGAGGCCGTAGCCGTCGGCGAGGGCGAGGAAGGACTCGTACGCGGCGCGGGCGCGGCGCACGACGAGCCGCCGCTGCGGGGGGTCCGCGTACGGCGTGCGCTGCACGACGTCGGCGCGGCGCAGGTCGAGCACGAGATACGGGAGCGCCGCCGTCGCCACGTCCTCAAACGACTCGTTGGGCGAGAAGAGCGCCGCGGCGCCCACGCGCTCCCGGCAGGCGGCGTAGGCGGCCAGCGTCGAGGCCACGGCGTCGGCGTACGCGGGGGAGCGCGGGTCCGGGCGAGCTTCGAGGGCGGCGCGCGCGGCCTCGGCGGCGGCGTAGAGCGCCTTGATCGACTGCGGCTCGTCGGGGGAGGACATTGCGCGGGATCGAGGGGCGGTTGGTGGAGGATGGATCGAGGATGAAGGTGGTGGAATGGGTCGAGTGAGGGATCGAGGGGTCAAAAACGCCTGGTGGGGTTCGAGCTTGGAGGGGCAAAGAGCGATGGAGTGACGTTGGCTCGCCAAATGCTCTGCCAAAGACTGGGCGTCATCTATGAAATTTGGCAGCTGTGGACTCTCAAGATGTTCCTGTCCTAAACATTTCTTCTCTAGCTACACGGGTGTATTCAATTGTCCTATAAATTTACGCTTATTGACATGTGGTAACTTCAATCGCTGTGGTCGTTTGTTTTACAACGCCATTTCCTAGGTAAAGGCTGGAAAGGGATAAAATCAAAAAAATAGTTTGTATAGAATCGATATAATCAGATACGGTTGCATTCAGATATTCGAGGAGAATCTCATTTCCTCCCTCCCTCGCGGTCTCATCTCATTGACAAGCCAGCTTGACCTTCACCTTGTGCTACCCGAAAGCCCAAGGCGTCTAGGGAAAACCCGGAGGAGTTCAGACATGGGCAGACTATATTTTCAACGAGGGGGACTACCTAGAACACGAGTGCGAATACGTCCTCTTGACTACGCGGCCGATCTACATGCTACTTCTGTCAGTAGCCGCGTCTCGATCTGGGAGCCGCGGTGTGGACAGTTATGAGCTCCGCCCTCGCTTGTGGCTCCCTTCGCACACCTCGCGCGGTGTCGTGTATACGGCCATTACGAGCTTGGCGTATGTGGGCTCGAACCTGGGTGAATCATAATATAATTTACGAATATTGCAGAGGGAGAGGGTGTGAAGCTCCCCATCCTACAGGTTGGGCGCTGCTCCCTAACCATGTCTGTCTCTGCGGGACCCGTGAGTAGATGGCACCAAAAGGGACAGACGATACTCTGCACTGCCGAAGTCCGGAGATGGCTTGGTGCCACCAAAGTTTGTCTGCGAGCACTGGGCGGCGTACGGCAGAAGCGCCGTGGGCGTTATGTGCAAGGGGGGGAGGGGGGTGCCGGGAACTTTTGCTTGGTGCTTTATTCCTAGAGAATGCCCTCGTCCGGTGCCTTGCGTGTGTGTGTATTGAGACATGATCGACATTCTGGAAAAGTCTTCTTCTGCAGGACAGTCTATTTTTGGGCTCTTGGGGCGTCAGCTGTCGTGGTCGGCATAGTCCAAGTCTTCTTCACCGTCACACTACAGAGTACTGCTGCTTGTGCTTGGCGAAAACGGCAATACACAACGAGCAGCCCGACTTCTTCCTCATGTGGTACAAATGTAGCCAAGCCGTATTCGCCTGTACCATGTTTGGGCGTGCCAAAAGCTGCAATTCAATATCGGCCCCCCTCCCCTCCCCAATCTCCAAGTCGCCCGGGCGCAAAGCACTGCAGCGACGGGTTTGTCTCATACGTTGTTACCTGTCCAGCGGTGAGCTGGTTACAAGACATCTTGCTGCCGCGTAACCTCGGACCCTGCTTTGCTTCACTGGCATACCATGTGAGCTCCGGTCAAGAGTCGCCAGCCCGCCGGTTCCATGACTTGGTTTTGGAAACCGGCTAGGCAGCTTGTTTTGCACCATCTTCATCGGTCTGAGGAGCCAACCTTTTTTTATACAATAATGACATTCGTTGCCTTATCTTGGTGACAATCAAAGCACCTGGAAAGGCACCTACATGGACTCGGATTCATTGCAATGTCACAAAATCACTTGTTCAAATACAACAACAGATCATGTCCCAATTATGGTGGCCAACCTCGTAGTACTAAATTCATGCAAGACAAAAGCGTATATAAGTCAACTAGACAACTAGACAACATCATAATCCGAAAATATAGACACATCCGCCTCCCCTACCCCAACGCCAGAGAGCAAGTGCTGTTAGCTAGCTGTACAAGCCAAAGCTTCTTGAAAGCTAGAGCTAAGTTGTGCATGACTCGTTCCGAGTCAGCCATTTAGTCGTCGTCGTCATCCATCTCAAACGGGTCATCGCTGTCATCCTGATCGTCGGCTATCAGCGAGTCGTCCTCATCCACAATAACTCGTCTTCTCGTCGCAGCCGCACGACCTGGACGAGCCCGTGCTGGCGCCCGCTTCGGGCTTGGCGACCCGGATACGCCCATATCCTCATCCGAATCATCTGCAAGTGCCGAGGCCTTCTTCGCCGCGTACACCTTTGCAGCTGGCGACAGAGTCGACGACTTGCTTGCAGCCTTGGGTTTGGCTACGGCCTTTGGCTTTGGCTTCGCAGCAGCCGGCTTGGGCCGAGCAATCTTTTTGACCGAATCGTATCCAGTGAGAGTTGATGACCGAGGTTTGGCTCGAGCTTTGTCTTCATCAGACAAAAGGCTGTCAAGAACATCCTCTTTGCTCATGCTCTGAGCCGGCGGGGATGACGCAAGAACATCATCGTCATCATCATCGTCAATCTGGAAGGAGCGTGCAGAGACCGACTTAATCAAGGGGGCGGTCGACGTGCTCTCCTTTGCGGCTTCAATACCCTTCACCATGGAACCGACGTCGACCATATCGTCGTCTTGGTCCTCTGATTCAGAGTCGTCGTCGAGCATAGTTCTAGCCTTGGAAGCTGCCGCTCTCTTCATTGGACGAGCTTCCGGCTCCTCTGATTGTGATTGAGCGGCCGAAGCGGCGGCCGAGACGGCCTTGGTGCGCTTTGGAGCAGCCGGTTTCCTGCTAAGAGCAGCAAAGTCATCGTCGGAAAAGTTGTCAGATAATTCTACAACCTCTGCATCCACTTCCTTCTTGACCCTAGGCTTGGAACTGAACATATCCGCAAAGCGCTGAGCACTTTTGCTTTCCACCTTTGGTTTAGCCGCAGCAGGTTTTGCCACAGCAGCTTTACCCTTGGCTCGGCTCTTCTTCTCAGGCTCGTAATCATCCTCGTCCTTGATCTTGCGGCTCTTGCCAGCACCTATCTTCTTCGAAACGCGACGGCCTAGGCGACGGATCTTGGTCTGAATCTCGGCATCGATAGCAACCTGCTTATCCCACTCGGCCATGAATGCGTCAAGGTCTTCGCACCAAAGGTCTTTCTCCGACTTTGCCTGAAGTTCATCGTGCTCAGCCTTCTTTTTGGCAATGGCCTCGAGAAGCTTCTCCAAACGCTCGGCTGTCAATGACCAAATCGGCATGGACAGCAGGTAATCGTAGTCTCGTGCACCGCCATCTTGTGCTTCGTCGTCTTCGGCATTCGAGGCTTGGCCGAGCTCTTCTTCGTCTGCCTTGGCGCCCGTTTTCTTGGGTGGAAACGCTTCATATTTGCGGTCGCGTAATTCCTTGACCAAAATCTGCTTCCTCTTTTTGCCAACCACCAGTACATTGCTAATGATTTCTTGGATGAACCGAGCCTGGTTTTTGAGCCTGCGATAATCACGGTGGAGGACATTGAGCCAGTACTTCTTCCGCTCCAAGTACATGTCTAACCGGTACAGGTAGAACTCTTCCATGATATCTTCCACCTTGTCGTACTTGCGAATCCGACCTTGAATATCAAAGGCAACTAGATTCGAGGTAGCAACCTGCTTCTGGAGCTTGAAGCGCTCTAGGAGCCCTTCCTCGAGTACCTTGTCCATATACTTTTCGTCAACCATAATCTCAAAGTGCACCGTGTTGTGGTCGTTGAATTCCTTGTAGTCCTTGATCCAAGCAGCCCCTTCGCCGCCACTGATGACTTTTTCTAATTTTGCCTTGAAATCGTCGGTCCACATCCTGATGGGAAGCTCAGTCACCACCACTTCATTCGGGTTCTGGTCGTTCTGGTGTGCAATACCATTGAACTTGTAACGGTCAGGACCAGCAGCCTCGGGGGTGCCCTTCCACCCGCGGAACCAGGGCATCATAGGCTCAAAAGGATGCCCGTCGTCTTCTGTAAAGCCCTCACGACCCATGCGGCGTTTCAAATTCTTGACGATGTCAGTTGGGTGATAGTTTGGAATCGAAGTACTCCAACCAGTACCGATACCATCCGCGCCATTGACAAGAATCATGGGAATGATGGGGGCATAAACCTCGGGCTCAATAGTGTTCGAATCGTCATACTGCTGCTTCAGGTTGGGCTCATCCGCTGCGAGAAAGATTTTTCTCGCAAAAGGAGACAATCTAGTAAAGATATAACGAGGACTGGCGGCATCGGAACCACCAGCAAGACGAGAACCAAACATACCGCTGGGCTCCAGAAGATTGATATTGTTGGAGCCGACAAAGGTTTGAGCAAGGCCGATAATGGTTTGCTGAAGTGACTGTTCACCATGGTGATAGGCAGATTGTTCAGAGACATAACCTGACAGTTCAACGACCTTCTTGTCCTTGGTCAAATTTCTCTTGAAGCAAGAGTACATAACCTTACGCTGACCAGGCTTTAGGCCATCTGCGACGGAGGGTATGGATCGCATGTTATCGGCCATGCTGAACAGGATGAGCTCCTTATTGACAAAGTCGGTGTATGTGATGGCCTTGGTTCCGTGGTCCAGATACGTTCCAGGAACAAAGTTTCCGAGCCACTCCTTGCGTGCATCTGCTTTCTTCTTGGAGAAAGCGAGGTCAAAAAGCTGAGCTTCCTCAGGCTGCATGACTTCGAATTCCTTGAGATGCTGATCGAGATTGGTGAAGTACACCTGTGCATCCTCATTCGATGAAGAGCCCAGACCCTTGAGATACTTTGATTGCCATCTGCCTAGTTCGTGTTGGTGACTCTGCTTCCATTCGTTGAATTCAGGCTGGGTGAAGAAAGAGTGCTGCTTTGTGGGCTTCTTCGGGTCGGACCCTTGCCAGACCTTCATAATTGGCGTCACAAATTCACGGAAGAAGTCGGGAATCTGGAGCAAAGACGGGAACTGAACTTGCAAGAAGTTGATCAAAAGACCCTTGATATGACTACCGTCATGATCCTGATCCGCCATGATCATCAAGTGACCGTAGCGGAGCGACTTTGTATCAGTGTAATTTTGCTTGTGCTTGAGACCCAAGAACTGCTTGATGTTTTGAATCTCTTGATTCTTCGTGATTTGGTCGATTGACGCATCTCGGACATTGAGAAGCTTGCCTCGCAGAGGGAAAACACCAATCCGATCGGGATCGAGAATCGCTCTGCCTGATACAGCCAAACCTTTGGCGGAATCACCTTCCGTCAAGATTAGAGTGCATTCGTGACCGCGACGCGAACCTGCCAAGTTGGCTTCAACGAGCTTGTTGTTGCTCACACGTGAACGTTTGTTACCATCGCTCTTGGCCATCATCTTGTCCGCCTTTTTCTCAGCAAAACTCATGATATTTTCGACAGCTTCAGATTGAGCAATCTTCTTTAAGAACTGGTCTCCAAGGGTGCATTTGCTGCCGAAGAGACTGGCTTTGGTAGTCATTTGCTCCTTGGTTTGTGATGTAAAAGCCGGGTTGTCGATGAAGCAGTTGACGAAGATGAAGATGTGGTTTCGCAAATGACTTTGCTTCAAGGTGTGGCCCTTCTTGCGCTTGTTCAGCGTCTTCAAGAGACTAGCAGTAATCTGGTCTGCAATATAGTTGACGTGGGTTCCGCCGCTTGTCGTTGCAATATTGTTGACGAAGGAGACTTGCTGGAAAGTGCCGTCAGAAACTGCAAAGCCAACCTCCCATCGTGGGTGCGACTTGTCCTTGTCAATTTCAACACTGCAGGTAGGTTCGCCACCTTCCTCGGCGGATCGCTCCTTTGCGATAGACTTGGCGTACAGATCACAATACGCTTTGAAGGTTGGAATCTTGATCACTTCTCCGTTGAGGTGAACTTTGATCCCGCGAATGGTGCCAGCCATGTCGTAAACTCGTCGGTAGAGCAGACTCTCCAAGTCTTCATCAATGCCGTTGGGCATTCCGAAGCGCTTGTAGTCGGGCATAAAAGTGATGCGAACAAAGTCGGACGTTTTGTTGGATGTGATCTTGGCCTTGCCCATCTTGGACATGTTGTCCGTCCATGTCTGCTTGTACCTTTTTCCGTTGCCGGAATCCTGACATTCCAAAGTAAACTCTGTACTGAAAACGTTACAGAGCTTGGCTCCGTAACCGTTACGACCACCGACAGTCTTCTTCTCTTCGTCGTCAAAGTTGGAACCGGCAAGAAGGTGGCCAAAGATGAGCTCGGGAATATAAATCTTTTCTTTCTCGTGTATCTCCACGGGAATACCTTTGCCGTTGTTTTCAACTGAGATTTGGCCAGACTCACGGTCAATGTTGACTTTGATAAAGGACATGGTGGTGTAGCGCTGCTTGACGTCAGCAGCGTTGACCATGATTTCATCAAAGATCTTGAAGAAACCGGGAACGAAGCTAATGGTCTTGTATTCCATGAGCTGCGTTTCCTTATTGAACACCCACATTTGCTGCTCAGTCGACTCGACCGACCCAATGTATGTGTCGGGACGCTTGATGATATGCTCGAGCTGAGTGAGTTTCTGGTACGTGTCGGTGGCCGTTTTCTTTTTGCCCGCAGATTTCGGGGTCGAGTCCACAACCATGCTGTCATTTTCGACCTCTGCCAGGGGCACGCCACCTGATTTCTTGGCCGGGGGCGCCTTTTTCGTCTTTTTGGAGCTCGGAGGTGTGTTTGCGAAGCCGGCGGAGTCGTTGACATCATCTTCATCGTCGCTGATAACTTTTCGCTTCTTGGCGGGCGCCTTTGGCTTCAGTGTTGTTTGCGTGAGTTTCTTTGCCTTGGAGACCGCAGGCTTTGTTTTCTGGCAAGCAATTGTTAGCATCCGCGGCGTCACTTTTCCACAGCGTACACAAACACGGCCGTCTGTTTACAGGGGAACATACTTTCGGCTCGGGGACGAAGCCATCAGAATCATTGTCCAGGCTAAAGACATCGTCATCCATGATGTCGGAGGAGTCCATCGCGAGAGCTATCGTGTTGCCGTGGGCCAATGAGTTGGCACAAGGGCGTTGGAGAGAGACTGGACAGTTACGGCGGACATGAAGCGATGGGTTGGTGATGCAGGGTGCAAGCTACGGATACCTGTGTTTCCGCACGCAAAAGAGGGTATGTCGTGAATTGAAAGTCAAGTGACGCGGGCCAGTTGTTGCCCTGCTGATAGCAACACAATGAGCCGGCTTTGTTGACTTGCCCTTGACTTGCCCTTGACGTAAATAACTAGCCGTCGGCAGTCGGTTGACCCTGGAAGACGCGTTTGACTCGGACGGGTTTGGTGGAGCGTGTCTTGATGCCTGAGGCACCAAGATCTCATTCGCCCAATTTGGCCCAGTAAACAATAGTTAGTTAACTACCGTAGTAGTTCACACGTTCACACTTTGCCTTGCCGGGCGCAAGGCTGCAAAACTAATTAAAAAAGTGGAAAAGAAGAATACTAAAAATAAAAGTATGAATATGAAATCAATAATGTGACGATTATATTCGCTCATTTAACTTGCCTGTCACCTGCGGTCTGGACACTCTCATTGTTGCATCAGCATAGATTCACGAGACGGCTGGTCTTCACCTTGGGGTGCGTTCATCCGACTCACAATGTGCGGCTTTCGCATTCCCACTTTCACAACTGTTTGGGGATCTTGGTGGCTTGGTCTTCTTCTGATCTAGTGTACTTGAGTTAGTTAGTCCACTACCCCAGTCAAGGCTGGGGCTTGCCACTCTGGCGTTGGGCAGCAACCAGTCATAGATAGCTGAACATGTCTTTCTCAAACTACGAGGGAATTCTCAACCCAGAGGGATATGAAGCCCAGCTTTGAGGAGACCATCATCGGAAACCAATATGAGTTCTCGCGAGATCTCAAGTGCGGCCCTGTGCGACAGCTGAACCGCAGCCTCAGGAATGGCATCGTTGGTTGCCAGTTTGGGTCCGCTCTCGGCGACGCGGTTGTCCTGTATTACACTGAGTTTCTCTCGGCAGATTTCTCTGCCCAGGAGTATCCTTCCAGATCTTGGCTAGCCCCCAATCCAAAGCGAGGATGTTGCACTCCGACGCCACGCCAACTGCGATCCGCGTCAGCCAGGAGACCAGACAGACGACACTGGCCATGCGCGGCTGATATTGGGGTCCTACTCGCACAAAATGGCAAGGGAGTTTCTGCGAGGGATTTTGCGATGCGCCTCGACATGTGTTCCGCAGGGCGTGCGACTTTGGGAACCCTTCGCATGGGTTCAGGTCTCAGGGTCTACGGTCCGGTCAAGAAGACTTCTGGAATTTGCCAAGGGGACGGCTCTCCAGCGGTGGAAGATTTCGGGCTTCAAAGCGGCTGCAAGCGGTAATTTTTAAGAGGACTCACCCTCGCTTCGCGGCTTAATGTCTTTACAAAAGTCCCTTGAGCAGACGTTTCAAACGGGGGCGTCGATTTCTCCGTCATTACCCATCCCGATCCGAGATGGATCATATGCTGGGCTATTGGAACGGCACTGGTTCGAGGATTGCTTCTCCACATTATTGCAAGCGAGAGTGATATAGATGGGTTAAATTGAGGAGGCCGTGTGGTGGTTTGCGGCGTTCCGGAAAGGGCAGCTGAAAGACGCGGGTCGAGTCGACTGGCGGGATCTTGATTTGGCAGAATTGCGGCGGCATGGCAAAGTGGACAAAGCATCGGAGCTGGCACTGGACGAGGCAGGCAAGATTGGAACTGTTTACAAGACGTTTGGGGGCGGGCTTCGTCTCGTGCGTCTGGCAATGCGCGAAACGGGAAATTTGAGCGCCCCGCTGCCGACTCCAAGGTCGATATTTGAGCCGCTCATTACCAGTACAGATTTGATTATGCTCGGCGGGGATGCAGACACAAAGGCATGCTTTGCCGGCGCACTCGTGGGGGGCGTATCTGGGCTCGCTGGCAGGATGATGGGCTGAGGCATGGCGAGTGGCTGATGGCCAAGGCCGAGGGGTTATGCATGACGCTCGACGTGGTACACGGCACTTATAGCGACGCGCAGGATACAGATACAGCACCCGACGGTGGGCGAGGTATTTTGAACGACGCACAGATGGAGGAAAAGGTCATGCGGCACATGGCAGGGATGGTGCAGCGTCTGGGTGACGGAGGTAGGAGGGCACAAGCGGAACAAGGACGAGAATGGCAGCTGGGCATGGCGACGAAGCAGCCGTTGTGAGGCCCCCGCGGCGGCGAACGGCGTAGACTGCGTTTTTCCTGCATGTACTCCGGTAATTTACAGATACTGACATCATGGCGATCATTGACCAGGCCTGCGAATGCAACGTCCCTGAATCACACACCACCACCTCTGCTGGCTCTTCACCGCGCGGCGTGCATCGTGTGGCGTATTTTTTTTTCTTGCACCATGGCACCATGGCACCATTGTTGAAACCAATAGTGAAATGAAACCATCGGGCCTCTCACAAAGGCGGCGCAAGTTGGCAATCTCCGACAGTGATTGACCAAGAACAAGCGACACACACACGGCACTGCACGAATGAATGTACGGCGTGCACGCTTCCCCATACTCCATGCTCCTTCCTCCCTCCATACTGGCATGCGTCACGACAACGTCGGCCCTGCCTGTGACGTGATACCTCTGGCCAAGAGACGGCGGCATTGTGTTATTTCTCTCGTGTCGGACAGCATCGAAAAAGCGGTGCGAAGGCTTGCTGGGGGTCAACGGGAGCGTATGAGCGTATGAGCCCTGGCCACGTACAAGTGAAGTGTCGCCGGTTGCACGACAGAATCGGGGGTTTTTGTCAAGGCATTCCGGGGGGCGCATGCTCGCTCTCTACGTGTACACGTATGGCGTTGGCCCAGGCTGCAACCATTCGGATCAGCTCGCTCGCTTCGAGTCATCAGGTAGCAGGGCCGTCCGGGGCGCCCACCACCACATCTCGGCGCGATAAAGCAGTGTGGTGTTTCGAGGGCGTCGGCGTGGAAAGGGGCGGCCCTCATCGTCGCGTTCTGAGGAAGCACAGCGTCGTTGCTGGTCACCGGACCCTCGTGCATATCCCTACGACCTGACTTGGGAAAGATAGATACCTTACCGGCGCCACTATGTCTTTTATTTTATTTGCTTCACCTTGTTTTGATGCCGTCATGTGGGCGTGACTTGTCGATGCTGGTGGCTATGGTGGCCGTGACTTGTCGACGTTGCTGCCTATGCGGTTGTAGAACGTGTGCGACGGCCGCCGCCCAGCGTGACGCCGAGGAGAGGAAGCAAGAAGGAGGATTAGAAGCCGCACACACACACAAACAAAAAAAAAGAAAAAGAAAGAAAAAGGGAAAAAAGAAAAAAAAAGACACAGCATCCGTCCTTTTACCGTCTTCATGTCTTCATCGCGCGCAAAGCCCCATCAACGCCAACAAGTCGTCCCTTTCTCTTTCCTGAAACGCCTGTTTGCTTCCATGGTGCAGACGTGAAGCGTACAAGCAAGACAAGGCAACAAGGCAGCATCTTGCATCTTGGACATCTACAGCTTCGCGTTTCAGAGGCAGCGCTTGTGTGTTTCCCTTGTCCGTCCCTACCTCCGCGGGCCATCGAAGGACGCACCCGGACTTCTCTGACAAGATGCACAGCATTCCTGTCAGTCAGTGGTGGAGAATTGTGTGCTAGGCGCAGGCCAGGGCGTTGAAAGTTGCAACCACAAGCCGACCCCCCCCCTCCCCCTTCCCTTCTCCTTCGCTCCAGCCGCCAGCATGGCTGGAGGATGCAATTGGCTGCTGCGGCTGTTGTACCACGGTGGCGTCGCAGGAGCAGGATGACTTGTGTGGCATACTACTATCGAAATGGAACTATATAGGTGCCCCCTCACCAGCATGTCACAAAAAAAATCCCTCTTTGCACGCCGTACCGTGTCGAAGCCTTGGCCCCATTTCCTGGTCTTGAGCGACTCCAAGCCGCAGTGTCCGGCAGGCAGCGAGGCCGGCCACGCAGCGCAGCGCAGAGAGAGGGAGAGAGAGGTTGGGCGCGCCGCCTGAATGACCAAGAGATGGTTGTTTTGCCGCAGCCGGGATGCTTGCTGAGAATGAAGGAGAGGGAGAGAAAAAAAAAAAAAACAGCAACAACAACAGACGACGGCAGCTGAAAGAAGAAAGTAGCTGAGGCCCCCCCTGGCTGTCCGGACCGTCGCTCTCCATCGGCGCTTATACTACTACCCTCGCAAAGCATCCTAATATTCTTTCAATCGGGCTTTGACATCGATTCGGAAACTCCCGAAGCCCGTTCCAACGGTATAAAACAAGCCTCTATTCTGTATAGGGCCCTCTTAGGGTGTTTATGCGGCTACCCGCTGCCGACGACGGCCCAGGCCACCTCCTTCTCGACACCCAAGGCGCTCAGAGTTCAGAGCTCACAGCTTATAATTTACAGCTCACAGCTCACAGCTCACAGCTCACCCCCCCCTGCAGCAGGTACGGCCGGCTCTGTCCAAACAGACCCCAAGTTTCCCTGTTTGGCGCTTTGCCTTCCGTCCTTTGCTACCTACTCCGTACTTGTCACGCCCCTTTGCTAATTCGTAATAACAATTGAGAATCTGCCGTCTCGGGTCCCCACCCCCCGGCCTCTGTCCTGACCATCTCGCCTGCCTGCTGCTGTGTCCTGTCAAATGACAGTCTTACTTCTCCTCAGCAGGGCTGCCACGGCTTTCCCAAACCAGTCGATACCACGGTTTTCTCGCTCGTGGCCCAATCCTCGAACCTGGGTCGAGCACTGATTCACTGTTACTCCAGCTCCTCGCAGCCCAAAGTTCCTCTCTTCCTCCGCATTACGGAGTGAAGTTGCCCCCAGGCTGCACACGTCCTCCCTGTCTCCTACTGGCCTGTCACAACACAACGAGTGCGACCATTGTTGACATATCTGTACCGACTATTTGCTGCCCAATATTTAACCCCCGAACAGAACCCCAGATGGCGAGGCTGCCACTCGTTCCCTCCCTCTCATCGTTTCAACAGTATCCTTACTAAAACGCCCAAAACAACAAGCAGCAACAATCCTTTGAAAACATTCCCTCTGTTTTCCCCCCAAAGGTATTTTGTTTCCTACCCCCAAAGACTCCAGCGTGTACTGATGAACCAAAGCGGAGTGTCCTAGCCGCCGGCGCAAACACCCACCGGGCCTCTTGTTCCATCTTCCCGTCACCGGAACGCCGTGATTACCACGGGGTGGTAGTAAACCACCAAACCAAAACGAAGCGAAATAGTATGCTTCACAGTCTCCCGCCCTCATGAGACACTTATTAACCTTGTTCCGTCCGCAGTTCGAGTGCTGGGAGTCTCTGCATCGCCCATCGCTCTTCAGGCATCCAGCGCCGCCTCCTTCGACTCATCGTAACACGCTCCTTAAAAAGTCGACTAATGTTAGTCGTCGCCAGTGAAATCCGCTGCTAACTCCCGTCCCGACGTTCCTTTCATTCCTCCCGCCACCGTTCTTCTTCTCTCCTCTCCCCTACCCCGGTCTCGTCATCCCAAGTACAAGGTTCGACAGACAGAACCATGTCTACTATGCTGCAAATCAGAGATCTCCTCAACCCCGTCACACCTGAGCCATCCGATGGCTCCTCAGATGAAGCCTGCGTCCAGGTGTCGCCTGGACGCATTGCTGCCGGCAGCGCCTCCACGAGACACCCAGTACGACCCCGGGAGTGGTCCTCTAAGCCAGGGAAGCAAAGAGGACCTGTCAACTTCATGCCGTTTGAAGAAGGGCTAAGTCAGGATATGATTCGACAAATTGCACTTTTTCAGGTCCGTCCATTTGGACAAATCCGACAGTCCTGTGAGCACATCCCATACAACAGCTCTAAGAAGGACTTTTTCGGAAAGACGGGGCGGGAAAGCATAGATGGTGAGTACTGACACTTGTCTCGCACCAGAAAATATACTCATCATATCATCAAGTGCTTAAATACGAATTCCGCTCGCAAACAGACCCCCCAGGAGACTTTACAGTCATGTGGGACTACGATGTCGGCCTGGTCAGAATCACACCCTTCTTTAAATGTTTGGGATATGCCAAGGTGGGTGCATTTTTGAGCGACAGTCATCATAATTCTCCGGGCGCTAACTCACGGCCGAAGACCAAGCCTTCACAGATGCTAGATAAAAATCCGGGGCTGAGAGACATCACACCAAGTATCACAGGAGGAGCTGTTTCAGCCCAAGGTATGACAAAACATGCCAGGCTCCCCTATTGACTATAGCAAGAGTACTGACAACAAGGCACATCCAGGATACTGGATGCCCTATAAATGTGCTAGGGCCATATGCGCTACCTTTTGCTACCCTATCGCTCCCGCTCTCGTGCCACTATTCGGCCCAACATTCCCCTCGGAATGTCGCGTGCCTGGTAGTCCTGGGTACAGAGACATGACTATCGACCCTCGCATCATCGAGGAGGCGACGCGGGAGGCCCGAGCCTCGCGCTCGATGCGCATAGAGCCGAGCTCGCCATTCGCACCTCGGCCCGCAGCCGCACCGAAGCACCGCCATGTCCTCGAGCCCAGGCCCGACCAAGGCTCGTACGAAAGAAGACTCCTCGGACCGGAATGTGAAAGGCTGATGCAACCGAGCCCGCAGCGCGTTCCATCATCCTGGAAGGCGGTAAACGCCACCGCCACGTCGCCCATCACGCCGCCCCGGTCCGCCAACAGCCAGCGGCCCCTCATCTCTGGGAACATGGATAGATTCCGTAATCACCAGTATATTGAGGATGGCCGGCACGGATTGGTTCTTGCCGGAGACGAGTCTCCGGAGCAGCAGCGGCGCGCGCAACCGGTGCGGGAGCTCCCCGGACGGCGGGACTATCCTATTACACCGGTCCGCCCGCATCTGCACCTAGCCGAAGGGTACGGACTCAAGCGAAGGTACGTATCCCCGGTGATTGTGGATTTCAGCGGCCACACGGGCGAGAGGGATGCCAGACCGGCGTCACGAGCCGAGCCGAACCCGCGCAAACGGACGCAGAGAGATGGCTCGAGGAGGATAGAGGACTACCATGCAGCCAGTGCCCTGGTAGGACTGCAGGAAGAAGGGCATATCCGCTCGCGCGGGTAGACATGGAGCACCTGCTTGCATGACGATGTACTATTGGGATAGACGGTGCTCCAAGGCGTTATGGGACGGGGTGGGATAGATTCTTTGCTTTTTCTTTACATCTGCAGCATTGACTGCCTGTACTTGTTTGGGTGGTTGCTATTTGCTCTTACTTTCAGCCAGAGTTTCAATGTTTTAGCACATATCATAGCTATTGGGCTTTTCGGGTACGATTGTTTTGCTCGTTGCTCAATTCACCATACTTAATAACTGCACGGATACCATGATTGCTTTCTCCAAAGTCTGCTACCACTATGTCCCCGTTTACTTTTCGTTACATAAAATGACGCATTATGACAAGCCGTCTACGACCTGCCCTTTTCTTTCGCCTTTTGCTCCTTGAACTTGACAATCCACTCATCCGCCTTGTCCGCTGGCAGGACGAATATGCGCACCACCTGGTCGACGACTTCGACTTTGCCCGTGCTCAGCACCTTGAGCAAGGATGCCTTCTTGCCCATCTTGAGCAGGCCGCCGTCCCGTGTCTCGACGTAGCACGAGACGCTGTCCAGGCGGTACACGGCGTCGGCGTCCCACGGCAGGGGGAAGACGTACCCCAGGTGGTCCTCGAGCGACTGCGTCTCCTCAAACGCCTTGACAAAGTCCGTCTCAAAGTGCAGCGGGTACAGCAGCAGGGCCGGAAACGCGAGGCGGCTCCGCGGGTCGTCCGGGTCCGGCACCAGCCGCACGGCCGCATCCTCCATCTCGGGCGGCCTGTCCGTCGACCGCGTGGGAATGCCGCGCGCCACGAGCGCGGCCCGGAGCAGCCTGGCCCGGCGCTGCGCCGCCGCCCGGCGCGCCT